AACAAAGACACAGTTGCCCATGCCGGGAATGGATTGAATGACGGCAAGGTGGAGAACCTTCTCAACCAGGGGAAGGAGCAGAAGCTTGGGGGTCTCGATATCGTACTGCAATTGGATAGTGCAGGAGTTGCCCTTCTTAGGGTCGAACTTGAACTTCGTGATCTCCTCGAACTTGCCAATGATGTCATCCTCGTGAGCCTTGTTCTCTTCAGTTTCAGAGTCGGAGTCGGAGTCGGAGTCATCATCAGATGAGGAACCATCTTTCATCTCAACGTCGCGAGTGGCCTTGGCGGGCTTGCTAGTCTCCACTTCGTCGTCGTCCTCCTCGTCTGGGCTATCCTGGCGTCTCATGATATCCCTCTCGCCATCGTCAGGGGCTTCGTATGAGACCTGGTTACTCCTGTTCTGAGCACCGGAGGCCCGCTTGGCGTCATCCTCATCATCTTCGTCGTCATCATCCGCTGGCTGGGCCTCGGCGTCGCCTCCCCTTGGTGCTTCGGCGATTCTGCCGACAGAGACACCAATATCTGGCTGAGCAGTCGAAGATTTGGTACCCTTCTTCTCCTCGTTACGCTTCTTGAGTTCCATCTTGGTGAGTCTGACCAGGCGAGGAATGAACTTGTTCAAAAGAGCCATCTGGACATCCTTGGTCTGGATGGCGTATTCCTCAGTGTATTCCTCAGACGGGAAGAAAGTGATATCAATGTCGTAAATCTTAGCTTTAGCATGGCCAATACCGGAGCCAATGCGCTCCTTGACTTGCACCTTGTCAACAATCTCAGCGATGCTAAGCTTGCTGATGGCCTTGGCGAATCTCTCGGAATCCTCCTTAGAGATCTCCTCGTTCAAGAGCAAGGTCATCGTGGGCGTCATAATATTAGCACTTGCGGTCATAACAATTTCACGAAGACGGGGAATACCCAGCGTCACGTTCTTTGCCGAGTGACCAGCCAAATGGAAGGTGTTCAGTGTCATCTGAGTAGATGGCTCGCCAACAGACTGACCGGCCATGATACCGACGGCTTCACCAGGGTCAATGACAGACTTCATGTACTTCATATTCATCAAGGCTTCGAAGGTCTTCTTCGTGACCTTGCCTTCAATGTTCTTCTTCTTGTCCTTGATGAGCTGATTCTTGTTGGCATCCGTGTACTGTTCAAGTTAGTTAAAAATGTACATTTTGACAGAAAAATAGCGAATCCATACCTTCTTGAGCTCTTGGGAGAATGCCTCAGACGTACTGCCCAAGTTTCCTCCAGGGGGAAGTGAGACAAGACGGGGTCCATAGCATCAACCTTTCCGGTCTTGCGGACCGCCTTCATGGCGTCCTTCTGCCAGGTAGTCACGTTCTCCTTAGCCAAAGAATGGAAATCGTCGGCTGAGACTTGCTTAGAAATGGAGACGTGGTTCTGAGCGAGGAAGTCGAAATCGTTGAGATGCACCTGCTTGGTGATGTCGAGACCATCCTCTCCGTACAAGAACTGAACAATGGAACCATCGGACGTCTCACGAACAGAGGAGTCGTATTCAGCCTTCAAGCCCTCCATGCCCTTAATCAAACAACGCTGCAAGTAACCAGATCTGGAAGTCTTGACAGCAGTATCAATCAGACCCTCACGACCAGCCATGGCGTGGAAGTAATACTCCTGGGGCTTGATACCAGTCAAGAAACGACCAGATACGTAACCACCAGCCATGGGGTGTGTTTCGAAAGCCTTGAAAGATGGAAGGGTCTTTCCACTAATCATGAGTGGTACACGGCGACCTTCCAAAACCTGTTGGCCCAAGTTACAGGAAATCAGGTTGGCGTTGACACCGGATCCCTTGGCTCCAGAGATTGTCATAGACTGCATCTGGTTCCAAGGGAAAGGCTTCGCAAGACCTTCAGGGAGACAAGATTTGGTGATTTCGGAGGAAAGCTGTGCACTGCGGGCGTTGGAAACGCTATCCAAGCCACTTTGCTTATCATCATCACGAAGGACCTCCTCCAGTCGTCGATTCAACTCGGCAGTCTGATCTCCAGGTGCCTGGTCGAGTGTGACATACTTGAGAGCAATCTCGCGACCCATGTCAGCGGCAGTGCTTAATTTCTCCTTGCGGATACGGTCACCTTCCTTGGTCAAGCGAAGATCGTCAATACCACAAGTAAAGCCACGCATGTTCAGGACGCGAGTCAGCAGTCTTCCAAGAATACCGATCAGCTTTCCAGCAATGCTGTGTCCGTAGACCTCATGGATGGCATCGATGAGACCGCCAGCAGTCGGACCAAGCTGTTTCTTATCAAGAATACCGCACAAGAATTCGCCGTCCTGGAAGAGAACATCTCCTTCTTCGTTGTTTGTACCCCAACGGTTACTGGGGGTCGAAGACTTGCTCTTCAAAGTCAGACCTCCTCGCCCAGGGGGCTGGATATTCTTGAGGATTGTGGTGATGATCTGTTTTCCGGTCCACATGCACTTGGGTTTCCGGAAAGCAGGCTCGACCAGTTGGATACGGTCGGTGACAATGTGCGAGTGTTCTGGTCTCAAACAGCTGTACAGCAGCTGGTGGTAATCCTCCTCGTCGTAGAAGCTGTCACGACAAGTGAGCCATGTTCCCATGGAAATATGATCCTGGATTAAACCTCTCAGCGGTTTGCCTGAGGTGGCAACAAGATACTGGTGATCAGCATCCGCCAGCATCCTGGCTTCCGCTTGAGCAAGCTCGTTCTGAGGGAAATGCATGTTCATTTCGTCACCATCGAAATCAGCATTGTAGGTGTTACAGTTGGCGTAGTGCATGCGAATGACACGCTCGTTAGGAAGGACACGGGCCTTGTGACCCATGATAGAGGGCTTGTGCAGGGTGGGCTGACGGTTCATCAAGACGTAGTCACCGGTGGTGAGGTGACGGTAGACCTTCTTGTTGCGCGAGCCTTTCATCCGCCAGTTTGACGGGGCGAGCAGCTGATTGGCAAGTGCAGTCCGCTCCTCGAGGTTCTTGAACTTGAGGTTGATTACCTGTCCGTTCTCATTCTCAATGGATGAAGCACCGGGGTACTTGTCAGGGCCGTTGATGACAGCCTCCTTCAATTCCCAGAAGTTGTGATTTGTCACGGGCTCGGGGAAAGTCAACTTCTTGGCGAAGACAAGAGGCACACCAATCTCATTGGGTTCGATGTTGGGATCGGGCGAGATGACACTTCGAGCAGCAAAGTTGACACGCTTACCCATCATGTTCTTTCGGAAAAGACCTTCTTTCTTCTCCAAAATCTGCTTGATACCATTAGGCTGTGCCATGGCAGCTGCGCCAGTGGCTGCAGTACGATCGCGGTCAATCAGACCGTTGACCTGATCTTGGAGCTGAACAATAGCCTGGAGGAGATCACTGTAGTTCCGTGCCCGAGACATGGTCTTCTCTTCTTCATTCTGGATCTCTTTGCTGATCTGGTTGATAGTATCACATCCCTTCAAGATTGCATTGAAAGAGGTGTTCTGCTGGGCTTCCATGACAGTTCCAGCACCCTGCTGAACTGCGGGACGGTACTTGTTTGGCGGTACCATCAGGTTCTTAATGAAGAACATGTCTGCCGACACAACCTTGACTCCCTTGGGCACAGGCCGAGAGTTGTAAACCAGCTGCAAGACATCGCTGTCCTTTGTGAAAAGAAGACGAAGAGCTCCGTAAACTTCGGAGGAAGACATGAATTCCTGGCCTGTGGTGCTCTGTGTCGCTTGCATGACAGCCGCACCCCGAAGGATTTCTTCCTCTGCTCCATGGGCCTCAGCACCGTTTGTCCGAGTACCGTTTTGCTTGGCTTCGCTTTTCCTTTCTTGATCGAGAAGAACCATGGTGTTTGGTGCCTGGAATCCTCCAGTCATCATTGCAAGCTTTGCCTTCTCGGGTAGTTGCTTTCGGAAGATTTTGTTGTAGCGGTCCTTTCGGTACGAGGGGGAAATTCTGCCATAGTGTTAGCTGGTGTACAAGCAAAGACATTATGTTTCACATAACGTACCCGCTGCAGTTGGCACACTTGTTAAAGGAGTTGATATCCTTCAGGAAGGTCTTGATCAACTCTCTTCTGGCCTCCGCGGCAATGGGGTTCTGTCCACCGGCCATCAAGCCATCCAACTTGCCCTCTGCCTTGGCTTCCCGGATGCGCCGACTAACATACTCTGTTCTCTTGCGCATGTAGTCCACATCATCGTCTTCTTCATCGTCAGAATCCTCCTCCTTGCTCTTTGATGCCTTTTTGGCACCCTTAGTGGATCCCATAGAATCAACAACAGACACCTCGTCGATCAATCCGTATTGCAGAAGGCGCAATTTGCAGGTGTACATGTTGACCTGGCTGCGGCCCATCTGCAGGCGAAGACAGTACACACATTGTGCTCGGAGAAGGCGGTAGATATGGTCGAAGAATGTAACATTATAGAGCGGGACCGGAAGCTCAATGTGTCCGGGATGTCCGGTACAGGTAAAAGCGTTCTGACGACATGTGGTACATCTGTAGATGGAGAAAAAGATCACTCGTTAGAGATTGTCAATTGAGCACAAGGTACGGCAAATACTTACACATGGTCTCCCCATGCGCCCATAGCAGGGTCCTGAAGACCACCAGGGACAGGGTTATTAAATGAATCCAAAGTCGGAGTATTGTGAATTCTTTTCACCGAGAGAGCTTTAATCTCTTGCTCGGAGTAGACATTGAAGTCGACCCCATTAATGGTCGAGGCGACCGGGCGTGCGAAAGTTGCCATGGTATCCTGCAGCTCCTGGAGCAACAGAAAACGCTGGCGCACGAAATCAAAGTGCTCGGAATGGTCTCCAAGTGTAGTTCTGGAGCGAACTTTTTTTCCGGAGGAGCAACTTTTTTTGCCCGGGTCCACCGCCTTACCCTTTTGAGGTTTCTGCGGACCTCTTACTCTCACTTGTCTGACACTCTTCTTATCTATCAGCACTTGCTCGATCACTTGTGTAGCTCAGTCGCCAGTCCGAAGCGAGTGAGACCTATCTACACTATGGCGGATGCGTCGGGTAATGCGCTGAAGCGCCCTCATCCTCAGGATGAAGACAACAACGCCAAAAGAACCCGCTCCAATAATGGGTCCCCGGTACCCGGACAAGCAGCGCCTGTGAAGGGAAAGGCTGATATTGAAAAGATGGTGGCGGAGGCCAGGGCAAAGGCAGAAGCTGTGCGCGCTCGTCTACAAGCTGCGCGCGGTGGCGCGACACCAACAGCACCTACACCCGATTCCTCAAGTCCTACACCGCCGCCGCCAGCGCCCAGTGCTGCGATGTCGAGATTGGAACAAATGAAAGCTCGAGTTGCGGCAGCTACATCAAGAGCCAGCGCGACCCCTCCACAACGACCCAGTGCGCCCACTCCATCTTACCAACCTCCAGTCCGCGATGATGATGGCTTTTCCAAGGCTCGAGGTGGTCTAGACGTTGGACTTCACCCGGCACTACTCTCTGACGCTAAACCAGAATTTCGAAGTGGAAAGGGACGACAAGCCAAGACAACAAATCAACGCAATGACAAGGCCCAGCTTGACCTATCTGGTCCCTCTGTGGAGGAAATCAAGAACAACCCTTATTTCGACCCTACTCTTGCTCCTAAGGCAACAGTGGCCAAGCCACGCCAAACCCGCCAACTTATTTTCAACCAGAAGGGCAAATATATTCAGCAGGCGGCGGCCCTGCGCAGGCAAGCCCAGTTAGAGGCAATGAAGAAAAGCATTGCAGCACGAGCGCGACAGGCTGGCCTTGATGAGGAAATGGACGTGGAGAAGTCATACCTTGTTCCTGCTCCACCAGATCTGGAATGGTGGGATGAAGGCTTGGTCAAGGGCAGCGACTACTCTGCAATTGACGATCAGCAGAATATCAAAGTCGATACCCCCGACTCAATCATTACCCGCTATGTTCAACATCCTATCCTTATTGAACCCCCACAAGAAAAGCATATGCCCGCCCAAAAGCCCATGTTCCTTACTCCGAAAGAACAAGCCAAAATTCGTCGACAGCGGCGTATGGCGGACCTGAAGGAGCAGCAGGCCAAGATCAGATTGGGTCTTGAGCCAGCTCCCGCTCCAAAGGTCAAAAAATCAAACCTCATGCGAGTTCTAGGCGAACAAGCCGTCAAGGATCCCACGGCCGTTGAAGCCCGTGTGACCAGAGAGATCGCAGACCGAAAAGAGCATCATGAAGCTGCAAACGAGGAGCGTAAGCTGACCAAAGAGCAACGGCGCGAGAAACTCGCGGCCAAGCAGGAGAAGGATGTCTCCCTGGGCGTCTTTCAAACTGTCTATCGAATCGACAGTCTCGCAAGCGGCAGAAACCGCTTCAAGATTGGCAAAAACGCAGAGCAAAATAATCTCACCGGCATGTGTGTTATGCACCCGAAATTCAATCTGGTGATCGTCGAGGGCGGAAAGCACTCCATCAACAATTACCGAAAGCTGATGATGAACCGTATCGACTGGACCGAAAACCCAGGCTCGGACCGTATTGCCGCAGACAGCCCCGAAGCCCAAGTTTCATGGCTATCGACAGAGGATGACAAAGGACAGCCAAGGGATTTCAGTGATAACACATGCACTCTCCTTTGGGAAGGACAGGCTAAGACACGGTCATTCAAGAGGTGGTTTGGTGCGCGAGTCTGCGAAACGGACTCGGCAGCCAAAGATGCTCTATCTCGGGCCAAGATGGAAAACTTCTGGACATTGGCAAAGAGTGCCAAGCCTGCCGAATTCTAGTTGACCTGTTTCCTTTAATAGGATGCCTACTCCGGTCCAGTTTTATGTATGTATACAGAAAGCGAGCTTGCTCTTCGTTCTTAGCTATTGTCAATTCAATTCATGCACATGGTGCTTCAGATATGTACTCTTAGCAATCCCACCATCACATGTCCAGAAGACATCACTAGAAAAGAGCCATGATCAACTTTTGAAAGAAAAACCCCTAACCACATAACCCCGTTCCGTATGCAAGTGTTCCGATGCCAGGATATCACAGAAGAACATGTAAAACAAACAAATCAAATAGATCAGGAAGGAGGAGGACCCTGGTGACCCTGGTTCCCGCTGCTGAGATTCCGCAGCAAATCCAGCTGGGCTTTAACCTGGTCAAAGTTCATAGCCGGGTTTTGAGCCTGTGGCTGCTGATATTGCTGCTGCTGCGGCTGAGGCTGTTGGAATTGCTGTTGCTGCTGGAACTGCTGCTGTTGTTGCAGAGCAGCCAGGAAAGCTGGGTTAATATGAGCACCCTGGAAGCTACCCGGCATCTGATAACCCTGCTGGAAGGGGAACTGGAAGGGGAATTGAGCCTGTATTCCACCTTGACCGAATTGCGGCTGCATTTGCTGCTGTTGTGCGAATTGCGGGTTCTGAGCTTGCTGCTGAGCGTACTGTGCGTATGCGGTGTAAGGCTGGGGCATCCCGTAGGCAGGCTGAGGTTGCTGGTACATGGGCTGGCCGTAGGGTGTGGGCTGGGCTTGGGTTTGAGGCTGAGGCTGAGGCTGAGACTCGTAGTTTGAGCTGCCTTGCTGGTGAGGATGACGGTCCTCCCACTCCCTTCCTCCACGTCCGGCTCCGCCTCTGCCGCGTGCTCCACGACCACGGTCACCCCGTCCACGGCCTCGTCCACCGCGGAAACCGCCGCGCTCGGTGCCTTCGACAGGGGCCTCACGGGCACCCATCATCTCGTGGAGGTTTGTGGGGCGTGCAAGAGGGGTGTAACCATCCTCGCCCCCGGCGTCATCGTAGTTGAGCTCGGTGTGGCTCAATTTGGATGGCCCTGGTGCAACCTTCTTTGCGCGAGGGCCGTCCCGGGCTTCCTTGCGCTCTTGGCGCTTCTGCTTAATCTTCCGCTTGTATTCAGCCTCCGCTTCGTCGTCGGAGAATTCGATCTCTTCGTCGCCTACTTCCTCGTCGTGGAAGTTCGAGGCGTCACTTCCCTTCATGCCCTTCAGTGGCTGGGTAAAAACGAATGTAGAATGTCCCTCCACATAGAAGATGTCCATGCCCTTGACCAAGCCTCTCTCCTGGACTTCGGATGCCGTAGAGTACATGACGGTGTACATGGGATTCTCGACTCTGCCTAGGGTTTCCGTCACAACACCAACAACCTTACGGTCAGCGGAGCAGAGCAAGGAGCCCGACTCAAGGACTTGGTACTCTCCAGATGTGTTGGCTTCAATGAGAACAGCATTGTCGATAGCTGCCTGGATCTTGCCCAGGAACACGATCTTCGTCTCGGGTGTAATCTCAACTTCGGGAATTGGCAGAACTTCTTGCTCAATCTCGTTGGCGGTCCGAAGATGTGCGCCAGTCTTGCCCTTGTCTCCGTCGTCGTCTTCGCCAGCCTCTGCCTGCATGAGAATGCGCGCCTGTTCTTCGGCGCTCAGAATCGGATAATCTTCGTCGTCGCTATCGTCGGAGTCCGAGGAGTCGGAGCTGTCTGAAGATGACTCGTATGGGGAAGAGTCGACCTCCCATTCTGGGTGCTCCTCTTCTTTGACGTCGTTATCTGTTTGCTCAACCTCCATGGTTTCACCGTTGGCAGTAGGCTCTTCTTTGATGTGCATCGTGCCAGGTTCCTGTTGGTGGAGGTTTTCGGCGAGGTTCAATCCGGGGAGGCTCGGCTGGGGCTTTGATTCGGGGGCCTCCTGTTTGAACTGACCCTCAGGAGCTATGTTGCTGACATTCACAATCGGGGTTCCTCCTGTCAAGGGTGTGTTGTAAAAATCGCTGCCGTTGTCTGGGGTGCCCGCGATAGGCGGCGTATCGGCCACGCTAGCTGTCTTCGAGGTAGGGACGTCGCTGACACTTGCTGTCTCCGTTGGTGGATTCTGGTGGTCACTCATCTTGCACAAACGATAAGAGACTAGAAATAGACAATAAAATATGGAATGACCAGAAGATCAAGAAAAAAGTTGACGGGAACTTTTTTTTATTTTGCCGGATCTGCCAGAGCGGTCAGTCCAGCCTTATCGGTTATCGAAGCTCTCCATCTTCACGCCAACTTGCGCAACAACATGGCGAATACAGGGGCTCATGCGCCTCATACGCCCAAGACGAAGCAGCGGTATGCTGTGTCTGTATAGGATGAAGACTGCCACTGACATTATCTTGATAGTCCCTCACCACCACCATTCTACATCCCACTCAACATCACCCTCTACCTATGCCTAGTGGCCAATGGCCTTGCGGCGCTATTCTCCCCAATCCAAGATTGTGATGAGGTGTTCAACTTCTGGGAGCCTACACATTACTTACAGCATGGATATGGTCTCCAAACATGGGAGTACTCGCCAGTCTATTCTATCCGGAGCTGGCTCTATGTGTCATTACATGCCGCGGTAGGGAAACTGGGTTCCATGGTGGTACACAGCAAGACAGCTGAATTCTACACGATTCGCCTGACTCTTGCGTTTGTGTGCGCTGCCTGTCAGACTCGGTTATACTCGGCCATCTGTCGCACCCTGAGCCCCCGCATCGGTCTCTTGTTTGTGATGATTGTTACACTCAGCCCGGGCATGTTCCATGCTTCAACTGCCTTTTTACCATCAACCTTTACCATGTATATGTCCATGCTTGGCTTGGCTTCTTTCTTGGATTGGAAGAATGGGCGGAAGACAGCACAAGGGATTATGTGGTTCGGTCTGGGTGCAATTGTTGGATGGCCGTTCGCTGGTGCTTTACTTGTTCCTCTTTTGATCGAGGAGGTTGTTCTCGGCATTGCTTCTAAGTCTTTTGTCGGGCTCTTTTGGTCCATCTCCGATGGTGCTATGCTTTGTCTATCAATTTTGGTAAGTTTTATTAAGTTGTGTTTCGAAAATTCTCAGCTAACATGTTACAGACTCTTGAGGTAGCAGTTGACTATGTCTTCTTCCAGAAGCTCGTTCTCGTGCCATGGAACATCGTTGCATACAATATCCTGGGTGGCGAGGGCAAGGGGCCAGACATTTTTGGCACAGAGCCATGGACCTTCTATATTCGGAATCTCCTGCTCAACTTTAATGTGTGGTTCCTGTTTGCCATGCTATCCGCGCCAATCCTGCTCTTGCAGACCGTCTGCCGAGCGAACGGAACTTCTGTGAAGACAATGCTGCGTTCCATGGCCCTGGTCGCCCCTTTCTACATGTGGTTCGGGATTTTCTCGGCCCAGCCTCACAAGGAAGAGCGGTTTATGTACCCTGCATACCCATTCCTGGCACTCAGTGCGGCTCTTTCATTCCATCTCATCCTGACATGGATTGGATCTACTAACCCGAAAGAGCTGATTGGTCGTGTACCGGCCAAACTCAAGCTTGCCGCTGCTGTGTCTGTTGTTCTGGTCGCTGTAAACTCCGGCATGCTGCGTACCCTGGGCATGGTTACAGCGTATGGTGCGCCACTGAGGGTCTTCGAACCTCTCCAGCAGGTTGATATTGCGCAGACGGGAGACTCGGTATGTTTCGGCAAGGAATGGTATCGCTTCCCATCGTCATACTTCCTTCCCCACGAAATGCGTGCCAAATTCATCCGAAGTGAGTTCCGGGGACTACTTCCGGGTGAGTTCCCGAATGCGCCGAGCTACCTCGCTCGTCTAGATGGCGCCTCGCAGATCCCATCTGGCATGAATGATCTCAATATTGAGGATCCCAGCAAATACGTAAGTCGTGCGATTCTTACCATGATATTGAAGTTTTGGACTGACTTAATACAGGTTGATATCTCTCAATGTTCTTTCCTTGTCGACTCCTACTTCCCTGGTCACGCCGCGACCGAGCTGGAACCCAACTATCTCCTGGACAAGGAGAATTGGAAAACTTTGTCATGCGCAAGCTTCCTCGATGCATCTCAGACTGGTCTCCTGGGTCGATTGATCTGGATCCCTGATTTCCCTATTATCCCAGATCGCCTCCGACGCAAATGGGGCCAGTACTGTCTTCTCCAGCGCAGCACAAGCAACGTATAGACCTGCTAGGTGGGCATTTTGTAACCTTTTATTCAGAGGTTATATGTAAAAACGACTACATAGAATGACTTGAATCTACACTGAGGGAATGGCTATCAAGTACAAAAGCCACCTTACCCAATCGGGACAAAATATCCCTAAGGTAACAGCGAATGATAAGCTCAACACCAGTAAACTTTCGTTACACAAGGCCTCCTTGTACAATTCGCTCTACTCCCATACGCAGCCTCGGATCCAACGGCTCAAAAGAGACGAGGTGGAGAAGACTTTCCCCTCTTCCCCGCCATATGAGGTCGACCCTTGCTCCAAGCCACACACCAGAGAGATAAAGGTCTATCTCGCATCGCATTAACAGGAAGGGCAGTTCGCAAGAGATGACCATCTGATGTGCGTAGTATTGATAAGGGCGATCAGGGTCCACTTTGTCTCCGCATACTAATAGACTCTGTTCACCTGCGTGTCTCTTTTATGACTTTATATTATATTTGACTATGTGGGCTTAAAATACGCTGCAGTTTTCTTCTTATTTCCACCTGGGATCCAGATTATTGCCATAAACATGTTGGCGCTTGAGTCCCTACGGGAAACTATCCTATCAAATGCCCCAACGAAAGATGTCATCGGAGTCTTTTTCGCGCTAAACCTCTGCGCCTACCTTATCGTCTATGTCTCAAAAAGGTGGACAGAGCTATCTGGCAAGACAGCCAGGGCTTCAAGTCCTGATGTAGAGAAACCAGCTAGCGGTATTCGCGGAAAGGTCACCAGGCCACCGGGTGGTAAAGTAAATCGCATCACACAAGAGAAACCCCAACTAATTCATGTATAGAATGGACACCGTCGGATTTCAAAAGGCCAACAGCAGCCCCTTATCCAGACTGGAACGTCCACACAACTAAACCAATCCCCTATCGACCATTTCGATATGGCCCGTAAGTCGAATAGCCCGAGGTCTTCATTCCTGGCTGTTTCTAACCAGGTATCATAGGAAATACTTCATCACAATGGGTCTGAGGAGCATGAAATGGGACGAATGGATCGGTGAATATCCACCCGCCTCAAAATAAGGAAACCCATTAATCTCATACGAAAACAGAACTCGACAACCACTATCTAAAATACCACGCCGACAAAGCCCGTCGCATCGAAGAACGCGGAAGCAAATGCTGCCACACAGACCCAGAAGCAATGGACGGAGCAATCGAGCTCCTAGAAGAACTGTGAGTCCAACAAACCTACATCATCCCCACCCCTCCTTCAAAAGGAGCCCAATCTAATCTAAACCTCCCACCAGATGCGCCTACCTCCCAGAAAGATACCCAACCATGTTCCAAAAGACGGCGACAGGAATAACAAACACAATAACCAACGAAACTTTCAACATAACCCAACGGCCTCTGCCGGAAGACCCAATGGCAACAGCAGCACGTCTAGTACAAGATGACCTAGCCCTAATGATCGAGCGCCCAGACGGCGAATACTACCTGCTAGGCGGCGCAATACTGCTCGCAGGATTCTGGCGGTTAACCGACAAATTCGGCATGCGACTTTCAGAAATCCACACATCAGGCTCTGTCCCCGGCTACGAATCCAAACTCGAAAAGGGCATGATGAATTTCTTCCGCCGGCTTAAACCCGAAGACCCGGTGATTCGAAACAACTATTTCATTCAGGTAGACGATAACCTAGCTTGGTCGTATAGTATTGGGTCTGAAGATGCGGAGACGGTATCGTGGAATACAGCGGAGAAGAATCGCGCTGTGGAATGTCACTATTTCCGATCTGAGCGGCAGAGTTTGAGACGGTTGCCGAAGTCTGGGGCGGTGGTCTTTACTATTCGGACTTATTTCGAGCCTGTTACCGAGGTTGTTAAGGAGCCTTTTGTTCCTGGGCGGTTGGCTGATGCTGTAAGGAGCTGGGGGGATGATGTTAGTCGGTACAAGGGGAGGGAGAAGTATCAGGAGGTTTTGTTGGAGTTTTTGGATCGGAAGCATAGCGAGCAGGTTGAAGGGGGTTGGAGGTTGAGAAGGAGGATGAGATGAGAAGTTATCCTTTTTGAATCAGTTTCTGGGATTTAATATCAGCTGTCTTCCTTCCAATACCTATATTTATTGCTTTCCTAGGCTGAATTTAACTTTCATATACATTTCAAATCAGGAAGATGATATGCTTGTTATATATCAACAATAGTGGATACCTTTTAAATTAATGGGCGGCTGGCCTAATGGTAAGGCGTTTGTTTTCGGTCCTGTTCACAAAAAATTGCAGGTTCGATCCCTGCGTCGCTCATTCTTTTTCTCTTCCCTTTTTTTTTGGTTCTCCAGTTTTATTCCCTTGCTCTACTGTATATTTCCTACAATCTGTGTGATACGAAGACTGCTGAATTTTGAAACAACTTTAGCATATGAAAGTGCATGGATATTAGATGGGAACAACCAAATTGCTATCATAACCCAATACGCTCCCTTATTTCCCAGTCTATATGTGCAACCCGAGAGGTGAAATCACCGCATTATGGCGGACCTTTTATACGCCAGAGGCTGCGATAGTTTCAGATCAGTGGTGAATGGCAGGCTCTCGGCTGTTACCCTGACGAGACCTTTGGCCATCGGAGCGGATCATCTCGTGGGTGTCTGATCACTAGACCAATAGAGCCGTGCTACTTTTGCATGAATCTATTATACCATAACTTTGTCGTTTTGCTTAGTATCTCAAGGTCTCGAGGTGGCGTTGAATTGCACGGAATCAGTCGACCTAGTATGTGTGTGCATCGGCTCATCTAGCGGTAGGCCCGATAACTGTGTTTGGGCCATACTTTTGGTCTTGGTTAATGGCTCTGTTTCAATGAACACCCGCTTGCTGGGTCTGGTAATACTGGGGCCCACATCTCAGAGGGTGGGATGAGGACCTCGATCAACTCTACCGTCCACTTTTGCTTTGAATTTGTGGGCGATTGTCTCTGCTGTTCCTCTGTTGGTTTAAATGGACCGCTGGGTGTGATTTATAGCTAGATATCGGGTACCATGCGTGAGTGAGCGGTAACGACTGACTGGCGAGATCTGCTGGGCTTCTTTCCGGGGCTGGCTGGATGGTAGAGTATTCTTGTAGGCCTCACGGTGACATTGGTTGGTTTTGTGTTATTGAAGGAGGCGTGTAGTTTGAGTGCCGGTCGGTCGTCTGAGACGGTATTTTGGCCGTGCTTGCTTCTTCTGGTCGAGGCTGTCGGTTCGGTCTTCCCGGCCGGATCTCACTGTCGGTTTGCTGCGGTGGGCAGTCACCACTTGTGTGTCTTTGTGTCGATCTCCTTTGTCTACTAGATGAATCGCCTCGGCGGCTGTCCGTGGATCATGGCAGACGTGGTGCTGTTGGGGTTGTAGCCAGATCAGACCTCCTATGTCATCTCTGCGGCTTCATTTTTCCGCTTTGTTGCTCTGTTTCTTTGCACTTTCGTCGTGGGATTTTCGTGTTCAGTTGATTTTCTCACTGTGTCTTCGCGGTAGCATTCTCGTGTGGTATTGGTTGATATGGCTGTTTGTACCTCCCGGTCGCAGTGCCAAGACCAGTTGAACCCCCCAAACGGGGGGTTCAACTCAAACTATGCAGCAACTTCATTTTTTGGGCTACCACGCCACAATTACTTATTGATGTACATTAATTTCCCTTTGGGAGGTATTTTATCGGGTAACTGACTGTATGGCACTATAGTAGCTCCATATAAGCATTATGGGTGGTGGATTTCAGGTTACAGGATTTCTATATTCAGTTATATATATCTCATCCAGCAGTACAGTACATATACCCCACCACTTTCAACCCCAACCTTACACCTTGGTTTTATTTTTACGAAACTGGAACCGGAGATATCTGTCCAAAGGCTACTGACAAACACTCGATTTTAACCACTGCCAGAGAGCAGTACACCAAGCCACCATAGACTGTCAGTCTACTACATGTACCAGAACTACCTGGCAAGACTACAACGGATAATCATACAAGACACAGTCATGAGAAGAACCACTGGCTCAAATACGACGGAACTGAAGTTCAAGGCGATATCTACTACAAGGACTGACATGCGAGGTGACAAATGGTGCGAGGCCACCAAAACAACGCGTCGAGATCAAGAACACGAGTTGAACGCCCCACCAAGACACACAACACAAACGCGCCATTACAGAGGAAATACCAGATTACATGAATTACCCAATGACTGAATGATTGTTTGAAGTTTTGATTGTATTCGTATCGGATCGCACAATGTGCAAGATCCCACCATGGAGGTGCCAGCCGTAATGAAGAAGGCCGCTATGATACAAAAAAGCTCAGAAGCGAACACTAGCAGACCGTAGTGGACGCGCAATAGTGGTAATCGAGTGTAAAAAGCAAACCCAGAGACCCATGACGATTGTAGTAAAATAAATCAGAGAACACCCCAACGTCCCGTCATACCGTAGAACCAGCCCGGAAAAGAAAAGCACAAATGATTTAGCCACCGAAACCGTAGAGGGTACCTGAGAAAGGGATGTTAGCATGAGGTCAAGACAAAGAACAGACAGAAGAACTTACGGCCCTGGCGCTTGAGAGCGTAGACAACGTCAAGAGACGTGACAGTCTTGCGCTTGGCGTGCTCAGTGTAGGTGACGGCGTCACGGATGACACCCTCAAGGAAGGTCTTGAGGACACCGCGGGTCTCCTCGTAGATCATGGCGGAGATACGCTTGACACCACCACGGCGAGCGAGACGGCGAATAGCGGGCTTGGTGATACCCTGGATGTTGTCACGCAAGATCTTGCGGTGACGCTTGGCGCCACCCTTTCCGAGACCCTTGCCACCTTTGCCACCTATAGAAGACGCGTTAGAACGCGTTGAGAGCGAAGAGAAGAGTGGATCACTTACGGCCAGACATGTTGTGTGATTTAAGAAAGTTTGTAAAAAGGGGAAAGGTTGTTGTTGGAGTTGTCGAGATTGAGGGAAGAGAAGGGTATGGGGCAGAGGATATTTGTATCAGACGAGAAGGAGGGCGCGTTGGGAAATCACGCGCTAGTCAGCAGATCAACCAATGGGAGTGGAGGATCCCGGGCCAGGTCTGATCTACCGGGATCCTCTCAATTCGGCAACTCCAACTTTGGCCCAAGTCATCTCTGATCCTTCTTCGGTTCACCACCGACAATGTTAATCACGGGAAATAATCAAGGGAAGATACATTCCAAAGCATGCTGAATAGCTCAGAATTGATTAATTGACTCCCCAGCCCACTTTGAGCTCGAGATCAGGAATTCCAGGGTGAAGCATTCTATACTCCGTGATCCTGCGCTCCCATTGGCCAGAATCTCGCTTAGTGTACCATCTCTGGCAATTCGACTGACCAATCAGCATCGATTGCAAATCAGACTTTGGCGGTGTCTTTCTTCCGTGCTGTGATTCTGATCTGCCTGGCAAGCAATCTGATTCGTCTGCCTGCTCTCTCAGATCATTCCCCCTCCCCCGTTCCTACAAATACTCTTCCCCCACCCACTTCTCACTTCCCTTCCTCATCCATCTTCCGACAACAGTTTTTTCATCAAAACTATCCATTAAATCATCATGGCTCGTACCAAGCAGACTGCCCGTGAGTATTTCATCATCTCATATTATCCACATCATCGCTTTCTTTCACTCCCTTCACTCTGGTCATGTGACATCATCAGAGGAAGAAAGAGAAGACGTGGCGACGCGTGGACGCGTTTATGAGAACATCCTGCTGACAACCCAAACAGGTAAGTCCACTGGTGGCAAGGCTCCCCGTAAGCAGCTCGCTTCCAAGGCTGCCCGCAAGGCCGCCCCCTCCACCGGAGGTGTCAAGAAGCCCCACCGCTACAAGCCCGGTAAGTTCCGATCGCTATCATCGTCATCTCATTCAGCTGCTAATTTGCCCAGGTACCGTCGCTCTCCGTGAGATCCGTCGCTACCAGAAGTCCACTGAGCTCCTGATCCGCAAGCTCCCCTTCCAGCGTCTGGTTCGTGAGATCGCCCAGGACTTCAAGTCCGACCTCCGCTTCCAGTCCTCCGCCATTGGTGCTCTCCAGGAGTCCGTTGAGGCTTACCTGGTCTCCCTCTTCGAGGACACCAACCTCTGCGCCATCCACGCCAAGCGTGTCACCATCCAGTCCAAGGACATCCAGCTGGCCCGCCGTCTCCGTGGCGAGCGCTCGTAATCTCTTCATCTCTAACACGAGCTGGTTTTAAAGGCGATAATGGGGTTTTGTTTTTATCTTTTATCATGACTGGCGATACATGATGGGTTTGCTTTCCAATATCAATGGGTTCGGGAACTGGGTTTCTCTGATTTTGCTGTTTTCTCCCTGGGATTCGATGCTACTGTCCGGAATGAATCGGTCATGGGCATGTACATTAAAAGGGATATCTCTTAACTTGATGCCTTAGCGCGCATCAGCTCATGGCATAGACGCGAAATGCGATATCTATGATTCTTCCAATACACATTCTTTCCAAACTTCTCTATAACGCGTAGTTTGTTGTTCTGACGCGACCTTGCGAGGGATACCCACTTGGCGTGACTTTTGGTCGCGATGACTTGGCCTCAAGTCTAGTCTGATCCCTGACAGCTCACGGTCGCATCCCACCTTTCAGCCACTGTACCTTCAACTATTTCAACATCCCACCAAGTCCATCGGCCACAACTGGTGACACTGATCCCTCCCCGTCTAGAACAACAAAGTAACCAAGTCCTGGTACAAATATCCATCTGTCTCTATCCTCCCCACAATTAGTCTATCCCCATAGCCAAACGACGTCATCCAGATACTGATGCCCGCCTCGGATGATTACACCACAACCTCCCTCTGCATATGGTTTGAGTATTGTGCGTAGCAATATTAAGACGAACAGTCGATTATGAAATAAATGTACAAGGTGTAAAGAAACAGAGACGTCCGATACCCGTCTCTGAAGCGAGAAAAAGACCTAAGCGTTGTGGTCCTCGAGAATTATCTGACGTAGCCGGGGGCTCAACCTGCACATTGAATGGACTTGTACAAGTAGTTGTCTGAATACGCCGTGACAACAGTAGACATATAGTCATTCGAGTATCTCGCTCGTACTCGTGCGATGTCGGTTCTCAAGATATGCCCGTCCATCATCTGCCTGAATAACAGTAGAATGCCCATCACATCCAGACCTCACAGGGTATGATTATACCTCGAACAGCCCTCGGAATGGAACATTCCAGCAGCCTGAATGATTCTCTAGACAACTTCTATGTACACCTACAGCCAGATATCCCACCTAAACCCAAAATCCAAGGCTGAACGTGCAACCAATACACGATTATTCCCACAAAGAGCAGAACGAGCCGCCACACAAGTACCACACATATCAGCCAAACAGGCTACAAACCCGACAGGGGTCCCAGTCCCAGTTCCAGCAGGACGAGCAGGAAACAGGAAAGAGTCACAATGAGCTCACAACGTCAGTCAATCCCCACGGGAGACATGGACAGCCCTCCTGCTGAGATTGAGTAGACCACAAACATGCACAGTAAAAAACTGGATGGATTTTTGGCAGGTGCTACATCAGTATGAGTCATAGTTAACTCATACGTGTATCTCGTTGCCTTGGAAGAATCGAAGACTGTGAAACCTGCTGGATCATGTGATTGTTTGAGGACCCATGACTATCAATAAAGAACTCGAGAGGGTCTTGGACATAAGGTTACTTGTTACTTGTTACAGTATTACCAGTAACTTAACCGGGATCGTCTTCCACTGTGGCGATGCGGTGCACGGATGGGTTGAGTGGGTGAGATGAGCTTCCGAGGCGATGACTTATGTGTATGAAGTTCTAGACTTTTGCTTTGTGTACTGCAGTTCCAGGTTTGACCAATAGTGGAATGGAACACGTTGAATCTGGGGGGATATTGCCGCCTTATTATCGAGGCGTCTATTTCCATAACTTTAGTGACGTTACTCCATACTCTGCACAGTACAATCTTGATGTGGGACCGAGTGACTTTAACACGCTTTTTGCTTTTGTGATCTTTCTCGTCTCGATAATTGTATTCAGCTTAAAGTCAAAAAAACAGTATATACTGGCACAATAAATAAGCCATCCCAGTTTAAAATGATATTATGACCTGAGAATCAAGATCAAGCCAATATCATTCCCCCTACAAGTACCACAACCTGTGGGTCCAAAGAGATGACAGCAACAGTAATGCAGCCTAAGGCCACAAAGCAACCCGTCTAAGACACAAACCTACCCACTTCAGTACGATAGAAACTTCTAGCTTACACGCTAGAAGCGCCGTTTCCTTTTGCTGCCTGCAAGCCTCACGGGCTGCGGTGTCCCCGGTCGGGTAACCACCTTCTTTGGGTTAATGGGCCTTGTGGCGTGACCTGGAACTCGGTTTCTTCCAAGGTACAGTATCTGATATGACCTTGGCTGTGGTATTGGAATTTGTGAACTTATTTTTGGATCATGTATTCTCGCTATTATTTTGTCTTGGGGCTTGTAGTGTTTTCGGGGATTGTATTATCGGGATTGTACGCCGTGCATTCGGGATTGTCATGTTTTCGGGAATGCAAGGTTGAGTATACGAGGCGGTCAGAATGCATGTATATACGTAGCTCGCTACCAATGGGCATGTCTTAATGTCAGATGTAGTGACGCACAACCCCACGCCACGATAATGTTATACACCCAACGGTTGCGGTCAATCTGATATGAGTCAGATTTCGGCGAGTCAGTTATGCAGATCAGGCCCTTGTGCATCATAAAGTCGGAGTTGGAGCTTTGGCCCCGGGTTCGACAATGATTAGAAAGCACTGTACTGTAGGTAAGCATGGGCCAGAGGAACGGACATAAGGGCGCGACGTGGACGTGCACCGGAGATTATCCGGCCATGTGGTGTCCCGAGAACTTTGATCTATTCTGAGATACCGGTAGAGTAGGGCATCGGTCAGGTACTCCGATAGCCCATGGTCCAAAAGATGTGCAAAAATCCGAAATCCCAAGGTTGCATAAGGCCAGAATATGCGAGAACATCGCATGTTTCAAGATTTTCAAGATTAAAACCACGGAACAGTTAGGGAACTGACCAATCACAGCGATGCCGTATACCCGTGTGGCAGCTTGGCATGGTTTCATAAGTCACGTGGACACATGGCATCGGAGGGTTTGATGCATGTTGTACGGCATATACTTGTATCTACAGTTGTGTTCACCAGTGCAAGCAATTAGCTATTATATTATTGACTACACTAAACAACTAAACTATGATATAATGATATATTGCAACAGAATACAAGTCCCTCAAATTGCACCGGAGATAACAGACCGCATTCGGCCCCCATCTCCACTCTGCATAAGTTCATAATTGCATCAAGATTCATAAGATAATTTTTTAGCTTAGAAAATCGCCACGGAGGGAATCCTGCAAAAGCGCCAGTCTATATAATAAACCGAGCCTGCAATCTGATACTCTATTCTTCCACATTGGTTCCCATCCCACCTACCTAATACCTAATTAGGACTATCCCACCAGACCCCCGCAAACGGTCTCAGGGTCTACAACAAAAACAGCTCTCACCTCCCCATTTTAGTCAATAAACACCACTCTCGAGCGTCGACTCGACATCCACCTGCCACCATGGCAGCCGACACAGAACCTCAGATCGAAAAGATCGAGTCTACCGCACCAACCAAGATCCCATACTGGCGTTTGGTCTTTGACCAAGGTGTCGTCACACAAGAGATCATCGACCACCCATACCCCGGCGCAGGAACAGACGACGACCCATTCGCCGTAACATGGATCCCCAATGATCCTCGCAATCCCATGAACTTCAGTGAGGTCAAGAAGTGGTCGTTTACTATGCTCGTAGCTATTGCTACACTGGCTGTTGCTTTGGTTTCGTCAGCCTATACTGGCGGTATTCAGGAGATCATGGCCGATTTCGGTATAGGGCAAGAGCTGGCTACTCTTGGTGTTTCGCTTTTCGTTTTGGGTTTTGCGGTATGTGAATGCTCCAGCTTGGTTTTCGTCTTGGACTTGGTTCTAACGCTTTCTTTATAGATTGGTCCTTTGCTTTGGGCTCCGCTTAGTGAGCTGTTTGGTCGCCAGATTCTTTTCGTTACTACCTATGCTGCTCTTACGGCTTTCAATGCTGGTGCTGCTGGTGCTCAGAATAGCTGGACTCTTATTATCCTGAGATTCTTTGCTGGTTCATTTGGTTCCTCACCTTTGACCAATGCCGGCGGTGTCATTGCCGACATGTTCCCCGCTAAGCAGCGTGGTGTTGCCATGTCCCTCTTCGCAGCTGCTCCTTCTTGGGCCCAGTTTTGGGCCCGATTATTGGAGGGTTCCTCGGTATGAACGCTGGATTCAGATGGGTCCTTGGTTTCTTGGCTGCATTCTCTGGAGCAGTCTGGATTATGGGTTCTCTGTTGATACCCGAGACCTATGCACCTGTTCTTTTGCGCCGCCGTGCTGAGAGACTCTCAAAGCTGTCTGGAAAGATCTATCGTAGCAAGATCGACATTGATCAGGGCAAGGTCTCCCTTAAGAACTCCTTCAAGATCTCGCTTTCTCGCCCCTGGATCTTGCTGTTCCGCGAACCCATCGTCTTCCTCCTGTCGTTGTACATGGCCATCGTCTACGGTACGCTATACATGATGTTCGCAGCCTTCCCTATCGTCTATCAAGAGTCGCGCGGCTGGAACCAAGGCGTCAGCGGTCTCGCCTTCCTTGGAATTATGGTCGGCATGTTAATCGCAGTGGTCTACACCCTCTGGGATAACAAGCGCTACATCAAAACCTCCGACAACCACAACGGATTCGCACCTCCCGAATCCCGCCTTCCCCCATGTCTAATCGCCTCCGTCGCCATCCCAGTTGGTCTCTTCTGGTTCGCCTGGACAAACTACACCTCAATCCACTTCATGGCCAGTATCGCCGCCGGCGTCCCCTTCGGCTTCGGCATGGTTCTCGTCTTCCTAGGAATCATGAACTACCTCATCGACGCCTACACTATCTTCGCCGCCTCCGTCCTAGCCGCGAACTCCGTCCTGCGCTCCCTCTTCGGTGCCGCTTTCCCCCTCTTCACCACCTACATGTACAAGAATCTCGGCATCCACTGGGCATCCTCCGTGCCAGCTTTCCTCGCTCTCGCCTGCGTGCCTTTCCCCTTCCTCTTCTACAAGTACGGCCCTGCAATCCGGACCCGCTGTAAGTTCGCCGCCCAGTCCGAGGCCTTCATGCGCAAGGTCCAGGAACAGGCCGATACTACTCCCGCTGAGGAGGAGAAGGTTGAATATGACCGCACTGAGGCACCTGCCCTTGATAGCTCTGTGTCCAGTGAGTCGGAGGATGGTGTTGGTCAGCTTCCTTCTGCGCAGCGCATACGCAGTCATGCTCACTCGGTTGCTTCAACTCGCACTGCTGGCTCGTTGCATCCCTCGGTTACTTATGAGGGTAATCCCTACGATATTGACCGAGTCAATACTCGTGAGTCTTTTAAGAACTAGGCGGTTGCTGTGCAGCCCCTGTTCTCATTTTGTTCGACTTGGTCATCAGTGCTTGACTTTGTCGCTATAATCTTAGTTCCTATTGCCCTTACCCCTACCCCAAAAATGCCTCCCTTGTTTTGCATCTGCATCTGCTTTTGTTTTGATACCCGATGTGGTCATCTTGTGATCTCACGCTGGGGATGGCCGCTTATGTGTTATGGTCTTGCATCTATATAGATCTGGCGTTGATTAATTTAAAAATAATACAATACGATACTCAATATTTAATATTCAACCCCCAACAGTTAACAAACTGCTAAAACCATAACAGAGACATAACATAAGCACATCGGAGTTCTCACCCGGCACTGCATTCACCCGACACTCGGCTTTCCCGCCACAAGATCAGATCTTGAACTTCTGTATTACAACCTCCTGCCACTCTTTCTATTCTTTTAGTTCCTATTTCCTATACATATCTCTTTTGCAAATAGATGTATAGACCAACCCCCAAAAATGACACCTCTCCCCAAATCCCTCGGTCCAAGATCCCTCCCTCTCCGACCGCGACCGATAACCCCCGGATTACACCCTTTGCGCCGAACACGCTGCCAGCGCTACAAGTCTGATTCTGCACAGTCGAAGAACACGAATACAAATAACAAGGCAGTCAATGAGGAACTGGGATCGAATACTACACATAAGACTACAACACACTCACACTCCCACACCCATGCCTCCCCACCGCAGCCAAATGCATTCGCCGCATCTGCAGGCGCAGCAACACCACCCTCCACACACTCCATAACACGCTCTCGTGGCTTCCGCGAAATGATCAAGGCTGGTCCGATTGGGAAGGTCGGGAGGTGGTATGCGCGCGTGCAAAATGAGAGGCCGTACACGACGCAGTTTTGGAGTTCGATTGTTATTTACCTGTGTGGTGATTTGAGTGCGCAGATGCTTTTCCCGGCTGAAGTATTACCTGAGAAAGGCGATGCGCAGGCGCAGCCACAGGCACAAGCTGAGGATGGAGATGGGGATGACGGGCCCAGGACTGTTGGGTATGACCCATATAGAACGATGCGGCATTTGGCTGTCGGGGCTGGGTCGAGTATTCCTTCTTATAACTGGTAAGGCCTCCCTCCTCCCAAGATGACGAACGTAGTATGAATTGAATTGAACTAAAATCAACAGGTTCATGTTCCTCGGCAACCATTTCAACTACCCCAGCAAAATCCTCTCAATCCTAACAAAAGTCATCGTGCAACAAATTTGCTTTACGCCCGTTTTCAACACCTACTTCTTCAGCGTGCACTCGCTCCTCGGCGGCGCGACGATGGAGGAGACATACGAGCGGCTGAAGAAGGCCTTGCCGGTTAGTATTACGAACAGCGTCAAGCTCTGGCCGGCTGTTACGGCGTTTAGCTTTATGTATGTGCCGGCGCAATTCCGGAATGTGTTTTCGGGTGTTATTGCCGTTGGGTGGCAGACTTATTTGAGTTGGTTGAATCAGAAGGCTGCTAAGGAGGTTTTGCTTGCCGAGATTGCTGAGGAGGAGAGGGTTAGGGAGGTTACTGGGTTGGGGCGTGGGTTGATTGCTGGGACTGTGTGATGTCGAATTTGAATGTTGGATGTTGAGAGAAGAGAGAGGGTTTTGTATAGATTTTAGATTTATAGATTTGTGCTTTGGTTAGCGTTGCATTTGATACCATGTTAGATCAATAGATTTTGTTTCTTATTGTCAGTCACGTTGAATAGAAGTTAACTTAATAGTTAATTTATCGGTAGTAATGTCAGCCACTCACAACTCCGGAATTCTTAATGCAATGACGCATTCTACTCTACTTCATCTTCAACATCACCTTCAACATGAACTCCAGACATGTACGGAACTGACCAAGATTCCAACTACGGTTCCGACTTCAACACAGACGAAGAGGAATTACTAGACGACCTCCTCAAAGCCGTCGCGGAACACGCGACCGTCCAGCCCGCCACTCCCATCCCGACTCCAATCCCGACCTCGAGCTCGCCCGCCCCGGAACAAACATCCACGAGATCGGAGATCCCCGATCCAGACCTCGCATCTCTCCATCCCACGGTAATTGCAGCCCTCCTTGTCGATATCGAGGATGGCGCTGGCTTTGCGGAACCGGGTACAGGTACACGGCTACCTAAGGTGCTGGGTCGGGAAGTGCCCCGTTCACCATGGCGGTCGGGCCAACAAGGTCAATCAGGTCGCGCGGGCGGGTTTGGCAGGATGGCAAGTAGGGCGAGTGCAAGTGCAAGTCCGCGCTCTGGCAACAGCAACAGGGCCAGCCCGTTTGGTATGCTTTTTGCCTCTCCCTTTCTGCCCACGTGGTGTGTGGCCTGAACTGAGCTGACAACATCTATCCGAAGCGATTAGTCGAGCACTCCAATTCAACGGAAGGCAGAACAATAGAGCGGGAGCGTAGCGCAGCACGCGAGCAGGAATGGATGCAGCAAGATCCCGAAGTTACGGTACTCGATACTCGATCGCCCATCGAACGGTTCCGCAGACCTCCCCATAAAGCGTTTTCAGTTACGGACCTTGTTTCGCCTGCTTGGTGTGAGCTGCAGTATTGGTATACTCTTACCAAGCATGGACGGAAGAAGCCCACTCCTGCTATGCTGAGGGGTAGTTCTGTGCATAAGACTCTCGAGGATGAGATTTATACGACTGTCCCAGTGGAGATTACGACGAAGGAGGATGCGTGGGGTCTTCGGATTTGGAATATTATCCAGGGTTTGCGCATGCTGCGTGAGTATGGAGTTACGCGTGAGATGGAGGTTTGGGGCGTTGTTGATGGGGAGATTGTTAATGGGGTTATTGATCAGTTGTCTTATGAGTGTCCGGATCCTGGGCTTGAGGGGACAGCTGCTAGGTATTATGCTGATCTTGCCACTTCGAGAGCTGCGTTGCCTGAATATCAGATGTCTTTATCGGACTTTTTGCTTTCTTCTGCGCAGGGCGGGAGGAGCCTTTCTGAATGGGGTCAGGGTGGTGGTGAGGATGTGGCTGTTCCGGAGGAGCTGGAGCTGGGATTGCCTGCGGAGGTTTATGGTCTCCCTCGGGTTTACATGACGGATGTCAAGACCAAGGCCAGTCGGTCTGTACCGACTGTTAAGAGTACCGGATTCCGACCTACTCTTCTCCAGTTGCAGCTCTATTATCACATGCTCAACCGTCTCATTACAAGCGACGATGTGACGATCGACGTCCTCGCTGCGCGGTATAACTTCGATCCGGAAAGTTCATTCACGAATGCATTCGTCTCGGAAGTCAGCGGACTGAACGATGAATTCTTCGATGCGCTTTCTTCCGAGGAAAGCGAAGCAAGTCCCCCACCAGACGCAAAGAACCCAGCATCAAGCCTTCCCGCCAGCCAAGACTCAACCAGCATCCTCATGACACACAACACCCTCTCCCGTCTATGGGCTTTCATGAAAGACCAACTTCGCCTCACGTTCCTCCCAGAAATAGCCTCTACATCCATCGCACCATCCATACCATCAACCTCCCAACCAGAAATCCTCGAGGAGTATCAAACCCTCCTCTCCCCCGTCCTCACAGCCCGGTACCTCTCTTCCGCCGCTGAGGATGAGTCTCAATCCCGCCACCTGGGAAGTCGATCATTCCTCTACGATCCTACGACAATGAGCTCCTACCTATCCGACCAGATGACCTGGTGGCGCGGTGAGCGCGATCCCCGCGGTGTGGAGGTTATGGATGCGTGGAAGTGTCGGATTTGTGAATTTCGGGATGAGTGTTCATGGCGCCAGGAGCAGGAGGTGGCTTATGCTAGAAGGGGAAGGAGGACTAGTGCCTCGGCGGATATATGATCTGATTCGGATTCGGATTCGGATTCTGAGGTTGCATTTTGGTATTTGATTTCTTTGCTGTTCTCTTGTCTGCATTTAGCGATTGCAAGGTTATGGAGTTGAATCTGAGTCAGTTACTTTGTCTGCTAATTCTTCCTATTATTGAGATGAGATGTACATATACCTAATTGTTCGATGATTCGACATGTATATATATCCTATCACACATCCCGTGAAAGATCTTTACTTTTTTTATACTTGGTTGTAGGCTCGCTCAAGTCGTTGACTAAAGTAATCAATCATCTTTCACAGGCAATTGTAAGAATATAATAGGAAAGAAATAGGTAGAAGTAATTGGGGAATAAAAATAAAAAAAAGCAAAAAAGAAATGAATGAGCGACGCAGGGATCGAACCTGCAATTTTTTGTGAACAGGACCGAAAACAAACGCCTTACCATTAGGCCAGCCGCCCAATTCAGTGGTGTTTTGGTACCATCTGTTAAAATTATAGGAGCACATTTTGTTCCTGATTAGCATCATCCAATACGACCAATGCGATACAGGATGGATTGAAAACAAATTCACCACTTACACGCAGAGATTCTTTCTCAACCCCTCTTTCAAAATGCGCCATGCCTATTACAGTTACGCTACTCCTAACCCCTGATGCGACTTTCTCGGTGCGTATTGTAGTGGAAGAGATAAAGGGCATTGGCTTGTCAGCTTATACTGTCGAGGAGCAAGACTGGATATTGTTTGTCTGGACATAACGAGGATGGAAACCCAGGTGCAGCTCGAAATGCCGTTTGTTGCCAGTCCGCTACATCGTAGGTTGATCATCTGAGCTCAGAAAAAGGAACAAAACGATCCCAATTTAGGCTCTACATGCCAATCGTTGGGGTAGCGTTTCGCACATTCTAGAACTTCCTGGTAAGTCATGCCATCGATGTTCTTCATATCCATATCTGCTCCTCGCTCACATAATCTTTTGATCGCAGTTGTCTCAAGATTCCGTGCTGCTTTGTGCAAAGGAGTCTCGCGAAGACGAGCGTCTTGGGCATTGATAGAAGCACCCCAATCCAGAAGTAGGTCAAGCTCGGTGATCATACCACCAGAAGCAGCCAAGTGTAGCGGGGTCATGTCCTCGGTCATAAGAACGTTTGGATCTGCGCCATTGGAGAGAAGAAGTTTTGTGGTCTCTGTAAGACGATTCCTGGTTGAAAGATGCATTGGGGCATATGCTTCTCCCACTCCTACAGCGGGTACATCAAGTAAAGGGCTAAACTCGAATAACACTCGGAGTACTTCGTTGTGACCCCAATTAGCGGTTTCGTGCACCCCCTGTCCAGCCCTAAATTGTTGGCAAGATCAGTAACGAAAGGATCCAAAAATGTCAAACGTAACATACACTACTCAGATTACTGCCATCTACATCTGCACCCGCTTCCAAAAGTACCCTAACCGATGCTAGGCCATTCATAAAGCAGGCTTCTTGGAGAACGGATCGTCTAGCGGTCGTTCTGGCGTTAGGATTTGCTCCGTACTCTAGTAGGAGCTTGACGACCGCGCTATATCTTTTTGTTACTGCCCAATATATTGGGAGACGACCACTGACCATCAATGGTCGTCGCTCACTGATTGTATTGCCCAATGAGCGTTTGCTAAGACTGTATTGGCGGATATTCACAGAAGCCCTATGCTTAATGAGAAGCTTCGTTATCTCAACATTGCCGATCTCGGCCGCCACAGAAATAGCAGTACGTCCATCGCGAAGATCTCGAGCATTAACATCGATGTGTTGTAGCAACAGCTCTAGTGAAAGGACCGATTGACGCCTGACTGCCGCTATAAGTTCTTCGACGTACTTGGGCTCAGTGGATTTCTTGTTCTCTTCCCTCGCTAGCGTTCTGCTTGATAACTCATCAGTAAGAGCCATTTGCGGAAGCTTCAGTCCAGCATCTTCTTGTCTGTCTCTCAGAGAGGCCGAATTTTTGATGGTTATAACAGATAATCTTAATATAAGAATACTAATATATCGGTTAGATATGGGGTCCCCTTGAGAATTCAAGTACATACAGCGTAAGGCTCCCCATTGCATCTAAAAAGAGTAGTATTGTCCGTTGAAGCTCTGAAATCAACTGAAAGACCTCCTTCCGCCGAATAGGCCACATCCAGTCACGAACCCAGCCGCGATCTTTATTGTGTTTCCCTGTGTCACGATTGCCGCTGCCTTCAACCTTGTCAATTTAGAGCTGCAGACTCAATTTGCTTTCCACTTGTCTACAGGAAAGTTCACATTTGACGATGGGGTATTGAAGATCTACGACCGCGCGAGATATTGGCTCCTCGCGATCAATCAATTCACGGATGTCTGCTGATTTCAGGGCCTCTGCCAGATGCTATACAAGCGTATGGAAATCGTTGATGTCTCGGCCAAGATTTTGGATCTCTCGGGGTGCATTTTTTATTGTAGAAACAAGCTGATAGACCCTTATGGAGGTTGTGGCAGCGGCTGTTGCAAGCTGTAGGATTGCAGCGGTTGCACCCACGGCTGTTAAAGGGTCTCCCATGATTTCCCTGTTTGCAACTACTCCGGTGTGTAGTTGAGCAGAGATGAACAACACGACTTCTGCCGAACGAGCGACAAACTGTACGGATGTGTGTGATGTATCGGTGGAGGGCGAAGTCGAAGGTGAGAGCGACCGAGCGAGCCAAGCTATAAGAGGTCGAAGTCGACGTAACGCCAGTGAGGCTGAAGACTGCGCCTCTCAGCTGAGTAGGTGGGACTCCCACTCCATTACAGAAGCGGTCGGTAAGATGAGCCATTCTCTTACCTTTTTAAGAATAGGACAATGTAATAGATATGATGAAACCTTTCGCAAACTGGTCTACCTTCACGTCTTCGTCTTAGATGCATTTCATACTAATTTTTCCTACTAAAAGCTATTCTCGTAAAGAATCCATTGGTGGTAATCTAATGGAGTTACTATAGCACTTTCTTGTGGTTATGCGCCTTTATATCGCGATATAAATATTCACCGCTATTAGTATTGGCATGTAATTAGTTTTATAGAAAGTAATGGCTTATGGATGGTTGTATATACTTTGTACCCTAGTTGGTGTCAATAGGAAGGATCTACGCCGATGTGCGTAATACGTAGTAGGAGGCTGTGAGATACCAGCATCCAGGGGTATCTTTTACGATTTGGGGGCGACAATGAGAAATAATTACACGAAGGAGATCGGATAACGGGATACAGTAGGTGGATATTGCATGGTTACCGGTCTCCCAGTACATGTTACTGATATCATTAACATTATTACAATAACAGTTGAGAAGATCTCATCATGGGATCTCTCATTACCTAGCCTAACGCGTTCACAGTGTTAAATGGGGATCATAACCACAGACTTGCTACCAAGCCATCTAAACGAGCTCGTTAAAAACAGACCTGTAGTTTCCAATTTCCCTTAACACACTCTTGCCCGCTGGAATGCAGTATCTTATGAACCCCTATACACTCAATCTGATAAAATCACCACAACAGCAGCCTGATCTACTATTAGCTCACAGCAACACAGACATAGCCGCATGTATGAAAGCCTTACCAGTGACAAGTCCGCACCGGGAGTTACAGTAATATCGAGAATAGGTTGATACCGGCGCCATCTTGAGTTCATAAAAGGCAAAATCTTTTGTGCTCTTTACTTTTGCGCACAACTGCCACCTTCCCATCCCCATCCACGACATCAAACAGCGCTAGGATAGTGTCATGTCTCACTTTCAACTTGACCTGTTTCTCTTCCTGGATAGAACAGATAGATATACCATCATAGAAAAGTCTAAGATATAATGGACAGAAGAAGAGGAAGGAATACGATGTAGTCTCTTCTCTGTGCCTCTCCCCTTGGTAAATCAACAAGGCACGACGACACGAACCTTATGTACTGTAACGCGTTGAGATTGCCGCGTGCACCAGAATGATTTTCTTTTATCTTGCAACCGTGAGATAAGTTAATGAGCAGGAATTACAGATTATATAAGTCTAACCCTACTCTTACGACTTGCCGGAAAATAAAATCGGAATGCGGTTATCCCATTTCAGGTCACCGCTCTGCAATTTTAGGCAGAACTGTGATGGTTACGGCAAGTCCCGTATAATTGCTTAGTAGTTCTGACAATCTGACAAGATCGCGCACTTGCATCCCCCTTTCCGCGTGTCCCGTGGGACTTTGCTGTTCAGAAGAAAAGTACACTTTGGTTCATAGGAAGTGAAGAGTCGGATTGGTATGGAATACGAGGATTTCAGACGACCGTTCCGCTTCATAGTCACGGGCCATTTTATTGCCATCCATTACAAAGGCAGCGACTTTGAGCTACACCGCGACCGCCACAGTCGCGGAACTTTATTCCATCTGTCTGATGACGACGAACAGATAATCTACAATCGCACCTATATCGGCAACCTCACTAGTCACTCGGACTATCCAGATGACGTGTTCTACATACAAAATAAACTACAGTACCTTTCCTCGCTGGGGAAATGGACAGACAGCATTGACAATGCACTCAAGGTGCAGATTGACCCGGAGCCAGACTGGGGCGAGACCCCTCCAACCATCTCACCGCTCACCAGCCCAGTCATCAGCGCCGACAACCCCATCTCCGCCGATGGAATCGATCTCTACCAGCCGGACCAACACTTCCTCATGTACCCCATCGGGGGCCTGTGGATGGGCAATGCTGAACACTCACCCGAGGACAAGCTTGTCTTCCGTGGAAATCCATACAGCGATGGATTGACCTTCGAGCTCTCCGTGCATGATGGGAAAACACGGATCGTCTCCGACGACGGCATGTTTCTGACTATTGTAATGCCTGCCGAGTATGCTGAGTATCTGGCTGAAGGATGTCGACAGCATACTGCGTCCACTCGGTGCCCGCGCTGCGAGCGGCACTACACTATTGGCTTTGTCTCTGAGCCGCGCGACTGCATCACTCTCGTCCCGCGCGGACTGCCCAGCATGTTTGTTTTTTATGATGGTGTTTTCTATTATAATTTTGATGCTATCAAGGGTAGCTATGCCGAGCTGCAGCGGGTGGAGCGCATTGAGGATGCCTCGCTCTTCCAGTTTGTCGGGTTTCTATCTTAATGTATAAGTTAGCGGGAAGCTCACATACTAAGGCACTCAACTAGTTGCATGCATGAAATTTGAATATAATAACGAAATCTACTATTTAGACCTGACCTCATCTCAGATCTACCTAGTTTTGTATAAAATACAGACATTACGGTCTCCGCAGTCCTATTGTAAAGTACGAAGTCTACTCTGAGGAAGCGGTCTGGGACCGGGGAATCCAGTCATGAGCATTCGAAAACTACTGTATCTAGTTCCCTTCAATACAATAACAGGTACATACGACCACAGGGTGTGGAGAACAGGGCTTCCCGTCCGCTCAGCCGTACTTAAGCCACACGCCGGTAAGTTAGTAGTTAGGTGGGTGACCACTAGCGAATCCTTACTGTTGTATGTTTTTGTTTCCTCTACGCACCCAATTTCAGGCGCCTTGGAGACTAAGGTAGCGAGAACTTCTGTCTTAGGATGAGTGTGGGTGGGCGATATAGGTGAGAATTCTACATGCAAAGTTGATAGACGTAGGAACGAAGTAAGGATTTCTCACCCGACCTCGTACTGCTCCAGTGAAAGGCCGAAGATATCGCAGTACTCATCTGCTATAATATATCTCACATCTCACATCATCCCACTCCTTCTTTTATGTCCAGTATAACAAGTCTCCCCGCAGCCTCGGGCACGCCGGCGCTACGTCGAATACTTGTTTCGCAGCCATAGGAGCCTAGCTCTAGTTTAGATTCCATGTTTTCTATGAGAAATAGGATACCTGGCTCCGTTATAAACGCTAGTCTATCAAATATAAGTACAAATCGTTTGTATGTGTAGTTAGGAACTATGCCGATGTTGCTAGATTACAAAGGGACGGGACGTTCCTACTTCGAACTACTCTTTACACTATTTAACTTAAAGCACCAACGAGGAGGTTGTTAGGGTTAGAAAATAACAAAAAAGGAAGCTAGGCTTAGGTCTAGGATTCGGAACTCGTCTCTTATCCTCGTGGAACCAATTTCTGCCACTACATATGTGGTAAAAATATAGGCTATACGCTCTAGAAGGCTGAGGTTGTCTGCGATGCCCGCGAGGAATGGAACATGAATGACATACTGATGATCACTCTCATTAGAGCCTATAAAGTTTGTAATAGTGAGTATCTTTCTCTCACTATCAATCAATCAATCAATCAAAATTCTATCCTGTTCGAGCCTAACTAGTATCGTAATGGCTATGCAGGCGCTTCTTTCCAGTTGAAGCAAGAACTCATGTCCCGTACGCCTGATCATGCTCCAGTACAAAGATCGTGGCCGGTTAAAAAAAAAAAAAAAAAAAAAAAAAAAAAGGCCCAGTACAAATAAGAAATTCAATGGAAGCAAGCAATGAATACAAAATGAATGCGTGGATGCACCGTTCACCTCTCGAAGTCCTCTCTCTTCTCACATCCCATGTAAACACCTCCATCAAGCTCCCAGCCAATTCCTGCTGTAGCAAGATCAGACCCCGTTCTCCGACATCCTCACTTCAGCCTCGACTGCTGATTGCTGATTATCGTTGTTCAGTGCCCAGTCAGGCACCGTGTATTCGAATGAGAGCTGGCTGAAGCTCTTTCCTTCCTCAGTCGTGGTGTGATACGGTGGTGAGTACCCAGCGTCTTTGGGACTCTACTCTATGGCTACGAGGCCCTCAGTTTCATAATCGAATTCTTCATGCCCCACGTGTTAAAAGCGAGCAAGAAGACCGGTTTGGTGCATGAATTTGGCAATGTAGCGAGTTGCCAGCGGGTGATCTTGCTATCGCTACCTAATCCCCATGTGAGTCATAGATCCTCGGATTCATGGTTTATAGTGGATTGTTGCCCGAGAATGTCCCTAACTTCTTAGGAATCCTTAGTCGTCTTCTCTAGAGGTGGCACGTCAGTATACTCAATTTTCCACTCCCTATCAGGCGTTATGTAGGATCTAACCATTCTCTATATACTATATGCCTATTGATCAACAGCAACTTGATTATCTAGTGCCTCGCTGTTAACTTAATAGCCTCGAACACCACTTCGTTCCCGAATTTAACAAGCTCTGCTATATCCTTATAGATATCTAGAACAGGATACTCTAATCCGACTTCTCGCACCTCGGTCGGGAACCTCCGACTAAATTTGATTGCGAGGAGGGTAGTTCTAAGTACGTTCCCTTTCTCTCGATACCGGCTACTGAGATAGCTATCCGAGGTTAAGAAGATATAGGAACCACTTAGTTTAAGGATCTAGGAGCCCCCTACTCGATAAAGCCTTAGTAACAAAAGGAGGTCGAGAGTTAGGATGCTTATTAGAAGCCACGTGTAGTCTCTTACGGTAGACGATCTCGCGGCGTTAATACTCGACGTATATAAAGGCGCTAGGCTAAGTGGTTATATAGATCTCTAGGAATAAGCTAGGATCCATGATTCTAAAATGATACGCGAAAAGCGTGTCATAATTCTTAGGCTGTATAGGGGCCTTAGTATAGACCTATAGTCTATACTAATAATTCGTTCCCGGCTCATTGAATTCGCGAGCCTTATAGTTTACCAAGGACGACGGGGTTACCATCGTGGTCCAAGTACTGGCGCTGATGCTATTCGGGACTTTCGTCGTCGCGCCGGGCAGACTGTGCTGTTCTGGCCACGATGACTCTGGAACGTTTCAGAGATTGTCAGAAACTGAGATTTTTGTCACTCCATATGGATCAGGCGACTAAGGGGAGGCTGGTGTATGCTGATTAACATTATAAGTACCCCATGTCAAATCCAGGGATCATACGGACATCGGTTCACGGGAGATCTCATTTGTGTCACACGGAGCACATTACATTGCCTATTCAGAATATTGTTCTGTGTGCTTTCAAATTGTGCCACGGATCTGAAGATACTATTACCTACAATATTGTATGGCTTGGAGCCCTTACTTCCAACTGTATGTATTCCGAGATCAACATTCAATGGTCTGAATAATTAATTCATCGTGCGAACTTCTACAATATAAATCAACTCCTGTGAACATTCAATAGCACTAGAGTAGCTTTGCCAAGGAGTGTGCATTACGTTACTGCGCGAGGCATGAGGCGATTCTCTTTTGTATGATTTGTATCCCATAGATAACAACACGCCATCGCGGGCATCGAAAGGGAGAGACAGGGTGATTTTATTCCATATCATATATAATCGAATCTAAAAAGTATGCAGCATATATGTAAGAAAGGCCCCTGGAGATGCTTAAAAGGATTGTGGTAGACAACGAGGTGGTTGGAGGCAGGCGATCATGACCCAATCTTCCATCTCATATATCAATGAGATATAGTGGCTGTGTTCATGTGCCAACCTTCGAAGAGTACTCATGTTTTCAAGGGGAAGCAAATATCCAATGGTATTACATTATAGCTCAGCTGAGAGGGCCAGTGCCGGCAGCCGCGCAACTCAGGTATTTCTCACCCTGATCTCAGCCTGATTCTCACCCCGGGTCGCGCGACGCTAAAGCGGCTCTCACCCTAAACTTACCCGAGTGACACCCACCCGACTACTGACCGCACATAAGCCACACACTATACAGAGTAGTGAGGTCTGATCAGAGGGCTTTGTAATTATTCTTACCATATAACCCGCTTTCATGTTCGATTTAGCACATACGACCATAGGGTGTGGAGAACAGGGCTTCCCGTCCGCTCAGCCGTACTTAAGCCACACGCCGGTAAGTTAGTAGTTAGGTGGGTGACCACTAGCGAATCCTTACTGTTGTATGTTTTTGATTATTTTTGCCTTTTGTTTATCTAACTACCCTCAAATTGAATACCTCAATAAAAATAGAAACCGTAGTTTTTATATCGACAAAAAGAAAGAGGTAAAGAGTTCTTTAGCTTCTAGTGTGTATAATCAAACACCGGCTACTTCCTTAGGCTTATACATATTGAAGGGAAAAGGATCTCTACAGTTATACACTCAAAAGGATCAGACTAGGGGCAAGAGGACAGAATTGTACGCCGCAAAAGGTACTATCTCACAATTTGTAATAAAGACAGTAATTTGTGGCGTGGTTAAATGCTGGTCAAACGCTTTGGAGTTGTGCTTGATAAAACGCGTGTTTTACACAAAACGAAGGGTACTGTTCCTATCGATGTTCCAAGTCGTAGAAGAGATTGTGGACGAAGGAAATGTTCCATGTACAAGACGTCGTGCAGAACTTGCCGAAGTCGCAAGACGACTTGCTATGCTTTGCGTGAACGGATTCGGCAATGAACCCAAGAGAATATTGTCGGCTGAGGAACATCGATCTATACTCGGTGTTTCTGAAATTGAGTATTCCAATTTGTCTAGCATTCTTCAATAAGAATAATCCATTAGGGCAGCGAATGTGCTACTCTTATCGTTTTCATCCCTGAGCTTTTGGGTTGTTTTATTCAGATATGTATCAGTTTTCTATGTGGCCTACGAGGCTACTGCTGTCTACCTTGGCTCTCTACTATAGAAACGTTGCTCTTAGGATGTTATGATTAGAGCCGAAGCCAGAAATTTGATTTACTAGATTACTCTTCACTGCGATTCTCTCCTCTATCAAATAACCCAATAGAACAAATATAACTCCGCAGATGTCATCCTACCCTATACTACCCGCAGTACGGAGTACTCACCACCAGAACAAGCCACAAACTGCACAACACCAACCCCAAAAAAGAACAAGCACCCTCATTGCCAAGCCACATATGTAAACCACAAACTAAAAGCCACTAAACACTCATGTAAACATAAACATAAACATAAAGCGTAAAGTTAAAATAACGACAGGCGACTAAGCACATCCCCAAAAAGCCACAAAACCCCACCCACCGACCGTTTCATTTCAACCCCTTCATTTACGGAGTAAACTCTGTTTAAATACGGGCACAGAGATCAACAATGCAATCGGAGATGACAGACGAGTTCGTATCAAGCCACACCTCCACTAAATCCACTGTCCCCACAGAGCCCACTAAACCCACTTCAGTCCACGGTTGTTTACTCCATCCTACTACAGTACGTGCAGTACACTAACCTACTCCACCATCTCCACAACCCGCCAGAGCGGGTGCAAGTAGCTTCTCCGTATCCTGCGTACTCCGTAAGCTGTATAATAGACCCACGCGAGACAAGCCATGGCGCCAGAATTCGAAGCCACTTCTTCCAATTAGACAGGGGTTAATCGCCCACGCGGGCCTGTACAGTACTGGAGGTTCCACATGAGCATGGATTGACATTGGATTGGCATGGTGTGCGTTTTCCACTACATGTAACTTAATTTTGATTTTTGGTGTTGGCGTAGGGGTAAGGGGGTAGGGAGGGGAGTACTCCGTACATGTGTACGTGGACATGTAGGTACGTACCTCGTGTCTCACAGGATCATCCGATTTATTGATTTACAAGCTTGCTCCATGGATGATGATGACAACAATGTCAAGGTTAGTATCACAATGACAATGATTGTGACATAAGTTAGTATGTGGTGTTAATATAATCAAATCACATTAATCGATGTTTACGTTTAAGTTAATTTTACATTTACATGTACACTAAACCGGGGGACAAGGATACCAACACCCGAAATCTTTACAGCTACTCTACTCCCAGCTTGGAAGAGTCAGGGTTAGGGTTGACATGGGAATACAGTGATTGGACTGGAGTATAACAGCCGTACCCCTACGCCTACGTAAACCACACAAAACCACCAACCAAAAAACAATGAACTTCCAAATCGAACAATGAAATCAAAATGATCCAAGTTTCAATCCTGATAATAAATACAAGTCACGATCCCCGTTCACATAACCCAAGCTATCTCATATCTTATCAAACTCTCCACACTCGGTGGTTCATGATTCATGCGAACCAGGGTCCGCGACCGGGTGACTACGCAATGATGGGATCATACATGTACATAGCCTTCTACAAGTTTCAATTTAGATATGACCTGTTCGAACATGATTAGTATAGATCCAGAACCGGATATTATCCTTGGGCGCTTATGATTATTGTCCCGATGACTGATGATATCTGGATTTCATCGTGTACTATACTACGCTTGGCGGGTAGTGACATACTGATAACTTACACTCTAGCAAGGGCATATTGTGGCTGATATTATGGATGGATTGAGTACAGTACCTAGTACGAGAAATTGAAACCGTGATTCAAGGGATGAACATACATACTGCAACTTTCTGTAGCTGTGTGTTTCAGACGATCCCGATCGCCACGGAGCACCAATGTAAAATTGAAGTATTATATTGCCAATAAATCCCAAGGTCCAGCTAATGTACAATTTTTTGAGGAATGTACTATAGTACAAGAAAACCAGCAACTGTACTGCGCTCGAAAGAAGAAACAAACAAATCAAAGGAGAAGACCATATACAACACCAAACAACACCATATATCCGTTTCCATAAACCATAAACATAAACCACACACACCACCAATGCAAACGCATGCAAAACTCGTAAAATCGTACACATAAGAATGTAAAGAATACACATCGTCATAATGACGAGCCCCGGATTTTACAGGGGCCCAAAGTGGGGCTGAGTGGGTCCACCCTATGACGTTCGGTATGCCGATCTGGTGGACCATGACGTAGAAGGCGCCCTCAATCTCTCCTCCTACGCTGCTTGCCTGGCCAGTCGATTTCGGGATGCACCACTCGCATGTCTGTAATTATAGTTAGTTTTAAGAATGTAATAGATCAACGGGGGTGTAACTTACGCCTTGTCAGAGCATCGTTTCGGCTGAATGTCTTGTCCTCGTTACAGATGTGACAGCGGACCTTTTGCTTGCCCGCTGTGTGGATCGTATGTTCGTGCCGGGTAAGATCGTAGGGTCGAGAGAAGACCGAATTGCATGCTTTGCCTGTAGATGGGTTGATGCGCTCACACCGGTGGGGGCCGGCTTGGGAATTGCGTAGAGTGGTGTCGCGGCTGATGAGGTGGCCGCCCGGTGTGGTTTGCCGGTGGGCTTCGCGCTTGTGGCGCTGTAGGCGAGAGGGAGAATCGAAGCGGAATGCGCAGCCGTGGTAGGTGCAGGTGTAGGTGCCAGCATCGGAGGTGGTGTTGTCCGGTCGGGGGATGCTCTCCATTGGCAGGTTGACCTGAGCTTGCGGCGAGGTCTCGCTAGATTCCACCGATACAGATGGGAAATCAGGAGTTTGCTGCAAGAGATTGGTCTGCGAAGGGCGGTGGCTTGGGGGCTGAGCGAATGCGAATTGAGGCTGCGACATGGCGGTTGTGTATTGAGGGAACGCTTCCATCGGTCGCATTGAGCCGCTGTCGCGTCGCAGACCAAGAGTATCACCCAGGTTGAAGTCACCCTGAGGTAGGCCTGGGGGGAACAGAGCTGGGAGAGCTGGGTCGTCGCCATCCTGGAAATCCAAAACTGCGTCCTTGGGGGACATGGTCTTGATATCTCCGGTAGTATTGGGCTGAGATCCGTCCATTCCCTGCATCACATTCTGTGTCATTGGAACACTGGTAGCCATATGAGGCTGCTGGAGGTTGCTACCCATATCACCCGCGAACGGAGAAGAAGGGCGGAAAGGCGAACGATCCCGTCTGTTGGCGGGAGATTGAGAGCGAGCAGACACGTGTCCCTGGTTGGCAGCCTGGAGGCGATCGGCCATGAAGTTGCGCGGGTTGAGCTGGTTCTGACCCATTGGCTTGGACATCTGGGGAGCAGCCATGATGGAAGGGTTGTAGAGCTCGTCCTGGTAGATATCGGAGATGGTCCTGTCCAGCTTAGGCACTCCCATTGGCATACCGTTAGAAGTGTATTCTGCGTCGACTTGTAAGTACTGGTCCATCCACTGGTCAATCATTTGGTTCTCACCATTCATCTTGGCAGCATCGTCAATCTCGTCCAGGCTGGTCTGTGGGGTCACTGGGGAGTTGTGGCTCATGGTTGACACCGATGGAGCCATAGAGTAGTCGCTCTGCAGCTGCTGGGGAGGTGACTGCTTCTGCTGGTCCATGATGGCCTTTCTCATCGCAGTCTCGGCATCGGCGTTGTGACCATCTTGAGAGGCAGGATCAAAGTTCTGGAAGGGTGTCGCGAGGAAGGAGTTCTGGAGCGGGGTCTGCACTGGCGTGGGCAACGGCTTGTTCGAGCTGTTGGAACGACGGTGGAAGTTGTTGGCAGGTGATGGAGGCGAAGTGCGCTTCTGCACACCGGCGTAAGGAATGCGCGCAGGACTCAGCAACTGCAGGTTGTTATCCCACCCTTGGTTGGTGGCGAGAGGCTGTTGCGCCAACATGGGGGTGTAGTATTGTTGAGGGTATTGAGGAAGATAGTGTGGTGAATTGGAACCCTGGATGTCAAACGACGGGTTGTAAGAAGAAGCTGGGGTCATCGAAGGAGCCCCAAACGACTGCGAGTCCGACGTTTGTGGGTAAGGAATAGAGAAGGTCGGAGAGGAGAAGGAAGGCGAGGAAGGTGCGGATGATGGCGGAGAAAGCTGTACACTGGGGTGGCACTCGAACGGCGATTGCAGGCGTTGACAGTTCGACTCCGAATAGAACTCAGGTGGGTACTGGTCGTCTTGTATGATGATGTCCTCTGGGTTGTATGGATCGGTGATGAGACCCTTACGTGGGTACATAAGCATTATGGTGGGAGACGTCAGAGGATTCGCCACCGGGTAAGGCGAGCTTTATATGTGAAATCCGAGGGCACAAGATCCGAATAAGATTTCCTGATCAATTGCCGTGTCGGTTTGTAAGAGACTTTGGGTCGAAGCTTGGGGTAGCGAAGAGTCTGGAAACGTCGGGAGGCTGATCGATGGATGAGTGGTAGATTTGGTTGGTACTGGGTGAGAGTGAGTTTGGTTCTGGGTAATGACTCGACCGGAGGAAAGTAAGAAGATATATGATATCAAGAGTTGGAAGTATGAGTAATGACAGAGAGGGAGGGACAAGACTTATAAGTAGGCCATGACCTCACAGTAAGTAACGGAGTCTCCGAAATACCGTATAGGATCTACGCTAGGCCAGATCGAGAGTAGTCCGGTAATATTACATACCATACCGAGTCCCACTGATCTGGGGATCTTCTGTGGCTTACATTAAGAAAGCCACGTACTCCACCATTTACTTATGGCTGCCCAGTGGGCATTAATATTTAATATTAGTGTTTTGTTATTGGACTGTCCAAGATAGTAAGGGGTGATGTTTGTTGATCGATGGTGAAAATTACCAAATATTCAACCCAAGGGCCAAGGTCGCTTAGAAGAATTTTCCTTGTGTAGAACTAGCTCGACTATACTCGGGTGACCGCGCCAAAATTAGGACTAGGAAGAATGGGGGTGGAGTCGGCCGAGGGATTCCTTAGGGCTGAGCCACACCTACTTTTCGGGACTTGACATTCGGCCCAACTGTGAGTCAAACAGAACCTGCTAGAACTGATTGGTAGTCAATTTGTAACTTACATGTAGTGGGTTTGTCGGAGAGCTGTGCTCCCCCTGTACTCCGTACACTCCATATTGTCCCTCTGACATTAGCCACATCTTGATGTGGCTAGTGCCTAATGGCTCGGAACCGCCGCCCCAACGGTATAGCGTTCCCACATGGGGAAGCTAGGACTGGCATATACACCTTTCTCCCAACTGTGATGCCTGTATATCGGATTTGGAGACTCGGTTGAGTGTGGCTGTGAAGCAAGTCATTGTCTTGACATGTCTCCAATCGGCGGGTTCCGCTGAGACTTATCGGCCGTCGAGTCAGCTGACCATGGCATGATAGAAGCCAGACAATGCAGTCCATGGATCGTTGACCAGCTGACTCGATCTTGAGTCACCCCACAATTTTTGTGTTCAAGTTGCAACCTGTTGTCTTAGTTGTGTAGTTCGATGGTAAGCGCTTGTCTCTAGCTCGCGATAGGCTCGGCGGGAAGTACCCATTTTGGGATTGAAATGGTCACATGGTGACTCGACTCATATATGACTAACTACTAACTACTGCAGTAATAAACAACCGTGAATAAATGTATTTGAAAAAAGGCAATAAAAAATAATTAAAACTGTGACTGGGATAAAATTCTCCCTGTAGATCTGATCACCTAGTTCACTCTGCCACGCGGAACTGACAGCCGTAAAAAGTGTAAAACTGCAGACTAAAAAAATTCTACTAGCGCTATCATGCTCCGACCGTGCACATGGCTTTGACCCTAAATGAATATCAGATCGGATCGATAGGCTCCGAGCCGAGCACGCGAAGTGGCAAATCCCGATTCTTTCACCTTGAGCATTCCCTAGCCAGAAACAACAAGACACTACTGCAGTCCAGTAAGCTACCCCAACTGCGCATGTGACTACAATTGAAAATGTTAAGGAAATCGGCAAGTTCTCGGACAATCCGCCTAACCCTGGTCTGGACAGGCCGAGACGGGTCCGGGGATGTGCCGTGTCTACCTACCGAACAGTCTGGGCCGTCTCCGGATTCTGCACGCTGCACTATAACTTAGATCCGAGATCTTGGCGTCGAGTATACCTGCTAAACACAGAGGCATCTGAAAAAGGGTAAAGAAACGGGGCTACTCGGGCTACTTGGGCTACTCGGTACAAAAATCTGGGGGTGGCAAGTTGAGCGCCAGCGCCAGCTGATCCAAGTGTCCGGTCCACATAGATTAGATCCAGTACAGTATAAAATGTAAGTTCGGAGAAATGAGGTGCACCTGCGTATAGCTGGTGTAAGACACCTTCCCAAATTGAACAAAAGATAGCGACCTTCTACATCAAGACAATAATCAACACGAACACATACCCGAGGCCGTTACCAAAACAGAGCCCCTGCATGAAAATTTTTTCTTATCGGCAAGCAATTCCGACCAAAAAAGTGTCAGCACTCTAATCAACTGGGCAGGGTTCACGGGCAGCATGAACAAGCCCTACGAGCCAACTAGCGCGACTAAAATCTCAAATTTAGAAACTGTCTAATGCAGGAAGAATTTTCAATGCTTTTCATTGGTGCGTGTGTTGCAGGTGCACAGCCACGTAGTCGGTATTTCCGTTACGACGTTCTCCGTTGCCGGTTTAGCCTGTTACCGTATGCTATGGCTGCAGTCGTGCATCTGCATGTATTGGTAATTTCCAGTCCTTTCCAGAAGGAGGTGTATTGGGTGGCTTAGTTCTTTTCCCTTTTGGGTTTGGTGCGGTTGTTTTCGGGCTTCTGGAAGCTTGCTATTTTCGTGCCGGAATGTCGGTCTCCGGGTATCGCCGTGGACTGGCTTTTTAACTTTCTTTTTTTTTTCTTTCGGGATTTTTTGTTTGGCTGCATGTATGAAGAGTTTTCTGTTGTTGCGATTGATGGATATTGATTGCAGGTGTGGCTTGTTTCTTTGTGATTCTGATTATGTTATTATTACTTAGCATGACTCAGTACCTGTCACGTGGCTGATTTGTGATACACTGGCCGCGTACATACTGTATTCGTCATCTAGGGTCAAAGACTTGGATAATTTTAGTAAAAATGTTTGAAAACCACTCCTTGGCGGGTCACGGCTATGTGGCCTATTACGATAATAGGATGTAAGGGATGCCAGATGTTTTATTTGGTTGCCTACTTGAAATATTCTAGAAGCTAGACACGCTATGTGAGGAATGCTACTGTTTCAGATGGAATGTTTAGAGGGGTTGGTATTTTACATCGAAAATTAGGAGTTCACCTTACATGTGATCATAGGGCCAAATATAATTCCTCCTTGTATTGTATCGGTTATCGAATATTGAGGCTGTAGATGGACCTTGACCAAGTCACCGGGACAGCCACTAGTGCGGCTGAAACCCCATGTGGAACTTGCCTTCAACTTTATTTTGATGCCTTGGAGTGTAAATATCATCTTCATACCACTTAATTAGATTGAATTCTCGACATGTACTGTCGAGGGTAACCGCTGTTACGCTCAGAGCTACCGAGACTGTAAATATCTAGTCTTTAATACCTGGTCTGCTATCGGTCTGTTGAAACACTAGGTGGTTTCGGTTTTACTTATGCTGCAAACAAACCCCGTTTCACCTCAAACAATACGTATTTTGTTTTATCAGTTGCCTTGTATCCTTCATGGCATCAAACTGTTCTTATAGGCCAATTAACTTATCTACAGTTAGACATGTTTAAATCTCACACAATCTGTAGATTCTATTGTTATTGCTTCCTAAACTAACCGAATGCCCATTTAATGAGAGTCACATCGAGGTAGAGTAACATTTCAAGAAAGTAATGATCAGAGATCAAATAATTGAGTGCTGACTACGGAGCATAGCAACGGGGTGAGGTAGTAATATACCAGTCAACCAATTGCTTGAGCCTAAAGGACTCCAGACCAGTCTCCCTCCTTGATATATTCCTCGATAGTACAGACTGGGACAGGCACGCCAAGCTATATTGAATGTAAGAAAGGGGTTCACGATATAGATGTAGCGAAAAGACCTAAGTCTTTGGGGTAGACAGCGCTTGGATCACGACCATCATAGCCAAGTCTCGGATGTAATCGAACATATCGGCCAGTTCCTCGCCTATGTCTCCAGGGACCGCATTTTCAAGGACAGTGTGGTCCAGACGCTGGAAGCGACACGTCACGCCATGAGTCTTACCCCACAAGGCAGCGAACCCATTCCAGCTCAATATGCTGGCATAGCCAAGGAGATTTTTGCCCGGCTCAACCTGCAATAGAGCGTTGACGAAGTTGCCTAGAGCAATATCAGCCAGTGGAACTTAAAAATGTATGTAGAGGGACTGATCAATGTCGTGGCGTGCCTCGACCATGGGAACCGGGGCATCGCCCTCTGCAGGAATGCTCAGCACGAAGGTACCGTCGGATTGCTTCCATAATGTCAGATTTTGCGCCCATTTAGGCAGAAGGTACTGCGTTAGCAATATCTCTGGAGATTCAGACTCACCTTGATTGGCCCTCCCATTGGGATAATTTTCCATTTAGTCATATAGAGTGCCAGTTGCAGAATAATGTCTTTTTTGCCAGTGCCGGATAGGTGGCCTTCAAGTAATCGACGGCTTCCCACTTCCCGTCGAAGTGAAGATTGTGGGTATATTTTCCCTTGCTCCATTTCTTCGTGGACGAGAGCGTCGAGAGCACGAACCGATCCAAGGTGTCCACGGTGCATTTGCGGCGCCTACAATATTGCGACCATGCTTGCACCTCAACCTCGTAAGCGGCCACGTTAGCTGGGCCTGAGCGCGCTCCTGGACTTTGGAATCGGCCACGATGCCCCAGAAGTCAGTAACGCCGTAGATGACTGTTGATCCTGCGAAGGCCGGTTTCAGGGAGGCGACATCATTCAAGTCGGCTATAACGAGTTCGACGCCTTTGTCTCCCCAAGCTCGGCTTGCGGGCCTGCTTGGGTTGCGCGTAAGGCCACGGACATGCCAGTCCCCCTTGCCAACAAACAATCCGGCAACGGAGGCACCCTCTTTGTCTAGTTAGCAAATATGCTTTTGAAGCCTGAGACCTATAAGAGTAAGGTCAGGTTTGATTTACCTGGTTTCCCGCAACTCCCACGATAGCAATAATCTTCTTGGCCATATTGATAGCACGTTGGATGTCCTTCTGTATCAAATTTTGGCTGTTACAGTATAATGACTGACTTGAAGCTACCTGAATCCATGTAGGGAGGGAAAAAGACATTAAATAGTCAAATTCGCCATCTTCAATAGTGATTAACCGATTCTGCCTTCCCAAGGTCACATAGCCGAATCTGTTAGTCCTCTCTACAAGTTAGTAAATCCGAGGAATCGATTATACGAAGCGTGGGAGAATACAAAACGGAATAGAAGTGTATCCGTAATCGGAGAGTTGAGTAATCTTCTATTCCTTAGTAGGTCTTAGAGTAGTTCTAATGGAGATTATTCGGGAAAAGCATTAAAGCGCACTCTCCTAACCTGCCGATACTACTTAAAGAGTATGCAGAGCAACTAATATTAAGCTCTTCGGATCCGCCACAGCCTCTGAAGTAAACCTCACAGTTCCACGCCAACGTCACCAATATCTTGTTAAAGGTGGAAATTGGTATGTGCTATAACGTCGTAAAATGCTGATGCACCTATACAAAAAATATGACATCCGAGACTACACTGTGGGGTGTAATCCTGCCGAGGGCAACCACTAATTCCAGCTGATGTGCAAACCTTATCAGCGGGTTTGGAGAGGGTCCAGTCACGCAGTGTAACAGGTTAGAGAAGCTATGCACTAAAAGATAGTTTCATGCATTTGCTCTCACGACAAGAGTCCATGAATAGATGTTTACTACCTTACCCGAATCCGAGAGTCCTAGGGCTGGCCCGTAAACATCACGGCAGGTGATAGATACCTCGCGCTGCCCTCCTCCCCACACTTTAGGTCTACCCTTAACATAAATTTGCGCCACAGTGCCCTCCCATATCTACACAGAGGGTTGAAGAATCGACCCCAGTTCCTACAGGGGGCTCTTCCACTTGACCTCTATCTCCTTGTGTGTAACTCCTCTCCTAATATTCCATGCGCTATCAAGTTGATTGACATTTTCCAGGAACGATAGAATATTCATTATCCAGGCTCGTCTACCGAAATAGCTGACCAGTGGTGCAAACGCCTCGTTCACCAGTGGCTGAATCTTGGGACGATGGGCAGAGACGTTAGTTTCTACCATCTCTATCGCTCCTCATTCCATTATAGATCCTCTAATCCCAAAACTTAGCCCTACTATAGCCGTACTAGAGAGGAGTAACAGACGTACGCGCCCGCCCAGCCCACACAGCAACAAACTGATGCTATTCTCCGCCCACTGCGCCCAGACTCCCTCCACCCCTACGCCGCCGGCTACGAAGCATGGACAGGTGCTGAGGGTATGTCGATCCGCACAAACTACGACGCGGAAAACGAAGAAGCCCATAAAATGATCTGGAACAAATACTTGGATATTCCTCAAGTTCAAACCCGACTCGCTAGTCCTCGAGGAAGAATGGTTATTTGCGAACATAGATATCGCTCGTGTTCTTAAGCGATTCCTAGCGTGATGGATTATTCAGCGCTAGTCACTCGTTATAAGGGGATAGTAGTGACTTATTTTAAGTTACTACGGGGATGCATAGTAAATAGAAGAACCACGGATCTATAACCGCGGATTCTCGAGGCGTTAGCATTGCCATGAAACTGATGAATTCTTTACCGATTAATGCATTAGAAATACGATTACTACATAAGACCTAGTCGGGTTAAGTGAGCGTAGGTAGGGTCCAAACGCCTAGAATGGGGGTCATTTTAGGATTGCCTATAATTTATATGATTAACCCGAGGCACTGGAAAATGGGCGAAAAAAGAGGCGAAAAAAGAGGTGAAAAAAATAATAGAACGGTATATTCTTGTGGAGGCTGCCTAGTATTTTATCAACAGCACTGTAGGCAACATTTATACTCTATTTCCTACCTATTCATTGAGGCGTATTAGATGCAAATGTTTTCAATTTGATAGTGGTAATAGGCTGCCGTATCCACTACCGTCTTAGCATTTTCTCATCTTATAGATTGTCTCTATACAATGTTCCTTATACTAACCAAGCTTGTTAGACACCTCTAAGCCCCGCCCTCCCTCTAGGTTTTGTGTGATGCTGACCCTCATAAGGCGGCGTCTATAACTACCACCACGGCTATTACCACCACTAACACCACCCTCTACACCACTAACATTATAACCACCACCACCAGCCCCGACTCCACTAAGGCCGTCACTCCCACTAAGGCCGCCACCCCTCTACCATCCGAGGCCGACATCCCCGTCCTATTCGTTAGTCTACCCGCTAGCTAGAGACTTCCGGCAAAGCCCGAGCTAACAGTCTTATGGGCCTAGTAGGGGCGCTAAAGAAGCTAGCTAAGAAGTGGGAGAAGGACACGAAGGACAGGGAGTGAATTTTCCTCTTCCTTTCCTTTTTATTTGTGTTACTACTATTTGTTTACGCAACCCACCTTCCACGAACCGGCTAAGATGTAAAGAGAAGGGTTCTAGTGCTTATAGGATAGAGCCTGTAAACTAGGTAAGACTGAGAATGCCTCGGAAAAGTGGTATATTGAGAGAATATAGAGACTGATTCTTAGAGAACCCCTAGGTTCTCCGGAGCAGACTATTTGACATAAGGGATTAGCGTTACTGTGAGTTAACGCTAACGTGTCGATACCTACATAGTATCGATCCTCTATAAGTGCGAGAGATCTGTGCACGGCTTCTGAGGATCCCGTTACATAAGACCCGGCCGGGATTAAAGTGTTAGGTCCCTGCGAGGTCCTAGGGTAGCGGTATAAGTTCGGGAAGTAGAGTCTATCGGCGAATGTCCGTGCAGGTGTATTAAGAGACTAATTGCTGGTCCCCCATGCGAGGACCAGCGAGCACAATAAATACATGGTGCGCTTAGCTAATGTATTTAGCGACATGCACGGCTATCCTGGTCCATGCGTGCGATCGGCTACCTTCGCAATGCGAGGGCCAAAGCTCGCTATATATCTTCAGGCATCCATAAGGCACCTGGTAGGTCGGGGTCCTGACATAAAGGTAGCAGCCGTCTTATCTTCTTACTATGTAGGCCTTCCCCCTAAACTCTTATATTTTAGAGTCCTTTTTACTTATGTTATATATGTCATTTAGGTCATTTAGGTTATTTAGGTTCTTCGTATCATTTTATCTTAGCTCTATACCTAGTCCCTACTAGGTATGTTGGTGTTTTTTGTTTCTTTATTATTATTACCGAAATTCATTCCTAAGTTTCATTGCTATTTTCTAAGTTTAGATTCTCTACTAGTAAACTGGTGAAGACATTACCGGCGGTTCCACTTATAAGTATGTATGAAAAGGCAAATTGATGATTGCCATGCTTGTTTACTATGTTTGCTTTAGTTTAGTCAGGCTGTTATGGGCATATGCGAGGAGGAATCGTCCTTGAGCTCTGAGTATTTGTGTAGTACGTACTGGATGTATCATGCTGCTTGTGTGGTGACTCATGCGTTTATTAAGGACGCGGAGGCTTAGGATGGCGGAGGGTTTTATACGTGTTTTTGGACGACTGCGGGGATGTGGTTAGGCAGATGAGGGTGGATCTGAATGAGGTTGATAACTTTGATGGGACTTGGTCAAAAGGGAGTTAGAAGGATGGCTGGGTTTATCCTGGAGAGCTTAGGACGGCCTATCTTCCTAGGGGTGTGAGAGGACCTCCATATAGGTGAAGTTTGCAGAATTTACTATGCCTAGCTACTATACTATTATAGCTTCTTCACCGAATCTGCAGGAATTAAATAGCCCGGAATCACTGGAAACTCATCTCCAGGTAGAGGGTTCCTCCCAAAGCCTCTGTCGACCCTGCCGTTCCCGCAAGACCCTGGAAACAAAAGCCTTTAGGCCAGCCGCTCCTCAAACAGAATTAGCAATGGCTTATCGTAGGGAAAACACTGGGCTGAGAGATCTTGCAGAGAGCAGACACAGACGGAGAGCAGGCGCAGTGTCACAGGATAAGAATAAACAAGGCCAAGAGTTTCTGTTCAGAAACCGTGAAGTGTACTAACTCAGTCACAAGTGTTAAACCATAAAGGGATGGCCCCACTTATCTGCTGATTACGCATGTATTATAAAATTACAAACCGTGAAGCTGAACTTGTAAAACCGGACTTCCTTCCTGCAGCCATTATACTTTCAACTCGTGGTTCTCGCTTCTCTTAGTAGAAATGGCCACCCTCAGGTCAGATGCCACTTACATCCGCGACAAATTGACCAGAGACGTTGACCAGACATGGGGCTTTTTTATCTACCGTACCTGCTACTACAACGACGATGCACGGTGGGAGAACTTTCTCGAACGAATGTATGGGTATGCACAAAGGACCCTACTCAATCCCCCTACATACACCAGTAATAGGGACGGACAAGCGATCTACGACCAACTAGAATGGAATATTCAATCTGACCCTCGCTAGAGGGCTGTTCAAAGGAGGGATCTGGCGTTATGAGTTTTAATGCCTTACAATGAAAATGTCTAATGACCAAAAACTAACTTTCTTTACTAGACGCCACCGCGAGCTTATGAGGTCTATGAGGTCTCTTTACGAAGATTATGACGCTACCCTAGTTCAACATGGATTCCCAATCATCGTGGACAAAGAGGCCTTGGACTCTGTCCTAGAAGAAAAAGCACCAGCTGAATGAAGGGGTTCTGACACCCGGCAATCAACGGCTCACATGAGCGCGATTGATATGCAATGGTTTGACCTATGGGACACTCCTCATGAGGATGAGGATTTAGGAGCTGAAGTCGGTCGGACGAAGGTTTTGGCACCCAAGGTTTATCCTAGATTATATTCGATTCTTCGGAGTGGGCGGTGGCCGCAAGTTGTTTATTGTGAGCCTCCCACGATTTCTCGTTTGCCCTAAATTCGCAACATTCTCGGGTTATATCGGTCATTCGCATAGCACTAGAATCGATTCAACTACTCATTTCCTTTAAAATGGAGAAGCGTGCACTCAATATTGAGCCTCGTGAGACTTTTTCGGTGTGTTTAATTTCTAGCATCGTGCTGAAAGCCAAGGCGCTCTTCTCAAGAATTGGATGGGCAATTTCGCAGGGAGCATTCGCCACTTAAAGATCATTACTACGCTATGTAGAAATCTTAAAAAAAGTTTAAAGATTTCGGAATAATATCGAATTAAGAGACACTGGGTCCGCTTCTTCTATTCCATGCATTTACAAAGTTGAAGATTATCGCCGCTATGCGATCAAATGGCGACGCAATTTTCGTAGTCTGGCCACAGCCCTGAGCAGTCACTGCCAACGGCTGAATTCCAGGGTAGGGACTTACCAGTAGTTATACCATAGGCAGTTGCGATAGCCCAGCATGAGTAATCCTTTTTAGCAGTATAGAAAGTCGTGCATGACGTGGTGATACCCGTTTGCACAGGTCCTGCAATGCAGTACTGCTGTCCGAAATCAAGATACTGGCAGTTGGAACCGATGGACGGATTCCACAACAAGAATTTGGCAAAAGTGATGCCATATTTGGATTCTGTTGCAGCACATGAGTCACCCTTACTATAGTGTAGTATTCACTACAACATACACTAGACGTGGTTTCAGTCGGTGCTGCCGTCAGTATGGTAGTCGTGGAAGTGGACTTGACGGCGACACAGATGGCGTAGCCGGGTGAGAGATATTGGCAATCGTCACCGATGGCGGGGTTCAAAGCATAAAGCTGGGCAAAAGTGACACCGTATGTAACTTTCAATCGCAACACACCCGCCGCCGGACTTGATTGTGCATAGTCCTGCGCAAGAAGAAGCCATGCCTGTCTGCGTTGTTGCTGTAGATGAGGTTGAAGCTGTCGTAGTTATAGAAAGAGAAAGAGAGGAAAGATGAAGGATTAGTGAGGAGGGTGTAAAAAGGATAACTCGATCAAAAGTTCAGGGGCTACAAGTCTGATGCTTTCAAATATGAATGGATTTTATTTGTGTAAGTCTTGTCATCTCTATAAGAGGGAACCAAAAGGGCAGAGGGATCGTTAGACTACTTGTTTATAGCTCTCTACGATGATGCTAGAAAGGGCAAGAATTGAGAGACACCTTGGTGTTTTTTTTTTCGTTTCAGCTACTTACTTGCCAGCACCTGTTACACGAACATCATTATCTAGGTGCGTTTGCAGGATTTCAGTTTGGTTACTACCATGCTTATGGTATGGATTCGATTGACCTGATGTGACGGGTTTGGCTCGGATACCTACCCTAGAAGTGGGGCAGTGGATCTGTGTCATCTTATATACCATGCAGGCCTTCAGGAAACAGCCCTCGCTTGCACAAGTGAAGTGCTAGTTCCGCGAGAAGTATTACATTGGGTTCTCTGGCGTACTTCGGCTACAAACGCTGCCCACACTTTGACTAAAATAATACAAACTGTACCTACGTAATCGAAAAAATTCTGACAATCTAGCAAATGCTTCCTAAACAAAGAAGAGCAGGTTAATTTCATAATTCATACTCGTCCCATAAGAACCCGGTCAGCAAATGATCTCAAGCAAAGTTAGAGCAGGAAATTTTCATGAGTCTTTGTCAGTGGAACCCCGTTCAAAAGTTTGCTGCCACCGGGATTTTATGTTTCTAAGTCTTCGGGACTTCAATGGGTGAAAAAGCCAAATTCCTAATGTTTCGAAATAGTCCGATCCAGGTAGTTCAATCCTTCTTTTGAAGTCGTTTCTGACCTCCTGTTTTTCTTTCTCTGGAAGCTCAAAGCCTCGAAAGCCGATACAACACCAACACTCTACAGTGCAATGGCCTCTACCTTTCTTTCTTTTAGATAGATGCCTCTGTGCGCAGCATCCACATTCCCGGCTGCAACATCCACCTTGATCCGAACAATCCTGAACCATTTCTTCACGCATAAACCATTTAGCATCACGTCTTAGACTATCGTAGCCTTGTTTGAGTAACGGACAAAGCATAGTCTCCGCTCGGTAAAGGGCGTGCTCCTTTCTAGGAAAACGCGTTTGAGCCTTTTCAAGCTGTTGCTTTGCATTTTCTAGCTGGGTTCTATCGGACTCGATAGCTGTGGCCTTTTGTAAGGCTTTAACCCTATGGAGTAACGTTTCCTCACACTGCGATAATTCACGTAGAGCGAGCTCGGCACGAATTAAATCAGTGATGTCGGATCGCCTAAAGCGTTATGATGCGTATACCAGATATTCAGGATGACGCCAATCGGTTTCAAGCGTTGAATGCTTGTTGAAGTGTTTCATGATCCTATGGTGGATAGAGCTTAGTATGAGAATAAGGTAAAGGATAACATTTAGTAAGTACCTTGTGGTGGGGGAAACGAGATATAAAATAAGTAAAAATATTGAAAGGTTGAAGCAGGAAGAATGTGACATGACCGAGAAAAATTTTCAAGGATGACGGATCAACCGCGAGTCATATGCGAATCATGACGAAGGTCACTTGTCATGCTGAACACTAAAGATGACGGGAATCGCGTACAATTTACCTCTTCACTTTTTCGAATTCCCCTTCACCACCCTCCGGATGTTGTCGATCCTCGCCTACAGCAAGCCATCGGTCATGACAGACCAGTAGGTTCATTTATTTTAGTTCGGGTCGGCAGGGGTCGGACTGGATAGATCGCCGTTCGGTTCTTTCAGCCGCAGTGGTCCGTGAAATAAAAAGATACAAACAACCCAAACAACCCAAACACCTGACAGAGACTAAATATAAGAGTGTAGGGGGGAAGGCCTACACGGTAAGAAGATGAGACAGGTGCTAGGTCTTGCCGGTTCGCGGAAGGTGGGTTGCGTAAACAAACAGCAGCAACACAAACGAAAAGAGGAAAAAATCACTCCCTCTCCTTCTTCCCCTTCCCCCACTTCTCAGCCAGCTTCTTTAGGGCCCTTGCTAGGCCCGTAAGGCCATCACCCCGGGACTTTGCCGGAAGTCTCCAGCCAGCGAAGGTCCCAACGAACAGGACTGGGGTGATGGCCTCGGTGGGGACGGAGCTGGTGGTGGTGATGGTAGTCGTAGATGCCGCTTTGTTGGGGTCGGCATCACACAACACGCAGAGGCGAGGGTGGGGCAGGGTGGGGCTTGGGGGTTTCTAACAAGCTTGATTAGCATAGGAAAAACCTATGTATTGAAAGGATGCTTGCCACCATTCTGCTTCCACACCCTCGCCTCCTCCAAGTATCGCAGCATAAGCACCTGCTGGGGGTCCTCGTATGGAGACAATTCATGAGATCAGAAAATGCTAAGACGGTAAGGGGTACGGCAGCCTATTACCGCCATCAGGCCAAACTGGTAGGAAATTGAAGCATTTGCATCTGATATGCCTCAATGAATGGTACGAAATAGAGTATGAATGTTGCCTACAGTGCTATTGATAAAATACTAGGCAGTGTCCACAAGAATATACCGTTTTGCCTTTTTTTTTTTCACCTCTTTTTTCGCCTATTTTCGAGTGCCCCGGGTTAATCATATAAATCATATAAAGGTAAGGGGTATGAAAGGACTTATTGCTTATGAATATACGAGCTAATCGAGGTATATTAAATATCTATTTGTCGAACATATGAACGAGCAAGGTGTCCAAGCCCTTGTCTTTGGAGGGCGACCTCGCCATGGCCCCGTAAAAAGCAGTTGGTGGCGTGAAAAGGGGTCAATCTGCGGGAGTACGGCCAATTACCCACCTTGTCATTACAGGTTACTCTGCGGATCTTTGCCTAGGAACAGAGCGTACTAAGTAACGCAGTTGCGAACCGGAAACTACTGGTTGTCAACATACGCCAGCGCTTTGGGATTCCATGCCGACGACCTATACGTGTGTTGCGAGCGGGAAAGTATACAAAACGTGCAGCTGGGTTGCTCTCAACAGAGAGCGATAAGATGGGAGTTACGAGGGAAGGTTGACAAACACGTTCAACAGCATGTCAACTCCGTTTGGGGGGGACCAGGGGAAGAAGATGGAGGTCATTGACTGTGCTTTGCGGATCAAGCAGTGGAGGCTATCTTAGTCTTCGCTAAAGAATCGCAACGGTTTCAAAGCCGCGCATTATGAGGGCAGCATAAACATAACTATGGCACAAAGGTCACGGCAGGCCTCGGCAATGCTCTAAGGAACGCCCTGTATGTCCGTGCCGGGTTTCTCCGAGATAAACGGATCAGATAAATGCTACCATGGAATTAGACTCGAAGAAGGGTCCCGTTCAACTTTTAGCTGGTCCCGCTCAGCTGAGTGCCTAAATTCGACACTGTCTCCTTTTTCCTATTCCGCAATTATGTTATCTACTGCAAATCTCCTCAGAACACAGATGCGGACTTCAAATTTCTTCTTACCGAGTGCAATTCCTCTCAGAAACACCTGCTCCCTCAAATTATCGCTCTTTGAACATCAATATCAAATTCGAAGAATGTCTTCATCAGACCACTCAGCAAGTACCCGTGAAAAAGCACTAGCAGCGCTGGCGCGATTAACCAAACAGGATACACCCCGCCATCCATCCAAGCGCACCCCGATAAAGAAACTCGCAACAATCTCGCTGATCGCATCGAGAAAGCTCTACAAGAAGCTGACTTGCGCACCTGGGGCTTCCCTATCTATCGATGCACGTATCAAAATGATGCCGGCTGGGCCGAATTTTTAAATCGGTACCGATGGCATATCTCCGACATGCTCGAGAACTATAATGGCTAGACATGCTTGATACCTTCCAGACTACTGTTTTCGAGGACCAGGTACTTTTCGAAGGCGCGAGCACGGCGACTATCCGTGAGCATTTCCAGAACTGGGCGACGACTGCTATTCAGCTAGAGTCAAGCTCTGGCTCGCCTGATATAATTCGGCACTTTAATGTTCGGGCGGCGCGGTATCGGTTCTGTTTTTTTGTTGATGAGGAGTCTTTGCAGAGTGTTCTGAACGCACCTGTTGACGACTGCATTAATATGGATGCGTTCGTGAATATGCTGTACGGGTGGTGGAAGCCTGAGTCTATTGAAGATTTCAGCCAGGAAGATCTAGAAGACGTAGATGAGCCGGCGGACCTGCTTGATGATGGGTACGAAGCTGTCGAAGGGTGTACTTTGAAGGATGTTGGGTGGATGAAGGTTGCTTTGTGTGATGCGGGGCTGGAAGGGTTTCAAAAGATGGGCGAGGATGGTGAGTGGGAAAGATTATATGAGCGTCCTCATGGGATTTGTTATAATATCTCGAATTTCCATGCTCGGTGATGCCTGGTCATATTGAGTAAGAAATGAAAGGAATCAAGAAGACACAATCTGAAACACTATTCGGTGCCCTTTGACTGTTATTGAGACCCTCCGGTCTCTGAGCAACCCTACCTACCCGAAACACGGACGCCCTCATCAATAAGCTTAATCTAATGCTCTTAACGCGAGCGACGTATAGACGAAGAAGTGTCTATCGACCGGAGTGAGCCTTAGCTTCTGTTAGCAAGCGACACAAGTTCACAATCGAGTATGACGGCCATACACAGAAGGTGCTCTAAGAGGGTGTCCGGAACATTGGTAATTGTAGGAGTAATATATGGCGAGTGAAAATGTCGACGATGTAGACGCGCTTTTTCCAAACGCACTGGACAAAACTCTTTGTTTGATGAATCATCAATCGGGAGAATCGGATCAGTCTTAAGTAGTTGCATCCATCAAACTTAGTCCCTCGCATACAAGCCGGACCCGGCATGATCAGTGTCTTTGGCTCTAAAAAAGCCAAGAAAAAATCAATCATTGACCTTGCCGATAAGCAATTGGAACTGGCTTATGTGCTTTGTGAAATAGTAGTATACTAGGCATTACGAACAGGCGGAAATCGATAGTGCGTTGAAAAATTTCGCAACGCTTCTAATAACGGCTAACAATGAGGTCCGACGCCTGACAGAGCAGAAGGTACAGCAAACAACCGAAGAAGAGACTTTTGCAAATGCTCATTTTACTTCGATCGCATCACGACTCACTAGAGTAGCCGCCGTGGCCACGAGGGAGCCGTTAACTGTTGGACCGAGCATTATCGAAGTCGACGATGCCTCGTACTTATCAGCTGAGCCTGTCAGATGGCTAGACTTTCTGACATGAGCTGCGCTACCCACAATGCTATCTCTTAATCTGATCCCAATTGCCACTAGTGTATAGGGTGCTACTAGTGTTGTGGTTGTGTGTTGTATTTTTCTTTCATTATGATTATTTATAGTCTCCCACGTAATACTGCTGTCACGACAAATGCCTGTCTCATTCTCACACATAATTATCCTTGAGACGGGCTGCGATAGGTTGAAATAAGGACAAGAAAACAGAGATATCCCCATAACCCTACCGCATTACAGAGTGTAGGCGAAATAGTTACTGACACAGGTCCGCCGTCAGGGTGACTGGCTGGGGGCACCCATAGACCTTCTTATGAGCTGGGGTACTATAGCAGGCGGCATCATTGGCCGCACAGTCAAAGACCTCACAGCCGTCCCCGGGACTGAGCGAGTTAGGATTCGCTGCGAAGGGGTTACCCCATTCGGTGCTCAGTTCATCTTGAAGAAGGGTTAATAAAAGATTCCTAGCTGACAGATAGATTGGATGCACTCACAGTACGCGTAGTCCGGGTTGGACGAGAACGAATAGCCAAAGAAGAGAGGCTTATCCAGCGTCTTTGTCTTGGCGATCTTAACCGTCTGCACATTCGATCTCGAGTCAGTCTCCCTTGCTATATGGAGTATTGCGCAGACCGAATAGGACGGAGTAACGTACCGAGCCAGATGCTCTAAATTTCTCGGAGAAAGTTCCCCCCTTTGGAACGGTGGTGAGAGGGCCGGGGGCGCTGCCATCGTAAGGGAACGACTGCACATACACGGATGTGGCACAGTGGTTGTTCACGACGGCATTCTGGGCCGAGACCAGGCCGAGGAGGGCACCAAATGTGATCAGGGAGGTCTTCATGGTTGGTATTTCGCTTTTTGTTTTGCAATAGGAGGCTTGGATTATCTGTTTCCTCCCGACAAGGGAAGGAACTGGCAGTCTTCATATAGGTCTGCTGCTCGGACCATAGGTAGTAGCGATGATGTACCGATGGACATACGGGAGGCCTTTGATCTAAGACATGGCACCCATTCTATGTCATAGATTGTCAGGCCACCGCCCAGGGTCCGTCCCACGGCCAATCAACACGAGTGGCAGGTGAGACATGCGCATCACCGCCACTGCATATACTCCGCATTAAAAACATCGCACCGGGTAGCGTTACATCCACCCGTGGACCCCGTCAATTTCTCAACACTGGCTGGAGCTATTGTTGATGGTTCTCCATGTGCAGCAAAGAATGATATCAGGGTGTGGAGAACTTACCAGAATCAAGGAGTTCGTCGGTTTAGGATCGAAGATTCAACCGGTTTCTGCGCTCCCGACTCGGGTCGCGGTGCCGTCCAAGACATATATGCGTACCCCGCTTAAATACGATGGAGGATGATGTACCCCGCTAGACTCAAGGCTCTCTCTATCCGTCACAAGATGCTCTCGTAGTCGAGCGTACAGACAAGGAAAATGGGAGCTGGACTCTGATACGGAATAGATTCTTCCTTAGGCCAACATGCCGTTGGTCGACTGGTCCATACCAAAAATCCCATGTCAGCCATGCGGTCACCCTGCCTGGTTCAAGTTCGTATAGTACCCACCTTAACAAACTAATGTCGGGAACCGACCGGGAGTTTCTGCAGGTGAGAAGGCGGATTCAAACAAACCGACTGTCTTCACTAGAAGACAGCCGATTACATCGAAAGCCATTGGAGCGGCAGGCTGGAACGTTAGCTGCAAGAATGTTTGTCGGCCGACGTATATTAGTGATGACCTTTTGCGCCCTAGGGACCGAGGAAGAGGGGATATACGAGCCTAGAGTAATATCATCGTTGAAAGAAGTGTAAGTAATCCCACTAAGATAGAAAATGCTACTGACAAGCCTAGCAACATCATTATGTTAGCTCATATCAGGTAGATGTCAGGAAGCGTCAAGTAGGAGAAAGCTGTGGCTAGCAGGCCGATGATATTGATGAGCAGGGTCACTAGTATCATTTGCACATAAGCTAGGTATCGGAAATGACTGTTTGTAGACTTCCGTATAACCTAATTTGGGTCGAAGTCCCCTAACCCGGGCCTAACCCGGACCTAATAATTAGGGCCCTAGTAAAACCCAATAGACCTAACTCGACCCAGTTGCTGCATAATTTTGATCATAAAGCTACTTGGTCATCAAAGTAATATACTGTTTTTCACATCTGTTCTAGCTTAGACCCTAAAACACTATGCTTTCCTAGCATAAACCTTTCGAAAATTTACGTCAGATTTCCAAGCCACTTTCTAAGGCGCGTCAAGCATTAGCCGCGTAGATTATGTGGCATAGGAAGCCCTATTCTCCACACCCTATGGTCGTATGTACCTTTTCCAGTATAAAAAGGCCTTATATAGGACTTAAACTTTCAAAGGCTGTATAAGTCAGTGAAGATTCGCTCGTGGCCACACACCTGACTATATGTACTTAGCGGCTTGTGGCTTATAGATTTAAAGCTTACTGGATCGCCGAGGCAGCGAAATCTGCCCTGCAAACTGATACATTGTCTCGGCCTTCCCTTTATAGTCATGGTATCCTGCCAATCGCTTAATGGCAAGAGGTCATGGTAAGGACATAATCCATCCATTTGTCAGTGCTATACACAAAAGGCTTGACACACAAGAGAAGCTTAATCGAACCATTTTGAAAGCACTACCAACCAGCCAGACAACCAATAACAAGAAAAAGATATTATTTAATCAGTCAAATTAACAACATTTGCCTAGACATATATCCCTCATAAATAGCCTTGCCCGCATCAGATAGGATCAACCCAACTTCCGTCACAGTTCATCCTCATCCTCCACCATATAATCATCATCCGGACAATCCACCTCTTTAAACACCCAATAAACACAATCCGACGGATTCGCGGTCTGATATACATAGCCCGTTGGGTATGTCGCCAGCCCATTATAGTTATTGTAGCTGTTTTTCAGATTAACACAAAGCAAACATTTATCTTTCTGTTCATCCAAATCATCATTATTCACCCGAAGTGAATCGCTGCGATCGCAACTCTGATGCGCCTTAAAAGGCGCAATATAGTTCTCGATGTCGCGGTAAATATTCGGATACAAAAACACTCCAGTGAAACCAATCCAGGTCGGACCCTTGGACCAAGCCGAACCGTGCCCATCCCAGAGATAAAAACGGTCGTTCTTGTACACGTTTTGGTCGTCCTGCTCACGCTTGCAAGATCCCCGGGTGGAGCGGCATACGCGGAATGGGCGCCGGTTATCGTCTGCGTCATACCGGTAGTATGCGCCTTGTTGATAGCCTAGCTTTTGCTTTTTGTTGTTTTCGAGCCGGTAGCATTTGCCATAAAAGAGGCCTAGCTCGTCCTTTTGTGGTTGTATTGGTGGCATGGGAGAATCATCCAACGGGGTGAATAGATTGTGGAGGCCCGGGAGGGGTAGCATTGGGGTTGATGGAGCGCTGAGGACGGGAGGGGTGAGAGAAAGGGCTAAGAGGAAGTTGAGATATTGAGAGAGTTGAGGCATATTGAAGTAATGACCACTTGGTAGGATTGAGGACTGGTTGACGAAGGAATTGTTTGCTAAAGCGTCGATCTGCCCATCTATTCTCTGGGGAAACGACAGGTTTAAATATCCTGGCTTAGGCCCGATTACTGCGAACGGAACCCCGAAGAAATATAAAAAATGAATAAATTAACGAGCTTCCAGGTGGATTATGGTACAGTGGCATCAGGCCTAAACTCTGCGACCTCAGGATATCCACACTTGGTAGATGATATAGCGAGGTATAGCGAGTGGTGGTTGTAAACATAAGGACAATGTTTGGAAACCCTTTCCTGGAACAAAGTTAAATGAGACTTCTTCTAAACCTACATGGTTTCATTTCCAAGTGGATCAATCAAAGGATTCAACCAGACATGGACACCCTTTGGAAAAAGAACTTCATTCAAGAAAGTCTGAGGTGCAACTTCGGGCTAAATTTGATGAATCATGACCAATTTTCCAGTGATGCATTCTGCGCCTTGAGAAGCAGGCGATATTTTAGGCCTTGACTTATTCCTAGTCAGTGGCTGTTTACAATCTTGCTGTTCCTTCAATACCTAATATCTAATACCCTAATCAACCGTTGTGCTGCACCATTCGTTGATTTTTGATATTTCTTTTGCATTTCTCCCTGCCTTGAAGAACATCTATTGAGCCATGAGATCCCTGCTGATCTTAACCTCACTTATTTGCACCATCAATGTACAGCTAGGTGCAGGTCATCATGCAGGTCCGAACATTGCCTGCCCCTGTAGCACAGGTAACACTTGCCATACAAGCAACGATGGTGCTGCACACTGTCCATATTATCCTTATGGCGGTGGCACTGGGTTTCAGCCATACTGGAATCAAATCTATCCACCCGGCTCCTATCCTGGGCCAGAAAATCCTTTTTACCATTATCCACCCGGCTATCGGAATCCTCTCCAACCTGGGTACCCTTCCTACCCACCATCAGGGCCTGGAAATGGATTTGGCCCTTCTGGCCCTTCTGGCTTAAGACCTCCCTTCTACCCTCCCGGATTTGAACATCCCTTCGGTACTGAGAATCCTTCCCTATCCGCCACCAGGTACAGGAAACTAACACAATCATCTAGGATCGGGATACCCCGGTGGGAGCCAGTATGATCCATGGTTTCCTTTCCCTACACATCCAGGACCAGGATTTCCCCAGCCAAATCCCAATTGGCCTCGACCACCAAATGACAATTGCAAAAAATGTCCTCCTGGGCCTAAAGGAGATAAAGGTGATTCGGGGCCGAGAGGTGAACAGGGCCCTGAGGGAAAACAAGGTGAACACGGGCCAAAGGGCGATCAGGGCCCCAAAGGTGATCAGGGCCTCAAGGGAGATGAAGGCAACCAAGGCGATAAGGGTGAAAAAGGCAACAAGGGTGACAAGGGTGACAAGGGTGACAAGGGTGACAAGGGTGACAAGGGCGATAAGGGTGATAAAGGCGGCACCGGCGACAAGGGTGACAAAGGCGACAAAGGTGGCACCGGCGACAAGGGTGACAAGGGCGACAAGGGTGAAATAGGCGACAAAGGCGACAAAGGCGGCACCGGCGACAAGGGTGAAACAGGCGACAAGGGTGACAAGGGTGACAGGGGAGCTACCGGCGACAATGGCAACAACCAACGTCCTAATAATAACACCACTCAACAAGGCTTGTCACTCTCGGAGCTCGAAAGCCTTCGGCTTTGCCAGCCTAAGTCAAACACCGATGGCAAAGAAGTCGAGGTTGGTGGCGTAACATACAAGATAACCTGTCGGCGAGTCATTGCCGGGGAAAAGTACAGTGTTTTCAACACACATCGCCTTGAAGAGGCTATGGTTATTTGCTCAACCCTGCCCGGCTGTGAAGCAGTTGGCGCCAGCGGCAGCTCCATCGTCTCATGGAACCCCAGTCGTGGTGTCGAAACAGCCCCATCGCCTGAAGGGATAGTTGCTGTCGCATTGCAGGCTCGACCATCGAAAGATATCCCACCAAACATCAAGAAGGCGCGAGAGAGCGAGTGCCCAGATATCCATGGGTCAACCTTGGATGTAGGTGGTGTCAAATATGAAATATTCTGCACAAGCCGCAAAAGCACGCTTAAAGACCCTGTGAAAACAATGAGTGCGGAGAAGAATCTTTTTGAATGTCTTGCACTGTGCTCTTCAGAGTCAAACTGCAAAGTTATTGCACCAACAGGGACTACGCAGAAGTGTTCCATGTCTGACACAGAAGAGTCAGGCTTTGAAAATGATGAAGGGGAGAGTAGGATCTATTGGGTTGCTCGTGCCATGAACAGGGGTTAAATGGCTTTGAAAATACTAGATGAGTATTGGTAGAGGCCATATCTTTCTGTGTCACTTTTCCAGCATAAGAGACTGAGAATACACTAAATCTAATTCTTAATTTTGATTAGGTATTATTAGAACGCAATGCTTTGGTTCTTACGATGTTGAAATCTTGCTTTCAGACTAGTTCTTGCCATCACGCAAGACATCCCCGTCAGACACCATAAATAGGTTCACACGGAAATTTTCATGCAGTCACTCAGGTAGAGTCTAGACTGTTGAAAACTTCTTAATCCAATCGGCTTAGTGGGTCACCACGAGAAGTCAAAGCTCTTCAATGGCAGTCTCGGCTAATCTAAGAAACCACCAAGTTGCCATCCAGGTCTAATCTGAAAAGCTAAGAAGTTAGTTTAAGCTCCGAGCCACTGCAGCGCAGCCCATTGGAGTCATTCTCCAGCGTTCTCAGCGCAACTCATCAAAGAAAGCCTTGTCATACTTAGTTCAAACCTAGCTGAGTCGGCTGATTCACATATACGATGCAACACGCTTAGTTCAAACCAATGACTGCATGTTCCACTAATTTCTGGAAAACGCAAGCAGACATAATATATGATGCTTGACCAGTCATAGGCTCCTTACTACTGGTGATGCAACCATGCCACTATCTAGATCCAGCTATTTGTATGTGAAAACGAGGGAGGATTTGGCATATTGTGTTACATTGAGCTATGTATAAACAGTGGGGTTGGATGAGCTCCTACTGACTTGAAGGAACATAGCCACTATACAGGAATTCTGCCCCTTGAATGATTATCATAACTGCGGAAGATTGTCAACTGCGACGCGCAGCCGTCGTATAGTGTGGGGCTGAATAGTCTTCTGCTGCATCTTGAGTACTAAGCTTTGGGTTGTTTTAAGTAGCTTGCGCAGCTAGAACCAATTAACAGATTTCGCTAGTAAATACCGCTTTCGTCTGTCCATGGTAAAAGACGAGCGGCTACAAGATCACGATTAAGTGTTCAGCTCGTTAATCTGTCCAGCTCGCTTATCATTTACATCATGGAATCATTGCATTTAAAAATCTAAGAGCCTAAGAGCCATCCACTCGAACTAAAACTATGGTATCCGACATATATACGACCTAACCAGAACCGGCGTGATAGGGAGTGTGCCGAGCCGCTGTGGAGCCAGGTTTATACCCTGATGGTCCGGACCGAGAACCGGCCCATGGTTGAACCAAACCTAACGCTTACTGCTTCCGCTTTTAGTTGCTGTTGATGCTTTTGGAACGAAGCGACACAATGAAATGATAATGTAGGTTGCTAGCGACGCCACGAACTATGAATGGGAGGTAACACTGCATTTCCTAGTGAACAACAACCCGAATCAGCCTAATACCAAATCATGTGATACGAAGGATAGCTATGGCTACACTTTGATTGCTATCAGATTTGCTTCTATGGAATCACAGTGAGCAGCAACCAGTAGCGTCTAACTCTTTACTTTCTCTCCATCATAGTGGTATCAGTATTGCAGCAGCCGAAGTAGAAAATTACAAGATCCAGTCTGCCATGATGCATGTTCTGGTTGGAGTGCAGATCCTCCCGTATAGTATATGTGGAAACGGAAATTTCATTTCGTGAAGATCACACAGATGCAGCCATGTATGTGCCAAGGAACAAAGAATCTTTTGCTAAGCAAATTCCCAATTTAAACAGCGGGTTCACGTGACAAAATATCAATTTTATTTGGCTGTTACCAAATAGCACACAATGGGTATTCTTCAACTGCAACAACAACCTGTTGGGAACTTGATATATTCAATGCAATCAGTGTAAACATCTATGAAAAGATGCACTTTCTGATGCAAACAAAATCACTTTCCATAAGAAGGATCTGTGACACTATGTAATATGAGTAAACCTGGGGTAACATGATTATGGAAGTTGATAGACCTCATCACTTCCACAGCTCCTCAACTGTTCGCTTTACAGTCACATTCCCCTTTTTCGCCTTTCTCCCCCTGGTCTCCCTTGTCTCCCTTCTGACCCTTCTCCCCCTTCTGGCAATGAGGACTCACGGGGCATCGATCAGGTCTGGGAGGTGGCGGACGATCCGCTTCTGGACGTGCTTCCGGGTAAGGATAAGGGTAAGGAGGTTGCACAGGGTAAGGGTATCCGGGCGGCGGCGGAGGAGGTGGTGGAGGAGGATAGGGTTGTTGCCCAGGATAGGGGTATCCGGGCGGCGGCGGAGGCGGTGGAGGATAGGGTTGCTGTACAGGATAAGGAGGCGGGCAGCCAGGCGGAGGTGGTGGCGGCGGCCGTACTGAATGATAAGGAGGATACAGATGCATGTTATGATGATCAGGGTACCCCATTCCATTCAGTCCACCCCCCATATGCCCATGACCAAGACATAATGGCGCACTGGGAACAACGCTGCAGTAGAAAGCGTGCCCTGGTGGATAGCAAGGAGGAGTAAGGCATCCAGAATAGAATTGCGCAGTGACACTATGGATACTGGAAATAAAAGCCCATAGTAAATAAAAATTGACCTGCATTTCTGGGATAAAGATGAATAAACGAAGTGATAGGAAGGGTGACCGAGGAAAGAAGTTGTCTACTGACGTGAGAGCATCTGGTATACTTTACTGTTGAACTCACATAAGCATTCAGCATGTCCGTTTTCCAAAATTCAACCCAGTGTAACCGCCGCATTCATTCCCTATCGCCACGCACATGTACCGAGGGAAGTATATTATGGCCCGAACCTAAAGTTGCTTGACTTCAGCTCAATCTAAGAGCCTATTTCTGTATCCGTTCACTCGAATCCATGACGTTACTGCTAGTGATGCATGCAGCGTGGCTCGTGGGGATTATATCGGAAATGTGTCACCCTTAAATCGAACCCGAAATCATTTTTATTGGATTGTGGCGCATTGATGGTCCATAGACTCATACGCTTTCGGCATAGCGATTAAAATTAATTGTTCAACCAAGGGGTGCATGCCACAGGCTTTAGTCGAGGAGGCTTTATTTTCGAATGCAACATTAACCGAGTCTGGACCCTATCTGGCTTGGCTATGTTGACCCCCTGATATGATCTCGCTCGGTCAATCCACTGAGATTTTCTAGAGTGAGTTGTCGTTCAAGAGAATCGCATTCAGACGATTGATTTGTGTAATCACGAGTCCAGGTCAGTTGTGGGGGTTTGTATCTAGTATAGGCACTACTGGATAATGTCCCTTTTCCCCTCTGAAATATCAAAGAAAAGATTAAATAATGAACAAAATTACTGAACCGAGAACACCTGGTTATATCCATAGCGTCATCTAGACAATTTTTCTGTACTTTCGCACCTAATCTTTCATTTATACAAATCATTCGGCTCCCTTACATATCGAGACTCCAGTACCTACCACCTCTTATCAATATTAAAGTAGTTCAAATCATTGCGCGGGAGGCAGTGCATCGTTGGTAGGTGCTGTATTCCCGTTGCCAACCCCTCCCATTCCACCAGTAACACCGGGTAAATTAGCATTAGTATTTCCGGCATCGCCTTTGCCAATTCCTCCTTCAGCCAAAGGTAGCTCTGCATTTGTGTTTGCGGTATTTCCATTTGCTATACCTGCCTGTCCGACAGTGGGCAATGTACTCTCTGTTTGTGCAGAATAGCCATTGGCAATGCCCCCTTGACTGATAAAAGACGGTAAATCCGCATTAATTTGGGCAGCATCTCCTCGGGCAATGCCTCCGCCCGCAGGAGAAGGACTTTTGCTGTCTGTTTGATTATTTCCTTGGATTGGAGCCTGACATTGGCTTTGGCTGCATGAAGTACCGGCAGGGCCAGGAGGTCCCGGCTCTCCCTGAGGACCTGCCGGGCCTTGAGCACCGGGATGCCCTTGTTGCCCCGGAGTCCCCCTGCTGCCCCTGAGGACCTGCCGGGCCTTGAGCCCCCGGATGTCCCTGAAGCCCTTGAGGCCCCGGGGGCCCTGCATTCCCTGGTGGTCCTCCATTGCCTGGTGGTCCTCCATTGCCTGGTGTCCCTCCATTGCCTGGTGGTCCTGCGTTGCCTGGTGGTCCTGCATTGCCTGGTGGTCCTGCATTTCCTGGTGGTCCCTGAGGACAAATAGGGCAAGGTGGCTGCTGAGGTTGACCGAAGAATGGTGGGAACGGTTGCTGTCCCAAGCCCGGTGCAAGGATTGGGCTAGGGGTAATTGGTTGGTTTGGCCAAAACTGCTGACCCGGAATGAATTGCTGGCCAGGTTGGTGTGGAAAACCTCCCATGGCACCAATTCCACCCATGATGTTCATGCATCCACTTTGAGGGTAAATGGGCGGTATAAATGAAGGTCCGATGCCTCCCATCAGCAACTGCAGTGTATTAAAGCATGGCTGCTGGCCCAAAGGGGGAGAGATTTGCCCCTGGGGTAGGGAAATGGGCGTGCATATGGTGTTGGGGCTGCAAATGTACGCGACTTGTGCAGCAGAAAAGTCCAAGAGAGCTACCGTAGCGTATGCTATCCAGTAGGATACAATATTCCGCATTTCGTCCTCATCGAAGTACGAATGAGTGAGGAATAGTTGCCCGGGTATGTAGAGTTTAAGGAACTACCATAGAGGGATAGGGGGAAAAAAGCAGTAATTAAAATGACAATATCATACTCTAGATATTATGGATCAGATATTTGGTATCAGGAAAGAGTCCTCTGAAAACGGGTAGCATGACTGTTCGCAATCAATCAAGACCCAGACATGTTAACATGCTTCCGGCACGGGAAAGCCGCATACCATAACAAATAAGGCAGTATATTGCATAATGGGGCAGACAGAAGGTGGCTTCTGTCCAACGTAAGGGGGTAGCAATGTAGGAATGAAAGAGACGGCCTGAAAAGTGCAATGTCACTTCAGATCAAAGTCCCTATTTCGGACGGCAGTCCTGACACTAGGTTGTAACCCATCTCGCCGTTTCTCAAGCACTCTTTTGAACCACATAACCATATTTATCCTGGATAGGAAGCGCAGGTAATTGCATGCTTGCCTCGTTCACTGGATTAAAAAATAACTTGCCGGTATAATTCCCGTAGTTCCTGACGGGCTCTAAATTAGCCGGCCCAACGCCATGTGGAAATATGAAGATTTGAGGATGAGGACCTAAGTCAAGTCAGCCATAGTCATTTGAATCGAATGCGGGACAAAGGTTGAAAAAATAACTTACGCGGGACACAGCCCTGACGGCTCTGATTGTAGTAGACTGCATAATCAGTGATGACCTGTCGAAAATATTCATCCGCAGTGAAGGCATTATCGAACAGCATGGTCCATTTAGGTCGCACAACTTGCTCGACGCTCTGCATGCCATAGGCGTGGAAAGCATTAAGCCGACCCATAATCCGGTCTTTCTCTGCTTTCTCATGTGCTTCCTGCGCATCTTGCAACATCTCCTTCTTGATATTTTCTTTCTCGTCTTCGGGCTTGGTACCTTTCTCCTTCGCCTTTTTCTGGGCGAGAAGAGTGATTTTAGCGTCATCTTGCTTCCCACCGAGACCGAGGAGTTGCTGTTGGGTAGCCGCGGTCAATCCTTAAGCCATCAAACGGTATTTCCTTGTTACTTAACACACCTTGTTGTTTTTCCAGTCAATATTGAGGATATTGCTGAGATCCGTGAACCTCAGACCCCCAAGGAGGCCACCTGCCCCAGTCAGCTGACCTAAGAGATCGCCGCCAGCACCACCTCCAAGCACATCTGTAACAGTACCAGCGGGGTTTCCACCTAGGGGGCCCTGATTTGATACTTGGAGAAAATCAACACTTCCAGATTCTAATTACTGGTTGAGCATCTCAGTGCTAGAGTGCTCACCTGCATCGCCGCCTGGCTTGCTATCAAGTACACCTGAGGCCGCGTCAGGGACCACGGCATTGACCGTTATCGGTAAAATTGACGCAAGAATCCCAAGTGTCCCGAATCTGAGAATAGAATGAACCAGCATTGTGGCTAACGCGGTAGCCTAATGACTGATGTCGGTGAAGTTTCCTATAATATACCAGCGCTTTCAGGGCTCTTATTTAGAACCAATTCGAAATGTAGGAAAGGAAAGATCATGATCATGAATATAGTATTGTCTGCAATTATAATAGGAATACCATCACTTGCATTTTGCCTTCATCAGGAACTATGAATCATAGACTGTACGTCGAGAGAAGCCTCTGGGGAAGTCAGCGGGTCGCTGAATGGCATATCTTTGTGGATATACGACCCAATGGCCAGTTCAAGTCTCTTGAACTTGTCATAGAAGACCCACTGACTCCGTAAGGAACATCAACTGCGTAAATTTCGGTTACCTTGAAGGTGGAGTAAACTTAGTTAGCCATAGAGTCTATTCGAGTGATTGGCGGAGTTTTCCCTTGGATTGGATGCCGGGGCTTGTGGCAGCCCGCAGTTCCGACGGGGCCCTGCGCACATCGAACCGCTGAATCCCAGTGTAGAACTCCCGCTCCATGTCTTTTAGCTCAGCCTGAGGCATGATCCACATGCTGCGATTGACGATGCCGTACAGGAGGTACTTGCGTCTGATCTGTACAGACTCTGATGGACCTTGAAGACAAGGGCGTCGAAATAGTCCATGGTGTCCCCAGGAGAGCCGCATCATCCGGCGACAGCTGTTGCGTTGCATTATGTGCCTGCCGCTGCGCGCAGTAATATTTGATCGCCTTTAGGGACCGGAGATCCCATGGGAAACGCACTTGCAAGGTCTTGGCCTCTCCGAGTAGGCCGCGCAGCTGCTGACTGCCTTTGATCATTGCAGGAGAGCCCTCCAAAACATTCGATGGTGCTCGAGAGAGGCGGCGAGTCTGCCAGAGCCGAGATGTTGCGATCAAGGCACTACAAAAAATTAGGCTGGTCCAGTTACATCAACAGCTTTGGCCAAAAAACATGGCACCGCCAATCATGCCATACAAAGGGGCGAGTTGGAGGCGGCTAAAGCGACCTTGTTGGATATCAAGCGAGAGGCCGACACTATTGTCGAGAGGGGGCGCGGACGCGCAAATTCCGTGGGAGCAATCAGTATTGCGCTACGCGCGACGGTTGCCCTAGACTTAATTTGTCGAAAACAGGGTGACTAGAGAAGGCGGAGGCCCCTGCTGGGGAAAAGGCGAAGGCCAAAAGGGAGGGGAGATTGCGCAGCCCGACTCGGAGACCCTCGAGACGTGATAACTTCTGAGAACCAATCAGTAATAAGCTATCACACATATGTTGCCTAAAAAGTGTCATTTGTCGAAATCAGATCTTGGAATGGGGCAGATATCCATCTAAACTTTTGGGTTCTGATCTTGATATACATGACTTTATCTAGAATGTACTCCTTTGGCCAGACGACATGATATTCCGCCCGAGTAATGTCCTGTTATATATTATCTACTCTTTGGTGCTAATGCACGCTTATAACCTCTTTATTTTACTGGTAGTGTAGTGGAAGGAGTTAACTGTGAATGAACAGCGCGAGACAGTGTAGTTCCAAGAATGAATAATATACGTATATCAGTAACTGCCGCATGAGTCGTAATTTATTCAACTTGAAAATACATGTAGTGGTATTATAGAATGTAATAGCATAATCTTCTCGTGGGAAAACCCAGAAGTACTTTATGTCAAGTAAAACATCATTAAGATTAGCGCGACATCGTAAAACTATCGGTACAAATTATATTACAAGATTACTAAAAGCCATGTTCCTTGAACTCTCGTTCTGTCCATTGCCACAATTCCTCCGCTTTGTCCATGTCACTCTCGATGCCTGCTCTTTTCGCTTCCTTGAAGAAAGGGATGTAGTACGCTCCGTTCTTCACTTCAGCCGAATCAGCGGTACTTGCCCATAGCTGATTGAGTGTGCCAGTAGGAACATCCACGGAAGCTACTGAGCTAAACAGACGAAAAATGAAAGAGAGAACTGGGTTGGCTGTCATTCCACCTCCAATATTCGTCCGGACGAGCCCCGGGTGTAGAGAAACCGACTTAATACTGGGAAACTTCTTGGCGCAAGACCTCGCGAAGTATATGTTGGCGAGTTTGGAGTGACCATAACGGGCGACAGTGCTTATCTCGGTGAGCGGTGTCTTCGCCTGCTTTAGAAGTATACCGGCTTTGGGAGCGTTTCGGTATAGCTCAGAGCTAATGTTCACAATACGAACATCGGCTCCGGTATCAGCAGTCTTGGTGAGGATCGGCAGAAGTAGTCGAGTCAGCAGTGCCGAACCCATGTAATTTGTGCCAAATTGGACCTCGTAACCATCTTCGGTCAAGCCAGGCGGAGCAGCAAAGATACCGGCGTTGTTGATAAGAATATCGAGACGGTCGTTTGTGGACAGGAATGTTTCAGCCGCGCGTTTGATGGAGGCGAAAGATGCAAGATCTATGTCCAGAAACACGATCTCCGCGGAAGAAACCTCTCGTTTGATATCAATAATTGCTTCTTCTGCTTTCTTGATGCTGCGAGCGCCCATGTATATCTTTGTGGGGTTGTGCGCCGCCAATTGCTTTATGGTTTCTTTTCCGAGACCATTGTTGCCCCCAGTCACCAGAATGACCCGCCCAGAAAGGCTTGAAATATCCTTTCTGGGGTCAAAAGAGTGGCTCTTGCTGAAAAGAAAAGACATTTTCTTTGTGTAGAACAATAGACGCTGAATTTCCGATGTCTACCGTGAAGTTATACTATCATTCATTATGGTGATGAATCATCATTCCGAGCCTCGGCTCCGACCCGGGGTGACTATTAATCATGCCCGATTTATATACCAGTGGCGACACCACAATTGACCGCCGGCCTCTTCAATTGTCCCGACTCTTCAATTGTCTTTTCAAGTCAACCTTATCTACGATTCTTAGATACTAACTTGTCAAACCAGCCTTTTAGGTTCTCTTATTGTTTATTAACGTTTTGTTTTGTCGTACCTTATACAGCGCCGCAGTCAACATGAGAGCCGTTGTGGCAAACCGATATCTTGCGAAGCAAATACTCAACTTCGCTTGCTCCTCCTCATTCGGTCAATGTGCAACAATCGTCGATATCCCAACTCCCCAAATTACCGATAGTGAGATACTGGTCCGAGTGCGTGCCGTTGCACTCAATCCGGTCGACAATAAAAACATCGATTTCCTCTCTCCATACAAGAGTATTATCGGCTGCGACTATGCTGGTGAGGTGGTCAAAGTCGGAAGTGACATGGTGGGCCGATGGAATGTTGGGGATAGGGTTGCAGGTTTTGTCCACGGTGGCCAATACCCTGACGTCGGCTCGTTTGCTGAATACCTGAAGGTCGATGGAGAACTTGCTTGGCCTATCCCTGACACGACTACCATGTCTGATGCTGCAACATATGGCATTCCAGCTGTCACTGCAGTTCTTGCTCTTGCACACCTTGATGTCGCATGGGAAGACATTCTATCAGGAGCTGCGAGGCAGTCTTCTGCTGATTCATCAATCCTCATTTACTCTGGTGGTTCGAACGTTGGACTTTTCGCAATTCAACTCGCCAAAAGGGCAGGTCTTCATGTGGTTGTGACTGCATCCCCACGATCATTCGATCTTGTCAAAAGCTATGGTGCAGACTCGGTATTTGACTATCGGTCCCCCACAGCGGCGAGTGAAATTTCCAAAGCGTATCCTGACATCACCAAAGCATTGGATTGCTTTTCCGAAGGCAACTCCTCTCAATTCTGTGCCGAGGTCCTGAAAAGGGGACGAGTTATTACGTTGCTTGATCAAGGGAAGCCGAAAAAGCGGAGATCGAGTTCAAAAGTCTCATGGTTTTCACCGTTTTTGGGAAACCGTTCTCCTTGCTCTCGCCCCTAGGTCCAGCGTTCCCAGTTGTGCTCGATGATCGGGATTTGCTTCGCCAATTCTATGCCAGTTTAAGTCAACTATGTGATCATGCTTTAAAGCCACCCCCTGTTACAGCGTGGGGAAGAGGACTTGATGCGGTACTTGACGGTCTTGAGAGGCTTCGCAAAGGAGAAGCGCATGGCACTAAGCTTGTTGTAGAGCTTCCGTGATGACATTCACTCACTAATCAATTATTCTATAAAGCTCCTCGAGATTAGGTATCTCATTTAGTGGCCTTGGTAGTGGGTAATAAGCTATGTGAGGAATGAGCCAAGGAGTACGATGCAGCCTACATAGTAGCTAAAGCTCAGGGTACAACTCGCGTATACATAATATGACCGGCTCCTAGGTAGTCGGCAATAGGATTAAAGAAATATATAAGAATAATCATACAACATCAACAAATGAGCTATGAGTTCATCTTGCGGTAGCTGCGCTTTGCTGAGGAGTGAGTAAAGATTGCTGGCTTTTCAATCCTTGTCTCATAAACAGTAACCTGCATCTGTCAAGTAAATATTATGCGGCATAACTCGACCGACACGACCACCTCAACTCACACGACTTCTCACTCTCCTTTCATCACGAGTGACTAGGTCAGAGGCAAAATAAGAAATTATACAGCTCCCTCAGATACTGAAGGAAATTTGTCGGCGGACTTTTCAACGCAATCCGGATTGCTGATAATACTTCTTCTCAGGCAGATGTTGTCCAAATACAAGACCAGTTCTATGATTTCCTAAATCCCGTAATGGCAGAGTTCCCGTTAAAGGCTTATACTGTAGGGAAAAATGGGCAACATGGAACTCCTACTGAGCCGTGAAAGACATGTCATTGGGTACCTCATTTCCATCCACCAGGCATAACTCCTGCCTTCCAGGAGTTCCCAGCTGCTTAAAAAGACTCAATTGTTCGGTTTCCGATGCGGTTATCTAATTCTGCGGCTAACCTACAAGGCATGTCTCTACGTTTACACGGCTATAGTTTTGCAGCCTGAGATACTACTATAAAAAGTATTTCAACGGAGTTTTAATGAAGTAACATGGTTCATTGTGATATTCGTTCAGACGCTTTATAAGATATGTTGTACATCTCTTAGGTAGTGCTATTGAAACGGAACAAAGGGCATATAAAGCGACCGAAAATACGGTAGTTTCACTAAGAAATGATCCATTCCCGCTGTTGTATACTGTTGCCATCGCTGTCAAGACCAGCCACCGAAGAGGGACTTCCGTAGTGAAGGTGGTTTACAGACTTATATAGGTGAAAGCGGTTAATGGCAGTTGCAGTGCTTTCACGCCATGATTGCAAACTATCATACGTGTACGCATTGCTTTCCCTTCTCACTTCTGTCATCAGAACATCGCATTCTTTTGCTGTATTCTGTCTCCTTCGATAAAGGAAGACATAGAATGCTGGAAGTGTATCCCAATAATCTAAGATAGGGTGTTTACTAAAAAAGTAGTCGAATTGTGATATTCGACAGCGAAACAAAGAAATCAAAGGTGCGCGCACTCGTATTCGTAAACCCCTGACGAGCCCAGGGATGGTAACACCATAAAGGAGTCAAAAAAATATGCGATGCAACCTCAGAATGAGTTATGAAAATTATGCATCATGCTAGACAAGAAAAAGAGAGAGAAGATGCAATTTGCAGACTGAAGTGCCTTCATTGCCCCAAAGGGGGAATCCCGGAGTGGGGGCCGAAAAGACCTCCGAAACTCGCTTTATATCAAACCCCTCCCACTCCCGCCTCTTGCTTCATCTTTATAGTCTGTCTCAAAGCATATATCTCTCTCAAACTGCCACTAATCAGCCCTGTGGAAGCGAAAGTAACCAGCGCCCGGGGAGAAAAAAAAAGGAGAGGGGTCCTTCAGTAAACTGAAACTCGGACACGACCCAACTCAAACATAACGACCATAGAACAACCAATACACCAAAACCACCCAAGATGGGCCAAAAACCATCAACGCCCAAAGCAGGTGCGACGATACAAGTCATCGGCGCAGGCCTACCACGCACAGGGACATCCTCCTTCAGCCAGGCCCTAGAAATACTGCTAGACGGCCCAGTCTACCACTGCGGCACGCAATCATCAATGGGCCCACCAGCAGAAATAAAAGGCTGGATACCAATTCTCCGAAACTGGCTAAAAGGCGACCAGGCGAGCCGCGCGACAATGCTCCCACTTCTGCGCCGCCGATTGGCGGGCTACGTCGCCATAACGGATTCCCCAGGCTCCCAATTCATCCCGGAACTGATGGAATTGTACCCAGACGCGAAAGTCGTTTGCACGACGCGTGATCCACTCCTTTGGGAACCCAGTATGATGCGCGTGCAGAGTCTAACGGGTGTTTGGTTTGCGCGGCTTGCGCTGTTGCCGCTGGAGGGGATGCGGCATTTTATTCCTTATGGGCATTTGCTTGCTGCGCAGTGGGAGAGGTTGTATGGGGGTGTTTCGGGGTATCATGGGCGCGAGACATATGAGAGGCATATTGCTTGGTTGACCGAGGTTGTGCCTAAGGAGAGGTTAGTTTTCTTTGATGTCAAGGATGGGTGGGGGCCGTTGTGTGAGGCTCTGGGGGTGGACAAGCCCCCGGATCAGGAGTTCCCCCGCATTAATGATTCTGAGGCTATCGAGAGGACGGTCAAGTATCATTTGCGGAGGGGTTTGACTCGTTGGGCTGTGGCTTTTGCTGTTCTTGGTGTTGGCATTGCGGCTTTCCGCAGGTATTGTTGACGGACGGACATGTGAATATCAGGCTATGGAGAATGAGTGAAAGTCCAAATGTACTAGCATAGCATGGACAACCTTGCGTGTCTGGAGGCTGTCGGTTCTTCGAAGACCACATGAACATGATCAAGCGACGCATGAACAGAAGAAAGTATAAGTTATTTTACATATTCATGTACCCGAAAAACTATTATACAAATCAACCCATTATATCTTTTCATAAAAAATCCCACCCTTGGAAGTTTCTCACCGATGAGCCCGCTCGAGCGATGAAGAACCGAAGCTCCCAAAACCATGGGATGTTTCCACGGTAGTCTCGATCTCCGTCTGAGTGAAAATCTTGCCATCAGGAATAATCCTCTCCTCACTGGAGTTGCTAGCAGGTCCAATCTGAGTACCCATTTCGGTATCTTCCTTGCCATTGACGGTGCCCAAGGTGATGATTTTGGGATCAGTGACTTTGGTGAAGCCGGAGCCATACCGTCTCGCGGAGGTATTGCCTGACCAGGGACCGTACTTCTTTCCACTGCTGTATTCTCCAATAAAGCGAGGCAGAAAGCGGGAGGCGATTGCCTTGAATGAGGGGATTGAGGCGGCGAGAATACCGATGTTGGTCTCAATGACGGACCAGTACATGGCACCGCTGATGGCGTAAGTGAAGTCAGCGGATGTGAGCATGGCGGGGATATAGGTGATTCGAATGATGGAAGAAACACATGCGCTGAAAAGATGGAACGTTAATCATTGCGAGTTCCTGGTTTGAGATGTTGTCACTTACAAGAGACCAAGACAGAGGATGATGCCGAGTACTATCTTTTGCTTCTTGGGCATCTGAAGTCTCAAGATAACTTTGATGGGCAAGGTATAGGTCAAAACATCAGTTAAGATGTTCAGCGCCGCGTTGCAAAGATAGAACACGTTGATATCGACACACGTCCCCGGCTCAGTGCTTGCCCAAGCCTTGCTAATAGGCTGGCATTGGAATGCAGCCACGAGCACAAATGAAGTGGCTTGTGCTCCGATGACTCCCATCATGATCCAGGAGAGGTGGGTCAGGTAACGATCTCCGAGACGAGTATAGAACCATAGGACAGATGTCTTGACAAAACCAAGACACGCAAGGTAGAACATGGAACTCAGCCAAACAGCCTAGAGAAAGTCAGCGATGTAAGATGGTTTTCGGACTGCTATTATTACAAAAGCGTAGTCAATGAGCTTTGACTTGTCCGTATCGACATAGTGTGTTCCAAGTCCATTTTGAACGGCTAAATACAGTCAGCTTTTGCAACATTAGAGGCCGATATCAACTTACCAACAATTGTGACGGCGATAAATGCCCAGGCCAATAGCTATTTTTATTAGTGAACGGTTCGTTTGATTTTGTGTCAAATTGTCTTACACAAGCTCCGATAATGAGGTCTTGGAGAGGGTCAGCGTGGAAATAATGACGGCGTACTGAACACTTACAGTCATCGAGACCCATTCTACCCAAGACATATACACGGGCAAAGAGACGAAGAACCAAGACACAGAATGTTACAACGGCAAAGGCCACACAGATGCCAACCACCACCGGTCCTTGGGTGCCGTCAGCAGTCATAATGAGATGTAAAAAAAGAAAGAAGTGAAAGAAAGGAACAAAGAGCGAATTAGTCTATTAACGAATGGTACGGACAGCCGTTTCACCTCCCCGTCTCACAGAGAAGAGCGTTCATGAAAACAGAAGCACTGCAAGTATCCTCGGAACGATCAAGAAGAACGGTTCGCGGTACCCAAGTCTACAGTTATAAAGAGATTTATTTTAGATTGTCCTGGACTAGCATGAGCAAAAGGACCGTGTAAACTGCTAAAGATGCGCATGGTGCATGGTCTAGTCCTTCGATCCACACCCCATAATGGCCCAAAAACAAGGAGGGGATTGATTGACAACGGCTTTCCCTTTCTAGAAACGCGAGACACGAGACTGTCAGAGGCACTGCTATTCACCCAAGGATCGCCTGTTTAACCCGCTTGCCACTCAGGGAGGGGCTTGAAACACGGTGATCCAAAAGGCGAAAGATAGAAGTCTGTGCAAGCTTTTTGCTTCGCACGCAGACGCGGAGATGAGCTTTTCTCTCAATTGTTACGTACTTGGAAATATTTTGGATACATCCACTTTGCCCAGTCTTGATCCCAGCTGATAGGGTCTACAGACAGTAGTTCGAAAGAAAGAAATATTTGTGTTTATGGAGTAGTACATTAGATATCCACACCAAGACAGGGTTGGCATTGGCTTGGACAGGGCTGGCTTGACACGTTCAACGTCTCAACGATCATTTAGAAATCTTTCCTGGGCGAAAATACTGCTCATATTTGGGGTATCTGTCTGACTTGAATAAAAATAGAAAAGGTGATGAAATAGAGCAAGAACCAAAATTCTGATCTTAATCTAAGCGGAAAGCGACCGAGTTGATCTCCATTTCCCCAAGTTATTTATATATTTCTACCAAGATGGCCATCGTGATGGTTCCGATGGTGACCTTGATGCCCCCAGTAGCGAGCTTTGGCCGAGATGCAAAGATGGTACGGCGTTGAACAATCCCCTTTGTTCGAATATCAAAATAAATTTAATTGAGGAAAGCCGGTAAAAAGTCAAAAGACCTTATCGTTTCCCCCGGAGCGACTAGAAAATCCCACGGAACACAGCTTAAAAGTTCTTTCATCCTGGAAAATGGCTTTGACCGTACTTACACGAGAAGGGGCGGTGGGATCTGCGCGGACGGGCGTTTCAGCGCTCGACAGATCTGTCCGGTCGCGATGTACCGAGTCAAATGGGCTTGCCCCTACTGCAGACATGACACTAGACTAAACGTAGGCTAATGCTCTAAAGCTTCTGATCTGCATTGGCCTTCCGAGCCGTCTGGGTGGAGAGCGGGTCGTCCTCAACACTTGTTAAGCGAAATTGGCTGAATGGTGAACGGGCCCCTTCAAAGACGTTGCACTAAAAGAAGATAGTTGGAAAGGAATTGAGAGCCGCAGATACATGTGATACAATCCATTCTTATACATGAGATTCAAGAAGCAGCAAATACCAAATACCTGCAAAAGTCCAGGGCTTTTTGTTAGTGGAACTATATAGACTGCCGGTCTCCGTACATACTAAGTGGTCCGGTGGCTCTCGGAAGTTGCCCTACTGTACTATTCCCAGATCAACAGCCTCTTTGGGAGATCCGAAACCAGAAATCTCAAGGTGTGTCTTCCGGAATAAACAGTGTTGTCGGCCATTTATGACCGTTGGGATCGGCGGCTGTCAAAACAACCCCTGGACGAATCGCAAAATGTACCATTGGCAACGGAGAATGACATGCGGGATCAATGATCACATTATGTCGCGGGTTAACCTCGGGCTTTGGCGTATCACATTCTCTAAGGAGGAGGTAGTGGAGAATACTGCCATAGTATCTCCACTGCCAGAGTCACAGTCCTAACCTGTCTCACTTGGTCTATCACGAACGCATCACAGACTACATGTTATTAGATACAATCAAAAGCACCCTCGAACTACTGTATTCTATGTCTCCACATTCATTTCGCCAAGAACGTGTTCGACCCTTTATTAACGGCCACTCTGGCGCTAAGTCTCAGCAGGCCCGCTCTTGTCCTGACGTTTGCCGCCTCATTTAGTTCCGGCTTGCGCCCAGTGAGAATTTGGCAATTCCACAGTGGAGAACGCCACAGCCTGCACTGCACCCGACACTAGTGCCAAGGTACTTGTGTTTCTAAAGTAAACAAGGCGTCCTCTTCATACGAGGCCTGCGCTGTGCAGATAGCCCGAACCGGATAATCCTTGTTTCGCATTCGCAAGATAAGACCCTCTTCGCGGCGGGGACCATCCAATCTCCCACGCTGATCACCGTACTGCAGACCAAGGCGATGCCATTGCTATACCCAGTTTATACGGAGAATGCCGACTGCCGTGGCCCCGCAATGCCAATTCGTCCTTTCCTGACAGATGCAGGTCCTCCATCTGTTTATTCATAATACAGACCATCCCTACTGCATCAGGAAAGTGTATCACCTGCCGCTACCCGCCGTATACGGAGTTCTGTAGCCTGGACACGCGCGGAGAACCAGCCACGACGTCCCAGTTCCGAATTAGCAAGCGGAGTCGTAATCACATCCACACCGTTGTCAATGCTTCAAGAACCGGAGACACTAAATTCAAGGGGGAGAATGGTGGGCTTCTCTGTGTGTGGTGTACTGCCGAGTATAGCTTCAACCATCAGGCCCAATTAGGTCTAGACTTGCATGATTCAAGGAAATGAACTGTTGTGGACATGGCTACCACGGCATAACCATCAGGCCAATGCCCTTGCGCCCCTTACAATGCAAGGTTCTTGAACGGGGCTAGGGGATTTGGAGATTTGGAGATCTAATCTTTTTTGGAGGCGTTGTTTCCCTTCTAAAGAAAGCCGTTTCCATATGCTCTTCATGTTGGCTTGTCTTCTCTAAACCGCCATGGGTCTCGCAGAGTATATCCTGTCACTGGTGACAGTGGCGAATGTCGTTCTGGGTCTGATTGCTTATGTTGCTCTTAAGTTTGGCTATCAGATTATTTACTATCGTTTCTTCCACCAGCTCTCTAAATTTCCTGGTCCTTTCTGGGGTTCTGTGACTCGGCTCTGGATCGCATGGCATAATCTGCATGAAACAGAAGTACAGACTGTTTATGAATTGACGAAGGAACATGGTTAGTCTTGATTTATTAAATTGAGTCTTGAGGTCTCGAGATTGATGTTCCCCAGGTCCTGTTGTTCGCATTACCCCGACATTGCTGCTGGTCAGCGATTATCGAAAGCTCCCGGAAGTCTACCACCGCAATGCAGACAAGACCGGTCATTACATCACTGGAAGTTTTGGAGAAAATGAATCTCTGTTCAACATGAGGTCTCACAGCACCCATGCAGTGTTCAGAAAACATGTAGCTGGACCGGTACGACATAATGCATGTGCAGCAATACCCGAACTATAAAACTGACAACATGCAGTACTCCTTCACCAACGTCAAGAAAATGGAACCCTTGCTCGACATGCGTATTCAAGAATGGACCAACAAACTCAGCGAAAAGTTCGTCAAAACCGGCGAAGCCTTCGACTTCTCCTGGTGGGCAGTGTAAGCAGTACCAGCACCAATTCAACAACACCCACGAAAACCCCACTAACGAACCAAATAGCTACATGGCCTACGACATAATCAGCGAAATCGGCTTCGGCGAGCCCTTCGGCTTCATAGAAAAAGGCGAAGACATCGGCGGCCTAATCCAAGGCTTCCACGACGGCCTCCCAGCCTTCGGTCTCCTAGCCCGTCTGCACCCCTTCACATCATGGATAAAAACAACCTTCCTAAAGAAATACCTCGTCGCCAAGCCAGAAGACAACAGCGGAATTGGGGTCCTAATGCGCTTCCGCGACCGCCTCATCGACCAACGCATCAAAGACATCGAAAGCGGCAAGAAAATCGACCGCACAGATCTCCTCCAAACCTTCCTCGAAGCCGAAACGGAAGAAGGCAAACCCCTCGACCTGGAATACATCCGCGCAGAAGTCCTACTCGTCCTCCTCGCCGGCGCAGACACAACCGGAACAGCTTTCCAGGCATTGATGACGTTCCTAATGGCGAACCCGGACGCGTACGAGCGCATGATGGCTGAAATTGATAATGCGACAAGGAAGGGGCTGATCTCGGACATGCCGCAGTACAGTGAGGTTTTGGAGCATTTACCGTTTTATGTCGGTTGTGTTAAGGAGACTATGCGGCTTTGTCCTTCTGCGCCGAATATTTTCCCGCGGTATGTTCCTGAGCCTGGGATTGAACTTTATGGGCAGTTTGCGCCGGCTGGTACGGAAATTACTTGTAATCCTTTTCTTGTGCAGCGGGATCCGAAGCTTTATGGGGATGATGCTGAGGAGTTCCGGCCTGAGAGGTGGTTGGATGTTGAGAAGGCGAAGTTGTTTAATAAGTATAACTTTGCGTTTGGGTATGGGTCGCGGGTTTGTTTGGGGAAGGATATTGCTATGATGGAGTTGTTTAAGGGTCCCTTGCTGGTGAGTTTGCGTTTTTGATGTTTGATTTACGTTGGGATGGTTGCTAATCTATTTTTTTTTAGTTCTTTCGTCAGTATAAGCCCGAGGCTGTGCCCGGTAAACCCGAGGCTAAGTTCATTGTCAAGGGCGGTGTTGGGTACTGGAGGGATGTGTGGCTCACTATTTCGAAGAGGCCACAAGCCAAGGCCGAGTGAGCGTTTCTTTTGGTGATGGATTGGAAAGGAATACTTCTTGTTAATATTGAGTTTGAGTTGCCACTGTACTATAGGAGCGGGCAATAAATACCTCGGGATCAAGGTGTGAGATATGCAATACTTTGTTTATAGACATGAGAAGAGACGGAAGTATTGAAATTATGTTATGGCGTCGAAGACTGACATATTTGACCGGAAGTATGTAAAGAGAATTGCACATATAACTAAGAGCATGCAACCAATCCGAAAAAATAGAAAGTCAATGAAGAAAATCTTTTTTGATAGCCCTCCCGCCCGTATATGGCGAGACATGAAACACGATACCGATATTAGATATGGTGCTTCAAATGCTTATGGAGACTCAGGATTTTTCCCCATGACGGCATCCTAGAGAACATGTTAGTGCTAAATTATCAAGAGAGGAACATGAAGTTTCTTACCCTAGCCTCGTGATACAGAGGAGTGATACCGGTCCAGTGAACGAACTGGTGAACACCCTGTCCTACAAGAACCTCAAGTCCGGGGATGGTGCTCCAGCCAGCATCGGATGCAAGCTGCATCAGCGCAGTGACGGCAGGCTTGTAGGCCATCTCGAGGAGAACACGGGGGTCGTTGGACCCGGGAGTCTTGCCAATGAGGGCACCATCGACCTCCTGGGTGCGCTCGAACATATGGCAGAGCGTCTCCCGCACTGTAGGATCAATGGGACGGTCGGCGGGGATGGTGCCGATGGCAACACGGGGCACGCTGTCCAGCTGGCTATGATTGTCTATAACGCGGATGTTGTAGCTGGTGGGGAATGTCGAGACCATACCCTCAAGCTTGCTGGCGCTGCGACCCACGACGTAGATTGGGGAGAAGCCCATGTGGTGCAGAGCGAAGATGGCAGCACGGGCAGTACCACCGCCGCCAACGACTACGGCACTCTCATCGCCTGCTGAGCCGTAGATGCCTGCGTTGCGCATGCATTGGACCATGCCCTGCCAGTCGGTGTTGTAGCCGACCAGACGAGGAGGCTTGTCACCGTTGGCAACAGGGACGATGGTGTTGACCGCGCCGATGATCTCGGCCTCCTGGGCGACTTCGTCGAGCAGGGGCATGATGTCCAGCTTGAGAGGGATGGTCACGGAGGCACCGCCGAAGTCGGAGGCGCCGATGAAGTCCTTGACGTCCTCAACATTCGTGGTCTCCAAGCGGCTGTACTCGTGGGGCAGACCCATGGTGCCGAAGAGGGCGTTGTGGAGAGCGGGCGATCGGGAGGCAGAGACAGGGGAGCCGAAGATGGCGAACTTCTTGGCCTTGATCTCACCCATCAGGGAGAGACCACGGCGAATCTCGGTTGCGGAGAGCTGACCGGGTGCGGCCTTGAAGGGGAGGCTGGAGTGCGACACCGGGGTCATGAAGCCGTTCAGAATGCGGCTGAGCTGGCCCTTGTCACCCATGTTGATAGCGATCAGTGGGGTTTCATGGGCTTCCTCGGCCCAGGTCTTGAACTTCCGCAAAGCGGTGTTGTCGTCCAGGCTGTTGGCGACACCAACGAGCTTGATCACATCACCGTACTCGAGAGCACGGTTGTAGGACTGCATCCAGGACATGTTGGCCCAAGAGAGTTCTCCCTTAGGATCGTGGTGCGAGGCGATGATCTTCGAGTGACCCTTCATCTCAGTAACAGCACGGAGCATCTCGTCTGGGAAGGCAATCTCAAGGTCCACAAATTCGGATCCAGAACGGAATGCCAGGCGGTAGAGCTGCATCGCGGCATCGTGAGCATCATCAGGGAAGCGACCTCCTTGGCTCTTGGTGCGGATGGTGAAGATGAGAGGGAGAGTGGTACGGCGGCGTAGGAAAGACATCTGTTCGGCAACGTAGTCAACCGAGGGGATGTCGCCTTCTGATGACGGGTCCTTCAACAAGTCAACCCGCAATTCCACAGCATCAGATCCGACGCAAGCTTCTGTGATGATATCAGCGGCTGGGCGGAGATCGGGAAGGGTCAATGAGACGAAGAAGCTGTGCTTCTTCTTCTTAATTTGACCGAGGCTGTCAGTCTGGCCAGTCACCACCCGCATGAAGCGCGCGAAGTCTTCCGAGGCAAGAGCGAGCTCAGCAGAGCTCGAGTGCTGGCTGAAGTATTGAATGTTGCTGCACTCCTGGAACCAAGGCTTGCGGCGAAGCCACACCCCCATCATGTCCTCGACGTAGGCAGGGCGAGTCTTGTCGATCTGAAGGAAGTCCATGACCAGCTTGATATCACGCATGATGAGGAGAACATTTCCCTTGTTCTTGTGGTAGTCAGCAAGCATCTTGCGTGCCTCTGGGATCTCGACGACACCACCACCACAGGCAAAGACGTAGCCAGTGGGACGGTCCTTCATGGCACGCTGAAGACATGCCAACTCAGCGTCGCGGAATCCTTGCCAGCCGCGAGTCTTAATTATTTCAGGAATAGTGGTTCCCTCGGCGGTCTCAAGCTCGGTGTCGAGGTCAATGAATTGACGGCCAAGGACCTTGCCCACCCAGTTGCCAGCGGTGGTTTTTCCAGCGCCACGCATGCCGATGATAAAGACAGTAGCGTTGGTCCGCTCCTCTTGACTTGAGGCAGCAAGCTCATCTTCCTTGAGCTCCTTGCCGTCAAGCTTAACGCCGAACAGTTGCTTCAGGGTGTCCCACCAGCCGGGCCAGGTCTTGCCAACACATTCCTTCTCCAGAATGAGAGTAGGCTGGGGAGCCACGAGAGAAAGCACACTGAAACTGAACGCGACACGGTGGTCATCGTAGCAGTAAACGCCACCAGAAGGCTGGCGAAGGGTAGACCGGTCGATACCGTCGATCTCAAGACCGTCATCATGCTCACGGCAGACAACTCCGAACTTGGCCAGTTCGTCCTTCATGGCCTTTATACGGTTGCATTCCTTGACACGCTGGTTGGCAATACCGTAAATGCGGGTTGTGTGGTTTGAGCCCTGGCCCCGAGCAACGGCCGCGAGAACAGAGGCAGTGAGGAATGCATCGGTCATGGGCTCCATATCAACATTGGGCAATGGCTGGAGGACACCGTCAGCAGGTCCAGTGACAGTAGTGGAAGTGTCAGACTGGGTGACTGAGCAGCCCATGGGTCTGAGAACGTCGACTGCAAAGCGAGCATCGCCCTGGAGGGACTTGGAGCCAATGTTGGGAACGGTGCAGGTGGTGCCAGTAACAGCGGCGATGGCTAAAGGATAGGTTGCAGAGCTTGCATCGCTCTCCACAACATACTCGGGAGGGTTCACGTAGCGAGCCTGGGGAATGTGGTAGGTGTGCTCCTCAGTGGTAGACTTCTTGATGTCAATACCGAAGGATCGCATCATGGCAGTGGTCATATCAATGTAAGGCTGCGAGATGGGCTTGCCACCAACGAGCTTCAAGGTGACTGGCTCCTTGGCGTAAGGAGCACACATGAGAAGCGAAGAGACGTACTGAGAGGAAACCTTGGCGGCCAAGTTGATCTTGCCTCCGGCGAAACCTCCGGAAGCGGCAATTTTAAGAGGGAGACTGCCCTTGCTCTCCATATACTCGACGTCGGCACCGTTAGCGGTGAGAGCGTCGACGAGGTCGCCAATGGGGCGTTGCTTCATACGGTTGTTGCCGGTCAGGACACTTGAGTCGACGGTGCTGGGGGTAGCGAGAGTTGCCACAGTAGTGAGGAATCTGGAGGCAGTTCCAGCGTTGCCCAGGTACAAGGGCGAAGGGCTCGCAACGATGTTGCCGCCCTTGCCGTTGACAACAAGAACCTCACCTTCCTCCTCCCAGGAGAAAGTAGCTGCGCCAAGGCGCTCCAAGGCATTCAACATGACCTCAGTGTCGTCGGAGTGCAGAAGGTTCTTAATGCGACAGGTTCCAGAGCCAAGCGCAGCAAGCACAAGGGCTCGGTTGGAGATACTTTTGGATCCAGGGGGTGCGCAGGTGACATTAAGAGCCTGGGCCACTCCTGGGTGAACCTCAACGCTGGGGGCAAGGACGACGCCGATGTCCGCGTTGGAAACAACGCTGGCCTTGGGCTCATGAGTACGGCCAATGGCCGACAGGAGAACAACCTTCTTCTTGGGGCCATCATTCTTCTTATCCAGTGCCATGTTGAACAGCAATTGGTCCACAGAGCAGTGCTTACCGGCGGTCAGCTTACGAACCCGGGCATCCTTCATGGAAGTAGGCAAGCCGTAAGCGGAAATGCATTTGACGACACGAGCAACGGCAACGCCCTTCAGGATGCCCAGGTGGCGTGCAAGCTCTGCCTCCTTCACCATACCGATGGCGACACACTCGCCGTGAAGAATTTGGGGGTCAGGATTGCCTCAATGGCATGTCCAATGGAGTGACCCCAGTTGAGAAGGTTGCGAAGACCTCCCTCGCGCTCATCAGCAGACACAACATAAGCTTTGTGGCGAGCAGATGCCAGGATTCTGGCCTTCAAGATGTCGCGAATTCCATCGAAGCGACCCTGACCAGGCTTTGCTTCGCTGCGCGCAGCACCAAGGATTAGGTCTGCGTTGTCCTCGAGGGCCGTGAATTCTTCCTCGCTGGAGATGGCAGCGGTCTTGATAACCTCGGCCATACCGTTGATGAACTCCCGGACGGGGAGCGTCTCAAGGAATTCAAGATCAATATAAATTCTCGACGGTTGCCAGATGGAGCCAATAAGGTTCTTGCCGAGAGGCGTATCAATGGCAGTCTTTCCTCCAATTGAGGAGTCCACCATGGCGAGGAGGGTGGTGGGGACCTGCACATACTGAACACCGCGCATGTAGGTTGCCGCAACAAATCCAGTCAGATCACCAATCACACCACCGCCCAATGCGATGACCACCGTATCTCTCCCACATGGTGGGTTTTGGCTCAGCATCCAATCTTCAATGTCGGCTTTTGTCTGCCGGGACTTGGAGCTCTCGCCGGGCGAGGCATGGTAGACGAGTAGTCGCGGGGCAGGAGAGATAGATGCGGTGGCAGCCTCGAAGGTCTTTTGGAAGGTAGGGGTATAGATCGACCCGAGGTTGGTATCGGTGATGAGGACGTAGGTGGTGGAGGGCAAGGCACTGATCAGGTCCTTCGCGACGTAATTGCGCCACAGGCCGAAATCAGCAACAATGCTCTCCCGGCCCAGGATACTGATCTTGGTGGGTTCAGTCATAGTGATAGAGAGATCGTGGCAGAGGATTGATTATGATCTGCTCATCTCATTCTGGGTGGTGTTAGTACCCTTGACTCATAGTTTATTTAATTTTAGGTTTCTCCGCCAAACTAGTGGCGTAGGGCAACAGAACAATGGCAATGAGACCCTCAAAAAGGCAGAGAACGAAAGACATACCTGGACCGACAGCGCAGACACAATGAATGAAGATGAGGTTAAAAAAGCAAATCGATCGTGAATTCCCCGCCGATCTCGCGGCTTTCTTGACCGCCCGGTGAGTCCGAACCCCTGAAATTGACGAACTACATCGACTAGTTTACTCCCCTGCCAATGTGATCTTTTACTGATTTGTGATTTGTGATTTGTGATTTTCTGATCTTCAAGTCTCCAGCAAAGAACGAACCCCTTTTTTCATTCCATTCCCCCTTGTCTCAATCCCTCAATCTCTCCCATCTCAGCCTGTAGATCGATCTACCTACTACTAGTAGTAGGTATCCTCAAATCTGCCGTGACTCATGGCTCCATCTTTACAGGCTCCACCTTCAGCTCCGAATCGTCCAGCTCCAATTTGATTGCCGAGTCCAGAAGTGCCTTTCGTGCCTCCAAGGGCTTCGATGTTTTGGCCCTGATTTTCGCCTTGGGAACGCCACTCGTAGGTCGTTTACGCACTCTAAGTCTCTTGGCAGGCGCCTTGGATCTCTTGACGACTGTGTTGTCAGTTCCGGTGTCTCCACTGCCGATCTGTGTGTGAGTGGTCTCAGGATGGGCGATCTCGGGATGGGCAGTTTCTGCATCAGCGGTCTTTGAACGAGCGATTTCCATTGGGGTCTCTCTGCTGCACTGATTCATAATCCCAGCACATCGACTGGCCAGCTCATCAAGTGCCTGGCTCTGAATAACACCGCCTCCCATGCGGCTCTGTATACTGGTCGACCAGTGCATTGATACCGGGTCTCTGGGCATCGCCGCCCTTCTCGGAATTACCAGATTGACTGACAGAGACTCGCAGACTCTGTTGAAAATACTCGCTTAGCTTGCCAGCAAATTGAAACAGCATATGGCGTGTGTCAATGTCGTTTCCGCTGGTGATCTGCCCGGGTAAAGTGACATTGTCAATCTTCGAAGCTGGGAGATTGTGTCCCAAGTTAAGCCGATCTGGGGAGTGGGCCAATGCTGTTGCTGGCTGGTGGTTTCCCGGCGCTGTGCTCTCGATGTACGGTTTGGAAAATGTTGTACCACGAGGATCACCACATACTTTGCGGCACCATCTTATAGGCATCGTGTTAGACACCCGAGGATTCCAGCGCTGACCATTGACATAGATTAACATTTTGAATGCGTGCAGAAAATCATAGGGCTCAAACACGATTGGAGACGTATCGAGATTGGTGCGGGGAAAGAAGTTCGGCAGAAGACGCATAAGCTGATATATCCCCCAAAGCTTAGCCGCTATCGGATTGTTCTGAGAGGGCAGCTCTGGAGCTGTCATAACATCTTCGTGGAATGTTACCTGTCGCCAGGCGTCTTTGAATCTCAAGTTATAGCCAATCGTAGGTTCTGCAATCTTGAGGACATCCTGATTGCGTAGAAGTTCCAGCATTTCTCGGTGCGTCTCGAAGCCTAGGGCACCCCCAATGTATATGCTATTTTGGCCTAGCATTCTGCAGTACCTGTGGTCGTAAAGAATTTCGGGCTCAAAACAGAATTGCTTTAGATTCAGTGACATAATGGAATCAAGCAGCGGAGGTACCAAAGTAGGTTTCTCGAGCGCAACCAAAGTAGATAGAACGATATCCCAAAAGATTGATCTTGATGAACAAAGGCCCTAGGGGCGTTCTGAAAGATGTGAAGATGGGTGAAGTGAGATACTGAGTCGAGGGGGCCAAAGTGAGTTAAGTATATGTGTATTGTATTTGCTTGCATCTTCATGATGAGTCGTAGCAAATGTCTCTATGCGGGTAGTTGATATACTCATGGGTATGTAGGTTCCGTTCTTCTTTGGGCTGTGATGCGAAGCAAATCACTATCAAAGCTCTATGGGTTAACCCCTACAAACAGTGTACTTTGTTGGATTTTCTAGGTACATATATTAAGTCATGACCTCCCAAACCAATGTTAACATCATTCGCTTGGACCTTTCGATGCTATCTGGCTATGTATACATATATTTAGATGCAAAGCGGAACCCGCTGGCCTCGATCAGGTGTGAACTTCGAACTTGAGTCATGGAATAAATGGAATAACGTTATATGAATTTACCCTACACAGCATAGAACTCCAAGAAATTGAGGAACCCAATTGAAAAAAAAAACAAAATATTCTTCCGTTAGCAAGAAAGTTGATTGGTCAAAAATTTTGTATGTTTACACCTATGATCCGCACTGTATGGACAGCGAAAAAGAGTGTCGAGCATGTAGCGACTAGAAACCACAAAAAGTTTGCAACCGCTCAACTTGTGACATACAATGATAAGAATATTCAAGAGTCGATTGATAACCATCACTTGATTTCATGTTACATTCCCTTAACTCCATTTCTTTCCTAGGCCCTCATACCCAGAGCCCAACCATGTCAAAAAGATACCATCAGCATTGAAAACCAGCAAGAAGTATTCACAAAGAAAGACAAAGACGAGAGATCTGGAGTCTCATCTCACTTTCTAATACCGACCGTATCCACCACCACCGCGCTGACCACGATATCCGCCACCACGACCACCACCTCCACGGCCTCCGCGATAATCCTGCGAGCCATAGCCTTGTTGGTGTCCGTTATACTGACCACCTTGGTTGTACTGGTTCTGGCGGCCGTAGTAGTCACCAGGCTGTTGATAACCCTGCTGGGGCGGGTACTGATACGACATTCCACCACGGGGTGGAGGAGGGGGACCTCGTGAGTAGCCTCCGTAGTTTTGGCCAGGGGGGACCCATCCGGGTGGCCCACCAGGACCACCGGGTGGACCAGAGCTGAAGTTCGGGTCGAGATGGGCAGCAAAGGGGTTTGGGCGGTCACTTTGGTAGTTCATGCGGCCACCTCGTCCTCTGCCCTGGAACGGTGCGCCACCGAATGAGCGGCCTGAATTCTGGGCTCGGCCCTTGGTCGCTCTGATATCGTTTGAATCCAGCATCGGTGTTGGGGGCTTCACGCCGCGGAGAAGCATGGATTTGTGAACGTGAGAAGACTTCGGGATAGTGTATTGGACACTTGAGAAAAAGGTTAGTATATTTGAACGTTTATAATAAGATAGATAAGCCAAACTCACGTAAGAGAGCGATCATCATCAACTCCCGGCATGCCATATGCCTCCAGGGGAGAGTCTAGCGAGCTGTGAGGAATGTAGGTGTCGCTACGCTCAACGATACCAGCCAGACCACCACTCAACTCTTGCTTGATTGTGTATTTTGCAGGACCGGGCTTCTTGGAATAGAAGTTCGCAACGAGGTCTTGGTACAATGGATTTCGGTCAGATAGCAAAAGTACATCCGAACCGTGAGTATTGCGGCTTCTCTCATCTTCAGTAAGAAGAGGATAAACCTTCTCCATGGCTCCCAGAAGACGCTTTTCGTCAATGAAAGGAAGGAGAATAACACCTTGCCAGGCAAATTTCTTGCCGTTCAAGTCCAGAGGGAAATCCTCCGGGTAGAAGTCGATGATCTCACTGTTTGGATCGGACATGAGAGGATGGAAGACCTTTGGCAATGCGTGGTTAGACGAGGCAGGCAAGACTCCCATCAGCTGTTCAAATGGCCTGAATGGCTTGCCCTTCTCGAAGTTGATCTCCATGTCGGCGATATCAACAAAGTCCGCGGCGCTAGAGAACGAGTCTTAGCAAATTGTTCTTCCAAACCAAAACATACCTCAAAAAAGAAGGGAAGAGAGATGAAATACATACAACGGTGCGTAGTGATAAGGATAATACCACCCTTGGCTTGGACAGCCCTGGAAATAGTAGCGGAGAACCCAGGCCAAACCTTCGGCGTAGGCACGCGCAACCTTGTGACGGAACTCGATGTCTTTGGGATCGACGCCGAATTTTTGCTCATAGTATCGATCAGCGTAACCCGGTTCCCAGAGTTTGACTGTGTCTTCAGGCATTTCGTCACCATTAGGCTTGTTCTCGGGAACAGGGGCAACAGGTGGAGGAGAGTCTCTGCCCGGTGTTCCTGCCTCGGTATCCTGCTGTTCGGCTTCATCGGCCTTACGCTTTCCGAGGACTGAAGGAGAAGTTGGCTCCGCGGCGTTTGATGTTTCTTTGCTCTCAGTGGCTGGAGTCTCGCCTGCAGGTTCGTCCTGCGGACCCTTCATGAGCTTGCTCTTCAAAATAGCAGCAGCACTCTTGTTCTCCATGTTGGCACGGTATACAGCACCACGGTTGACTACCATGCTGTGTGTCAATTCGCGGGTCTCCTTGGCCAAGTGACCACGACCGGGAGTGATCAATTCCATGGGAGGAGCAGGCTCAGCACCACCGCCACGCGAGCGGTTTTGCGGTGAATCGTACTGGGGAGAGCTGCGTCTCCGTTTTTGAGCACGCTCTGCATTCCGAGCTGCATCTTGTTCCTTGCGTCGCTTCTCGTTTGCCTGCTTTCTTTCATCGGCTTGTCTGCGGCGCTGGAAGATAGCATCCTCTTGCTTGGCCAGTCCTTGCAAGATGAGTTGAGCATTTTTCATGTCAACACTTCCATCCTTTGTAAGATATCCAGACATAGGGCCGGCGACATTGTCACGCCAGATCGCGATAAGAGTATCGATACCGTTCTCACGAATGTCTAGACTGGGCAAGTGAGGAAGGAAATCGTTACCAACGAAGAAACACATGAATACCCAGTCATCCAGGGCACGCTCGAGGTCGAATGGGAATGACTGCTGAGGAACATGAAGCTCAACAGCAAGATATTCTCTGAGGACAGCAACATGGAGCCAAATGAATGGCTTAAGAGGAGCAGCATGTTGCTTCTCGTCGAATTCTCCACTCTTCTCCTTTGACTTGCCTAGACATTCCTCAGCCTTGTGTCCTGTCTGTCCGCATAGTCTACAGCCCCGAGGTCTTGAGTCCTGGGCGAACACATCCTCACGCAATACACGGAAGTAGGGTTCATGGGTAGCAAGTCCCAGCATGATCAGATCGGCGTCCTATTGAGATTTTGGTTAGCGCTTGCATGGCATCATTTGACGGTTATCATAACTTACCAGACCATAGATAACATGGCGAGTATTGGGGTCGTGACCAGGCGAGGCGCGCTGTGATCGCACGAATTCCATGATCTTGTGCTCTCCTTCTCCAGGAACTGTGGCGTCCGAAATGATGATTTTCAACTGTCAAATGTCAGAATACGCATCGCTACCACGATAGGAAATATAAGGTCCAAACGTACATTTTCCCAGCCCGGGTCGGTGTTGAGTTTGTAGGCAATCCAATATCGCAGCGAAGCAGCGAGGATGTCCATGAAGGGTGTTCCCGGTGTGATGACATTGCTATCCCACGTCTTCTGAACAACCTCCTCCTGGATCAATTGCTCTCCTGTCTTTGTCTGATGTTGCTTGGCAAGCATCTTTTGGAGCTCCTCCTTCTTGTCGTCATTCTCTTTAGCTTCTTGCGCCGAGCGGAATCGACGTGCGCGCTGCTGGTTCATCTTGGCTCTCGGTGCGACACCATCTGTTCGTGAGATTGTAGTTAGTTCAACGGCAATTTAACGATATGGGAATAAGGGCGGAGCCGCGCAAGCTCTATTGAGGCATCGACATACCAATAGCAATCATCAGAAGTTTCCTGGGGCGGACCATGTTGACCACGCGGTCGGTGTACTTGTAGATCTCCAGCATCATCTCCTGCTCGTTCGCTGGTGGGGGCTTTCCCTCCGGATGAGTACACGGATGTACAATACCGTTCATATCCAGGTAAAGATTATCCTGCTCCTCGCCATTGGGGTTGGGACCGGTGATATCGATCGGGATCTCTTCTCCATCCACTTCTTGGGCTTGCTCCTCAATCACCGGCGAAATGATCTTTGGATACTTGTTGGAGAGCCATCGGAAAAGCGCGGGGACACCCATGATGGCGATGCGACAGCTGCGCGGTCAGGGTATCGCTGCGTCGCAATCGGTTCACGGCGAGCAGCTGCAGGCGCGAGTCGCGATCTCTCTAGTGCGGCTTGAGACAGAATAGTCCCAAAGTTTTCACTTCTGAGCCCTTCTACTTCCACCGGGGCAGAAGTAAAGATAAAAGCAGAGTGCAACCGCAGTAAAAATCGCGGTGCAGCGTGTAAGTGATGAAAGCAAAGCTTGGCCGACGAAAAGATAAATTCCGGGCGGTCGGCGATTCTGCTCGGCCCAAGATCGGCCTTAGCCAGCCCCCTTCAGTAGGACAGAAGACAGCTTTCTCTACTAACTCCCTCGACTTCCTCCTCTTGATCTCCCTTCGATGACTATCTACTCATACGCCCTCTGTCGGCGATGACCATGATATTGCAAATCAGCTGCGATGTTCCGAATCCTTGAGTCGCAAGCTCCGGCCAAACAAACGGCTACGGACACAATTGACGTGTTAAGCAGTAGACTACAAAGTGCTACATTGCTTGAAGATAGACGGGCAGCAATTCAAGGACTCAGAAGCTTTGCAAAGCTTTATCCTGCTTCGGTGGCCTCTGGTGGTCTGCGATCACTGATCAGCAGTCTACGCAATGACAGCGAGGATGTTGACACCATCAAGGTGGTCCTTGAGACCCTTTTGATGCTATTTACGCCTGATGAATCCAGTGTAGGCAACTCACACTCGAACAATTATGCCCACCGAGTTACTGACAGCTATTTTTAGCCTGAAGCGTCGGATGAAATCGCCCTGTGGCTGGCAGATGAATTCACTCAGGTATGCAAAGCCACCCCGGCCATTGCATTATGAGCTAACACGGCCAAAGCGACAAGATAATATTACTACCCTACTCGACCTTCTCGAAGCCCGAGAGTTCTACTCCCGCCTGTATTCTCTCCAGTTGATGTCACACATTTGCAGCGCACGACCTGAACGAACACAAGAATGCATTTTCACAGCGCCATTGGGTATTTCCAAGCTCGTCAGTACGCTCGCAGATGCGAGAGAGCCGGTCCGCAACGGTATGCCGTGGTCGATGTCTGAAATTACTCGGGATTGAGATGGTTGAAGCTGACCATTTGTTTTCTCCATTCTATAGAGGCACTTGTCCTGCTTATCGCCCTGACCCCCGCATCGGAGGAATTGCAGAAGCTTGTGGCTTTCGAGAATGCGTTCGAGATACTCTTTTCTCTCATCGAAGCAGAGGGTGCATTGAGTCTTGGAACTGAAGTCGTTGAAGATTGCCTTTCCTTGCTGGCTCACCTGCTGAGATTTAATGTCTCAAACCAATCGTTTTTCCGTGAGACGGGCTCTATAAAAAGAGTGACAGCACTTCTTCATGAATGCCAACAGGAGCCAGAGGGCGACGAGCCCGTCCCTCAAATGACTCAGCTCCACCGAGATAAGAACGTCTGGGGTCTCCTGGCCATCATTCAGCTGTTTTTGATTCGTGGTGGCATGAGCACACCCATCAATCAGACTGCATTTTGGCAGAATGGTGTGACAGAACAAGTACTCAGTATAGCATTTGGCCAAAGATTCAGTGTCAACGTCACATCAAAGGCATTGGCAACTTGTGCTGATCTTATTCGCGGTAACTCGCCATTGCAAGAAAGATTCGGTGACATCGAAGTCCTATGGGGCTCTTACACCCGTGACGATCAGGTCGCCAATGGTGATGCACATGAACCACTGCGCATCAACGTCATCGAAGCTTTCCTAAAGCTCAGCCTTGAGCCTGCCCCCAACAGCCTTTTGGATGCACGGCTAGCTGCTTGTGAATGTATGAAGGCATTCTTTGCCCATCATTCTGGAATTCGCATGCATGTTCTCAGGCGAGCAATCGAAGGACATACTAGTGGCCAGGACAAGATCCCAAACATCCTCTCTGTGCTGCTCACTGCGCCGGAATCGCGAGGAAATGCCGATCCATACCAAGTGTGGATGGCATCTGTTTTGATGTTCCACCTGATCTTTGACGACGGAAAGGCGAAGGCACTAGCTATGAGTGTTACCGAGGGCGATGCTGACAGTGGCGAAGAAGTTGTCACCAGTGTTCAGTCTGTGGTCGGGAACCTAATTACTGGTTTGCAACGCGGCGATGATGAAAGAATCACAGTTGGCTACCTGATGTTGCTCTGTGGTTGGCTTTTCGAAGACCCGGATGTCGTCAACGATCTCCTTGGAGAGGGCAGCAGTATCCAAACCCTGTTGCAGGAGATCAAACACCAGCGGGTCCCCAGTAAATTGGTACCTGGTCTTTGCACTGTCCTATTGGGTGTCATCTATGAGTTCTCTACTAAAGACTCTCCCATCCCTCGCATCACGCTTCACAAGTTGCTTGTTGAGCAACTCGGGAGAGAACAATACATCGACAAGATCACGAGGCTTCGAGAATGTGAATTGGTCCGCGACTTTGAAGTGCTACCACAAACCTCAGGTGGTCAGCTTGAGGGTGGATTACCTGAGGTATTCTTTGATCGCTCTTTCATTGAGTTCCTCAAGGATAACTTCAGCCGTTTGCTTCGGGCTATTGATCGTGAACCAGGATTTGAGATTTCTGTCGTTGCCAACGGCGTCGAGAAGGGTGTCTCACGTGAGCTTGTGGATTCTTTGCGCGCAGAGCTCGAAGATCGGACCCAAACCCTCCAAAAGCTGGAGTCTGATCTTGTCAGCATCCAACGAAAGCTTGATCAAGAACATCAGGATCACCGAAAAACCAAGGAATCCGGCGCTATCGAGTTGACGAGGGCCCAGCAGGCCCAACAATCGCTACAATACAGTCATGCACAGGAGTTGTCGCACCAATTGTCAAGGCTAGAAGAGCAGCACAAGCATGCCCAAAATGATTTATTGAAGCAACACGGTGACCAGCTCCGCGCGATCGACCGTCAACTCAAGGAGGTTTCTGCTGAGTCCGAAAGAAAGAGTCACCACGCCAAAGAAGTGAGAGAGCATCATGAGCGCGAAGTTGCTGGTCTGCAGAAAACCATTCGTGGCTTGGAGGTAGAGCTCTCTCGAATCCAGGAACAACATATGGCAGAGGTTGCCAATTTCAAGAACAGAGCCCAAGAGTTGGAAAATGTCATCACCCAGTCCAGGGAGTCATACAAGGCACAGGGTGCCGATCTTGAAAAGAAAATTCAAGACTTGGAAGACACAAACAGATCTCATTATGGACAGGTTGCGGATCTTAACAAAAAGATCCAAGAGTTGGAAAGCACTATCAGCCAGTCGGAGGAAGCCCACGGTAGCCAGGTAACCGAACTCGAAAAGCACTTTGAAAACCTCGAAATCTTGAAGAAAAGTCACGGCGACCACGTGACGGATCTCCAGAAGAAGATCCAAGATCTGGAAAACAACAAGAAATCTTCTGATAGCCAAGTTGCCGATCTCCAGAAGCAGATCCAGGATCTAGAGAGTACCAAGAAATCTCATGGTAGTCAAGTCGCCGACCTTGAGAAGAAGATCCAGAATCTGGAGAGCACTAAGAAATCTCACGATGACCAAGTTTCCGACTTCAAGAAGAAGATCCAAGATCTGGAAAGTACCAAGAAATCTCACGAAAAAGAAGTCACCGAACTCAAGAACAAGATCCAGCACTTAGAGAGCACCAACAAATCTTCCGATGGAGAAGTGACTGGCCTCAATAAGAAGATCCAGGATCTGGAAAGCATCAAAAAGTCTCACGATAAGGAAGTCACCGACCTTAAAAACAAGCTCCAAGAGTTAGAAAGCACGAAGGGGACCCACGACGGTCAGGTCACCGATCTCGAAAAGAAGATCCAGGACCTAGAAAGCGCCAGAAAATCTGCTGAAGGTCAAGTTGCCGATCTCGAAAAGAAGATCCAGGGCCTAGAAAACACCAAGGGTACCCAAGGTGGACAGGTCATCGATCTAGAGAAGAAGATCCAGAGCCTGGAGACTTTATTGGCAGCATCCAAGAAGGAACACGAGAAGGAAGTTAATGACTATAAGAAAAAGCTTGAATCCTTGGAGTCGGATCTTTCCACTGCCAGAAAAGACCACGAGAACTCGGCTACTGGTCATAGTGACACGGTTGGGATTCTAGAGTCAAACCTCGCTACAGCCCAAAAGGAGCATGAGACTGAGATCGCTGCTTTGAAGAAAACAGTCGCATCCCTTGAGTCAGATCTTGCCAAGTCCCAGAAGTCCAGCAAGGACCTTCAAACAGCCCAAGAAGACACCTCAACTAAAACCTCTGCGCTGGAAACTCGGGCCAAAGAAGCTGAAGACAAGGCCAAGGAGGCCGAGTCTCAGGCTCGCAGTGCTGCTGACGCTCTCAAGGCAGTCCAGGCTCAGCTTGAAAAGGCAAGGGCGGAAGCGAAAGAGAAAGAGGAGTCTCGTCAAACCGCCCAATCTGAACTGGAAGACCTTCTAATTGTCTTCGGAGACCTAGAGGCAAAGAGAACCCAAGACAAGGTACGTTTAATGAATAAAATTTGTGGAACAAAACCACTAACAATACACAGAACCGACTCAAGGAGCTTGGAGAAGAAGTCTCAGAGGCTGAGGACGATGACGAGGACGAGGACGAAGAGGACGATGAGTGATAGAGGAATGTCTACTGAGTATATAGCTGCGCAATCGAGAGTAACTTCCTTCAGGGATGGCTGTATCACCATGGGAAATTATTATTCGAGTCATCTGTAAATTCTCCCATTGACTCATCTACTCCCTCGTATACTTCACCAATATGCCTTTTAGGGAAGGCGGTAAACAAGGAGGGGAGGGCATAAGGGCGCGCACTGGCAAAAAATCAATGGCGGGGTGAGTCACTTTTTTGGATAATCTTCACTCTACATCTTCGGGAAAATCGCAAACCATCCCACCATGTCGATCGATTTTCCTGCCGAGGAGGAGCTCGTCCTCAACCGGTGGAGAGAGATCAATGCCTTCCAACGGCAGGTCGAACTCTCCAAGGGCCGTGAACCTTATACCTTCTTCGATGGTCCTCCCTTCGCAACCGGTCTGCCTCACTATGGCCACCTTCTCGCCTCTACTATCAAGGATATCATTCCCAGATACTGGGCTATGAAGGGTCATTACGTCGAGCGACGATTTGGCTGGGATACCCACGGTGTCCCTATCGAATATGAGATCGATAAGAAGCTCGGCATGTCCGGTCTGGAGGCAGTTCAGAAGATCGGAATCGAGAAGTACAACGAGGAATGCAGAGCAATTGTTATGAAATTTGCCTCTGAATGGCGTCAGGTAAAGTCCCAGAATGGATTCACAAATTGCCTTTCCCAGCATTAGAATTAACACTCGAAATAGACCATTGAACGTCTGGGTCGTTGGATCGACTTTGACAATGACTACAAGGTACCATCTATATGGCCGGCCGTTGGTGTAACTTGCTAATTGTCTTTAACTTAGACTATGAACCCCTCCTTCATGGAATCCGTCTGGTGGGTTTTCAAGGAGCTCTTCGATAAGGGCCTTGTCTACCGTGGCTACCGTGTCATGCCATACTCCACTGCTCTCAACACCCCTCTGAGCAACTTCGAAGCGCAACAAAACTACAAGGATGTGCAGGACCCCGCCATTGTCGTAACTTTCCCTCTTCTGGATGACCCTGAGACTTGTCTGCTTGCATGGACCACCACTCCATGGACTCTCCCCTCCCACACTGGACTGTGTGTTAACCCCACTTACGAGTACGTCAAGATCTACGATGAGGCTACAAAGAAGAACTATATTCTGCTGGAAGGCTTGCTCAGAACGATCTACAAGGACCCTAAAAAGGCAAAGTTCAAGATTGTCGACCGCTTCAAGGGCTCTGACATGAAGGGATGGAAGTACCACCCTCTCTTCGATTACTTCTACGAGGAGTTTAAGGACTTTGGTTTCCGAGTCCTGAATGATGAATATGTCACCAATGAGGACGGTACCGGAATCGTACACCAAGCTCCATCTTTCGGTGAGGATGATTACCGGGTTGCTCAGGAGCACGGTGTGACCGACGAGAAGCGCCAAGCGCCAAACCCTCTCGATGCCCAGGGTTGCTTTACACCTGAAGTCAGAGACTTCGTGGGTCAAGGCGTGAAAGCCGCGGATAAGGGAATTATCAAGCATCTGAAGGCCAACGGCCGCGTTCTTGTTGACAGCCAAATCACTCACTCGTACCCGTTCTGCTGGAGAAGTGATACACCCCTTATCTATCGGGCCGTCCCCTCGTGGTTTGTTCGCATTGGTCCTATCATTCCTGACATGCTCAAGGGAATCTCAGAGTCTCACTGGACTCCCTCTTTCGTCAAGGACCGGAGATTTGCGAGCTGGATTCAAAATGCACACGATTGGAACATTTCACGTAGCCGTTTCTGGGGTACGCCTCTGCCTCTCTGGGTGTCGGAGGATTACAAAGAAGTGGTTGCCATTGGTAGCATTGAGCAGTTGAAGGAACTCAGTGGATACACTGGTGAAATCACCGACCTTCATCGTGATAAGGTCGATCACATTTTGATTCCGAGCAAGGAAGGAAGAGGTATGCTCAAGCGTGTCGAGGAGGTTTTCGACTGTTGGTTCGAGTCCGGTAGCATGCCCTACGCTTCTCAGCACTATCCCTTTGAGAACAAGGAACAGTTCGAGAATGGTTTCCCTGGCGACTTCGTTGCTGAAGGATTAGATCAAACTCGAGGCTGGTTCTACACTCTCACTGTTCTTGGTACTCATCTGTTCGGCAAGCTTCCTTTCAAGAACTGTGTGGTTAATGGAATCGTCCTTGCTGAGGATGGTAAGAAGATGTCGAAGAGACTTAAGAATTATCCGGATCCTACTCTGATTATGGACCGTTATGGCTCTGATGCGCTTCGTCTCTACTTGATCAACTCTCCGGTCGTCCGTGCCGAGCCTCTTCGTTTCAAGGAGTCTGGTGTCAAGGAGATCGTTGGAAAGGTGTTGCTTCCCTTGTGGAACAGCTACAAGTTCTTCGAAGGCCAGGTGGCTCTCTTAAAGAAGACCTCCCGCATCGACTTCATGTTTGATCCTAAGTTGGAGGCCACCAATACCAATGTCATGGATCGTTGGATTCTCGCCAGCTGTCAAAGTCTTTTGATCTTCGTCAACCAGGAGATGGCTGGTTACCGTCTGTACACTGTTGTGCCCCGTCTTCTCGAGCTGATCGAGAACACTACAAACTGGTACATCCGTTTCAACCGCAAGCGTCTCAAGGGTGAGAACGGTGTTGATGATACTTTGCACGCCCTCAACACTCTTTTCGAGGTCGTCTACACCCTGATCAGAGGACTTGCTCCTTTCACTCCCTTCATCACCGACAACATCTACCAGCGTCTTCTTCCTCACATCCCCGAGGCGCTCCGCGCTGAGGACAGCCGCTGTGTCCACTTCCTTCCATTCCCCGAGGTCCGCCAGGAGCTTTTCGATGAGGTTGTTGAGCGTAGAGTTTCCCGTATGCAGAAGGTTATCGACCTTGGCCGCATCTCTCGTGAGCGTCGGGCTATTGGTCTGAAGACCCCTCTGAAGACCCTTGTCGTCATCAACAAGGACCCGGAGTATCTGGAAGATGTTAAGTCGCTTGAGGGATACATTTTGGAGGAACTCAACGTTCTCGAGCTTGTTCTGTCCTCCGACGAGGCCAAGTACAACGTCGAGTACAGTGTCAACGCCGACTGGCCCACTCTGGGTAAGAAGCTCAAGAAGGACGTTCAGAAGGTTAAGAAGGCCTTGCCTTCGCTCTCTAGTGATGATGTGAAGGGCTACCTTGCCAACAAGAAGATCCTGGTCGACGGTATTGAGCTCGTCGAGGGTGACCTCGTTGTGAAGCGTGGAATCAAGGAGGATGACGGCTCAAAGGGCATGGAGACCAACACTGATGCTGACGTGTTGACCATCCTTGATATCAACCTGTACCCTGAACTGGCTCACCAGGGTCTGGGTCGTGAGATCATCAACCGTGTCCAGCGTCTTCGCAAGAAGGCCGGTTTGCTTCCCACCGATGATGTGAAGATGGAGTACACCGTCCTTTCGGATCCCGACAGCATTGGTCTCGGCGAGGCTTTCAAGTCCCAGGCTCAGGCTATAGAGAAGGTTCTGCGCCGTCCAGTTGAGCAGAGTGCCTTCGCCGACGGTAAGGTTCCGAGCGCGGATACCGAAGGCACCATCTCGCAAGAAGAACAGGAAGTCCAGAATGCCACATTCTTGTTGCGTCTTCTCAAGCTCTAGAGCACCAAGCTTGGTCTATGTCGAAATTACCAAAAGAGCATATGCAGATAGAAGTCTACAGTTTACATTTCCCTTTTCACTGCTTTACGAATGAAAATATACTCATGAGATTTCAAATTCTTCCTATAAATATAAAACTCGCATCCAATGCATTAGTAGTGAAATTCAGGATAGTATAATTTATAAGGCCTGCTCATATGCGCCAGTGGAACCGAAATCATAAAACCCTTAAACGCTTTATTGTACATAATATCGAGACCTTCCGCTTAGCCCTTTTTGGAGGCCGCCTGTAGAAGATGGTCAGCAAGTTGGCACTCACAATGCTTGATCAAATCACTTACCAGATAGCAGTTCTTCAGTCTCATAAACTCTTTGGCGCACATATCTTTGTGCACTGAGTTGTAATCCGTGACGACACACTTGCCGTATGCCGCAACCTGTCTCAGTTAGATCTGCAATACAAAAAGGTCGGCCACGGGATACAAACCTCTGCGGAACATTGAGCAGAAGCTTTGGCAATCTTCTCCACGGGACGAGTCTTTGCAGGCATCTTGTGTGTATTGATGGCGCTTGAGCTTGGAATGAAGTGAAGGAGAATCCAGGAATGTTACCTAATACGTATATGAGCACGTGACCGCGCCGCATGTTTCTGTCGCGACCAACCAAAACAACTCGGCCAAGACTCAGATTAATGACTCTATTTCTTTTCTTGCGCATTTGCTGATCGCAGACAAGCTCTGCTTGCGCATGTCTTTTCTCTGCATATCCCGTTTTCGCGATGATTTATTTGGTACGCCTCTATGACCCAGATGCGACAAGCGCGCCTTAAGATCGCGAATTTCGATGCCTCCGATATCCTCTCAGCGCCGAGCCGTGACCGAAGAGAACTCGTCTCTTTCAGACGAAGGTAGGATTTGATGCAACACCTATTACCCGTGACGTGAACCTAATAGCGTCCACTTAGATGTCGGCTTTCTCTACCAGGTTATCTCTGACGCAGAGAAGAAGCCCTCGGTCGACCTACTCCCTTTCCGCGCGCTTTTTGAAGCATACGATGAAGCCATTGAGGAACATGGCAAGAAATATGGCGTCGATGCAGACCCAGGCCATGTCTGCTTGCGCTTCCTGTTCAAGATGGGAAACAAAGACGTGCCCGGGAAGACCCTTTACGACAAATTCGAGAATTTGCTTCAACAGATGAACATCGCGATTCAGTTCAATTTCAGTGATGGCGATGATTCCACAGATGGCTACGGCAATTATACGGTGGATAATATTCCCAGCGAGTCTCCCATTACGAACGGTGTACCACTACCTACTCCGAAACGACGCGCCTCGTTCAATACCACAGTTGACATTGGCGAGGATGTTACACAAAGGAGTTTCATCAATCGTCCAAGCTCTCGCTCGTCAATGTCGCGACTTGAAGTTGGCAAGCCCGAGTTTCAGAAGCCCAAACTGTCACCTACGCCCAATGTCCATTCCGGCCTTAATAAGTCGCCAGATCGGACACAACTGATTAGCCAGTTCTTGGATGTTGGTCGTCGGTTGTTAAGTAGATTCGACGGGATCGAAAACAAAGACCCAGTCAAGGAAGAAGCCCCGTTAACCAATGGATTAACCAACGGGGTGGTGGCAAGGTCAGCAGTCGCTCGCGATCGTTCAAAGAGATTAGCTGAAGCTTCACGTTCACGTTTAAGTTCATATCAACAACGCGCTCCCTCGCCTGATTCATCAGCCACTGAGTCCGAGGATGCGCAGTCAATTCTATCCGAAGGCCCAGAACACGATTCATTCGAAAAGGAAGAGGCTCCGCCGGAATATATTTACCGTCCACAACTCTCAGATCTACTTCGGGACGCATCAACTTTCAATATGTACCGACAACGGTCGATTTGCCGTCGAATCTTGACATTATGGTTGAAAAAGGCCTTCCAGGCAAGACAAACGCGTCAAGCTAGAGAAACAATCGCAATCAATTATGACCGAGGTCTTCTTACCCGACAAGCTTTTGAACCATGGCTGGGAATCATTCAAGATAAACGTCACTCGGCTCAAACGGAACGGTTTTTCAAACACCTTGAAGAGCGTGCCAGCCGTGCGCGCGATCTATATTTGATGACGAAAGCGTTCAGTCACTGGGCTCAATTTACCTCGGATGAAGTAGCTCGTACTTCTGCTGCCAGAAGACATGTCCTTGGAGTCAAGTATTTTAACGCATGGCGTGAGATCACTGCAGTCAACGAGTTGAAAGCCCAACGCTTTGCCTTGCGGAGGCCTTTCAACACATGGCGGAAGAAACTCCAGGATCTGAAGGCGGCAGAGGCCCAAGCTGTTGCTTCTCGGCAAGCAAAGATGCAAAAAGCGTCATTCTGGCACTGGTGGTGGTGTTTCTGCGATCGCCGTGTTCTGGAATTATCCGACTATCGACTAAAAAGACGGTCACTTCTTGCTTGGCTTCGAAATTTCCGAACCAATCGAGAGCGTGTCCACGAAATAGACCTACACAACAGACGGTCATCTCTTATGTATGTCCTCCAGATATGGTCTCATCACTCAAAGACCATTGCTTTTGCAGAGCAGGAGGTTCAAAATTCTCGACGTCAGCATGCCCTTAAAGACACGTTCGATGAATGGAGAATTCAGTCTCGGCTGGCCCCAGCTGCTTCTCGTGTATCAGAGATGGTTGATACTAGGATTGTGCGAAATGCTCTCTCACAGTGGATGACAAAGGCTCAAATGACGAAACAAGCTGAAGAAATGGACCGTATTCGTGTTCAGCATAATGCATGGACGTCTTGGAACGACACGCTTCGTTGCTTGGCCCTCCGTGCTCGAATCGATGAGCGGCTCAAGATGGAAGCCATGTACAAGTGGATTCTGCTGGAGAGGTTCGAGCTGATGCGGAGAATACGCGAGCAACGCATCAAGCGGGAAGTGTTTTCTCGATTTGTAACAAATACCCGAGGCACATACACTCGCTTGCTGTTCCATGCAGAAGTTCATGAAGATCACCGTACTGAAGACTTGGTGCGGTCCAAACTCGCCATTTGGCGGGATCAAGTGCAGCTTCAGCGCGAGCGAGAGTATGTGGCATCTGAGTTCTATGCTCCGCGGCTGGCAGCCGAGTCTCTTGCAATTTGGCAATCCAAGCATAAACAGGTGCTCAAGATGGAAGGATGGGCTAATGATGCCCGATACTACTTCTTGGTGAAGAGGACAATGAAGCAATGGCATCAGGCCAAGGTGGATTCCGGCAAACGAAGGCGACAAGAGTCGTACGCAAAAGTTCGACGGAAAATCAAAGTCAATCTCGCCTCCAAGGCGTTGGCTGTCTGGGCCTCAAGAACGCGGAACATCCTTGAGATGGAGCAACAGGCCAGTGATGTTGATCGTGACAAGTTGCTGACGGATACATCTGAGATATTTGTCCAATGGCATGAGAAGACCACCAAGAGGATACAGGACGTCCAGGATGCCGACGATTCTTATTTCAGACAAGTTGCCTTCGGCCAGCTAATGCAAATGTACGAAACCTTCGTCATTCGCCGTGAGATGGAAGATCAAGCAGACAATGTCCTCCGATTGCATGTCCTGAAACAGTCGGCTGCTTCCCTTCGCAAGATGAGTCTTCGCATCTTCCAGATCAGCAGTACCACCGAGACTGCCGAAGCTATGCGTGAAAGAAATCTCAGAAAGCATTCCAGAAACATGTTCCGTAACTGGGTGGACAACGCCAGAATGAAGCTAGAGGCTCGAGACTCTGCTGGTCCGCCTATGACTCCCGGTCCAACCCTGACACCTGCACGAGTCTCAAATTTCGGGCAAGTAGATGACGCTGGCTCAGCGCTATTCGACCCCTGGTATCAAGACGAAGCCGAAACACCCTTCAAACTCAGCGACTTTACGAACACCTCCCAGGAGCCGGTCTCCGCCACTCCCCTCGCAACCCCGAGTTTCACTACATCACCTTCTAAACGAGCCGCGCGAGCGCGAGCACTGGCACAGATGTCCACCACCCCCGCCACCCCCTTACGCACCCCTTTCGCAAGTCGGCTCCTTCGCGCCGGTACCACAACAGGCCAAATCGCATCCTCCATCCGGCCACGCACTGGTCGGCGAACCTCCGTAGGAACCAGCGTCCGCTTCGTGGACGAGGAACCTCCTGAGTCTCCGACAGATGGTCGCCGATCAGCGAATCGACGACCTTGACGTTCTCGATTGGCATATGAACTTTTTCCAGCTGCTTCAACCTCCTGTACATCAGCGATGATTATAGCTTTCCTCTTCGTGTCTTGTTGATAGTTGTTTCATTCTATGCATCAACCGGCGCAACATATAGCGAGTTCAGGGATTTTGGGGTTTTGGTATACAATGTACTTTGACATGAATGAACGTGACTTTAACGTTAATTGTATGAGCTTGAAAATTGCAGCTATAAAACCCCGTAGACTTCGTACAATGGCATATGTTAGCCAACCGTGTCGTTCGATGTGAGTAACTTACTGATTAACTTAATTGCTCCTTATCAAGTAGCTCTGTAGCTATGCTTTGAAGTTCGCGAGAACTTTAACCTAGACTAAAATACTTATATCAAACAAACAACAAACCAACCACCGATATAATGGACATCAGGGGCGTCCCCTTGCCCGAAATGAGGCTATCGAGGGTCATTCGTCACACCGAGTGGAGCGGAAGCGTAATTGACAACTCTCCCGCCTCCGCGTATCTAGACCTCCCCCATCATCAACTACCTTCATTCCGCTCCCTCCTCGCGCCTCCTGCTCCTCTCAGGAAATACAAAAATCGAACCTGGCAATGGTGTAACGTGACTCCAAGCGCAACGAGCGTCCAGCCTCCGAACCAACCGCCTCTATGCGAGCGGTACTGCCGGGGAGACCCCCAGCGAAGCTCCAGTCGTTCAGCACGGTGCTGTGGGATGGTCTTCGTGTTGTTGTATGTGCTCCTCCAAACTGAAAATATCTTACTCCAGCTCCAGTGCCCGGTTAAAATCCTCTGTCGCTGACCTTTACCCGCGCGCGTTCTAGGCATACATCTCTGGCCACGCGCTGGTCATCCTCGGCGGTCCGCAGAAGCTTCTACAAACCATTTACGTCGACGATACCGATTCTCTTGAAGCTGTAGCTTTTGAAGAGACGTCGGGGAAGATTGCTGTTTGTGGGGGCCCCGACGTGTTCGTGTACCAGCCGTACGGCATCCAGGGCGAGGCTTTAAAGGTGCGCATACAATTCAATCCCGAAGCTTGACTTTGCGAAATAGAGGCGCGCAAGAAGGACGAAAATATATGTTGACACATGGCTATATTTAGTGGTCTCTCCTTTATACGTTTCGCGCCGGCGATGACAACGAACCGATCTACACGCTATCCTGGGGTTCTCCGAACGAGCTCCTGGTGGGCAACTCCAGGCTCGCCCTCTGGTTTCTGAATGACGAACCGCGCCTAGTATGGAAGCGCCAGCTTGCGACTCCAGTGAAATTCGCGCAATTCTCGCCAGATTCAGCTTTGATTGTTACAATAGGCAAATACGACCGCTTGGCCAAGATATGGAGGCGGCTCGCGTTTGGTGCGGACGAGGTCCGGTTTGAGGTCTCGTATCTCCCGCACCCGAATGTCGTTACTGGGATACACTGGCGAATGCCGCGACACCCTGAGCAATCTATGGATAATGTTCTATACACATTTTGCGCCGACAACAAGATCCGGGTATGGGCGGTGACGGACCACCATGCGCTATCTCCGCTACAGTTCTGGGCTGCGATTGATATGAGTGAGTCGGTTCAACCTAGACATACCCTAGATGAGGAACAGGGACCACAACGGCGATATGGGTTTATCTTGGACGGCCGCGACTTTTGCGCCGCAACTGAGCGTGCCGTTCAGAGGACCGCAGGGAATAAAGAAAACCATGCATTGGAACATATCATCGAGGTTGCCAACAAGGCGCCGGAGATCTGTGTCGTGATTGACGGTCAGGGCCATATGTCTGCCTGGGCCTTGGAAGATGTTGGTTCTAAAGCAAAGACCAAGTTGAGCGTCTTCAATATTCTCCACGTGGAGGGGTTGGAGTTTGGATTTGCAACTGATAGGTCGTTGCAAGAGGACTATGCTCAAATCCATGCATTCCAAAATACATCATCAGATGACACATTAAGCGTTCTGGTTCATCACTTTGACGGCCGGATTGAGTGGTATGATTCCCATGTTGATGTCCTCTTTGACCCTGCACCTCGAACAAAACGAATCATACAGACAGGGTCATGGTCCGGCCACACGGCTCCGGTCAAGAAGATTGTCAGAAACGCCGTTGGAGATACACTTGTGTCGCGTACCAACGAAAACAAAGCAATGGTGTGGAAACAGCGGCGCCATGATGGTGGAACAAGATTGGCCCATAAAAGCGTGGTGCTCTCTGACGAGCATATCCACCGCACATGTGTGTTGGAGAACACCGGTCTTCTTGTCAATCTCCACCATAATGGCATTTCCCTGTGGGATTACAGTTCATATCATGCAAAGAAATTGGCTTCATTGCCATTTACCCAGGCCGGCAAGCCGCTCTGTGTGCTCCCAATCCCCAGCACTGAGACCACTGCGGGCGTTGCTTATGTAGCGACTATCTGGGCAGATATGCATGGCATCGCTTGGGAAATCAGATGGCCCACCAAAGACAGTCAGAGCGAATTTGGACATGATGCTGGCTATCACCTACGGGAGTTCTGCAAATTTGACATGGGATTGAAAGAAGACATTGCATACATTCTTCCCGTCGACCCAGCCGGTCCCAAAACGAAACAATATGGCTTCCTCGATTCTTTTTCTGCCGACATCGCTCTCTCATATACATATAGTGGTGTTGTGCGTACATGGACCGCCAAGGTTGACTCTGCAAATGCAAAGGCCGAATGGCTGCTGCAATCCACAGTTGACACTGGCATCACGAACCCCTCTCTGGCCAGTGGAAGCTCCATTCGCAAGGCAGCTTTGGTAGACGAGGATCGGACCCGTCTTACCATTTGGGATACCAACAATGCCCAGTTGGAATTTGAGGAACGGTTCGCTTCACATGATATCATTCGGGATCTTGACTGGACCTCGACACCTCACAAACAGTCCATCTTGGCCGTGGGATTCCCACACAAGGTTGTTCTTCTGTCACAACTTCGTTACGATTATTTAGATTCCCGACCTTCGTGGACTCAGGTCCGGGAGATCTGGATCCGGGATCTCACACCCCATCCCATTGGAGACTCCTGCTGGCTGAACAATGGCCATTTGGTCATAGGCGCAGGTAATCAACTCTTTGTTTGGGATAAGGATATAGATATTGGAGACCGTCTGGTTTCTGAGCTTCGAATGCCGTCTCGGGGACTGCCGTCCGTCGATATGTTCGACGTTGTTAGCCGGCTTAATGGCCCGCTTCCTGTGTTCCATCCACAATATCTGGCACAGTGCATCCTGGCTGGGAAGACCAGTCTAGTACATTCTATTCTGTTAAACCTGCACCGGAAACTGAAGTTCTATACCGAAGGTGACGAACTAGATGGCTTCTTGGAGATACCGGTTGAGTATTTCTACGAGGACGATGGCTCCGGACAAGCGATGTCTAAAGAAATGCGCTCCTCGTACATCGATTCCACTGACGAGGAAATATCCTCTGTCATGGATGAAAATACTGCGACTGCACTTAACGAGAACTTGGCACGCATTGCTCTCCCACAATTGTCCAGCCATGAGCAATTCCGTCTGGCTGATACCATTGAATGTGTCGCAATGGTCGAGAAGCACAGGCGATCAATGGACGATAATGCAGCACGCTATCTCCTGTTCTTCCGACAGCACATGCTGCGGCGGACCCAAGGGGTTGCCAACAAAGACGCAGTCTCATGGCGAGAGATTGTATGGGCTTATCACAGCAGCAGCCAAGACATCCTCACGGATCTAGTATCACGACAGTTCAATGGGAAGCTGACATGGAAGGCTGCTCGTGAGAGCGGTATTTTCATGTGGCTCTCAGATCCGGTCGCTGTTGTAAGTATTTCTTTTCATATACCCATGGTGCCGCCAGAACTGACTCTTCAATTAGAAAGTACAACTCGAGATCCTTGCTCGGTGTGAATACACCAAGACAGAAGAGCGGAATCCCATCGACTGCACTCTGTATTACCTGGCTCTTAGGAAGAAGAATGTTCTCCAGGGTCTCTGGCGTATCGCACATTGGAACCGCGAACAAGCAGCCACCCAGCGTTTGTTGTCGAATGACTTCAAAGAACAACGATGGAAGACATCCGCACTCAAGAATGCCTATGCATTGCTCGGGAAGCGACGATTTGGTAACTTTGACCAGTTTCCCTCAAATTGAAACAAAGCTAACATCTATCAAGAATATGCTGCATCTTTCTTCCTTCTTGCAGACCACCTACGTGATGCCGCAAATGTGATCATAAACCAGATGGGTGACCTACAGCTCGCGATCGCAATTACGCGAGCCTATGAAGGAGACAAAGGACCAGTTCTACGAGAAATCCTTGAAGAGAAAGTCTTACCCGAAGCTGCATCGGAGGGAAACCGCTGGATGGCCTCGTGGGCTTTCTGGATGCTCGGACGACGAGATATGGCAGTGCGGGCACTGATCGTAAGTTGCATGGTTTTCCAACTATTAGTACAAACTAACATGCCTCTAGTCACCGGTTGAGACTCTCCTATTACCACCAACCCCAGCCTTCCCAGAAAGCCCGGGGCGAGTAACCCTGCAATCAAAATCCTACCTTTCTAACGATCCCGCCTTGGTCGTTCTCTACCATCAACTCCGCGCAAAGACTCTCCAAACCCTCAAGGGCGCCTCAAAAGTTCGACCCCATGAGGAATGGGAGTTTGTCCTCCGCAACGCCAGGCTCTACGACCGCATGGGCTGTGATCTCCTCGCTTTAGATCTGGTGCGCCACTGGGAGTTCCTAGGCGGATTGCCCACGCGGGACTCAATGCACGCCAATACTTCTCTTGAAATGAATGAGAACGGCGTTGATTATCGGAAGTTGCTACGTCGGCGAAGTAGCCTGGTTGTGGCTGACTTGCCGGTGCGACTTTCAGACTCCCGGGTTCTTGTAGGGACCGAGGCGACTGGGCATGAATCTAAGAAGGAAGAGACGCCCAAGCCGAAACCGCCGCCGACTATGTTCCATGAGCCGGATGCTAATTCTTTGTTGGATAGCTTTGGGTTCTAAATTAGGCGTTTAGTCTCCGACCTTGTAGTACTGCTATCTTCTCGGACCATACCTTACTCTATCGCTTGAATGATGATGTTCGGTTCCGCAGTTTGAAGCAAATCTGAACAGTCAGGAAAGGCTTTTACTGATACATAATAATTGAACACTACTTTCAAGGAGACATACTTTCACAAAATAGGATTGACTTTTAGGTTTCTAATATACATGTATGTATTCTGGACAAATTTCATCAAACATCAAAAAGAGAACGCTTAAAGACCCAAATGACCAAATGAAATCAACTCAAACGAACCGAGCCACGCGCTTGCGCAAGGCAGACAGACGTCGACGCGAGATAACAGTACGGTTGCCAGCAACAGTACCGTTCTGATGCATGGTAACATTAAAGTGATGAGTACCATTGTGCTTGCCATCAATAAGAACAGAAGGCTTATTTTTCAACAGCTCCATCATCTTATGAACAATCTGCTGGCTCTCAGCATGTCCAGCATTGTTAACACGACCCTCCTGCTCAGGCTCACGCTGGTTCTGCGTGATCTGCGACAAATGCCAGGAATCCGAGTTTGACCCGGGAGTCTGGATGTTGTTGATATCCTCAATCGAGGTCTGTTTCTCAGCGCGCACGGGCTCATTGGGTTCATTCGTCTGCTGTGTGTTGGCTTGCTTGGCTTGCGTTTTGGCCTTAGGGTCCACATCTCCATCCGCGATGCCGTTGATATCTTTGTCGCACACTAGGCTCACCCACACTTGGTTGTATGCTGCGAACTGGCGTCCTTTACATTCACTGACCTCGACACCGTCGCGAATTTCCTTGCTGATCAGAGGTGGGTCGATGCATTCTGGGACCTCGTGCACGGTGATGTTGCAGCCGCTGCCACCTTCTAGGAAGGGGAGGTCGTGGTTGTGGGAGAGGAGTTCGCCATCAATGGAGATGGCACTGACGATGCTGTGCTCGTAGGAGGGGACTGAGATGCTCTCACAGCTACCGACAGTGATGTCTTTAGATGGCGCTGTTTCCTGATAGTTCTCGTATGTGTCTAGCTTGGAGAAGGCGTCGCCGGGGCAGTTGGGGTAGAAGTGTGTCCAGACTCGGGCGACGCTTTGGGCGTTCTGGGCGTGAACTGACCCCGAGAGCAAGGAGAGGGAGATGAATGATGCGGTGAGGGAATGCATAGTTGCTTTAGAGCTTCAATATCCGTAAATAGTGATGCTTGGATATCAGAGTGTGATTGATGATCTGATTGTACCTGACGCTCATCACCTCCTATTATATAGGCTATTGTCTATCATTCCATTAGTGCACCAGGGTAATAGGATGGCGGGGAAGAATGATTGGAATGGCCTTAATGCTGGACGTGAGACGTGTCTAAAGGCAAATTGGGCCACCGGCGCCATACCAGGTGGCGGGATAGTATCATAAATTCGATATGCCTTCTATCGATTGGGTGATTGCACATTCCAATCCCAGAATGTTCGTATAATGCCGATCTAGGATCGTGTGTGGTATGTAGGCGTTGTGTTGCTCCCACATTCCAGTTGACGGCTGTAAGCCACTGAATGGCTTGGTAATGCTTGATCTGCAAGAACAATGCAATTTCATTTGTTGGTCAGATGAGAGATGGCAGTTTAAAAATAATTGGCAATCATGCATGAGGTTGGCCGGTGGTCATCATTCCGGTTTGAAGCATTTTTATTGGTAGTTCTTGACAGCCAATTGACCCAGGGGCTAAGTGAGATTATATGACTCGATTAGGACTCTGTGTGATTGGCCCAACTGGTATTGTATTCCTTATGGCTAAGCTCTCAAGTCAATGTTCATGAACCACTTGGATTTCTATAGAAATTGCACACGGCGATATGAAAATCACTTGATACACGTCGTAGAATACAGCCACCGTCCGAGGACTAATTGAGCGTAAGAAAGGATATGACTCTCTTTACAGCCCTAGCTTGAAACCACCCCAGTTGAGTCTGGAGAACACTCCTTTAGGATCGTATGCCGATCTGACCGTCCTCATACGAGCGACATTCTCCTTGGGGAAACCAGCATAGGGATCCTGCCATTCACCAGCGTCTCCCATATAGACAAATTCGGAAGCAATGCCCTTTTCTTGGTTAATAACGTGGAGGTGTTCGCTCAGTTGACGAGACCAAGCTTCCATACGGAGATCATCCTGAGCGAGGGCCCAGCCAGTGCTGAATTGCCAAACTATTGAACTGTGGTTAGCTATTGCTGCACGAAACTCACTTCAATGGGTTTGTGTCGACTTACTGATCAGAGGCTCTTCTTCAAGTCCCCAGACATTACCAACACCATTGGTCTTGGCCACACGGACAGAGGTGGGGGAAATGACATTGGTGACGAAGGTAGGATAAAGACCCTCGACATCCGCGACTTGATCCACTGCATCCTTCCAAGCTTGGAAGATCGAGTACAGGGCATCTGCATCGGGCTTCATGGTCTTGTGAGAGAATTGAACCCTATAAATAACGTGAGTATCTAGGTATCTCTAGTGGTATAGGGCTCACATACCGGAACATTTGCTTTGGAGAGTCAAGTTGGTTGGCCCAAGGCTTGATCGTGGTAACATTGTGGATGCGTTGAATGGCAGGGACCTTTGTGAAGTTGGCGAATTCGGTAGGGGGGTTGCTGATACCCTCCTGAACACCCAGGAGAGTGCCTTGAGCTATCTTGGTGGTTGTATTGTATGAGATGGTAGCAATCATCCCCGCGGCGGTCGGGTCCTCTTCGTTCAACTTGGCAGCCTCACAAACAGCGGCGAGATATTCAGGGATATGGGTTTCATTGAAGATCTGGATAGTGGTGCTAACCTTTGGCACATTAAAGGTCTTCAGTTCAAATCGCGTAACGATACCGAAGTTATTCGCACCGCCTTTTAAAGCCCAGAAGAGGTCACTGTGGGAGGTCTTGTTGGTGGTGATCTGGGTGCCATTTCCGAGAATAATGTCGTAGTTAACAACATTGTCCATGGCGTATCCGTACTTGTTGTTGAAGTAGTGGAAGCCACCGATCAAAGTAAGACCAGGAACCCCGATTGTTTTCATACGGCCTCCGATGCAAACGCGGCCATAGGGCTCGAGTGCTGAGTACACGTCGTACCAGGTGAGACCGGGACCCACGTCTACCGTATCTCTCTTCACCTTGACAGAGTTCAGATTTGACAGGGCAATAAGAACACCAGCGTCGATGTTGTTCGCCCCGGGGTACTGTTTATTGTCAGTCCTCTATTCAAAATGGGCCTTGGGATGAGCTTACATTCATATGACCTCCACCCCGAACAGCAAATTGTGCATTGCAGGAACCAATGATTTTAACAGCCTGCGAAACCTCACTGGCGGTATTGGGTACCACAACACAAGCCGGTGAAAGGTCAGCGCGAACATCCCAAAACTTGTCGATCGTCTCAATGACATAGTCTGTAGAGCCTGGGAAGATCATGCGCTTAGGCATAGAATGACCAAGCTTTGCGCAAGCACACGAAACGCCATTGGGAATTTCAAGAGTGCTAGAAGAGGTCCCGATGGAACTAGCCAGAGTGGTTGAGGCACTCGCGCTGGAACTCGAGCCGGCATATGCCAGGCCCGAAAGGGATAATCCAGCAATAGGAAATACAAGATGCATATTGTGCGCAACAAATTCAAATGGATAAATATCCGTGAGTGAGAATTGATGCTTTAAATGGTAGCAAGCAACCCCTTATATAGCAATTTTCCAAAGTTCTGCCCCCTGATCCACGGTAGCAATACTTGTGAGCCTCGATGCTGTTATCCATAAAACCGAGTCTGTTTCGGTAGTCCTTATGGTGATCACGGCAGGTTCTCGGTTTCGGATCGGGATTTTGGATACTTGCGAGTCCTGGTCATGCTCCACATGATTCTAACAGGGCTGAGCTTGTTTAGGCAGAGAGATAAAAGTGCTAAGCCACGGCTCAGCACACTGTAATAAAGCATACATTGAAAACGACACAGCGTCAAGCAGACAGATACTCAGGCAGTGACATTTATACGGACCCGAACCCGAGGTCACTTTAAGCTTCCGAGTGCGAAGTCCCCACCAATAGAACGCTGAGTGGAAACCTTTCATCTCGGGTTCGGGTTCGTATAATTTCAAACGCGTGTGTTTTCGACTGGGCAGAGCAGGTTCTCTTTGAATGAACATTAGCCATTAAAATATACTTCGGAAGAAAATTAGGTTGCCTCTGGCGTAGTACTAACCGCGGAGCCCATTGGGGTTTATTCTGGATACACTTTAGAAGAAATTCGTTCAAAAGTTATTCTTCTCATGCATTCTACGCCATAGTCGCTGACACGTTAGACCTACTATTTAAGACAAAAGGAACCATTCAAATAAGTCAAGTAGGTGCCAGCTCCTATAGTAGGAGCATTATTGAATTAATACTGTATAAGGTCAGACCGCGTGATCTTTTCTCGATCCGAAGTACGGCTGCGATGTCTACCAGAGCCAACTTGTCGTTGGCGCGATTCAAGAAGAAATAATTCAAGCAAAAAGAGAAAGATATGCGTTTGTGCGTTTGTCAAGCACTAAAACAATGGGTGCATTCTCTCATTTCAACAACCTTTTCCAGTGAAGGTTCCCATTATGATAGCTGAAACGGCTTGTCTTGTCAACTATTCGTTGAATGATGTAAATGGCACAAGGAGAATGCTATTAGCATTCGGGTGGAAGTTATCAGATTATTTTGACGAAGGCGAGGGAACAAACATCTGTTCATTGAGTTAGACCCTAAGGACGGGGGAGCTCTAGTGGATTGGCTATTGTGGCTAAATTTGATGGATCTTATTTCAGAGCCAACTTGGTTGCGCTGCAGTAGTCTAGCGAACCGCGAACGAGTGGTTGATATCTTACTTGCTCTTGAGAACACCTACTTGCAATAAGCGAGGAAAATTGAGATCTCCATGTAGTGGAAATTGCTGGTTAAACGACGAGAGTACATTTTCATCAGCTAATTTGAACACAAGTTGAGTTGGAATTTCGTGGGAGATTGTGTCAATTGAATGATGGAATTCAATCACTTAATTATGCTTCCAGCCATGCAAGTCGTACGCAGTGCTACAGTGATAGGCCATGAGTTCTTAACCCCGCCTTTATATAACCAAGTAGCCAAACCGAGACACACAAAAATGGACGGAAAAAGAGATAAACAAGGAGAGGCCAAACTAGGGCAAAAACAATGCATGAAACGGTATAGTGTACTCGCTTCGAGGCTTTCATGTAAAGATTTCTCAATACTTCATGGCAATGTGTACAGATTTATGACCCCTGTTGTATATTCGAGATATATAATAATAGTGGAATTACAAGTTTACTACCGGCAAAATTGTTTGGGCATCATAGTGCACAGGGGGCGGTAATATACTGCCGTAATCGGCTACCAACGAGAGCTTGAATCAAGTTTACTTATGATTGCCGCAAAGCCATTGTGGACTAGTCAATAACTTTTGTTATAGCAAACGTTACTAGAAGTGCCAACCTAAAGTATTTAGAACTCGCTATCTTTAGCCTTGCTTCTAGCAAATATGAGGTCATCCCATGTACCTCATTCGGGCTAAAATTTATCGAGATTTGTCATCCCGAATCTATCTGTCCGGAGCTACGGAACCAAAACCCGGATCACGGAAACGCCTCTGTCCGGTCTACGAAAGATATAAGAGGGTAATCAATTCAGCTTTCATAATTTCTGGCTTCCTCCACCTATATAGTCTCTAGAAGATGGCAGGAACACACATCTTGGTTATCGGGGCTACTGGTAAGCTCCCTTTCTCTTGCTAATTATGTTTTTGTGGTTATTTTTCTTACCGTGTACTAGGGCCATCGGGCATGGAATTCTGCAAAACTGCACTAAGGCGAGGGCATATCTTGACTCTCTATGTGCGGAACCCAGCTAAGCTCCCTGCCGAGATAACTGAAAATGCGAACGTCTCGGTGGTGCAGGGTACGCTGGAAGATATGTCTAGCTTCCAGCGTGCAGTAACTTCAGGTGCTTCAGTCTTCGTCTCATTTGCAGGCCCCGTTATGAATTCAAAGGGAACTGTACGTTAACGAATACGCCCACTATATCTCCTAATACGACCGAACTTATATTAACTAAGTATTGCAGCCTGTGACTGATGCTATGAAACGTATATTTCCGATCCTAGTAGCCAACGACTACAAGAGAGCAATGGTGCTCGGAACATGTTCATTCCCCGCACCACAGGATAGAGGCGCACTCAAGTGGAAAGCGTCAATCATCCTTATCAAAATCATAGGCGGGTCGGCCTATGATGAGTTCAAGGGTCTTGGTGCGTTTGTGACATCTCAAGACGCCTCGCAGCTTAAGTGGACTTTGTTTCGAGTCCCTTTCCTGAATAATGGCCCCGATGCACCAGTAACTGCTACATATACAGGAACTGGCAGCGACGGAATGTTCCTATCCAGGATAAGTTTGGCGACTTGGGTATCTGACCAGATATCCGAAGACTCTGATTGGATTGGCAAGGCGCCTGTATTATCGAATTGAGGATAAAGATGGGACATACAGTATACGCCTGTTACTTGTTGCCTTTGTGCAATGGTCTACTTAATAATGTACGTACCAATTGTGCGCTATCTCTATTTTCTATGGATGCGTTTTTTTTACAGCCTAAACGGTGTCGCCTTTTTACACTTAAGCTCTGAAAGTTTACGCTAAAACCGATCAGTAAAATGACACACTTGAACTACACTCCCAACTTGTACGGCTTCATGGTGGCTTCAATGCGTATTGACCAATTAATCATAAATACTTGTTACTAGCGAAGGTTTTAAACTAGGAACAAGACAATAAATCAAGAGCCCAGATGAAAATACCGGTAAGTCCAAAATCGGTATCCGGTTGGTATTTGCCTCCGCCGCGCCGGTATTCTTCCCGGAGATCTTTTAGGGTTAATCTCTAATTTCTTTTTGGCAAGAGCATAGAGGGTTAAATGCCATCCAATATTATGCATTTACTCCTTAATCTTACGTATGTACTTATCTACATGGTCTCAGGAACGAGATATACGTAGTCTTCAATTGCTCTGTCTTTCAAGCCTGCTATATGACTTATCATCCGTCACGGTGATAATTTATAGCTATGCGGGACGGAAGCATAGCCTCCGTGTGTGTGAAAGCCCTTCCGTCCCCGAAGGTGGATTGTTCAATGTTCCCCCTCCTCTGAATAAGCCTATTCGTCGACGACAGGAACTGAAGGATCAGTAGGGGATGGCTGCAATGACTAGATTGTGTACTGACTGCCGGCCTATGGCCCCTGGGTGAATTATCTCCCTTGTTCCTCGTTCTAATTTCAAACGACTTATATCACACTCCGTCCATTTAATTTCCTTTCTCCTTTCCACACCCTATCCTTGTTACATTTCTACTCAGTTTTCTTTTGTTCTTTCCTTCCTCAAACCGGTGAAGCATAAGTAAAACCTCCTCACAGCCGATAACCTGCCACATCGAAGGTCTGTTGGACAACAACAACCATGAAACCGAATTACGAGGGCTCACTCCGATTCGAGGGTCTGAAACAGCGTATGGAGCCATGGTTGGTTATGATAATACTGATCACCGCTTGGTGAACCATCAGACAAAACGTATGTCTATATCGCGAGAGGACGAAGAGACACCCTTGTGAGATTGGCGAGTCAAATTTCTCAAAAGATTTCTAAGGGAGCAGTTTTTTGAGATTGGCAAAGACGATGCAGCTCTAAACCCCGCCAGCGAAGAGTTTGATCTCGAGAAGTGGCTCCGCCATACGATCATGGGCGCGAAGAGTGAAGGCATTCGCTTGAAAAGTTCTGGCGTCATCTTCAAAGACCTACATGTCACCGGTAGTGACTCAGCACTGATGTTGCAAGAGACTGTTGGCGATCTTTTGATGGCGCCACTCAGGATCGGCGAACTGTTTTTCATCAAACCGACCCTTGTCTGATCACTAGGTCGATAAATACTTTCCCACCTAACCGCCAGACGGACCTTAAAGTTCCCAGCAGCTGTGCGTAGGTCTTCTCGTCGACTTCAAAACATCTCACGCACGTGGCTTTCAGACGCAAGACTGCATAGGAGTCCACGTGTGATGAAGGCCATGCTGATGATATTGCATGCTAGGAGCCTGAAAAGACATGGTCAGTCTAATATTTCCAGCCTTGGAGTGGTCAATGAAATCCAACCGATAGATTACATTATATAGCAAAGCAGTGAGTAGATGACAGAAGTTACCAATGAGGGGAGGTGATTATGAATGGAATGATTAACAAATTTTGGTCAAACTCTCTAAAAGGATTTGCAAATAATATCTCGATCTATAAATAAGTACAACATAACAAAAGACTCCTAATCATACAAGACGTAGCTATCCCAAGCGGTATGCTGTTCATTTTCGACGGATCCTACTCCCTCAAGAGTCCCGACAATTTCCGGTGCATCTCGAGGAAAAGAAGAATCGGCATTGACAGCCGAGTTGAGAAATGGGGATGGAGATGGCTGGTAGGTCAGGTGTCAATACAAGTCTGGAATACATGAAGAATGATACTACTCCCTTCACAATGAGGACTTACATTCTGAGAAGGTAGGAAGAGATAGTCAAATATGCTCCCAGCTGCGTTGACGGTAGATGATACCCCGTGGTTGGGATCCTGCGGAATGGCTGATGATGGGCCTGCAGGCATAGTTTGGGGCGTTGGAGCCAATAATGGCTGCTCATTCTCTGCAGGTGCGTATGGAATGTGCTGACTGAAAGATTCAGGTAGTGCGCTGCTAGATAAATTTTGCTTTTGCTGTTGTTGATCTTCTTGTTTGTGGTGGACAATTGGCTCCGCAATGCTGAGCATCAATTCCGCAAGAGCCCGTAATGTGTCTCCATGAGGAAAGACCGCACCAGTAAATGACCTTTGGAGCGTGATTGCAAACAGCCGCAGGTACGAAATGTCGACCTCTACCTCAGGTTGTGTTGGATTCTTTACCACGTTGGCGAAAATCATCAATGAGGCCGCAAGGACATAATAGATGGTAGACCTGGATCGATGAGCGTGCGAAGGTAGAGCGTGAGGCATTACACTTACCAGGAGGGTGACGGTAGCATGTAAAATGAGCAATTTCCGTATCTTAGAAGGTGAACAGTTGTCCTTGAGGCCGAGAGACAAACCAAGGCGCTCAATTCTGCTTGATCAACACCGCCAGTAGAGTGCTCTTTCAGCTCTTGCTCGAGTTCGGGATCCAAGTCCAGAAACGCTGAAAAACGGTGAATTGTGGCAACGGTATAGTAGTAAGTCATGTGTAGCATCAAGACTGACTGAATATTGAAACGGTGAGAGGGGTTGTTCACATCCACTTGGGCTTCTGGTTGAAATTCCGACGGCAAAGATTCCTTCCATGCATCCAAGTAATCCTCCAATTCTCCAAAGAGAAGCAACCGCTGTCTAGCAGGTCTTGTTCGGAAACGAGCAGAATACAGCCACTTGCATACTTTGTTCTGAATCATAGCTAGGTCAACGAAGACCCGGAAGAATGCCAAATCCTGTACATCTGACTTGGCTGCATCGGATGACGGTGGATCGATTGAGATCTCGTCGTCATCTACCAATGACGGGTGGCCGAACCGAATACATATTCCTTTGTCCATTATGTAGAGAATCCAGAAGATATTTGCTCTCGACGCATTTTCTTCAGCGGAGAAATGTTTTCCTGTTAGCTTGCGATGGAAGCCCTTGTCCAAAGCGAGTCGGATGGCCATTGATAGGAGCATTGAAGAAGCTTGGAATGATAGATTTGAGTCCGCGATGATCATCTAAATGCTGGCAACGTTAATGAACTGAAGTGCGAGACCATCGTAGGGGAGGTTGCGCGAACCATTGCAATAAGAGCCTGGATGGACATTGCATCCGGATTTCTGAAGATCAAGTCCGGCAAAACGCTCATGGCATTCTGAAAATAGCCCCACGCCCGCGTACACTCCTCAGATATCGGTGAGTGTTCGTTGCTTCGACAGTTGAATCCAAGGCACAAAACCAAATTAAAACTTGCATACCATGAGGTAGTTGTTGGCGGAGTATTGGAGTACTGTCGTGCAAGAAATTGAAGAAATGTGGCCCTGTCATAAAGAGGTAATGCCCTGTTGAATATTCCAAAGTAATCTATACGCTTTTTATTTTAGCAAATGCTTCACATGTGCAGGGTTTGGTAGACGGACTATTCACATATATAGTAGCAATTTCCTTTGATGGGAGGTCTTGACGATTCTGGCTTTTCTCAACCAGGGCGAAGTCACTGAAGGAGAAATCGGAAGACGAGCGAAAGCGGCCGAAAAGAGTCATTATCCTCTCCATGTTGTATGCTCCTATCAACTCTGGGAGCCATTGAAGAGTTTCTGGTGTCATTATCGACAAGGCAGAAGACGAACCTGTGGATCAATTTGTCAGCCTATAGACGCGACAGTCTCCGAAACTCGAATCTAGTTAATAGAATGTACCTATGAAGTCAGTCTCGCCATCACTACTCACAATGTGGGTGGACCTTTCGTGGCTAAGACTCGCTTGCTCTTCAATCAGAGCGTTGAATGACCGTCCTGTAAGTGGCATCTCCTTCCCCAAGGGGAGGCACTTCAGCGCCTTTTCCATCTGTGCAATACGTTCCTCCATAGACTGCACATATTGGGATCTATTTAAAGTAAGCACAATGTAATTTCTGATCCTAAGAAGGTTGACTAACTTTGGTATGGCTTTACCCCTAGTCTTGATGACGGCAGGGACACATCTCAAGTTCCGCTTTTCGCAAGGGGTACACGGGGCGTCGCCTTTGCGATTGCACCGAGACTAATGAAGGTAAGTTCATCTTTGGAACATGGAATACACGAAGTGAATACGCACTTTCAGTTTCTTACATCTTTCATACGCACCGGGGTGACGCGTGATATAACTTGAAGGTTCCATTGCAAATGTGGACGCAGTTTACCAAACCGCCTTTCCTGGTGTGGTTCCATAAGATATCAAGAGATCATTTCTTGAATCTCCTGTTTTGTGGGCCAGATTTAAGACCTCGAAGAATAACATTAGTTATACGTTGTCATTACTGTGGACTCGGGTCTCCAGGAATTGATGACGTAATACATAAGCGGCGACCCGGTCAATCGGATATCTGAACATCCATAAGGCAACGTAGCCAGGTTTGGATATTTCCTTATAGGGATACAATTGCAGGACCACTTTTTAATCGGGTCTCTATGCTTGCAGATATATTGGGCACTATATGATCTATACTTTACCTATCCAGCCCTCACAAATGGCTACAATATTCCCCTAAACTCACCCAGGGATACCTACTCGACTACTAGCCGGCTCGCCGCGTATAAGCTACACGCCGGGGATATATGATACAAAGCCATCTGGATTGTATCCGTAAGCTACAAACTTAATCGATGTACAGGTAGCGCGAGAACGAGTTATCTAAGTTCCCTTTACGGTCAAACATAATGTGACAACCTCGGGAAGACATAAATCGGAGTTCATTTTGCCTGATATCACCATGCGCAAAAAGAAGTAAAGTAATGCCCTGCCAATCAACCTTATGGAATTTTTTCTTTAGGTTTCCTCCTCGCAGGATCCATCATACATAATTACGTTCTTTATACTATAGTAATGCCATTGTGTAATTCACTGTAATGAACAAGAGGGATCTTTAAACGAATCGCGCTCTGCCAACCATGGAACTCAGTATTTAACCTAACATCTCACGGTATTCATGAGATAGTTTTTGAAAGAATATCAAAGCTACGTACAAAATCATAAATTACGAAAGCCATGGGCTTTAGGTAGAGACACGATTGGAGACTAGCATTCATATACCTTTTACGGTGAGATAGATTTCCATATATATATATCGGTGGCAACATTAGATCGTTCAATTTTTTTGGCCTAAAGGGCGAAATATACTACTGTTGGGAATTGGCATCAGAACCATTCAGTTCTCATCACAACTTATCAGCAATGAACCGTGATGTATGCCAGGGCTGTGTGATGTGGGGTCATCATGGAAATAAGGAATTTAACTCATAGCCCTTAGGGGTAATAGCCTCTAGTTTTCGTTGGTGTTCCAGTCTGCTTTGCATAACAGATGCGGAGCCAGTGATCCCAGAGACAACGACTGGTTCCGAGGCATGACTGTTTGATTCTTGGTTAATTCTATAGATGCCAAATGCGGAGACATATATCAAGAGATCAGGGCAAGCCTGGTCGATCATGCGCGGATTATATGGATAAGAGTGTCCATGGGTTCTTGGCAGCCATTCCGGTTGCGCAAAGATGCTCACTGACTTTGCAATTTAGTCGGTCGAGGTCTACTATTTTATTGGTGTGGGTGGGTGTAAATTTTGCAAAGACCATGGTACTGGGTTGTTGGCAGACCAGCCTAGTAGCAACCCAAGCGATGCAAAACCATCGTCGGTTCGTATTGGTAGTCGTCAAGTATTTTCCAGAGCCGAGGAGAGAACAGGGCTAGAGCCCACACCGATTTGATGATATATTTGATAAGAGCAACGAGTACTCTCTCCTTTGAAGTGTAGCTTTGGGAACTGAGTGAGTTATTAAGTCCAAACCTATTGCACGCATTGTTTCACTAAGAGAAATATGGAAGATTTCCAGACAGCTGCCAACCACTCATGCTGTTCAATCCTTCTTATCCATATAAGGCAGACATGCTTCATAAATCTCCTTATAACCAGGGTACTTGGAAATCCTGTGGAACCCACTCTCATGAACCACCCTCGCAGATTGGAGTGACCCAGCAATAAAGAAGCCAGTGTAGGTCGGCTGGGCACCCAGCACAAATGGTCCGTCGGCCTTGTGTGACTGCATCAACTCGCCCACGGCGCGCATACCGTCGGCTAGCGCATTCCAGCTCTGCTCCTCCTCGGCAAGCCTCTGGTCCTCAAGCCTGTGCCCGAGGAGGGCTGAGCCCTGAGACAGCTATGCTGTGCCAATAACCATGAAATGAATAACCATGAAATGAAGAGGCGGTATCCTTATTCGTGCGAAGCCCTAATTGGTATTGACAAAACTTATTCCAAGAAGATTCGCCTATTGAACTTCGACCGAAAGCTAAAATCCATCGGTATATAGTCATTAAGCCAGCCCCACAGATAAGCTGCATAAACGGAAATGGCCCAATCTGGAATCTTCGCTGGCAATTGACCATGGCCTAAATGGATTGCCATGTTATCAACGAAGAGTTCTGACAGTTTATCACCCTCCAGAAGTTTTGATGCCGCAATGGCTGCCAGCTTGTTTCTCACGTCTGCGAGAGGGAGCCTATATGCATCGAAAACCATATTCATTGCCTTGAAATACTGGCGGCAGGGGCTGTTGGAGGCTGAAAAGAAGCTGGTCTTGATGTCTCCCATTTGAGAAAGTGCCATCGCCTGCTGCTCAATAGTATCCCAACCAGGGAGCGGTTTCAGTCTCATGTCACACATGCGCTCCTGGAGGACAGTCACGGTCTCTAGGCGTGAACCAACAAACGGAGCAATAAATGGCTTGAATGCCTCGGCGAAGTGAGTTGGCAAAACAGGGAGTAAACCCCATGGCTGCAAGGCGGCCAATGCATGAGCAACTAGCACTGTCTGATGAATCTTCTCCATGCCTAAAGAAAAGTCTGGATTGACTCTTTCCATTGTCTCCCGTTCGTATTCGATGTCTACCGTCGTTTCAATCGAGTACTCCAGTATGTCAGCACCTGAGATGGATAATAATTGCTCCAGAGTATATTTGATCTGATCGAGTTGAGCAGCAGAAGGCCAAGCCATCCAAGCGCAGAAGCCAGCGGGGCCATCACTTTCAGCTGATGTTGCCGCAGGGATGATGATGCGACGGCCCCCACGCTTTGGCGTTCGCAGTATACCCAATGAATAATCAATGCATCTTTGAACTGGCAGTTTGTTCACGTAGCGTTCAAGGTCCTCGGTAATATGTCTGCAGCCATCATGAGGATCAAAACGTCCAAGTTGTGAGAATGGTCCTCTTTCAACGAGATCCATAGTGCCAAGAAATCCAGTAGAGGAAGTCAAACCGGAGATAGAGAACTCGGATATCCGAAATCCACATATAATGAGCAGTGCCGTAAATTCATTCCTGGTGAAGCCGTAACTGACCCTCCCACCTTCAAATACCATGTCAGCAAGTCGAGGAGCTTCACCAGGGCCGAGGCTACCACTGACAGCAGGAAATATCCGTGCCTCAGGGCCGCCATAATCGATCATGTCTAGCGGGTTGATGCCGGCGTGTGCAAAGAGGTTGCTCCAACCACTGGTTCCGCCACCTTTCCTATAGTCCCAAGTCATTGAGATGGTCACGTCCTCTCGGTATGCTCTTTGAAGCCACCCTTGAAAACACGGAGCGACACCTTCCACCAAGCCATGCTGGGGCATGTTTCTCGTTGGAATGAGGATTGCCCAGTTCCCAGCAGATCTATCCATCAGAATCTTCCTCGACCTGACTAGGCTAATCGCGAGAGCTCGTAATTGAGAAACTATAGCGATTAAGCCGACTCCGGCGAATAAGGTTCCTAGCCATGTCCCAGCCACGGCTGCAATATTAATGTTATCGCTCAAGAGGAGAGGTGTCATGGCGATTTTCACGGCTGTTTCTACTTCCATACATCAGCCTTCTTGGTCCGACAAAGGAGTATGATAAGACCCATACGAGTAGAAAATCAACTGCGTCAGTGTCAAACGTGCGATGTTGGAGTTTGAGGTGCGAGAAAACATAATGCCGAGAGACTGGCAGGATAAGCCCAACGATAAATATAGTGTACATAGCCCCGCCCGCCGCACAGTAAGGTGATGGTACCCGCCTTTACGTCGACGTAAGAATGCAAGCCACCCATTTATTTGGTACACATGTTCCTGCATCTACCAGGTTGACTTCGTAAACACCGGTGTGGTTGACTGTTCAACATCCGCGTTAAGAGGCTGTGCACTTGTAAAGAACTGGGGAAGACCGAAATCAACACCTATTGGGGGGACATTACTGTAACATTTCGTCCACAAAACGTGCCTTTAAGCTTAGATGCTGATAAACGTTCATTTTACCCCTCGTTCGTATTGCGATAGTGGGGGCTGTGTAGAACACGGAGAACAGGTGAGTGGAAATGCTGAGTGATATGACCCTATCCGCATTTTAGACAATTCATGTTGGCAAATAAGAGAATTTTTAAAGTTTTGATGATCTCATTTTATGAATGGTCCATGTTGATGGTGTGGTGGTCTATCTAAATCTAAGTAAAAAGTCTGCGTGTGACCAGAAAGCGTGCGTTAGGTGATAGATAACGTTCGCCAGGTGATCGAGTACGGTAACATAAAAGTAGATAATCCTCTCCGGTACTACGCCTATTCCAACAGCTTCATTCCTTATATTGTTTTCTTCTCTCCTCTCCAAAGCACGAAATTGGGAATTCTCATCAAGCCGATCGAGTATCCTCCCTCCCTCGAGATCACCTGATCTTGTCAAGTATGATAGAGCCCCCAGTTAACATTGTCGTTTCCTGCATCTCCCTGGCATGCCATGTTGCCCGAAGCACCCACTAAGCCACCTGACGCAAACATCTGAATTGACGAAGTGATAAGATCCACAATATCCTGAGCGCCGACGTTGAAGTCAACATCACCAGTTCCAGTTGTTCCCGTCACCCCAAAGGCACAAGTTCCATACTGGACTAGTTGATGCTGGTCACCAACCGTGCATTCGACCTCCCACGAGCCCTGGGTGCCAGCAATATTTGTCACAATCTGCTGGCAATCAGTAACAAGTAGGGAAGCGTCACTAGTTGCGTGGTAAATGTCGAGGTTCCGCAGTCATTCGGGCTAGGCACTAAGATGCAGGGATAATTGGGCTCCGAGGTAGTGCTGCTATCGTCCGACGCAGTTTCGGCCATCTCTGGGGTACACACTGGGATATTGATAAAGCCAGGAGTAGTGTAGTCCCCATCAAACAACTCATCAACGGTTTGTTGGATGCTAGGGTCCGCTAAGCTGCCACCGTTGGCATTGTCATTGGCTTGATAGCTGCGAATAGCTCCATAAATTTCATTAGTCATGATTGTCAAAAGCGACAGTACAACTTACCCTTAAATAAGCGATTGTATAGTGGCACCTCCCATGCCGAACCCCCAGTTAACGCCGAAAGTCCAGGCGCGGTTATCAACACAAGAAATACCAGCGCAGTGAACCAGTTATCCTATAATAGTGTATAGAAGCCAGCTGAAAGTTGCTACCGCCCACACTGGTCCTCCCAATTGACCTTCTATGCTCCCTATACTCTTAGCTGGGCAGCTCACTCCCGGATAGGGTAAGCTACAAACTGAAGTCGTAAGAGCTAGTGAAATGCTTGACGCGCCTGTCGCATTTAACTGTGCCGCACAAGGGTTTGGACGAGACGTAGGCGACATGGGCACAACGACCGCGCAAGTAGTCACAGAATCCAACCCCTCCACAGTATCCGCACTCCCCATAGATACTTTTTCAATCCCTGTAACGTTAAAGGTGAAGCTCTCTGCACTAGCACAGACATCATCCGCCGTAGCAGAAACGAGATCAGTCGCTTGCGCGCCGTTCTCGGTTGTGAAGATAATATCGTTCGTTTGGTAGTACCCAAGTTTGGAGGAGTTGTTGATTGGGAACTGAGAGCAGTTGATGGAGGAGATGGCCTAGCGGAATAACCAGGTACCTTCTATGGTAGTAAGGTTGTAAAGACTGCCGTGCTGGTAAAATGAACCAGAAGTAGATGCCACGAAATATGACTCGGGTATGACTCCATTCTGGGTGACGTTGCCGCCTTTTAGTTGGTAGAGGAACCATTGCAGAGATAGACCGAGCGGTGTAGCGACTAAAGGGTTTGGGATAGCGAAAACCATGGGCATGAGGACTGTGGGTGCGTAGGTGTCGTTTCTGGGAAAAAGAAGGTCGACTTCTGCGACCAATGGAAAGGTTTGTGCAGAGGACCAGCCTATAGAAAGGATTAGGAGCCATACTGCAATGTTGTAGGGAAACATTTGACCAAGAGTGAAAAAGAGCGTTTCTGGCGTAGCAAGAATGGCAGGAGCAGTAGGTGAGCAAAAGTGACGATGATAAAGAGGCTTGTAATCGACCCGGCCTCCAAGTCCAGTGAATAATGCACATTCACTGTATTATGATGTACAGAGGAGAGGGAGATATTCTTGGTTGACTGGGCGAAGTTGAATCTCAGCGAGAGGGTTTAGGGGTAGTTGTGTTTACCTTGGCTAGTTACCTATAGCCGTGCCCACGTAAGCGCCTCATTGCACCTAGGAACCTTTGGGGAGTTGCCGATAACTATGCAGCGTAGTTATTCGCTGGGGCAAATAACATCGGCACAGTAAGAAGTAATACATTAGCGTGGTCCGCCTAGATGGGATTTACTAAGTTCCCCACCCTTATCGGCTCATAATTAAAATTCCGGCACGGGCCCACGCACCGTCAGTGCTTGTTTTCTTGAAAGCTTCCTCTGCATTGGGTAGTAGACAGACTGCGTGTCTCGTTCTACCCAGGGGTCTAACCGCAGCGACGGCGCACCCGTGTCCTTTTTTGGTTGAATTAGCCGGCGCGTCGGCTTGAAAGAATTGACACCTCACAGCTTTAGGGTTCGCAATTAGATCTGGTTGAAGGTTTTTCCGACGAGACCTACCTCATCTCCCTTAGCGCGAGTCCGTCCCAGGGAAATACATTAGTCAGAGTACAGTCACGTACTTTCATGTAACTCCCACTCTGCCATAAATGATGAAGTGAAGCAAGCATACAGTGCATGTCTCTACTTCTCGAGAATGCGGTTACTTATTCTAGAGTATATCAAGGCCCCCATTTACCAGTATTACGTTGAATTACCGACCGCTCAAAAAGCCCGACAAGATTCCAAACGAGCGAGGCACTAAGCTGTATCTTCATTCCTGTTAGACAAGAGGCCAGCAATTTAAAGTTTTCTGGCTTCTAGCAGCTACTATCTAGAGAGCTTGAAATCTGAAACATCCCCAGTTATTGATAGGTAAGTGGGGTATGGACGCGTATTATGTAGGATTAGCTAGTGTCTTGAAGAGCGGTCTGCACTAAAGTATTTAGTCAAAAGCTTGGTGTAACCCTATTCCTATATTTTAGATTGCGCACAGAGCAGGTGGGTGTTTTTCGACGATTTTTAAATTACCTTCCCCACTGTGCCCGGGAGAGTCTGAAGGTCAATAATCGTATGTTTCCAATCATAAAGAGGAACAGGACTGTGCGATTACTGCCGGGATTACTATTATAATTAAACTTCCAGAACCAGGGAAAGAGCCCGAAAGGGTGAGCCAGAGGGTCCGTTAGCACTGCAGCGGCGATCTGGTTGGTCGAAAAAAGTCCTTGAACTAATTAGGCAAAATCCAGCGAGCAAATACGGGGAAATAAGGGAATTGTCTCGATGCTAAAAGGACTAAAAGCTGCTAAGACTAGTCCAGTCAGTTTCCCTGCAGATGAGTATCAGTCGGGGAACGTGTAAATATTGGATGCTATACCTGATAACACCAACGAATCGACACGTGGATTGGATAATTCAAGCGATGATCCGCAACTACTTATGAACTTTGAGAAGTTGAATATAGATGATAGCCGTCATAAAAAAAAACAGAAAGCTATGAAAATCGTTAACCAGGCGGCATAGGAGGATCTCGATTCTTCATTTTTCGAGTTGGTCCCACCCGAGCCCCATTTTATGTCTTTCGAAGAACGAATGCGTATAGCACCCAGGGCTTCAAGAATCTGTCAAAGTACGAGAATCGGATTTCCAAACTTAAACACGACGCCCAAAATGGGGAACAACTTTGGCAGTATACAAAAAAAAAAAAAAAAAAAAAAAAAATATCGTCGGGATTAGAGGCATCGCCATTAAGGAAACGGAGAACAGTATCAACAGTCCACAGATATAGATTAAGGCCTAATGAAGAATATCCTAGAAGAGCACCAGGACTTGCTAGTTGAAGAGTATAAGTAGACCCCGAGGTCGGATGTGATTCGGTTAATAGGCCGGAAAGTGGTTAGCATTGTAATCCACGTAGCCTAGGATATATAGGAGACTCTACACCTTAAGGCGATCAAAAGTGAGGGTAAACAGGTTAGCCGCTCACCTTCGCCATTTCTATGGAGGAAGAGAAAATCAAGCGAGAAAGATCGCGCACACCGGATCGATACGAATCAACCTCGGCCCTATGGAAGCCTATTTCATCGATCCCAAAGAGCCGATCCAGTATCTCAGGAAGCAGCACGGCAAAATGTATCAAACAAGAGCAAGGGGAGGACCCCCATTCCTCCATTGAGAACGCTCCTGCATCCAACGTCACCGAAAATGAAAATAGCGGGGGCAGCCAAAACAGGAACCAGCCAGCTGAGAAACCAGACATCTGAAAAATGTTCTCGTTCAATAGACAGTGAAAGTAGCGGTAGAGCAAAGTGACTTGGATTCAGTTAATGTAAATGAACAGCGTGATGAAAGTGTATAGGTTATATAGCAACATGAACAAGTGCATTCGTCTAGTAATCATTAACTCGCGAACTAATCAATTTATCCAGGCGCCCAGCGTAGGAAACTTAACAAGCTTCTTTTCCTCGTACTTGCCCCTTTTGCATTTTTGTTGGCCTGCCTTCTCTCATACCTCGCATAATTAAATTTGCATCTGTGTCTCTCACACCACCTTTCCCCCATATCTCCACATGTCTACAGAGCAAAGACAGGGTTGGTGCAGTTTATTTCCACTCTGACAAAGGGTACGTGTACTCCCACGGAGCGGCCATAAATCAAATATTTGCCGAAGTCATTATAACGACAGAAATCCACATGTTGGCTGGTTGGCTGTAGCTTTTAAACAAAGCTTTATAGCTTTAGTCGACCGGGGTCCTCTTCGACTGGCATTCCTTCAGTGCGGCGGATGCTTCCTAGTCTTTCACCGCATTTCCGTTAAAGCTGTCGCGGACAACTTAAGACAATAATCTCAGGCTTCATTGCCAGACCCTACAAGAATTCTTCTAAGAGCCTAGTGGAGCCTTCATTAAGAAGCTGGACATTGTCTTAATCAGCAGCCAAGATTGAAATCCCAGTCTAGGGCGTCTTAAAGTCCCACCCCATATCGGTCAACATATACAATGCACCCATCTATACCCCTCTCAGGTCCTAAGGACTACATCCAAGGTGATCGCGATTGTCACCTAGGATGATTATAAGATTCGCACAAAGGCCGAATTCTTCCAAAACCAAAGCGGCGGGGCTTTCAAGGCCCACCTATCGCAGAGTTTTGGGGATCGGACAGCCCACATTGTCAAATTCAAGTCTAATAGAACACAATTCATGACACGTGTACACTTCCCAGTGCGAGAAGAATAACGCAGGACTTTCCCTAGCAGCTCTAATTGTAGGGTAGGTATCAATTTCAAATGGCTTGATGTCAGAGAAGTGGGTTTCTCGCAGGAGATATTCTCGATCATCAATCCCACAGCCCACAAGAAGTCCCAGCCACTCAGATATAAATCCTTCATATATGATTTGCATTGAGGAGCACGCCACAAGACTCTAAAGTAGTGTTTGCGGGCGCGAGTCTCTTCACGACGCATTCTATGCTGCTCACTGCTCACTGTAGTATTCCATCTTTTTACCAAGACCGATAGTGCTAACCCCAGGTAGAAGTCACATGGCAGGGTGGTAATTTGCGGGCCCGTGAATGCTAGCCAATTCAGAATGTCAAATATCTTGACATCAGGGAACACTCCGTGGATTTCAAAAAGTCCGTCGATATCCTCCTCTGCATATTCAACTCTAAAGCAGACCATCTTGAAAATTCGAAAAAAGAAGCTGTCAATTTGATGCTGCGAGATCCAGGGCATAATCAGCCGGCTGACGAATGAGCATTTTCCTATCAGGGAGGGTGTTGGCTCTCTATACACTTTATCATAGGACTCCTATAGTGACAGCCGAAAACAGATTCCCCTCTGGACACACCCAGCTTGTTTCTCGGCTCGTACCCGGAACAGCGTTATACCTAAATGAGCTAAGTGGTGAAAAAGTATGAACTATATGTACATTGCTACCACGATGCCGCTCCATGCCATTTTCTCGCAAAGTGGTGTCTATACCCTTTGACTTTAGAATTAAAATCATCCGCGGTAACTTACACAAATAACGAGCCACTTAATAGATCGAAGCAACAAACAGTACTTATATCGTGCTGTCACTGGCCATGATTGAAAATAGATTTGTGAACCAAAAAAGTATAGAAAAATGGCGCTACCTATACCGCATTCATATAGAAGCAAGCATAAAACCGGTATGTTCCCCCGAACGGCATCTTTCCTCGTATTCTAAAATATAGTAGCACTCCACTTCGAACTTGCTTCTTTATCCACGCGCACTCTCTCTAACATACACACTTCTTTAACGATATATTTATATCCTCTTTGATGATTTATCGGCCCTTCTGATACCCCCACGAACCAAAAAGCCCCTCGAAGACACGGCGCTCGCTTAACCTTTTCTACATTCACTGCGTACTGGACGCATCTTTCACTTCAGAGCGGCTCGCCTATAGATAGGCTCAAATCCACCTTTTTCCTTTCCTTCTCCTCCCTCGATCCCGTCAGGGCGAAGAGGAGATGTGGAGGACGAGGAGGAGGCCATCGGCGACCCGTAAGGAGTCCAACCAACGCTAAATTCACTTTACGCAACTTTAACTTATACCTGGATAAAAGTGCGGTACCCTCAATAAGAAGCGGTAGGTACCTACGGAGCTACCTATGTATCCGCACGGAGTATTCCGCACTCCATCGGAAGGAAAGCTTGACCTTTATTGACCCGGCATCGACCCAAATCTGAGTCGCCCTAATGTGGGTCGCAGTAGGTCCAAACAGTGGAGTAGCGGATCGAAACTAATGAAACTAACGAGTCCACGTCGGGTATGAACGGTGGATACTCTTCAGCTGAAATGTGGCACTTGGAGATTTGCTGGTGGGGTAATGACGTGAAGGGCAGATTCGCACGAGTTCGTCGACAACCGTTCATATCCAGAGATTGTGCCCCAGATCTGTCGCTTCAATAAGCGTAATCTCGGTGAGAATATCATGAATAGAAACAGTGACTTTATTCTGTTGTTCCGTTCTTCCACTCTTGTGTCGGAGGCTGGGAGGCCTCTGCGAACGAACACCGGGATAAGGCCCACTACGCTAGTATATGACAGATTGGATTGGATCCTGCCGTGCCGATCAACGGGCTGGTAAACAAACCAGTCGACAAAGCTAAATCGGCTCTGCTCGGTTGGACTTTTTTCTCCCCCTTTTCCACTCCTCTTCCCCACCCCTGGGATTTTACCAAGCGCTGTATGCTTGGATTCGCTGTCCTACAAGATGGCAACGGGAGTCACCACAATGCAAGTGGCTACAATGCAGGGAGCCATGGCGGAGCCATCACCCAATCAGGCTCCTGAAGGACCAGATGACATGTGGACTGAGAGGCTTGCCAGGGAGTGGAAGGATATGGAAAGGCGAGTGCAAACGCTGGCAGAATTGTCTCGTGGAACAAAATACGAGGAGAACCTACAGCCTGGCAATGTGATCCAGAATCTAGAAAGAGTGCAGGCGAAATCCAAGCAGAAAGCGAACTCGACCTGGGGCAAGATCAGAGAGAGCCTGAACGACACTCTCACTGTCATCGGCAAGGTTGGAGGGATGGCAGCTGATGCCGCGTCACAGGTAGGTTGCTGCATTGGGCCGAAAAAGAGTACGTGACTGAACCAAAAGCAGGTCTTTGGTCCTGCTGGGCAATGCTACAACGCCATCAACTTTGTCATCTCTGCGTGGAAGGGCTACATAGAGGCCTTCGAAGTACTGAATGGGCTCCTTGAGGATTGTGCCGAGTTCCTCAATCGTCTACCCTCGTACTCGCAAGGAGGCATGGATGCCAATTTATGCAGAGTGACTAGTAAAACGCTCGGGATCTTTGTAGATATCTGCGGTCGGGCCTTGAAGCTTAAAACCTCTCGCAGTTCGAAGATCGTGATGTTCGCGAAGATCGCCTTTCTTGACAAGGGTGATTTCTCCGATCTCAGGGCCGATATGGACAAAAACACCCAACGAGAAATGCTGAGTGGCATCGCCGGGGCATATAAACATTCTCGAATCGCGGCGGAGGGAATCACGGCAACAACGGCCTTCTTCGCTGATAGCAAAGCGGAAAGACTAGAGAAGGAACAAGAGCAACGCGACAGTCAAGCGCTCATGAATGCCCTGTCCTTCGAGAAGACCCCAGGGACCTGGAATTTCGTGACACAGGAACCGATCGAAACCTGGAAAACAATCAACAACAAGATCCATAATCGTCGTGTGGCAGGGACTGGCGACTGGCTGCTCAAGGATGACCTGTTCAAAGCCTGGGTCAAATCTGGAAAAGAGCCCCTTCTCGCGTTCGTGGGTGAAGAAGGCGCGGGAAAGAGCCATTTGATCTCCGCCGCCATCAGCCATCTCCGAACTCGCGGTGCCTTGCCAGTTTCCAGCAAGGACGGGAAATCCAGACGTCTGGTTGCCTTCCACTATATCGACAACGCAAAACCTAACGCCAGGTTCTACGATCTGGGAAAGTCGATTATCTGGCAGTTTACCGCAAGCGATGCCTCCTATAAACAATCTGTCGCTGCTACCTGTCGCAATTCTTACATCGAGCCAAAGGATGTATTGCACCAGCTACTACTGGACAATGACGAGGACTTGGAGAAGATCGATGCGGTATTTTTTATCGTGATCCACAACCTTGGTGATAAGCGCTCCATTGTCGACGAGACGTTTATGAAATTCCTAGGCGAGTTGCGTTCCAAGAGCTCGGCAGTCCGTGTCCTATTTAGCACCACGGAGAGCACCATGGAGAAGCTCAAGATGTACGGTATTTCTTGTCCCACAATCGTTATCAGCGAAAAGAATGAGTCCGACAGACGAAAGTACATCGCCCATCGCATGGACCGGATGCGCGTGCTCTCCAATACTAGAGAACAGAAAGTTACTGATGTCCGAAAAATGATTCAAGACAGTCTTTGCGAGAAGATCAAGGATAGCTACCACCGGATCAATATGGATCTCGACAGGCTCGACCCTCTAGAAACCGAGGAAGAAATCCGCGAGAGCCTGCATGGTGCGGGCAGAACCTTGGCACAGCATGTTCAGGATGAGATCAAAAACCTAAATATGACCCGGACATCCAAAGAATTGGCCGAGATCAACGAGATCATCCTTTGGCTTGACTTCGCCAAGGAGCGAATGTCACCAGAGATCATGACAGCTGTGCTGCATGTCAAGAACAAGGGTGCTTCCCTGCGTCCGCTCCAGGATCGGCTTAAGGACAAGTTCCGTCTGTTCGAAATCAACGATGATGGATTCGTCGACTTTCGAGCTACAGATATGTCGGTCAGGATCCAGGAGCGCCGCGATGTTGCCCAGGGTCAGCAAAAGAGTATTCAGGCCGTGAGCAAGAACGAGGTTGATATTGTCAATCACTTTCTCAGAACCGTGTGTCCATCGGATTTGCTTGATAAACTCGAATTGACCAAGCATTTCGAGAAGAAACTGGAAACCGGACAAGAACAGATCTGTCGGGAAGACAGACTCACAGGCAATTTCTTGATTGCTAAGGCATGTGTTGCTGTGTTGGCCCATGATGATCCCAGGCTGTCAGTATTGCGAGAATATGCAGCTGCTCATCTGGTGCATCATATGCTCGAAACGAGACGAGAATTGATCTCCCCGGACTCGCTTGCTACATTTGGATTCAATCTGGCAAAAATATTTCATGATCCAAAGGTCATTGACAATCTTTTATGGGTTAGCACGCCCTATCCAGCCCTGCCACCATTGCTTTGCAACGACAAATTTTTAGAGGAGATTTATAGCTGGACGAAGGAGCCCACCGTTGCTTCGAAGATTGACGCAGAGAGACCAACTCATTGGTGGAAGGTCGATGACAGCAACGATCCCAAAACACTAATTGAGCCTTCCATTCGCCAGATGGCGGTGCAATGTTTCCTGCGGGAATCACGAGCAGAAGTTTCGGTCACTGCATTCAACACTATCCAGGTCTTCTGTCAACAAGTAAGTTTTCTAACGGTTCCTTGCTACCTAAGCTAATCATTTTCCTCGTCAGATGGGAAAGTGTCCCGATGCCGTTGCAGAGTTGAGGCAAGCATCTTCAAGTGAAGTCGAAAAGTGGTGTCAGGTTGCACTTGGAAAACCACTGGATACGTTATGGCATACCCAGATGGCCATGATACTCAGAAACCACGGTGCAATTTCCGATGCGAGAGAAAGATGCCACCAGGCCCTCAAACTTTCTCCGAACAACTGGCGAGCCTCACTTCTCCTGGCCAAACTGGTCGAATCTCGAAAGGAAGCAATCCGTGTTTTGGAAAAGCTCACTAAGCGCTTTGAAGAAAACGAGAAGCTTCGAGAGAAGTATGTGGAGGCCTTCGCCGATATTGCCTACAACCTCGGACATCGATACTGGGATCAGAACATGTTTGACGAGGCAATCGAATCGTATACCAAATCGATTGAACGAGATCCTTCCGCCTACGAGCACACATTCTTGATCATATCGAGATACAGCGAGACAGAAAAATGGGATAAAATCTGGGAGCTCCTCGATAAAATGTCTGAACTTGACGATGCTCACCTCACACTCATGGTCTTAGCGATGTCGAAGAATCGGGAATTCCATACATTCCACACAATCCTTCTGCGGGCCATGCTCGAGACCGATAAACTCGAAATCTCGATCCTTGAGATGAGATATGGGAATGCGATACGCATTGCCAAGGATCAGGAGGACTACACGGCTTCGTTTTACCTTCAACACTTCTACGCAAACGCGCTTTCTGCACTTTGGCCCGCCCCCATGACAAAAGTGAGGGACGTGTTAGAAGATGCCGTGAAGGACCTTACACATACCAATTTGGATCTCCCTCGCGCTTTTTTCCTGGTAGGATATAGGCTGGGAGCAATTTACCTCCGCGAGGCCAAGAAGGCAAGGGCAGACAAAGGGCCAGACGCTGCAGAAAAGGCGCTAAAGAAGCTTGGGGACATTGTACCCGAGGCACTCATGGAAAGCCAAATGCGTCTCCCTCTGAGCCTCTTTGCTGCCAGGTACCACAAAATCAACCAAGATGACGAGTCCGCACGAGCTTCGGCTCACAATACGTTGAGAGTAGCCATTGAGCTTCTGTCTGACAAAGATTCCAGCAACGACCTATTGGCCTACCAAAAGATCCTCTATGCCGCCATTCCATTCCAGGATGAAAGGAATGTTAATGCCGCCCTGGCGATGATGAAACTGGAGACTCCCTTTATGATGACCTGCTCCTGCGGTTGCGGGCACACATGGGACACCCCTGAGAATATGTGGTTCTGCATGGACTGCATCCGAGTCGTCTTGAGATCTTGTTGCAAGGACAGAATCAAGGACAAGAAATTGCCCAATTCCGTTTGCCACGAGTCACACATACACTTCGAAGTTGGGCCGTGGAATGCGGAGAAGATGAGTCAGGTAAAGGAAGGTCACGTACCGTACAAAGGTACAGTCATCACCATGGAGGAGTGGAGGAAGAAAATCATTGCTAAGTATGAATTGGGCAAATCAATAATGGACAAGTATGAAGCTGGCAAATCCGGGGTGCGAAATGCTCTTCGCCACTAATTTTGGTGGAGCAACAGCGCCATGTAATGATGCCAAGTTGCACCCACTCTCGCTGAAGCTTGATGGTACATTTACTTGTGACGTTTTTGGACTTGTTTCGGTCATTTTATATTTTATTCCTATGTCTTGCTGTAGTATTGGAAACAGATTCCCCTATATATACTCACGAAGTGTTTTAATTCAATTATATAAAGAATAAGCTAATTTATACATATTACCACAAAATATAAGAAAGGATTATATTTACGGGAGAAAATAGATTACCGAATTATATATAGAAAGGATAGTATCAACATATATACATCACTCTATATATCTGTAGAGAATCATATAAAATAGCTATTTTGTTACGAAGTCTCCAAGAAGCATGTAGCATGTTCAAAATCCCTCGCAATCATGCATAGACCTCTCGCAATCACAGAGGATCGATCTTCTATGGTGTCGACACGTCAGCATTAGTTCACCGCAACGCTATCCTTCATGTTAAATAGCCGCTTCTAGGAGGACCCAGAAGTTCTCCAAGAATCAGTTTCTGTATTCCTCCACCGATGAATCCGGGGCTAATGGTAAGCTCGGGTAAGCTCTGTATGTATCCAGTTTACGTCGCTGCAGGTGCCTGTCACTAGCCCCTGTATGGCTCGACACCAGGTGCGTCAGCCGACTCGGCCCTCACGCTTGGTCTTCGCGGTCATCACACTATCCCAAAATGATAGTTAGTCGTTCTCTCGGAGACGACGCATCTCCATCCGCAAGCGATCGGGGCATTTTGGCCCCCAAAGGGCGAGATTAGACGCGGTGCTTAGAGCAATTAATTATTTGTCGCAAGCATCTTCGTTCCCGCGTTCCCTGTTTCAATCGCCATGACCAACGAGAGGTCCATCCTGCATCGATCACCCAGCAATTACCCTCGCCTCAACATGCCGTGGACAACAGCCGAGCACGCGCGGAACACCTTCACCCGGCCCCTTGGCCCCAACGAGGTGTTCATCAAGCTGGTCAGTGATCCCGGCCACCCGCTCGGTCGTGAACACTGGGCGATTAACTACACGGCCACCATCAGTCCTCGCGGGGCATTCGCGGCCTTGTCGGGTTCGCCCGACCTTCTATCAACCCTCATCCGCTACAGTTGGTTGCATCTGCGCTTCCAGCACCCCAGTCTGGCTGCGCATCCGGACTCCTCCAACTCTAACGTTATCTACACGGTTCCTGACTCTGCCGATGCTCTTAGCGAATGGGCCTCGCAGACCTTTACCGTGGAGGCCGATGCCCGGTTCGCCAACGAGGTGATTCCCACCATTGCACCAGCTGCCGACGCCCGGCTGTACTATGTCCCCCAATCGAGTGAGCTGCTCCTGCACACCGCACACTGGCGCATGGACGGGGTCGGCGGCCTGCTCCTCCTCGGCCAGCTGGTGGACCTGATAGTCTCGCACGCGGACACCCTCCTCTCGGGGAAGCTGCTAGACCCGTTCGATTCCTTTCATTGGGGATCGGAGGTCGCACGGCTGGCGCCGCCTGTCGAAGAGGCCGGTAACATGCCCCTCACCGCGACCGACGAGCAGAAGGCTGTCGCCCACTGGGCAGTCGGTACCTTTGCCCTGGCGGCGGGCGCCCTCGGAGTGCCCTATACTGGCGATGCCTCGACCGTGCCCTCCGGCACGCGGGCTGCCGAGCTCACGTTCTCGCCCGCTACCACGTCCGCCGCCGTGTCCGCCGCAAAAGCACGCGGCGTCGGGATCACGGCCGCCGTGCATGCTAGTCTGGCCGCGGTCAACTTCCGGCATGCGATCGCCGAGCACCAGGGCCGCCACTACACCAGCACCATCAAACAGTCGCTGCGGCCGTATCTGCCCGAACCGTACTCGACCCCCGCGGCGGCAGCCGGGCTATACACGTCTGGCTGGTTGGTGCGGGTCGACGCCTCCGGAACGTGGGTGCAGAATGCCCGCATGTATCAGGCGGAGTATCAGAAGGGCATCAGCAAGGAGTATCTCCAGGCGCACCGGGAGTATGCGTCCACTTTGGTCGAGGTAATTAAGAACCTGCCAACCCCGACAGAGCCGCCCAGCGATATCGATATCAGCAGCATGGGGATCATGGAGAAATATCTAGAGCGCGAATATGGAACCCCAGAGCGCGGGTTTGGCATCACGCATGCCGGGGTGGGCGTGGAAATGCTTTCGCGCCAAGGAGTGGTTTTTGTGTGGACGTTCCGTGATCAGTTGACACTGCGGCTGGTGTATAACGAGGCTTTCCACACTCCAAGACAGATGACGGAGTTTTTACGCGACATTCAGGCGGACCTGTTGAAGCAATTGCAGGTGGCGGAGTAGGGGACTGTTAGATTCAAATAGCCTTGAGAATATAAGTATAGGGCTTGCACTAGTCCTTTGCGTTAATCGGTAAACTGTCAAGCATTGCGCTTACGAATACTGCATGAAACCATGTCTATAGATGATCCGAAGGCTTCGGAAATACAGTAGGCCTGGAACCAGGAAATGTAATTAAAATTGCCTTATAAATAGCAGGAAATAAGTGTAATGGAACACAGAGTCATTGATATCTCGAGTTGGACGGATACATAAACTGACAGCCTCACCAATACAAAGCCACGATCGAGTCGGCCGAGTGCTGGGAAAGATCTAACGGGTATGTTTTTGTGCATATTGTTGAACTTCGGGGCATCTGGAGATATATAGCTAGGATGGTATCATACGAAATGCGCTGAAATGCATATCTGGCACCTGCCTCGGCTTTCCACCGCACATAAGCCCCACACTGTACAAAGTAGCGAGGTCTGATCAATAAGGCCTTCGTAGTTATAGTCCCCTTCAATGCAATTACAAGTACATACGACCATAGGGTGTGGAGAACAGGGCTTCCCGTCCGCTCAGCCGTACTTAAGCCACACGCCGGTAAGTTAGTAGTTAGGTGGGTGACCACTAGCGAATCCTTACTGTTGTATGTTTTTTTATTCTTTTGCTTAAATAGATACATAGAGTAGCCACAGTTTAATACAATCACACTATGCCTTCTCTCATAGTTAAGGCTTGCGTAGGGGTGGTAAATGTTGTCTCAGTTTAACATCACACTACAAAGCTTGGGATGCGGTCTTGTCACAGAGATGAAATCATGACACGCCATAATAGTATGCCTGCTTTGAAACAAAGACCCTTTCCCTCTACCAAGAAGATCGTTATAGCAGTAGCCTATTCATCAATACGCAACTTTCTGTAAATCAGCCGCACCACTCTCCTCCCAAGGATGATCCTGCTCAACAGAGAGAATGAGAGCCTCAAGTTCCGGGGTGCGAGGTTTAATCTCACACTGGAAAGGGGAAGGATGGCTGATAACGCCAGGATCGAAGTGCGGTGTTGTGACTTCCACACCACCCTGAATAGGCTTGCTAATATCGAATACTGCAAGAGATTGGGCCACGCTCAGGAAAACTGTTTTATCGGCCAAAAATCGACCAGGACAAACACGACGTCCGAACCCAAAGGCAATGACTTTGGGGTCTGGTGCGGGACATTCGCCGAGGAAGCGCTCGGGCTGGAATTCCGTGGGGTCCGGATAGACATTGGGATCGTGCATCATAGCCCTTTTTGTCATTAATTAGACTTCGGCACAAACTGGGGGTGGTGGGTATCTTACCAGATGTTGGGTAGAATGATAGACCCCTTCGGGATAAAGTAATTGTCGTAGTTGTCATCGACGGTCGACATATGCGGAAGGCCCATCGGGGCGACAGGGTGCCAGCGGAGAACTTCCTTTACCACAGCGTTAATATAAGGGAGGTTGATGCGATCTGCCATATTTGGAAGACGATTGGGTCCGACCACACGCTCAATTTCCTCTTGGGCTTTACGCTGGACATCCGGGAACAACGCCATGGCGAGGAAGAAGCAGTTGATAGAAGAAACGGTCTGAATCTGTTAACAATATTCAGTAAAGGACTGCAGATAACGTACTGTGTCTGCGCCACCAGTATAGAGCGAGGCTGATGTCCATTTCGCGACCAGTTCTTTCTCCGACCCTGGTTCAGGATAACCGGTTTTGAGCATGTCACCAAGGTAAGATGGCGTGTATTTTCCCTTTTCGATCTGTTGCTTCACAAATTCATAGGGTCTGTCGGCAATACCAACAAGATGCTCCCTCCAAAGCTTGGCGGTCCGCTTGAAACCAGCTCCCGGGAACCAGCTGGGAACATATTTCACTGCTTCAGTTAGCAACACGAGCTATGGGCAGTAATGATTGATGATGACATACATGCAGGAATTACATCCACAAGCCAGGCACCAGGCACCGTAGCTTGGCCAAACTCATCCATGGCCTCATTGGTGATATGGACTAAGTGGTCTCGGCCAAACGGCTCGACTCTGTAGCCATAGGCAATATTAAGAATCACGGCTCCTGCCTGACTGTCGATCGATGTTAGCTATGTCGCCGTATCAACAATTCGACCCCGAGGGGGACACACGTCTGTACATGCTGCAAAAGACCTCTAGGGTCTTTAAGCACGCGAAATAGAAACCGACGGGTTTCCACTTCCTGTAGAGGGATGTACTGCGCGACTGCCGACTCCGAGCCAAAGCTAGGCTGAATTGCTTTGCGATAGGCGCGGAATCGATCGGTGTACCCTTGAAATGCAAGTCCGTCTTCCCATCCCACCCTAACGAAGAATTGAATTAACATTGTTGCCTCATTTTCTGTGGTTCAAGTCTCACATTTCGGAGGCAAAGGCCATTCTAGGACGCGACGAATAAATCGAGGATCGTTTTGTCAGCAAGTCTAGTGCGATTTTCGAGTCGCTTACAATCACTATGGTTTGCCCCAATACTGTGATCGAGCTGATAGGGCCTACAAATATGTCATCAGTGATCTGCGGTCAGTGTGACCACGGCAATATCGTTGTTCTCTACATTGAGATTCATACCATACGTGAATTTGTGCTTCAGCCAGTGTACCCAGTCCTGTTTGCCACTGGGTGGGAGATCCTTTATGTTGCCCACGATGGGCGTCGGCGCGGGCCCAGGGGGCAGCTGCCGATGATGCTTCCTACGCCTTGAGTCAAGAGCTGCATAGATGGCAGCTAATCCGAGCGTTAAACTCAGCAACAAGATCAAGGCCATCATGAAAGGTGATGGAAATCAGTAAATCGCCTTCTGGGAGGAGCCGAATTTAAATATGTGGGAACAGTTTAGACCGTCTTTTCACTAGGGATTCCCAATTGCTAGTCACGTTATTTTAGTTTGCTTCAGACTATAGCATTTGTTTCGATTGGCAGATTTTTCCGAATTCGCACAGATGTCACGCTAACAAATTCTAGATGGAGCCCGACAGGCATAAATCTCGGCTCTGTTTTTGGCAGCGAATGGGGCTGGATTGCGGGCTAGCGGCCTACAACAGACCCGCTAGTGACACGGGATAGACATGGCACCCTATCAATACAGTCGGAACAGGGTGTCCTCCATCTACATCTCCACACACTTCAGGCTAGAGTATATGCATGCCTCAGAAGAGACCCTTGTAAGCCCCATTCTAGCCGCATTTTCATATTTGCTCTTATTCGAAATCTATCGCTCACAAGGTCTTTGACCCACTTCAGACTCTTGGGCCTTAATTACACTGCAACGCTACGCTCACGATAGGAATGATCGCCATTCCTTGAAGCTAGAACCTTAGCAAGGTAGAATGTCCGTTCCTATGGCAAGTGAGCGCTAGTGACGTGACTTGGAATTTTCTCTCCCTGATTACTACCTGGTCTATAGCACGTTCATCCGTCACAATCGGAGTCGCGCAGCCGTAAAGCAGCTCTTAGCTTAGATTTATCTGGGCGACATCAACCCAATCATTGGCCGACAAAGTGACACTCTTCTGAGTTGCTAGATGGGTGATAAATAAATCCTTCTGATATACAGATACTAGTCAAAAATATCTTCTCACTGCCCCACTACAATTTGACCCGGCAACTAACCCACCTTTCTATTTTTCTTCCTACACCTCTCCTACAATGGAAATAAGTTCAAAACGTCGTAAAACGGCTGAACTATCTACTGGGCAAAGGTTAGCTATTGTATTTGGCCATAAGAACGGCATTTCGTAGTCAAAGCTAGGTAATGATTTCGAATATAGCCGTCGGACGATCTACAATACGTTGAAACGCTTCGAGGAGTACCAATTATTTGAAAGCCTTCCCCGAACCGGCCTTCCTCCTATACTAAGCTCTCGAGCTTCTACTTACCTCTATTTATAAGCGCGCCGACACCCCTTTTAGACCTATAAATAGCTTAGTGCTACGACACCCGCTCATCCGTCGTTTTAAAGCAATACGGTCTCGGAAAACGGCGTTTAAAAAGGAAGATACTAATTAAGCCCTCTCTTGCAAGGAAACGGCTAAGATTTGCGCGAAAATAGCGGCGTGAAAGCTTCTAATCGTGGATCTTCTCGGACGAGTGTTTGGTGCAGCGAACTTCGAACTTTAGACTATAATAGTGCTTCCGTACGGACTCCGCGGGCCTTAGCCGCGATCTTATGAATGCGAAAGTACACGTTAAAGATATTTCGTAAATGGTTTAGGTCGGAGTCTAGCTAGGTGGTCGGATAGAATTAATTATCATAGAATAGGACGAAGACTCGCATTTAGGAAGGGGTTACACTTCAAAATCGTATATCGAAGCACTCGAAAAAGGTCTAATGTCAATCTACACCCCTGATTTAGTATTTTAGCAAGATAACGCAAAGATTTATCTAGCGGTGGCGACGTAAGAATGGTTTGAAAGGCACGGAGTATACGTCGAGGATTGGCCCGCGCACTTACCTGATTTAAACCTAATTGAACTGGTCTAGCGTTAGTTAAAATTGAAGCTTTTTGCAATATTTCTAGAGCTTATTGGTTAAGGAATAAAGGAGATAGACTAGCTTTATTTTAAAAAAATGCCTAGTAGAAGCTTAGAAGGCATTAGATCAAGCAAAGATAGATGCGCTGATATTAAGTATAGGAAGACGTTTGAAAGCAGTACGGAAGGCCAAGGGGTATTATACAAAATATTAAGCGAAATTTTTATTGTGCTATTATTAAGCAACCTCAATTTTTAATTATAACTTTATAGACAATAAAATAGTGGTGCGATATACAGTGTAAGTGATATACATATTTGGAGAGGGGACCCGAAAAAGTGGAGTGGGAAGATATTTTTGAACGGGTATGTATATTCTACGAAGAGTCGTTCTATGTGATTAGTTTTGATACAAAATTGTGTACATACGACCACAGGGTGTGGAGAACAGGGCTTCCCGTCCGCTCAGCCGTACTTAAGCTAGTGTGCATATATTAATTGAGGCTGCAGGCAACTTGAACTAATTCTTAATGAAGAGAAATAACATGGGCGGGAACCCCGCTTTTAACTTACGCATCACGTGCGTATCGGTGCCAAGTCGTGGGATGCACGTGATGAATATCAATCCGTTTCGTGATGCCAGAAGTGGAATAACCTCAAGTTCTGATGTGCCGTAACACAAGCTAAATGATCGTTAATTGATACTGACTCCTAATAATTTGCTTAGCTACTGTTAGCTAAAGAGATTAAAGGTACAACGAAGACGGTCTATCTAATAGTCTAATTCTAAACGAGGACTTAGTAGGATTTATATATCGACCTATTGCTTGAAAGCTTATGGCTATGCTATTTTCTAATGACTCCGCTCATCTCTCCGCCAAAGGCTATTCTTAACTGGCGACTACAGTCACCAGGTAGTAGCGTTAAATTTCCATCCGGGATACCCAACCCTAGCCTCCCATTGGTACTTAGTCCAAGCTTCGGTCGAACCCCCATTTTTCCATGGTGTTTTTGCTGGATCGGATGATGGTGTGATTGGTTTGGTTCCGGGCGATTAACTCCCATTCATCGTGGTATCCAAGACAGGTTATGTGGGCGCGAATGCATTGACCACATTGGGGAACCTGCTTATCGCACTATATGTTAGAGCAAATGTCGTCAGTATGGCAAGGAAAGACCCACATGTCGCTTCACGCCACGGCAATTCTCGCAACTTCTGGATGTTCTTGCGCGAGGTGCATTGAGTTTTGGCATATTGATGCATCCGTTGACAATGTGATCAAAGCTAAAGACGAGACCACAAAGAGCAATGGCCTGGTAATTGAAGGCAGTCGCTTCAGGAAGGGGCTGAGGCGAGCTGAAGACAGCTGGATTCACCTCGGGCCCTCGGAAGCAAGCTACTTGCTAATGCAGACGGCTTCTTTGAATGGGTTTTTCCACACGAAGTAGCGTCCACGCTCTTAGCGGCCCAGGGGCGGCCGCCATTGGGGCTGAAGTGAAGGAATTAATGGCCCCCAAACTGTCGCGCGCCGAAGCTGCGTGATGACGACGAAGAAGAGACTAAGAAGAGAAGATCTGCAGATCGGTACTAGAAAGGGTATCACCGAAGGAGGCTGAGCTGGTTGGCTCCAGCTCATTTAGGGCTGAAATTTTGAGGACGGTTATTGGCTGCTACATTCATCCATGCTAGTCTGCTTTGAGTATCTTAGATGCAGAACCAATCAGCACGCGTATTTGAACAAGTCAAAATTATCACAAAGCTTCATTGCGGTGAAGACGTGTTTGGGGCTAAGGTACAGTGTGCATTTTGAGATGTCGATCTATACCCGATTTGTTTTAGAGTCAGGGGCAAGCTACGGGGAAGGCTGTGAAGGCTAGTCCCTCTTTGGTAACTACGATGTACAGCCAATGAAAAGAGGGCCCTGATCTCAATAAAACAAGAAGAACAGTCGGGGCTAAAAAGTGTATATTGTCTAAATTTGTATAAGGCTCAATGCGATATGAGGAGCTGAGGCTTCGCAACACCGAAATCTTTCTTATAAAAGGGCAGAGTACGAGCTCGACAGATGCTCCTTTCTTCATCATGACTTGACTCTTCAAATATTAGCGAAGATGAAGTTGTTTCTTCCAACTTCTCTGTCGGCGATGGTAGCCACCGCTCTAGCTTCGCCTTCGGTCACCATTGACGCTGGCACTATCTCGGGTGGAAAGTGCAGTGGTGGACAAGGTTCGGTCTACTACAAGGGCATTCCGTTTGCCGAACCTCCCGTCAGGGACTTGCGATTCGAACCTCCCAAGGCTTACAGCAAGAAATACTCCAACGGGGTACTTAATGCAACTGTGCCGGCTCCATCCTGTATTCAATTTGGAACTGCAACTGTGCCATCCGGAGCCAGATCCGAAAACTGGTAAGTCGCACTTGTGACCTGACAAATGACTATTATTGTTAATGCATTTGCATTCCTTTAGCCTCTACTTGGACATTTGGGCTCCATCAAGCGCGACCAAAGACTCCAAGCTTCCTGTCAAGGTTTGGGTCTTTGGCGGATCCGACACAGAAGGCGGCATTGAATATCCTCTGTATGACGGCTGTAACTTGGCCGAGAAAGACACGATTGTGGTGTCACTGAACTACCGACTCGGGCCCCTCGGTTTCTTGGCACTGGATAGTGCCGGATACCACGGTAATCAAGGAATACAAGATCTTATTCTTGGATTCGAATGGATTCAGAAAAGCATCTCTGCCTTTGGCGGCGACCCTGTACGTGGTTTCGCTTCAACTTCCTTCCCGGAGTTCTGGACTAATGATGGTTTGGCAATGCAGAAAAAAGTCCTCGCTTTCGGACAATCAGCTGGTGCCACAGATGTGTACACCCTTGCGACTCTTGTTGAGGCACCAATTCTCTTCAAGAGCGCTATCATTGAATCGATCGCTCTACCTCAATTGACAAACAAATCGATTGCTCAAAAGCTCGGTGTGTCGTTTGCGAAGAAGCTTCAATGCGGTCCCAAGGACGTAAGTGGATAATTGTTCGTTGCATATATACTGGGCTAACCTTGCTTTAGAAATCATGTCTCCAGTCCAAATCCCCGGCCGACCTTCAGAAGGCATTTTATTCCGATTCATATATGAATTCAGGGATCGGGGGACTTGATGGAATTGGTAGTTCTAATAGCCAGACGCCTGAATTCTGGCCAATTGTGGATGGCACACTCGTCAAAGAGAATCCTCTGCATCGCGGTGCACAAGTCCCGACAGTCTTCGGATTCAGTATGTATACTCTTTCATTCTGTCGGATAATAGACTCAAGGCTAACACGTCAAATTTTAAAGACCAACAGGAGGGCACTTTGAGCACCATCGGGAAGTATTCGTCCGCAAAGCTCATTGCGAACCTCACGGCGGCTGATTACAAGGCTTTTCTCCGAGGAAACTGGGGCCCTGTAGCTCCAATGATCGAGAAATATTACCCTCTAACTGCGTTTGAATCTGCTGTCAAGAAACTCGGATTGACAGCTGGATCAGGTGTCTTTGAGGCTATTGCCCGGGTCCTCACAGACGCACATTTCAAATGTCCGACATATCAGAGTGCGCTGAGTACTGCGCGCAACGGTAATCCGGCATGGGCCTATGAGTTCACTCACAATTCCACCTGTGTGTGGCTGGATACGCTTGTTCCCATTGCAGACGATCTGTCCTTCCTTGGTGCTGCTCATACTGCCGAAATCCCATTTGTATTCAGCAACTTGAATTTCAGCTACCCTGAAGACAACTACACCTGCAGTAGCTCGCAAGGTGAGCGGCAATTGAGCAATGAGATAATCAGCTTGTGGACTGCGATGGCGGAGAGTGGCAAACCATCCACCGAGGCTATTCAATGGCCGCAATTCAAGATCACATCAACGGGGTCGAATACCCCAGGAATGATCTTTGGTAATTCAAGTACGCCTGGCCAAATTGACTTCTCCATCTGCAAGTTATGGGCTCAGGTCAGCGCCATACTGGATGGAGGAAACACCACGGCCACAGCAACTTCATCTCCCAGCAGCAGTGGAAAGCCTACAGCTTCGTCGACCACTACGGCTTCACTGACGAATTCTTTGTCGTTCAATGGTGGAGTCACAATTTCGCCTGCACTTGGAGGTTCGACCTTCCTGAGTGCTGTTTTGATAGGAGCTACTATCCTGTTTTGAAAAAAATTAGGTATTGTAGTGGTGGAACCCATGACAGTAGCGTATTAGTGGCCTGAGGTATCACAAATGCCTTAGGAACCATGCATGCAATCTTCTCCTTTGAGGGCAGCATCCTACCATCATCAATATGACTACAGTTTTTCCACCAGATTCTTCATTCATGATATAGCTTCAAGATCAGTACTTCAGTCGCTTCCTGAGACTACTCTCTATGCCTACGGTGGGCATGGGAGTGGTTGGTTGTCTTCTCTCTATTGATATCGACCCGTCTGCCATATCAGACTGCCATCGAGCCATCCCCATTTCAGTATGAACGAGTTGTTCATACCTAAGACGGATTGAGGATGGAAGGAATTTCAGTTCGTGATTAAACTCATGGTAGACGCTAGGCTTCTCAAATATTACATGATAGAGGGTTCCTAGAACTATATTTCAAAGGGTCAGGCTGGCGCCACCGACTAGAAAATCCTGCAGCACCCAAAAGGTATTCCGGCCCATCAGGGGGAGGGTGTTGGTTCGAACCCAACACCCCGTCCTATCTTAGGCATTGGTGGAGATAATCGATCGGACTTTTTGATATTTTAATCCGAAGCCTAGATGCTCACTTGAGGAGCAATTCGATTTGGATCATTTGCATTGGAACGAACCACTGGCGTTCGCACTCTCCTTCACTGCTTTACTGCGCCCTCTGGATATTGGTTAAGACCAAACTAAATCTATCCTCCGGATCCGAAGGGCCAGTTCAACCCTCTCTCAGAAAAACAAGGGGGGTCCAACCTTGGCCTTCTCGCCTTTCATTAGGTGATTGTATGTTGATGCCAAGGGACCGAGTGATTCAGATGCATTAGGAGACCCAATCATGTTTATTGTAGTTCAACTGAGAAGGTCAGTGCACCGGTCGGGTGACGGAGGGTGAGAATCACCCGCTCTCACCCAGCTTCTCACCCTGTCTATAGAGCACTCACCCTTCTCACCCCTGGTCGCGCGACTGTAAAGAGGCTCTCACCCTAAACTCACATAGGAAGCACCCACTCGATTATTCTCCGCACATAAGCCACACGCCGGTAAATTAGTAGTTAGGTGGGTGACCACTAGCGAATCCTTACTGTTGTATGTTTTTTTCGTTTAAATTTTTTTTTTTAATTTTTTTTTTTTGGCTGTCTCGTTGCCAGTTAGCTTGGTATTTATTTCTTGCTCAATTATCCAGCGCAACGACTTAGCGCAATTCATTGTACCTATTCCTCTACATACATTCAGGAGAACTTCCGATTAGTGATTGCCGCCGCATCCTTAGTTTATGTTTAAAGTAGATAGTATTCTTGGCATTAGAGGGCTTGCCTGGCTGTACACGCAGACATCCGGGGAACTTTATTGAAGTTTTCAGGCATAGTATACCAGGTTTGTCGGTGATGGAAGGAACTACGCTGGTCTCCCAGTGGGGCGGTATGAACTGTCTCAGTACATTAAACACTACAGTAGGGGCTGAAACGAACCACGCTGATCGTGTGCATTCTGGGGCGATGATTGTGATGATCCTCGGGGTGTGATTCAACGGTGCATTTTCTGTGACGACCCGAGAAACAACAATCGTCTCACCATTAGAACCTTGTACTATATCTTGTTAGGTTCAAGTATTTGTCCCATTGTCCAATTTTCTCCAAAAACAAAGTTTAGTTGCCAATGCCACTAGACTTGAAACCCTAACACAGGCAATGTCTAGGCTGAGAGAACTTGGTAGTCCACTTCACTAGCATATCTTTCTCCAGAAAGCTTCAATTGAGAATTCATACAAAAAGGGCTCTTAGCTCTTGTAGGTAAAACTCAAGTAGATCGTGAAGTGGCGATTGGCTAGCAAATTACTCAGAGTCCACCTTCTCCTTAATTATCCCCTGACAGCACCACCTAAAAATAAGCATCTCGCACAGAACTCAATTTATTCACGAACGGTTCGGCGTTCGGGATATTCGGCCACGGGCACTAAAGCACCCCGACCCCAATATGGGTCCACTACACGAAGTTTCTAGATAATTATGACAAAAGCCTCATTTTTGGGTTCATTCAATCAATCAATTTTCTCTTGTTCATCTAATCAAAACAGCCCTGGGTGTCAGTCTCCAGAACTTGGTATCTGGTGGGTTTGAACGAACAGTTCAGAGAGTTCATAGAGTGGCTGGAAGTTGTATAAGATGCAAAGTCGAACCTCACCTAACTTCTGTGACTTTGACACTAGTTACATTCAACCTTGATATCTGAATTGATGGTCGTCACTCACCATATTCTCGATGAGACTCGCAATAGAGCGAGCTCAATTATAAGGCATCTGAAACGATCCATTCCAGAAACCTTGAAAATGAGCTCGTTGACCCCAACTTGTGGTACTCTGAAACGGGAACCACAAGACACGGGCAGAGCTGTAGTTTCACCAACAATGCATGTCAATTACTTCTGCGATTTCAAGCATCGGTTTAGTCACGAGCACAACCGCATGTACCAAAATAGAATCAATGAACCGCCCGCTTCATGCCTCGAGAGAACTATAAGAGAGGGCATGTTCCAGCACCCATCAGTCCTAATCAACAACATACTTCTTCCTTTCTCTTCAGTTGACTGGATCAGCTTGGATTTCACTCACTCTTCTTTTTCATTCTTCCTCCAAAGTTGAACCCAACACTCTATATTTCTTTATCCTTCCTTCACTGTTCCGGCAACATGAAGAATACCGCGATTCTGTTCCTCGCGGGCACTGCTCTCGCAGCACCATTCAACAAGACCCTCGAAACCCGCGAGCCCTGCCTCTGGCTCGACTCTGCCTCTAGTGGTAACGGCGGTGGAAGTGGCTCTGCCAGCGGCTCGGGCAGCGGACTTGCCTCTTTCCTCCCCGGCTTCTTGGGTGGTGGCTCTGCTTCCGCTAGCGGCTCCTCTGATTCTTCTGCCGATTCTTCTGCCGATTCTTCTGCCGATTCTTCCGCTGAAGCCTCCGGTAATGCGTCGGGATCTGGCTCTGCTAGCCTAGGGGGTTCTGGCAGTGGCTCCGGTGGTGCTTCTGCAACCGGTGGTCTTGGGCTTGGGCTTGGCGGCTCTGGCTTCACTGGTCTCGGCGGTTCTGGTTCAGCTGACCTTGGCGCTTCTGGAAGTGGCTCCGGTGGTGCTTCTGCAACTGGTGGTTTTGGCACTAGCTCATCTGGTGGCGCTGGCCTTGGGGGCTCCGGTTCCGCTGATCTCGGTGGATCTGGTGGTTCCTCTGGTGCTGCTGGCCTCGGTGGCTCTGGTAGTGCTTCTGGTGAGGCCTCTGGCACTGGATCTCTTGGTGCCGGTGCTTCTGGCGCTGCTGGACTGGGCGGCTCTGATAGCGCTGATCTTGACGCATCTGGCACTACCTCGGGTGGTGCTTCCGGCACGGGATCTCTGGACGCTGGTGTTTCTGGCTCCGCTGGCCTTGGTGCCTCCGGCGATGCCTCTGGATCTGCATCTATCGGCGGTGATGCAACGGGTGAAGCTTCTGGGACCGGTTCCACCGGCGCGAGTCCCACTGGCACCGATTCTTCCGACTCGGGTTCTTCTGGGGCTGGTGTTTCTGGCAGCGGCTCCGCTGGTGCTAGCAGTTCCGGATCTGGTTCGTCTGGCACAGGCGTCTCTGGCGGCGTAGGCGCCGGCTCCGGCACCGGTACTTCTCCTCAGGAAACTAGCTGGAGCACCAGCGTCAGCTTCGCTCTCCCCGGCCCCACTGGTATCTCTGGCGGCGCAAGTGGCTCTCTTAGCGGCTCTGCGTCTGCCCAGGCTTCGGCTGAAGCTCAAGCATCTGCCAATGCTTCCGCCAATGCTTCTGCCAATGCCTCTGCCAACGCCGACGCCTCTGCTGATGCCTCCGGCAATGTCAGCGCGTCCGCCGATGCTTCCGCCGACGCCACTGCGTAAGGCAAAAATGATATGTCTGACATTGCCTGGTCCCTGAATTAGCCCTTCAATGGTAGCTGCTCTCTCGGGAATCTCTGGCATGTTTGAATTGTGGTGGAACAACATTTTTGTATGATGTTGACTGGGTGTGAATTGTTATTAGAATATTCCTGTGCGGCTTTTGCACACTTACGCTCCTTTATTATGCGAGAACAGTACTATCAGATTAGTTCTGGGTATATTAATCAATCATCTCCTTACCCTGACTTTTGGACCATTCTTTTTAGTCAATAATTTTCCTTCTAGCTTTTGGTAGAAATTCATATCAAATATCGTAGCAGAAGTTTTAAGGCAACCTTCTAGCTATTGCAAAGAAACGTCAGTCGTGGAAAATATAGTGATATCCCTCGGTCAAGAGGCAGCGGATAACTTACTTTTTAACGTGGCCACCATGTTTAGGATCGCGACTATTCAAGCATTACAAATTTTATATACGATTTGAAAAGAGACTAAATATGATGGAACTGATTTGTAGAAGTTATTGTAGCGTTCAAGGGCCTGTTTACGGGTATTGTTTGCCCTGGTTTCGGTCATGTGTATACGCCAAAGCCGCTCTTACCGGTGCTTAAGCGATAGTGAAGATTAGGAGCCAAAACTGTGTGATGGCTCTTGTATAGCAGCATGTTAGAACCAAAAGTATAATGGACGCGAAAGGCGCAGAAACATTAACCTCGGTTAGCACTCAAACGCCCCTCTATAGTTCAGCACTAGTGTCGCAAAATAGAAAAACCAGCAACGGTCTGATCCGTGCGGGAGAATCCGACGTTCATTTCGCGTGAACAATCTCAAGCGAACGAAACGAGCATTCCAAGACTGAAGAGCAATTAATAATTCCCATGGAAACCAACCGGTCCCTCCACGTGCGCACTAAACCACGGCCAGTAAATAACTTCCGATGTCTCACCCGGCCGAAAGCTTGACGATCTCCGGGTCTAGTTTATTATGTTCGGACATTAAATCTACATTGTGCTAAGCGGCCCTTGTGCCTGACGAATGTGGTGGGGCCAGGTGACTTAATTATGCAAAAGATCTGCATGTTCAGCTCCGTGGGTGGCATTCCGGGTGTGATTGGTTGTTAGTACTTCTCGACCCAGTTGTAGTATACTACAGTGCATAGTGCTTTTAATACTTGCAATGAAGAAGTAAAATATATATAGACGTGATCGTCCTGTCTAATGCGTAGAATGGCATTCAGGTCTTGTCGATCGTTCTAATTTTCGGTCGTCATGGTTGGTGTCGCGACACTCATCAAGTCTCTGCCCCTTGTGGCAGGCAGTGCCTTTGCTAGTGTCACTTATCCTGGTCTTCCAAAGGACTTGACTACTCCTCATCAGCAGCGCCTGGCCGTGTACGGACCTAACGGTACGACCCTGTCAATTTTTAATCTAGTGACTGGGCTTTACGACACATGTCTAACATATTGATAGCTGTATCCGTGGGCTGGAACACGTACAAGCAGTTGAACCAGACCTGCGTACAATATGGTCTGTCAGCAGACAACCTCAACACAAAAGCCTGCTCATCCTCATCAACAACCTATGCGACATCGCGAACATGGTCCAACGTCGCAATCATAACTGGCCTGACCCCAGCAACAACCTACTACTATAAAATCGAGTCCACAAACTCAACAGTAGGCCACTTCCTGAGCCCGCGCTCCCCAGGCGACAAAACACCCTTCAGCATGGATGTAGTAATCGACCTAGGTGTCTACGGCAAAGATGGCTTCACAACATCCAGCAAGAAAAAAGACACAATCCCAGTCATCGAACCAGAACTAAACCACACAACAATCGGCAGCCTCGCCAACACAGTCGATAAGTACGAACTAGTAATCCACCCAGGCGACTTCGCCTATGCCGACGACTGGTATCTGAAATTCGCGAACCTCTTCGACGGAAAAGAAGCCTACGAATCAATCCTCGAACAATTCTACGATCAACTCGCCCCAATCGCAGGCCGCAAACTGTACATGGCCAGTCCTGGAAACCACGAAGCAGACTGCAGCGAAATCCCCTACATCAACGGCCTCTGCCCAGAAGGTCAGAAGAACTTTACCGATTTCATGCACCGTTTCGATAGTACCATGCCGCAGTCTTTCATTTCGTCTTCTTCAGATACCACTGCCCAGGCACAGGCGAAGACCGCCCGGTCCCTGTCCAATCCGCCGTTCTGGTATTCGTTCGAATATGGCATGGCGCACGTCATTATGATCAACACCGAAACAGACTTCCCCAATGCCCCCGATGGCCAAGATGGCTCTGCAAAGCTAAATGGCGGGCCGTTCGGCAAAGAGCACCAACAAATCGAGTTCTTGACCGCTGATCTGGCGAGTGTTGACCGATCTGTCACACCATGGGTCATCGTCGCTGGTCATAGACCCTGGTACTCAACCGGGTCATCCAGCGGGTGTGATTCATGCCAAGAAGCGTTCGAGGGATTGTTCTACAAGTACGGTGTTGACCTCGGTGTTTTCGGGCATGTGCACAACTCGCAACGGTTTTTGCCTGTTGTTAATGGGACGGCTGATGCCAATGGGATGGATGATCCCAAGGCGCCGATGTACATTGTGGCTGGGGGTGCCGGTAATATTGAGGGTTTGAGTTCTGTTGGGAACAAGCCTAGTTATACGGCTTTTGCTTATGCTGATGATTATAGCTATGGGGCTATTAAGTTTGTCGATGAGCAGCATTTGGAGGTTGAGTTTATCAAGTCTTCCACTGGGGAGGTTTTGGATACTAGTACACTGTATAAGAAGCATGCCACGCGGTTTGTAAGGCAATAAGGGTGATTGTTTGAGACGGATGAGATAGTTCAATTTGTTCATATTGATCTGATGAAAGAAGTCGGTCGAGAGCAACATGCGCTCATTGATGATGAGTATATAAGGCACTGAATACACAAAAGTCGATTAACTGTTTTCTCCGAACAACCTCAGATGACTTGTAATGAATGCAAAGGTTGAGACAAGCTCATATTCACTTTTTCTCAACAGGATGCTTTTGCAAACTCTCATACCATTGGATCGTAGACCCAATCATAAAGGCCCACGAGCCCCAGAAAGTAGCAAGCGTTGCCTGGTATTCGACCTTAGAGTGCATACTCCCTGGCCCAAGTGCACCGCACAGAGTAAAGCCAATGCCACCAATGAAATTCCAAACACCGATATGCCACCCCAAAACATGCCATGCGGGTCTGTACCACTTGGATTGAGTCTCAAGAGTGAACAATAATCCACTCAGAACGAACCCTAAACCACCCACAATCTGAGGGACCCAGTATACACCATCAGCAAGGCCTTGACTCATGTGATCATAGATACCAGGAAGACCAGTAAACCCAGCAATCCAGAAGATAGTTGCAGCAAGGAATTGAACCAAAGATGCCAGAAATCCCAGTTCACGGAAGTAATGCGAGCGCAATTCTGAAACGGACGGCATCCATCGAAATGATCTCCCATCAGGCGATGAAGTAAAATAACCAGGACGATTCGACAAAGACTCATGATCACTGGCAGAAGGATGGGAACGATTCACGGAAAGCAGCGACTTCCGATTCGCATGGTGATGCCTACATTCCCGCATACTCGGCGTGACCTTGGTAGATGCAGGCGTGTGTAAATGAGTCCCATCCTCCTGAGATTTCGTCTTCGACAAAACAGACTCAAGCGCCCAACCAAAACATCCTGTCTGATTTGCATTGATAGCTTCCAACAATAGCAACACACTTCCAATCTCGAAAACAGTTGCACCGATAAATCCTGACACGCCACCCCCTGTTAGCGTTTCACCCGGGAAAGCAGCCTGTGGGACTTCGAGTGGTAGCCAGACGAAGAAGGCGTTGATAATCCAGATCATGGAGCCAATCGTGAATGCGATCGCTACCAGATACGACACGTCCCAGTAGGGTACGCATGTCAGCATGCGAAGAATGCCTTTTGCTATGGCGTGAGTGCTACGTGTTAGTGGGGGAACCGTGTACCCGGTTTCCTGGGGAGTTGCCTTGGTATCGACGCGCAACGCATGCCGGCCTTTTCTGTTATCGCGCGATCGCCAGAGATGCTCGATGGGTGGTTGAGGTTGGACTTCTCCAGGTGCTGCGTGTTTGGCATGAAGTTGCTGGGTTAGAGTGTAATGTGCCCAGGTGGGGTTCAAGAAATGCAATGGACCTGAGATGCGGGATCTTCTTAATTCTAGGCCACTTTGGTCTTGTAGTGGCTCTCGGCCTGTTTGGAAGTGGGAATGTCGGACCATTTGGTGGCCGAGGCCGTGATGGCACCGTGGATGTTACACGTTCTTGGATATATGAGGAGAGATGTTCGGATGCATAGGGGAGAATGTTCGAGGGATATCGCAATGTCGTGCTATCTTCTATGGGTAAGAACGGCTGGCGTTGCATGACGTCGTGAGATAGCGTGGGGTTTAAAGCGGCGGCACTTGCTTCCCAAAGTGGTAGTCTACTATCACGCATAACATCAACTCAATTGCTGCAACATCTGCTCAAACATATATGTCACATTCATCACCATGTCCATACTGGTGGAAATCAACAACGCTAAGAAGAAGAGTCCAACAGGTACAACATCACTCATGATTAGGACGCAATCGCCTAAAAACAAGAGCTTCCAACTGAAATTATCCATATGAATCACAGACTCCTCAGACAGAGGTACCTTCGCGACAATTTCATAATAAGGATCACGACAAAACGTCGTAAACCTTCATGTCTGCTTCGCACCATTTTCCTCATCCTCCCCGCCATCTTCAACAGTAGCAGCCCGATCCCGATCCCCGGCCTCGGACTTCGCCTTTGCACTCGACTCAGTCTCAGTTTCAGCACCATCATCCTCCTCGGGCATCTTAGTAGCAGGTTGCTGCACCGACTTGCCCTTGTTACCAGTTCGATCAGGCAAAGTTTGCTCAGCCTCGCTCTTCATCTCAGCTCCAGACTCCTCAGCAATCTGCGAAGCACGGGAACTGTGATGACGACGCGCCCGAGCATGAGCACGGCGAATCATCTTGTTATGATAGTCCTCCTGCTCAACTTCATTGTCTTCATGGAGAATGCGACGAGCAGCTTCACGGCCGACAACGGGAAGCCGGTCGACACCTTGAGCAGAGCTTGGTAGAAGCTTAGGGTCCAGAAGACCAACTTGAACGAGGACACTCGCTTGGTCCCAGTAGACATGCTCGGAATAGAGACGGCCAGCGCGGATGCTGACGATACTCACGAGGATGATCTCCACGCGCTTGTTTGTTGCCGGGACGCCGGGGAGCATCCATGGGACGTCCTGTGTGTGTTCGAAGCTCACGTACAGTTCGTCCACGATGCGGTCTGGGCCAGTCGTTCGGGAGAGTAGGCGGAGGCGCATTGATGGGGGTAGTTTGCCGATGAAGTAATGATCGTAGAAATGGCGGAGGGCTTTCTTGCCGATTCCACCTGTAATTGTTGGCGCGTAGGTTACAGCGGGGGTTTTGTGCTGCACATAGCCGTCCATTGTATTTTTGACGTTGGACGAGAAGAACTTGGCTGGATATTTGTTAGCATATCTATCCGACAGGTGAGGATCCCTTCTTACCCTCCACATGCTCCTCCCAGCGCCTTTCAAAATCAGGATCCCGCGAGTAGCCCTTTCGCAGCGTTTTCAACGTCCGCGTGAAAGCCAGATCCGCCGATAGATGGTCATATTCCTCGAGATCAGTCTCCGCAAAGCCCGGCTGTGCATTGTCGTACGTGAAACTGGGGTATCCCAGATCCAGTCGCTCTCCAGTTCCGATACCAGGGTTAAGAGGCCGTGTTTGACGGCGCTTCTTCCCCTGCAGACCAAGTGCGACGGGTTGAACAATCACATCTACAGTTTCGCCAGCCAAATGCACGAGAACCTGGAGCTGCGTACTGAATCGGGAACGTGTGTCGGGGATGACACTGGGATAGTATGCGACGAGGGCACAGAGCCGACTCGAGTTGGTAGGCTTGAGGTAGTAGTCGAGACAGTAGTTCGCGGCATCGCCGTATGCTATAAATCGGGTTAATTTGATTCTAAATTTCCATGTTTTGTAATTGTCGCATACCGACTACACCGTAGTTCTCGCCCACACCGAGTCCATCCTTCACAGACTGCAGTTTGGCACCGTATTCCTTTCCTCCGCCATTATATGGGATATAGAGCACGTCGAATCCTTCGTCTTGCCAGTTCTTGATGATCTCCATGTCGAAGTTTTCGGTTTCGGCTGTGATGCATAGTCGCGCATTGTTATTTCCGTTGTTATAAAGGAATCCTCCGCTTCCCAGTCCCGGGGCGCTGATTGAAACGGTGGCCATGCTTGTATATAGTGTCGGTGTCGCCTTCTAAGGTTGTTGTATGTTACGCAAGCGCTGTAAATATGGTAAAAGTGAGTCCGCGAAGACGATTTACAGAATGACAGGGCGGATTAAAGGAAGTGAAGAGGCAGGTCTCTCAACCATGGCAGTTGACACTTAACGGCTCTACGTCATTGGCGTCGCAACGTCATCGGCCCATGGTTATATTAATGTCACGTGAGCCAGGTACAGGGATATATTAGGCTATCTCACAATTTAAGAGCACACTTGAGGAAGAATATCATGAGTTATGACTGATTTTATACATAACTACTCTTTTTAGGCATTCATAGCCCCATCTATTCCTAGCTTCACTGTGTTGCGATAGACATCTATATGCAGATGTACTATGTACCTGTCGTGCCATGTTTTTTTTGTAACCGTACCACGGATCCACAGAGGCTAATTTCCCTACTGAAAAGACTCATATCAGAACGGACGGATTCAGTTACTGCCAATTTTAGAAGATATGAAGATAAAGTGCAGTGTGCAGAGTAACCCGTTTCCACTCGGCAATTTACGTGAAACTACATAGGACCAGCTCAACCTAGGTCCCGAACCTGGGCACTATCCCATTTGTGCCTAGAATCTTGAGGAATTACCGCTTGAATTACTCGGAGAGAGTTGAGAGTATACTCCTCGTTTCGAGGGCTAATTCATATATCCTGATACTCTATCCGTGATATCGGCAATTAACTGGGCTAAGACGGCCATTCCCTATATTCATTGACAGATTGTAGCTTCCACTTTGTCACGGAAACCCTATCGAATTTTGGTGCCAATGGCGCATTGGGAAAGTTACCACCCGCTCGTGTGAATGTCACTTCGAGAGATGCATGGTCGGGAAATGGGGAGCCATTAATCAAAGGATAGGTGAAGGGACCAGCGAGACTTTCCGTTGCAAAGGGGATAATAGAGAGAAACTTGGACCTAATGATGCTGGGAGTAAGTATGAAAATCTGGAAGCTCTGCATCGTCGAGTCTAGACTTGGGATGTTCTAGGTTGGGATTCAAGAATACGCTCTTGGTTCGGTGGAGGCGGAGACTTGCATGCTGGTCAAAGAGCAGAACAAACACAATTCTCAGAACTCTCCGACCAGTGGTGGGTGCGATTCGGAGCATTCTTTCCTTGTGCAGGGTTGATTATCTGTATGCATTTCTGGAGCAGAGGTTGAGATAGGCGGACTTTATAACGGATTTTGTGGCTTTCGTGGTCCTTAACTTCACCAGTGCTGGACCCCTTGTTCCTCGCCATCCAATTAAGATGTTCACCGAGACAGGTACAGTGACATTCGACATACTCGTACGGTCCCCCGGACATGAGTGGTCTGGCTTTCCTCAATTTGGTGATGGCACTCTATGCTCCGTGGTATTTTAACTCTGGGACCATCGACAATATGTTCGACTATTAGGGCGTCTAGGTCCGAAGCCTGCTGCCCCGAGTCCCATCTTCTGGGTGGTGGCTGGGTGGTGGCATTGGTAGCGTCTCCCTCGCCGTCGGACTATTCTGGTTTGCATGGGCCAGCAGACCAGATATTCATTGGGCGTGGAGCATCGCGGCTGGAGTTCTCTTTAGATTTGGAGTTGCGCTGATCACCATCGGATCAACAAACCATCTAGTTGACTCCTATAATGCTCCTATACTGCTTTTACTGCCACGGCTCTGACGGTGTGTATCTGTGCTCGGGCCGTTTGCGGTGCTCTGGCACTGTTGCTTGTGTGAAGAGCCTTTGAGAAGTTGGGCGTTCAATGGGCATTCATGATTCCCACAGGCTTGGTCCTTCTTTGTGCGCGTTTCCTTTAGGTTTCTACTGTCCTGGAAGACGTATTCGATCAACGTTCAAGCCGGCACAAGTTTTTGACACGATTAAGTCTCGGCTAGAGCATTCTCCGACAGAGACCACCCGGTTGTTAGACTAGAATGAGGTGCAACCTGAATTGCGAATAGTATAGAAGTCAATAGAGGTTCACATTTAACAGCACTACGTCATCAGCGCACTGACGTCATCGTATCCATGGTTACAATGTCACGTGCGTTAGGTACATAGTTGACATATTGTAACAGGCTATTACATTGTTTCAGCCAGACTATCATTGGTAAATAGTTTCATGTAGTATAGTCCTTTTTAGGCTCTCATAACTTTATCTGTTCCTATACTACCTGCACTGGATAACAATAGACACCTGTATATTGATATACAGCAGCCTATTGTACCATGCTTTTTTTCGTAGTCAAATATAAAACCACAGAGGTTAATTCCCTAAAAGGGGCAATTACTTGTGTAACCTTGTAAAACATAAAGGTAAAGTGGGATATTCAGAGAATTCTCGGGTCTCTGAAATTTAATAAAAACGGTCCTAGACGTGGCAACAAAGCTATGCTAGTCCACACCCTAGCGGGAGCTTCGGTTGGTTCCAAGGAAAAATTAGCAAGGTCACGTGTTATATAGCTCCGATCTGCAGAACATCCCAGAAATTGCGAAATCACGAATCCAGACACAATCAAATATATCTACCTTCACATGCACATGTATCGGGAATTGGATTTATATCGGGCATAAATCCAATTCCCGAGATAACACTGCATAAAACCCTGCCACAAGAAATACACTAGAGCGAAAGAGAGAAAAGGTCTCCACGATAAGACCGCTTCCCCTCCACAACCCACTCGAGCTCATCGTTCAACACGAACAATGTCGCTGGTGCAACACGTCTCCGTCATCGATGGTGTCGATCGCGAATTAGAACCAGACGTAGCAGAAGACTTTGCCCCCATCCGCCGAAAAATCAGCTACGATGTTCTGCAGCCACCAACAGAGGCCATCCCGGTCGCAGAGCTGCGCCCTGGAACACCAGCGTACAAGCATTCACCCGCGAAGAGAATAGGTACGAGTCAATTAATACACAGCGAATATACCTGCTAACAAACCCCAGCGCAGGTTGTGGTGACAGTGCTCGCGTGCTGGCTCGCGTCGGGTATCGTGTTTGGGTTCGCGGCTCTGAAACCAGTCCTCGTCGAGGAGGGCGTTTATCACGAGCGCTGTACACCAGCCGAAATAGACGAAGGTCTTGAACTGTGTTCTCAGCAAGATCTTAGGTAACGTCATCCTCATACCCGCCGTGACAAGGTTATTGTTGTTGTCGCTAACCAATACCAGACTAAACCTCTTTTTCACTATTGCTTCCATCACCGCCAATGTATCAGCCTTGCCAGTTGGAACAATCCTGGATCGCTGTGGCTCCCGGCTATGCTGGGTAGTTGGATCCATATTGCTCGCCGTCGGCGGCGCCATCATGGGCTTCGCGTTCCACATCCCCAGCTTTGATGGGTACATCCCGGGAAATTTCTTCCTCGCACTGGCTGGAACATTCATCTTCGTGCCATCCTTCCAAATCGCAAATGCATTCCCTAAATACGCGGGGACGATTGTCGCATTGGTGACGGGTGCATTTGACGCGTCGGCTGCCGTCTTCCTCTTTTACCGACTCAGCTACGAGGCTTCGGCGAGAAGATTCACTCCAGACAAATTCTTCCTAGGCTATCTCATCGTGCCGCTCTGCATTCTTATCGCGGTGGTGACAGTAATGCCCGCGAAGGATTACGTCTCAACATTGCAATTAGAAAACAGAATCGAAAAGGCGGAAGATGCCACACGTGACATCCACGACTCAGACGACGAGATCGAGAGTACAGCCGAGCTTACCAAGCTCCGACGAAAGCGCGCAGAACAGCGCAAGAAGAAGATCCGCCAGATTAACGCCATCCTGGGTGATAAAGACGAGCGTCAACTGCGCGCCGACCGGGAAGAAAATCGTCAACAGGTTTCTTCGGTCTGGGGTGTTCTGCACGGTCTGCCGGCGCACAAGCAGATGGCCACGCCGTGGTTCATTCTCATTACATTGATGACGGTTCTACAGATGATCCGCATGAATTACTTCATTGCGACTATCCGCTCGCAATATGAATATATGCTCGGGTCGATTGTTGAAGCGGATAGAATTGGAAGCTTCTTTGATATTGCATTGCCGGTTGGTGGTGTTCTTTTCACGCCTGCTATTGGCTTTTTGCTCGACCGTCTTAGCGTGCCAGCAATGCTGAGCCTCATTGTTCTTTTCACTACTGTCATTGGAGTGTTGAATTCCATTCCGGCTGTTTGGGCTGGGTACATGACAGTTATATTGTTTGTGTTACTACGACCACTTTATTACTCTGCTATGTCGTGCGTGTTCCCCGTCCTCCCTCCTCCTCCTTATACCATCCGAGTTATAACTAACAATGATCTAGCGATTATACAACCAAAGTCTTCGGCTTCGCCACATTCGGTCGTGTCTACGGTGCCATCATCTGTCTATCAGGACTATCGAATTTCTCCCAGTACGGCCTAGATGCGTTGACGCATCGCAACTTTGACGGAAATCCAATTCCAATCAATGCTTCCTTGGCAGTTGCGGGGTTTATCGTGGGCATGGCACTCGTAATATTTGTTCTCGTGGCTGCGAGGCAGCTAAGAGAGAAGGACCAGGCGGATGACGAGGAACGGGAGAGACTTCTCTTGTCCTTGGAAGAGGAGGATGAATACGAGAGTGATGAGGAGCATCGGTGATAGATGATAGATCGGGTTGGATCTAGGATTCTAAGATGGGAGACCGAGGTTCATTCGGCATTTAGCTTAAGTGCCGGCATGCCAATGTTGTTCTTTTAATCTACTGTGGCTTTAATATTTAATTGTACGTACTACCAAGACGAAAAGAGAGCGGAATAGTCACATGCCTGAGATAATCCATCGGAACTGGTGATTTTTTTAAGTTTACCCCGGATTTCGTGTATAGGGGTGGAACTATTGGTGCTCTAACAAAGAAAGCTTCCAACCTCGACAACAGCGCTTAAACGGATCGTAGCGTGGAATGGATGGGATGCAGGGATTATCGTGGATAAAGGGATACATGCATGATGAGCCCATGACCTGCATGCTGAGAATATATCCGACGGCCAAGACCAGGGTAGGTAGTGCCACGCTTTGTACGCTCTAAGGCTGCCAATGAAGAATCTGTAAGAGATAACGGATTATACTTTCGGTATTCCCGATCAGACTTCGAACCGGACGTATCAGAATGAAAAATGCCGATGCTAAAAGTTCCTGTTTTCGTATAGAAGTCATAGCTTGAGCTGAGTCTTGGCTTACTCTGGACCTCGTCACAGTCGATGAAAGAACAGAAAATCAACACAACTCAAGTCCACCATGTAGAGGCAAGAGTAAGATCTAGGAAACAAATACGACGCGAATATCCAGATCCATGTAATGCACAACGAATAACCTCTGCACTGCCAATATCCAAGTCCAAACAAACCCATTATAAGCCCTAACCCACGCAACCCTAGCCAGTGTCAGTGGCAAAACAAAAGCACCCAAATAGCAACACCCCTCCACCCCCTAACCAGCAGCCCAATAACAAAAACGAGGGGATGACCACCCGCCAAGATCCCGCCAAGTAACCCGTCCCCGCATCCCAACCCTCACACCCCCGGATTAACACCAAAGCAGCCATCAAACGTAGCACTAGCTCACATCTGACTCGTCGAGCTGGTAAGAAGCGGAGAATAAGCCCCCTCCTTTGTTTCGGGCAATATTGCTGCATTACGCGCAGACTTTACTGCTAACTTCCCCCTACTAGGCCCCTACTGCATTATATTGTCTTGTCCCGAGGCCCCGTGTCGGCTATTGCATTCTCCTTCCGGCTTTGGGAATTTGGGCGTTGGCTGGGCGGGAGAGATGGGGGTTGTTTGGCGAGTTGTCTTTGTGACTGGGTGGATTTAGGTTGGTCTTTTGTGGAGATCTGGGGTATGGTGAACTTTGTGGATTTCGTGGATTCTTGGGATGGGTTGTAGATAAGATGTGGGTTTGGCCTGCTTTGTTGTTGCTTTTTTCTTTACTACATTTTCATTATTACACATTACATCTGCAGCTCTGATCAGAAGGAATTGGATTAATTGACTTGAATCCTCTTATTATGGGAAACATGGCTCCCATCGACGAGAAACCTCCTACGGTCGATAACATTGAGGATATCGCGGGCAGGAGTCCGCCCAGTGAAGATGATGAGGAGTTCACGCCGGAGGAGCAGAAGAAGATTATTCGGCGGGTTGATTTGAGGCTGGTTACTATGACTGGGTTGGCGTATTGTATTTCGCTTATGGACCGGACTAACCTGAGCATGGCTGCTGTTGCCGGGTAGGACTTTTCATGACGAATGATGTTGCTGGTCAATGGTTGACACTTTAACAGATTGAAAGAGGAATTGAGTTTGCATATTGGACAGCGATATGTATGTTCATTCATATGGTTGCTCGTTTGGAAATGCTAATTGTTGCTAGTCCATTATCGTTTTGATGTTTTTCGTGCCTTATATTCTCTTCCAGCCACCTATGACTGTTATCATTCGCAAGTTGGGCCCGACGATGTTCTTGTCGTCGATTATTATTTGCTGGGCAGCGATTATGATAGTATGTCTTCTGTTCTCGATATATTTGTTCTTGCTGACTAGTATAGGGAATGGGATTCGTCAAGGACTGGGGCCAGTTAGTCGTCACACGTGTGCTCTTGGGTATATTAGAAGCAGGCTATTTCCCCGGCTGTGTCTACCTGCTGTCTTGCTGGTATACTCGATGTAAGACGCCCACGAAAGATTCCGGAACGATAGCTGACCACCTGAAGATGACGTCCAGAAGCGATTTTCCGTTTTCTATCTGATTGGATGTGTTGCCTCAGCGCTGGCAGGAATCCTCGCCTTCGGTCTGATGCAGTTGAACGGAACGCACGGTCTGACAGGCTGGCGTTGGATCTTCATTCTCGAAGGAGTGGTGCGTACTATGTTGTAGCGATTGAATGCACTATACTGACAGAACCAGATTACGGGCTTCATCGGCATCCTATGCTTCTTCTTCCTCGTCGACTTCCCGGACCGCGCACACAAGTCCTGGCGTTTCCTCAACGAGCGAGAATGCCAATTCATCATCCGCCGCATCAACAATGACCGAAACGACGGCAATCTCGAAGCCTTCTCCATGAAAAAGTTCCTGAAGCCCGCACTGGACATCAAGATCTGGGGTTTCGCAATGATCTTCTTGTGCGTACAATTCCACCCCCACATGAACCGCCTAACAATAAATTAGTTGCCTCACAACCGTGACATACGCAATCGCCTACTTCCTCCCGATCATCCTCCGCCTAGGAATGGGCTACGGGGTAGGCGAATCGCAATGCCTCGTCGCACCACCCTACGGCTTCGCAGGAATCGTCATGTACGGCACAGCTTGGGTCGGCGATAAATACCGCATGCGCGGACCGATCCTGATCTTCAACGCTCTACTCGCCATTATTGGATTGCCGATGATGGGATTCGCTAAGAGTGATGCCACTCGGTATGCGGGTGTTTTCCTCACTGTCGCCGGTGCCAATGCCAATATCCCCGCTTGTATGGCGTACCAGGCAAACAATGTGCGTGGACAATGGACTCGTGCTTTCTCCAGTGCTACCCTTGTTGGATTTGGTGGTCTCGGGGGTATCGTGAGTAGTTTGGTTTTCCGTGAACAGGATGCGCCCGGTTATCGGCCCGGAATGTATGCCGCTATCGCGTATGTCTCTCTTTCTTCCCGCCTGAGACTGGATACTGATGCTGTTTCTGCAGGTGTAACATTCTTATCATTATTCTGGTCATTGTGTTGAGTCTGTGGTTCAAACGCTGTAATAAGCAGGCCGACCGGGGAGAGCGGGAAATCGAAGGCGATGCTGAGTTCCGGTATACTATTTGAGTCATATAGTCGAGATAGCAATGTCAATCGGGTCATCCAGTATCCATTCAAATTCATGATAGTCGGAAGTTTGACCGGAGCTTCCCCTCGGTGGGTATATAGCCCACCTTTGATCAGTTTCCCGGCGGGAAACTCGGAGCTCACCTCCGCAAGTTGGTGGAGAAATGGTGGAGTCGAGGGGCGACGGGAGAAGTTGGCGGTTGTCATTGGTTAGATAAGCAGACGTTATCAGTGGGCTCCGTTTCCCGACAGTTGCCCGTCGGCAAGGGTAAGCCTCCGTGATAAGTATTAATTTTTGGTTCTTTACTTCTTTACTTCTTTGCTTCTTTTCTTCTTCTCTATCTCTCTATCCTCTCTCTATCCCTCTGCAATTGGATGTGTTGAGTGCCTACCCTACTATCACAAGTATGGCGGCATCACTCTTTGCCCTTCGCGGCGCCCGCCAGCTTGCGCTGCGATCGCGTGTTCGCGTCCCCTCCATTGCTAGAGCTTCAATCTCACCATTGAACCTGCAGAGACGGGGTGTGCATAGCTCGCAGCCTCGTGGCGTCTATAACAGCACCCTCGCCGATCATGGTGACCCCCATCCCCAAGATATCTTCCAGCCTCTCGATACCTTCCCCCGCCGACACATTGGTCCCTCCCCAGATGCCGCCGGGCAGATGCTGGCAGTGCTCGACCCCCCAGTGGCATCTTTGGATGAGTTCGTGAAGCAGGTCCTGCCCGAGGACATTCTCTCAAAGAAGAACCTCCACCTCACCGAGCCCAATGCCGATATCAATCTATACCGCTCCAGCGTGCAGGGTGGCCTCGGTGAAACCGACATGCTCAAGCTACTGAACAAGTACCGGGAACAGATCGATGTCTCCGGCAAGACCTACATTGGAACCGGCTACTACCCCACGATTGTGCCCCCCGTCATTCAGCGCAATGTACTCGAGAACCCCGCCTGGTACACCAGCTACACACCTTACCAGCCCGAGATCAGTCAGGGTCGCCTGGAGTCTTTGTTGAACTTCCAGACCCTCACCGCTGACTTGACCGGTCTGCCCTTCGCGAATGCCTCCGTTTTGGACGAGGCCACCGCCGCCGCCGAGGCCATGACCATGTCCTTCGCCACTATGCCCGCTTCCAAGCAGAAGAAGGCCGACAAGTCTTTCGTTGTCTCCCATCTCTGCCATCCCCAGACTATTGCCGTTATGCAGTCCCGCGCCGAGGGATTCGGAATCAACCTCGTGGTTGGTGATATCCTGGCCAACGACTTCCAACTCGTCAAGGACCAGAAGGACCACCTAATTGGTGTCCTTGCTCAGTACCCCGATACCGAGGGTGGTATCTACGACTTCCAGTCCCTGGGTGACTCTGTCCACGGCCAGGGTGGCACTTTCAGTGTGGCCACTGACCTGCTTGCTTTGACTGTGCTCAAGGCTCCTGGTGAGTTCGGTGCTGATATTGCCTTTGGTAGTGCCCAGCGTCTGGGTGTTCCCATGGGTTTCGGTGGCCCTCACGCTGCATTCTTTGCTTGTGCCGATAAGTATAAGCGTAAGGTTCCTGGTCGTGTTGTTGGTGTGTCCAAGGACCGTCTTGGTAACCGGGCTCTGCGTCTGGCTCTTCAGACTCGCGAGCAGCACATTCGTCGCGAGAAGGCTACTAGCAACATTTGCACTGCTCAAGCTTTGCTTGCTAACATGACTGCCATGTATGCTATCTACCACGGCCCTGTCGGTCTCAAGTCTATCGCCCAGCGTATCATGTCCATGACTACTCTTCTCCGCGAGAAGCTTGTCGGTCTCGGCTACAATGTTCCTCTCCGCACCAATAGCGATGGTGGTGCTGTCTTTGACACTCTCGCCATTGAATTGCCAAGTGCTGCTGAGGCTGATGCCATCATGGCTGAGGCTAAGGCTAGATCCGTGTTCCTCCGCCGCTTGGGTGGTAACAGGGTTGGTCTCTCGCTGGATGAGACTGTTGGCCGTGATGAGGTCAAGGGCATCTTAGATGTCTTTGCCGCTCACAAGTCTGTTGGTCCCGTCGAGGTTGATGGCCACCTTGGTGTCACTCCCATCCCTGCTAACCTGGAGCGTACCTCCGCCTACATGACCCACCCTGTTTTCAACACCCACCACTCTGAGACTGAGATGCTCCGATACATCCACCACCTCGAGTCCAAGGATCTCTCTCTGGCCCACTCCATGATTCCCCTTGGATCTTGCACCATGAAGCTCAACGCTACCACTGAAATGCTCCCCATCTCCTGGCCCGAGTTCTCGCAGATCCACCCCTTCATGCCCGCTGACAAGGCCAAGGGCTACACCAACATGATCGATGATCTCGAGCAGCAGCTCGCCGATATCACTGGCATGGCTGAGGTTACTGTGCAGCCCAACTCTGGTGCCCAGGGTGAGTTCGCCGGTCTCCGTGTGATCAAGAAGTACTTCGAGGGCAAGGGTGATGCCAAGCGCAACCTGTGCTTGATCCCTGTCTCTGCTCACGGTACCAACCCTGCCAGTGCCGCCATGGCTGGTATGCGCGTTGTCACTGTCAAATGTGACACCAAGACCGGTAACCTCGACCTCGAGGACTTGAAGGCCAAGTGCGAGAAGCACAAGGATGAGCTTGCCGCGTTCATGATCACCTATCCCAGCACCTTCGGTGTGTTCGAGCCTGGTGCCAAGGAGGCTTGCCGTCTGGTTCACCAGCACGGTGGTCAGGTCTACATGGACGGTGCCAACATGAACGCCCAGATCGGTCTCTGCTCTCCTGGTGAGATTGGTGCCGACGTGTGCCACTTGAACTTGCACAAGACCTTCTGTATCCCCCACGGTGGCGGTGGTCCGGGTGTCGGCCCTATCGGTGTGGCCAAGCACCTGGCTCCCTACCTGCCATCCCACCCTACTAGCGAGTACCTGCAGTCAAAGCGTGGCGACACCTCGTCTCCACCCATCAGTGCCGCCCCCTGGGGCAGCGCCAGCATCCTCCCTATCACCTTCAACTACATCAACATGATGGGCGACCGCGGCCTGACCCACGCAACCAAGATCACCCTGCTCAACGCAAACTACATCCTCTCCCGCCTCAAGCCCCACTACCCGATCCTGTACACCAACGATCACGGTCGCTGCGCCCACGAGTTCATCCTCGATGTGCGCGGCTTCAAGGAGACCTGTGGCATCGAAGCCATCGACATCGCCAAGCGTCTCCAGGACTACGGCTTCCATGCCCCAACCATGTCCTGGCCCGTCTCCAACACCCTGATGATCGAGCCCACCGAGTCCGAGAGCAAGGCCGAGCTCGACCGCTTCTGCGACGCCCTGATCTCCATCCGTCAGGAAATTGCCCAGGTCGAAGCTGGCGAGCAGCCCCGCGAGGGTAACGTGCTCAAGCTGTCCCCTCACACCCAGCGTGATCTCCTCACCACTGCGTGGGAGCGTCCCTACACCCGTGAGAAGGCCGCCTACCCGGTCCCGTACCTGCTCGAGAAGAAGTTCTGGCCCACCGTCACTCGTGTCGATGACGCCTTCGGTGACCAGAACCTGTTCTGCACTTGCGGTCCTGTCGAGGACAGCGAATAGACCAAGATCTAGAGGATGATCTATGATACCCATGTTGCATTGGTTGCTTTTGCTTTTTCGTTTTTATAGGGATCCGTCCCGCTCTTCTTGTGTATACATTCAACATTTCTTTTAGCTACGATGATGACGTTCAAAAAGACTACATTTCGGCTTGCATCGATTCAACATGATCGTCCAGCGGGCATAATACAATATATCCAATTCATTATAACCCGCCTCCTTACTCCGTAACATAATATCCTCTAGTTGTACCCTGTAAAGAGCCGAGGTCGGCACAACCCGGCAGAACCTGACTCCCCTTATCAGCTTATCAGCTTATCAGTGCCCCTCATACCATACCATACCATCCCTCCAAAGTTACACAACCATTCCAACTCCTATATTCCGATAATACAGTAATAGATCATACCCCATCGGAGAAAGCCGATCCCCGCCCCCCAATCGACCCAACATTCCCTTTTGACGCGGCTGAACCTGTCAACTCAGCCGCCTGTCTGAGAAGTCAACTACGGGAGATCCCTGCGGAGATAGAACATTCGCATCTAGAAGGAATAACCTTGATACATGCTCGCAGACTTGGCTTTTGGGGGCTGTCGGGTATTTGGACTACATCGGTAGGTTGTTGCGAGATGAGATATATTTGTGAAACGTATATTTATACTCGTTTACCTCTTGTTCTTGGGGGTTCGTGACTCTCTTCCTTGGTCTTTGGTTTTGACTTTGGACCTTGACTTGTGAGGCTTTGCATTGTGGAGACTGATCTGCGCTTTCCTTGAGTTAGACTACATTGTCTTCTGGTTCATACTGCTAGATTTGGATATACCGTTGTGCGGATATATTTGTCTTGTTTTGATTTTCATATACACTGCATCTGCATCTACATCTGCATCTGCATCGCATTTGTGTATCGACATGGGTTCCACGACAAATGCCTTTTTCGGTCTCACCGTCTACCGCGGCACGTTCATTCAATTGTCCCGTTTGCCTGATACCGGTGCTGTCAAGGCTAAGCCTGAACTTGTTCGCAACCAGGGTGCGTTATGGGTTTCTGTTGCGGATGGTCGCATCAAGGGTTGGGACTGGCAGGCCCATGACGATGCGCGGTTTGCGGAGTTGATGACTCGCAATGGATGGGTTGATATTGACGTCGACGTCGATGGCCAAGGGTCGAAGACGAAAGTGAAAATTGTCACTGCAAGCGAAGAGAATAATGAATTCTTCTTCCCCGGGTTCATTGGTATTTATATTCCAGTCTCCATCAAGGACAGCATAACTAACAAAACCAGACACACACATCCACGCCCCTCAATACCCAAATGCCGGCCTTTTCGGCTCCTCAACTCTACTGGGCTGGCTAGAAACATATACATTCCCAGTGGAGTCAGGTTTCGGCAACCAACCAGACCCAAAAACTGGCTGTCAACAGCAGACCAAAGCCGGAGAAACCCCACTGGCAGCCCAAACAATCTACGACCAAGTAATCTCCCGTACCCTCTCCCACGGGACAACCTGCGCCAGTTACTTCGCAACAATCCACATCCCAGCAACAAACGCCCTAGCAACCCTCTGCAAAAAGCACGGGCAGCGAGCCTTCATAGGCCGAGTCTGCATGGACAACCCAGATTTCTGCCCAAAATACTACCGCGACTTCTCAGCCGAGGACTCTCTGACCGCAACGAAAGCAACAATCGCCCACATCCAATCCATCGACCCAACAGGCTCCCTCATAAATCCAATCCTAACCCCCCGCTTCGCCCCTTCCTGCACACGGCCCGCCCTCGAATCCCTAGGTGCCCTCGCAGCTTCTTACTCCCCACCCCTCCATATCCAGACCCACATCGCGGAAAACACAAACGAAGTCACACTTGTCAACGACCTCTTCCCCGAAGCGGGGAGTTATGCTGCTGTTTATGATAGATACAATCTGCTCACGCCGCGCACGATCCTCGCGCATGCAGTGCATCTATCGAAAGACGAGAAGGCGTTAATTGCCAAACGTGATGCCAAGATCTCTCATTGTCCTTCTTCGAACTCAGCGCTTGGATCGGGGATTGCTCCTGTACGGTCTTTCCTCGATGTTGGTATTACAGTTGGTCTAGGCACGGATGTAAGTGGCGGGTACAGTCCCAGCATTCTTGAAGCTGCACGGCAAACATGTCTTGCGTCGAGGTTATTGGGGCATACGGCTGCTTTTGAGAGGGAGTTTGAGTGTGGGCATTCACATGTGAAGGGCGAGGATGAGAAACAGAAACAGAAGGAAAAGGAAGACGAAGCAGCACGTGTGAAACTCTCCGTTCCAGAAAGTTTATATCTCGCCACGCGGGGCGGTGCTGCTGTTGTTGATATGGCGGACGAGATTGGTGGGTTTGATTTTGGGATGTTGTGGGATGTGCAGTTGGTTCAGCTTGGTGCTGTGAAGGGGTTACCGGAGAGTCCGTTGGATGGTGGTGAAGATGGGAGGGTTGATCTTATGAGATCTGGGCCTGTGGGTAATGTTGATCTTTTCGGGACGGAGACTTGGGAGGAGAAGGTTGAAAAGTGGGTTTGGAATGGAGATGACCGTAATGTTAAGGCTGTTTGGGTTGCTGGGCGGTTGGTCCATTCAAGAGTGTGATTTATGTGCGGTAATTGTTAGGATATTCGGGTATATAGTTTTCTCGGTTGTCGTATCTATCTGTCCTTCTTACATGTTTCTAGGTCTTCACTACATATCTTTTACAAGTTCGAGAATCTCTGATCAAGTTATACATTGGCAACTTGTATGGGTGGCTACTTGAAGGTATCCATGTTGAACACGCTGCTAAGTCATAGGTAGTGAGTGACTGACGCTATACACTTATTGGAAGAGCTCAACACAGTCAAAGATCTAAACGATATATTAGCTTCTCGTGCATTCTAAGAAGAGAGAAAGAAGAAGCGAGGCACTCACGAAGTTAGGGCTGAGATAAGTATCTCCCGAGCTGCCCGAAACGACATTAATAGTAATCTAAGCCCATTAGCATACTGAAATCAACAGCCGACGATCGAATTGGCTTACAGTGTTGGTACCAGCAACGATAGTCCCTGACGGAATAGAAACATCATAAACTTCACCAAGACCTCGGTAAGCGCCACGAGTGACACCACGAGAGTTGAGGTTAGTCGGGGCGGAGGGGGTAGAGCCGGTGTAACTATTGATCTAGAAAAGGAAATCAGACAAACTCATGAACCGGTAAAATATTATGCCCCACTAACCGTCGCCTGGGGCCGACCACCCGCGAAGGAGAGGGTGGTTCCAATTCTCAGAGTCGCAGCACCAGTTTGGGAAGATGTCGCCGTGAACTTGATGGTCAATGGCGAGTTAACGGACTTGAAAAGAGCCATTGGGAACGAAGACACCGAGGAGCTGCCGACTGTATACGTGCCCGGGGTCCAGGAGGACATGCGCGAGTCGGAGGGGTGCATGCGGAGCTGGTTGGCTGCGTTGAGGAAGCCGGTCGGTCTGTTATAGCATTAGCGTATTTGAGTATTATTAAAATTGTTCAGACAGACACATACTGTCCATCCCAGTCTCCAATCCTGAAGATTGTCGTTCCGGTCTTGACAGACCCAGAAATACTCTTCGAGGTGGTGGATCCAGCAGTCACAGTCACCGATGAGGTAGCAACGGCATATTCACCCTGGTAGTAGACCATAGTGTAAGTGCCGGGCTTCATGGCCGGGGACGTGAAGCTTCCCGAGGAAGAAGCGTATGTCCAGTATTGGGCGGCGTCGTTGTACCTATATTCCTGTCAGATGTCTACCCCGTTTCAAAAATTATGAATGTGACTCACCAGTGAATGACCCATTTGAACGAGGAAGAAGCTCCAGAAGCAGTACCCTTAACATACCCTCTTCCAGAAGTAGCAACGTATCCTTTGATGTCGAGGTCCGCGAAGAATGAAGTGTCAAGGGTGGAGCTAGGGGTTCCGCTGCGACTGAAATACATCGAGTAGGGGCCGTGCAGACCCTGGCGGTAAGTTTCGGTTTGGACGTGTCCGGAGTTCTGAGAGAGTCAGTAGCTGTGATTCGTGCCCGATGGTCTGGTTACGTACCATGTACCAGTAAAGACCAGTGTATGAACCGACATTGTTGGTGTTGATGTCGCTAGGACCGATTAGCTTGGCTGGATCTATGATGGTCAACAAACTTACCGGTGGAAAGGACCGCCGGCGGAGGTCTCGTATTGGTTCAAGATCATGCACACGCGGTGTGCGCTTCCAGAGACACCTGAAAATGTAAGCATATATTATTATAGATAGGTTTCACTGCTATCTTACAGTGAATTTTGTCATCGATGAACCGCTCGCTGGAGTAGAACTTGCTTCGGGTTTGGCCATCAACCAGGTACTAAATTGCGTCAGCTTCATTTTGGACCGAGTATCACCCGAGAAACACGAACGACGTCAGATCCCTCAACAACAGTACCACCCGCAATGTTGGATACAACACCGAATGGCTCTTCGTTCGGAAGCAGATCCGCATTCAAACGGGCGATGTACCGCAGTTCACCGATAGCTGGCTCTAGAAGACCTTTAGTATAGTTTCCATAACTAAACGCGAAGAAGTCTAACCTGCGGTGGTGTATGTTGCCATGTGGATGATAGGATCACCACTGTGGACGACATAGTAGTGAATCAAGGTGTCGGTCGAACATGTCACCTTGATATAATCGCCTATCTAGTTCAGCCAATGTTCATCATGCGAAAGCTGGGGTATTCACCAATCGTAGTTGCGGTAACAGTTGCGGAGCCTAAACCCGATCCAATGTGAGATCCGGTCGATTGGTACTGAAGCTCAGAGCCATAGTAGTTGATCGAGGTAATGTCACAGCTTGTTCGGCTGACAGTAAACTTGAGAGGGTTGGACGAGCCGGCGTCGATAACGTAGGAGGCGGTGCTAGTGGTAATTCCAAAAGCTGCGGATGCCTGCTTAGCCAGGAGAGTTACCGAGGCAAAAGCCAAAGGTTTGAAAAGCATCTTGTATGATGCTGCGCGTCGCAGAGATTTGCCTGAAAACTCACAACACACGATTAGGGGAAGCTGGCGTATTATACCACCGGAGAATTCTTGTCCTTCACGCTAAATCCCAGCGTCCTGAAAGGTGGAGATTTGGCAGCTGGTTAGTACTCCCGTTTCTGCATAGTTCTCCCCGGACGCCCTGAATTCAGCCATAGTTCCACCAATCTGGGTTGCGCCTCTAACTTCATGTCGCATGATTCCCCATTGGGAACGGAAGACCTGAAGAACCAACGGAAAGGCCGCTCTTCCCTGGAATGAGCACTATGAGCACATCATCATCGAACTTCTGTAGGGTGGAATCCCGGAGCTGCACCTCGCATAGCCTTGCCAAGCCCCTTGCCATCCCGTGTGGGGTTGATGGTTGTTTCAACAGCACGGAGCACCTGTCAGCAGTCCGATAGGACAAACCTGAGACGTCTTCTTCGCTAGCTGGGCTGAGCTTTGGAACTAATTCCCCCCTTCTAATCCACTCACTGACTTCAAACACCTCATTTCTTTTTTGGTTGCACTCCCGAGGTCGCGGCCCTGCTGAGCCTTAGTTTCTCAATAAGATCAGAGTTGAAGATAAATAATACAAGAAGTTTCCTTGCAAATAGTATGAATTGAAATTAAAATTTGACAATCTGATAAAACCCCCGTTCTGTTTCACATGTCTTTGCCAGCATACAGTGTCTCATATGAGGGAGCCGTACATGCTGTGAAACTAAGATATTTAGACCATTGTTTATTGTTTCAGACACACACGTGGCTTATATTCACCATTACAGAATTTAATTTGTTGCGATCTCTTTCTAAATTTGACAGCTCGCTCCCACTGAAACGGCTTTCCAGTGTTTGGTTGTGATTACATCCACGGCCTCTCAATCACTAAATCCCTAGCAACAAGAAAGCGATTTGAATATACCTCCACAGCGATACCATTACGCCTCCAACGTGAGTTATGGTTAGAGTTTCGCTGTTCTATACTCCCGAGGATGGGTCTTACTCTAAGCTAGTGATGAACCGCTGTATATACCACTTCCACGCACTTACCATACCTTTTCATAGACATAGATTTTTGTAAGATGCTGAACATAATGGAGAATCGCGAGGTCAAATTCTAAACAACATATAAAATTATTTGCCTATTGAGCACTTGGGGGTTTCACAGCCCCGATTTGTAACATTATCCCGAAAATGTCAGGCATTCCGGTCTCCTCCACTATTTTCCCATCTTTAAAGCGATATATGTTCATCGCTCGTGCCTGGATTGTCTTTCCAGAAGCTGGGACGCCAAAGAATTCACCTTCGTGAGTTCCACGCAAAGTAAACTGCGCTACAACTCTATCGTCCTCGATGACTGTATCATCAAGTGTCCACTGGATATCTGGATAGGCGGAGCGCATCATGCCGAGAATCTGCATGTACCCAGGCAATCCTTTGAGAGGGGTATCTGAAAATGGAACGTGGAATACGGCTGATTCAGAAACCACGGCCTGTCCCAGGGTTTCATCGCCTGAATTGATGAATTCAACAAAGCGTTGCATTCTTTCTAGAAGAGGGCGAGACATTTTGCTTACTTGAATGCATGTCAGTCTTTCTTTCCATTACTGCAGTCTTAAATTTTACTCACTTGTAGTGATTTTTGTTCTGGTCAAATTCGGGGAAAAGGGCTTGTTTCACTCCGATAGGTTCCTGCACAAAATAATCAGTAAATGAACAGAGTTTGGGCTTCTTCCAACAATTTGAACTCGAATACATGGCTTCATTGGAATCAAAAGAATGTAAAAGTGCAAATCAGACTCATTTAAGCACGCTTTCCCGAAGTGACAAAGAAAGAGAGCGATGGGCATTTACCTTGTCCAAGGTATACTTGATATCCAAGAGAGAGAATTTGTTTTGGAGAATAGAATAATGGAGACGAGGCCAATTTATATGTGAATTATCTCCAGCTAAGATGCGTACACGATGCGATTTCGTGGTCGTACAGTTTGTACAGTTTGTACAGTTTGTATAGTTTGCACAGTATAGAAGACCTCACTGGTTCAACTAGGAATGGATATCGGGTTTTCCGACAGTCGCCGGATGGTTTGACATGTTTACATATTTTGCATCTCGCATCCGAGTGGGCCGACGGGATATATCCGTCAGAATGTCCTTGGCCTGCTTGCAACTGAAATTTACAGAAAGACCTCAATGGTTTGACCAGAAATGGATATCGGGTTTTCCGACAGACACCCGACCGTTTGACATGTTTATATAATTTGCATCTCGCATCCACGTGGGCCGACGGGATATATCCGTCGGAAGGTCCTTGGCCTGGTTGCCAAGATAATTAATTCCTTCAAGCTGGAGGATCATAAGTGTCTAGGTGGCAACTGTCAACCAAGCCTTAGAAACAAACTAGGCCATAACAATATATACCAGTATTTGACTGCCCAGCCCACTGCCGGTCCTTGGAGTGCCCAGGCGTGTACGTAGAGGATCCAGCTTTCATGCTCCCTGCTCTCGAAGGGAGATTATACAGCGTGCTTATAATGAAAATGGCACTACTATATGAGGAAGGTAGGAGACCAAAGTGGAAAGATCTGGTACTTCCGATAGAGAGCTATAAGCCATTGGCAAGTCATTGTTGTTGCTCTCAGTTTGTGTTCATTTTCTGGACAAGATAAATTGTCAGAGTTACGTGGTCATTTACGGTTCCAATACCTGCACTGATCAGTCGCTCTGGCTCTGGGAGAGTATTTTAATGCAGGTCAGATAGAGAGAGCAAGAACTTGAAAAGCACACGGGGCAATCGACAAACAGCTATGAGATCAGATGGTTAAACCGGATTAATTTGGCTGAAGTCTTTACAATTGCCAAAGTTGCTGACGGACGACCTTCTCCTGACTATGCAATAGCCTGGTATGTTGAGTGACTTACCCCCAACTAGTAGTTTCGTGCATGCATATGTGATCTTCACTCTTGTTAGTATATTTTGAGGGACGCAGATCTGAGTGAAAGGGAGAACTTGCGTAGTAATTTAGCAGATACATCCGTTGCTCCCAAGAAATGCATTGACGGATTGGTGTAGAACACTCAGTCATTCAACGTAAAATTCTGCTGGACAGGAGCGAGGTAATATTTCCCCTGGAATGTATCCAGATCATTCTACACGTTTGTGATGGATTAGGCAATAAACGCCACTTCATGGACCTTCAAAACGGTAGAACCACAGAATGACAAGAAAAGGGAGTTCTTTCAACAAAAGTCACACTGAAACCAAGAGGTTGAAGTATGATCAGAATGAAGGCTATGTTTTCCGTTAGCTTAGGGTATAAATAAACTTGGATTCAGGGCTTACATATTCAATTCCTGTAGATCACTTCCTGCCCCATTCGCCATTTTCACAAGTAGTGCCAGGCACGACCGGCTCCGTGCCGTAGGCACATCCATTGGGATTGTCTGGAGCAGCTAAGGCAATAGCACACAAAGCGAGAATGGCGCCGATTCGGAAGGTCCGTTGGAAAGACTTCATCGTGGGCGGAGGGGGATTTGGCGTGTAATTCTCTCCACAGCAGTAAGTCATCTCGTTACTTATATTCCAAAACGTCGGCAAAACTAGCGATATAGCTCAAGAGGAATTTAGGAGAGTTCTCGTTCATATGAGGAGAATTGTCTATTGAGATAAGTTTTCAGTTTCACGTTTCACGGTAGCAATTATATAAACTCCAATCAAATTCCGATCTTCGCAGGAGTATGTTCTGTTATTGGTAGAAACTTCACAGATGTTTCCGAGTGTTTCCTTAACAAAGAAAGTTGCCCCGTGGATGTCTCAAAATTCAGTGTTAATCCTTGAGAGATCTTTCCATGTCCTACGCCACTAGTACCGAAATGGGGCTCAATAACGGCCCACTAACTACAACCTTCCGGAAGACACAGCTACCTAAACAAAAATTTGCGTCAGGGCTCTCCAGTGTAATGTTATTTCGTTGATTTGGCAGGCTCGGTTACAACCGAGAGAAACTCCACGTCAGCGACATGTGTACAGAATGCCTGTTGGGGATGACACGCTTCAACCATCTGCCTTGTCACGGGGAAATACGGAGAATGTATCGATGAAAGATCGGAAAACCACATTGACATTTAATTGAGCAATGCTATGTTTCCTTCATCCATATATCAGAAATACTAACAAAGTCACCACTAAACCTCGAGTTAAAGTCATAATCGACTTGAATTTTAACTCCGGACTCAGGCGACTTCATTCCCCGACACCGAATTCGAAGCATGTGGAATAACCTATACTCCTGTTAATAGCAGCAGGGCTATATTGTATTTAATAGGAACTATGAAGAGTCATTGACGTAGTATTTTAATTTGGCATAGAAACCGAAAGAACGTGTCTGTACGTACCCCGCCTATGGGAAAATTACCATTTGTGCTGTCTCGCTTAACTTTTCTTATTACTACACAATGCTCTATTTCAAACAATAGATTAACTATCACTCATACCCGCGGAGATAAAAAAAGGCCAAAGTAGCTCATTATGAGTCACTATGAGTAGGCGCAGCACGCAATATTTCAACAGTATACCACCAAAGATCATAATGAGTCATTTTGAATCGTCAATACTTCCTCATGTTGGAATCAAAGTCATACAAACAATTCCTTCTCTTAGCAACGAGGACTTGAGTGCATAAGTATATATTTGGCCAGAGTGCACAACAATATGTAACAAACCAGCGAAGTTATCATAGCAGATCAATCAGTTTCAGCATGGACATTATCTCACCATACGCCCCCGCATGGGACGAGGTACTTCCCAGGCTATAATCTAAATGCCAAGCCCTCACTGACAAGCGGACAGTTTCTCAAAGAGGTCGGCGGTTCAATGCTCATGACCGGCACCACAGTAGAGCAACTTTTCAAAGACTCAGAAGTTAACGCGGAGAAGATAATCTCCAGATATGAAATCCCGCCTCCCGACACTTCAGTCACCACCGAGGACATAACCCTTCAAGATTGCTGGGTGCGGGTCTACACTCCACCGTCACCAAAGAGCACTGAGTCAGTCGCCATGTTCATCCACGGCGGCGGGTGGATCATGGGAAGTCCCGATATCGAAGATGCCGTCTGTCGACGGATCAGCAAGATAAGCGGTATGAAAGTGGTCAGTGTTGGGTATCGACTAGCACCCAAATATAAATTCCCCATTGGTCTCGACGACTGTGTACAAGCAACCCTGTGGACGCTTGGCCACTTCCCAATCTCCTCTGTGGTACTCACGGGAGGTTCAGCCGGTGCAAATCTTGCTTTCGGTGTTGCCCTGAGACTCATCGATGCAGGCCTTGGAGATAAAGTGAAGGGTATTCTAGCTTTGGTTCCCGCAACAGTTCACCCCGATGCAGTCCCCGACGACAAGAATGAGCACTACACTTCGTTAACTGAGAATGCGAACTATTCAGTGAATACCTTGGCTTCAATGAACTGCTTCTTGGAGAGTTATAGTGCCCCTCCCCGGGACAAGTATTTCTCTGTTCTCCTTCATCCCCGTCTCCATGATTTGAAGAAGGTCTACATTGTTGAATGTGGAACTGATACCCTGAGAGATGATGCGAGATTGATGAGGGAAGCATTGGAAAATGTTGGTGCGTCTGTTATGTATGATGCTTATCCCGGTTATCCTCATTATTTCTGGGCATATCCATCTCCAGTGCTGGCGGAGGCATCTGAATTCTTTCATGCAAACATGTTCCGAGCACTAGAGTGGCTTGATTCTGAATAAGGGCCTTGACTTAAACGACAGCCAACAGGCTTGTTTCCACTACAGTTACTGAAGTATTCCTGACTGTAAATATTCTCAATCTGCGTTTTCGTTGTGATATTTACGCAGAAAGCTGGACATATATATTACCCCTTGGATGCAGACCCGCTGTTTACATTTCGTATTTAACGTCTTCAACGAGCAGTGTACCCACCATCTACTGGGAGACAGATGCCAGTCACCCAGTTGGCATCATCACTTGCCAATACAACAGCCATCCTAGCAATATCCTCCGGCATGCCCGGCCCTTTGAGAGGATGCCGACGTCTGAGATCTTCCCATGGAGTCAAATTAGTAGTGGTCTCCTTGAAGATAGCAGTTTGTGTATCTGCATATATGTCAATATGAGCCAAAGGTAACTGTAGCCATGATAACTCACAGCCAGGACAAAGTGCATTGATATGGATGTTATCAGGCGCATAATCCAAAGCCATCTGTCTTGTTAAATTGCTAACTGCGCCCTTCGATGCGCAATAAGAGGCTACCAGGACTGTTAGTGATATTCGGTACACAACATAGCAATACTGAGGAAATGCTCACGGTTTTCCGGACCTCCAATCATGGCCATAATTGAAGAAATATTAACAATCCAGCCACGATCCCCCGACGAATGAGGCTCTTGCGCTAGCATTTGTGTAAGAGCATATTTACAACCCAGAAATACAGACTTGGTGTTAACTCGCATCGTCGTATCCCAGGTCTCTTCATCGGTGAGGTGCAAGACAGCTGGTTTGCGTGCCTCGATACTGATGCCGGCGTTGTTGACCAGACTGTTGACGATCATTAGACGAGATACTCAATACTTTGGTGAGTAGCACACATACATATCAAGTCGTCCGTATTCCCTTACAGATACTTGAATCAGATTCTCCATCTGTGCTGCATCCCCGACATCCGTCTGCACAAAAGTTGCTTTTCCTCCTTTTTTCACAATAAGATCATGTGTCGTGATGTCAGATTCTTCCTGTGATCGGGCAGTTGGTGTCAAATCGGCGCAGACCACCTTGGCCCCTTCCTGCGAGTACCGGATGGCAATCGCTCGTCCTAGACCGGATGAGGCGCCGGTGACGATGGCTACCTTGTCCTGCAAACGAGCCGAGCTAGACATGGTTCTCTCGATGTTTTATCTGACCAAGGACTGATGTTTGAAGATATGAATCCGTGAGATCCAGGATGAAAATGTATCATGTCTGTCAGACGGCGCCCGCATGTCCTTTATACGCTGGCAATCCATGTTGGAAACTGAGCCGACACGTGTGCTCCAGTCCATGAGGTATCACCGTGGGATATATGTGGGTATAATGTCTCCAGAATATCCCACCGATCGTCACTACTTGGTCTGAAGAGAATAATATGAAATCGGTCCATTTTCTACTTCTGCTCGAACAGTCAGTGTAGACAGAGTGGATGAGGGGTTTGACGTAAAAGGCAAGAGAGCCGAATCCAAGAGCTCGTTAAGATTTCCTGTTTGGACCATCGATCTTGGGGAAAATACAAAGTGCCAAAAAAAAAAAAGATATTGTGGATGAGCCGGATTCGAACCGGCCTCTTGCAATCTAGCCGCGACTGAGGTTCCGTGAGCGACTCAAGAAGAAGCCCAGCCATTTGGGGATATATAGGTGTACTAGAACTTAAGAATGCTCGACCAACAATGCGCCGTCCTGTTGTTGTGGGTCTTTCTACTAATTTCGGTTGAGTCCCACCCCACTATTTCCCATTTACGGTTAGCGTATGACTGGCAGTCATTTTGATCCAATGGTTTTGATCAGCCGTCCCATGGTAGAGTCCCCGAAGATCTATGTAGCCGGGCGTGCTTGGCCGCGATAAGTGCTCCAAAGAGCAAAGCTCGTTGATTGATTTTGTATTGAAGGGAGGTTTGAGTCCTTGTGCCACTCTAGGTAAGACTTGGGCACAAATTGAGGGAAACGTGGGATAGACATGGCCTGTTAAATTCCTCGAAAGATGAAAGAACAGTATAGAACAGTGTTTCTCATTTCTCGAGACCACGAGGCTTTCCTGGAGCGTAAAACTGATTCAATTTTCAGTCGTGTTTTAACAGCTTGTCTTGTGAGCGCAAATTGCTTTTCCGCGACTGCTCTGCCGGGTGCCCGACGGACATTCCACGATCGACTTCGCACATTCCGCGATCTGGGAACACCGCTTCCAGCCCACCACTCTGATCGCAAATCGTGGCGAAATACCAGGAATGTTATTATTCGCCAACAATCCAAGAGTCAGGGTCTACAGTGAGCTAGCAGAAGGCTAATTAGACATAATTAGTCAGGGGAAACGGACCACAATATTAATCCCCGCACATTGTCCGGAGTCCGGTGAATGCGTGAATGGCCTACCATTGTGACCCCCATCCAAACCCGCATGGCAAAATACGGCCCTGGTTTCGGGCGGGATCGACCCGGCTCGCGTGGTTCCCTTTTTAGGTGTCCCTAAAGCGGAGAAATGTGTTCGTGAAGTGAAGAAACACCAATGACAGCATCGCATATCCGCGCGAGATCTCCAAAGTGTGTGATGATATCGCTGAATCTGTCTGCATAGCCGATCGCAGTCCTTCCGAACTAGTGCATGATCGACGCCATAACTGACCCACCCATAACCCCCGAGCGGTACACTAATGCAATGCAAGTTGGACCAGAGATAAATGTGCATGTAGGTGTCTAGAACGAGTTTAGATAGTGCAGACTAGGCGAGGGGTACATGGGCAAACAACCAATACTCCTTTTTCTGCCAGGGGAGAGGTTACATCCGTGTCAAACAATCAATCTAGAACCTACAACACATACTATTCCTCAGGGTCACCCCAGAACAATTATTGGCCGAACGCGATGAATGTGTCTCGGGGGTCTCGCTGTATGGTGTCCACTTCTGCGCCGTTATCCAATGCCCGAATCCACATGCATAGCTGGTGCCTATCTGTGAACGCAACCATATTGTTCTCATCACATTGTTCTCGGGCCAATGTGCCATTTCCCTCCATATAGCTTCATTTCCGGATGTATATATACATACTCTCTAGTATCCCAGTCATGTCGATCAGTACCACTCCTTTTCAACTCGTGTCGCTGGCTTCGTTTTCGAGCTAGCCTTGACACTGTCGATTATGCATTTCTTCAGTATGGTGCGGGGTCCCTTGGTGGCCCTGGCTGCGCTGTCTGGTACAGCTGCGGGAATGGGATTGGGTCATAGCATGACTCCGTTCACGCGGGATATAAAACTTTCAGCTGAGCTGGGTATTCACCCGGATATTTTGCTCGGCCAGCGCACCTCTGTGCACGCTGTTGCTAGCGCTTCCCTTGAGGAGACAATCCAGGCGGAATATGCTTCGGTATGTTGTAATTGCCCAGGCTGAGGACGTTCAGTAGTGTTGCGTTTGTTGCGATGTCCAAATCAGTACTAACATGCCACAGCTTCCCATCGATCATGGCAATCACTCCGTGGGATTCTACCAGAATCGGTACTGGGCTTCAACAAAGCATTACAAAGAAGGAGGACCTGTCTTTGTGTATGATGTCGGGGAGGCAGCAGCGGAAACCTCAGCCCAAACCCATCTGGGCAATTCGTCTTCTTTCTTCTATCAAATACTTGAAGAATTCGGTGGTGTTGGTATTGTCTGGGAACACAGGTTTGTCTGCTTTTGTCAAAAGATCACAAGATTGCACTGACACGGCGTAGATACTATGGCGATTCACTGCCATTCCCCGTCAACAAGGATACGCCACCGGAACACTTTCTATACCTGAACAACCACCAGGCTTTGGCGGACATTCCATACTTTGCGCAGAACTTCACTCGTGATAGCCTCAAGGATATTGACTTGACCTCGTACGCACAGCCTTGGGTCATGGTGGGAGGATCCTATGCCGGCATGCGTTCTGCCTTTACTCGCAACCAGTACCCCGACAGTATCTTTGCCTCTTATGCATCGTCCGCCCCGGTTCAGGCGAAAATCGACATGAGCATTTATTTCGAACAGGTATATGCTGGACTCGTTGCGTACGGATACTACAACTGCACTAAAGATATCAAAGCGGCATTAGAATACATCGATGGGCAGCTGTCCAAGAACAGAACCACAGCGGCGGCTGTCAAAAAGCTATTCTTTGGTGAGGGCGCCGAAGTCAACAGCAATGGGGATTTCACTGCAGCGCTCTCCAGCATCTTTAACTATTTCCAGTCATACGGCTTGGGTGGTGGAATTGCTGGTCTGTCGTCGTTCTGCGAACACATGGAGACCGACGAGGTGACGGGACATCCGGCGCCACCTGGAGGATTCGCTCGCTTCCGGGGTAAGGAGTATGCCGCCAAGCGGTATGCCTCATGGCCGGTTTTCACAGAACTGGTCAACTTCAACTTCGAGACCAACTGCAAGAAACTGGATCCAAGCAAGGACCTCTCCTGCATCTTGGCCGCTCCGTCAGTTGACCCAGACACCATCAGTTGGACATGGCAATACTGCGACGAATGGGGATACTTCCAGACCATCAACAAAGGTCCTCACACCCTTCTTTCCAAGTACCAGTCACTCGAGTACGTGCAGTTCGCGTGCAACCGACAGTTCCCGGAAGCCGTCAAGAAGGGCCTGCTGCCTAAACACCCCCGAGTGAATGAGATCAACGAAGAGACCGGCGGGTGGACAATTCGTCCGTCCAACGTGTACTGGAGTGGTGGACAGTTCGACCCGTGGCGCACACTCTCACCTCTCGCAACAGGAGCCCTCGCTCCGCAACATGTGGCGTTCACCACGGACATCCCGAAATGCAACGTGGAGACCGAGGAAGACACGCTGTTCGGGTACATCATGGAGAATGCCGAGCACTGTTTCGACTTTCGCACTTCATTTGAGCCGGGTAAGGTGTCCCGAGGCCACTTTCACAAGGCGTTGAAAGAGTGGTTGCCATGCTTCAAGCCTCAGGAGCACTAAGGCGGACGAATAGCGGCGAGCCAAGAGCGATCGGCAGGCGCCATTTCTCCATGTGAGCATAGCGCGAAGTATCTCGAATTGCAACTTTTCCTCTTTTATTCTGATCTGCGCCGATTCCCGAGATTCTCACGTGTGGTCTAACCGAGGTGGTTCGTGGGGTGACTTCATATCTTGTAGATGCAAATGGGATCACCGCGATTTCACATATTTAATTCTTCACATACTTGAATCAAAATCCCTATTTTCGGAGAATTGTTACAACTGTTGCAGTATGCTCAGCCCAGCCATCGCCTGGATCGGCGCATTGTATGCAGGCTTTGTGATCCTGCGCTACTTCGCACAGGTATACCACCACCATAAACAATCCAAAGCCTTAAACTGTGAACTCCCTCCAAATGGGCACTCCGCTTTCTTCGGGATCCCCGCATTCTTGCGCCTGAGCAAAGCTGTGCGCGAAAAGCGCTGGATCGATTACCTTACCGATCAGTTCACCGTGCATGGCGCCTACACCTTCCGTCAGCAATTTCTGACTCGCACATTGACAACAACCATCGAGCCTGAGAATATCAAGGCTGTTCTGGCGACACAATTCAAGGATTTCTGTCTCGGCACTCGACACCAGCAATTTGACCCGTTGTTGGGCGATGGCATTTTCACGCTGGACGGGGCGGGGTGGTCGCATGCTCGGGGATTATTGCGCCCGCAATTTACCAGGGACCAGGTAAGGACAAGCCCGGGAAACCTTGTCGGGGAACTAAAGACACGTTCCACCACTAACGGCGAAAAAGGTGGCTGATCTGTCCATGCTGGACGATCATATCTCGCACTTGATCGATTTAATCCCCAAAGACAGGAGCAGCTTCGATATCCAGCGTCTTTTCTTCTTGCTAACCTTGGACTCGGCAACCCACTTCCTTTTCGGCGAATCAGTGGGATGTATGCTCCCACCGTCAGAGACGACAGGTGTCTTGGAAAGGTCCGCAGTGGGGAGCGCACAAGGTTTCGCCGAGGCTTTCGGAACAGCACAGGACTACCTAGCAGCGCGCTCGCGCGCACAGGGCTTATATTGGCTTATTAATCCGAAGGAATTCCGCGAAGCAAACCGTCGCGTGCATGAAGTCGTCGATCATTATGTCAATGTCGCTTTGGAGTCGAAGCGGAATCCAGAGAAGAAGAATACCGATGGTCGATACATTTTCTTGGAGGCTTTGGCTGCTGAGACCGATGACCCGAAGATGCTGCGCGATAACATGTTGAATATTCTTCTGGCTGGTCGTGATACCACAGCTTCTTTGCTAAGCTCTACTTTCTTCTATCTTTCGCGTCATCCTAATGTGTGGAACCGGCTGCGTCGTGAGGTTATCGAGCACTTTGGAGATGCGAAGAGCTCCAAGGTAGAGATGACTCAGACTAAGCTGAAAGATATTCCATATTTGCGCTATGTCCTCAACGAAGGTGGGTAACTGATTTAGGTGTCAACTGGAACTGTCCATGGTAACTAATATATGTCCAGTTCTTCGCCTTCAACCACCCGTCCCGGTCAATTTCCGTGTCGCGACAAAGGATACCTCCATCCCAGTTGGTGGTGGGCCGGACCGACGATCTCCAGTCTATATCAAGAAAGGCGGCATGGTTGCCTACAACGTCTTTGCCATGCACCGCCGGACAGACCTTTGGGGCAAAGATGCCAAATCCTTCAGACCCGAGCGCTGGGAAGAGAATGCCAAACATGGCTGGGAGTATCTTCCTTTCAATGGCGGACCGCGTATTTGTCTTGGTCGTAAGTTAACTGACCCTTCCTTTTCTCCGCGGGAAATGCGGGATATGAGCGATTACTGGCGGTGGCTAACGTGGTTATTTAGAACAATATGCTCTCACAGAAGCAAGCTATACCGTTGTCCGTCTCATGCAACACTTTGATACACTTGAAAATGCGGATCCTCATCCTCGGCAGGAGCCTATTAAGTTGTCGAATCTTACTATGATGCATGATTTGGGCGTGCCTATTCGGTTGTATTCGTCGGATCGGATTTGACATTGGTGTTTTACTTGTCATGATTTTTGAACAATAGGCAGAATGAAAATGTTTAGTTTAATCCTGATAGCAAATATTGTATGCTGTGCAACTATATACGGTACCAGAGATGGTGGATATACTATGTACAAAAAGCTCTTCTAATAGAGCGTGGAAGGTGGCAGCTAGCGTGGTGGCATCGGAACCGTTATCACGCAGCAAATCCATAGCCCCCAAGCATGGCATATACAGGCCATGGCTCTACTTCAGATGATTCTTCAATCAAGTGTGTCAACTCCAATGCTTTGGGGATACACTGGCTTTTACCGATGCGTTCCAGCTGCTCCATAGCCCAGGCCTTTCGATATGAACTTTTCCATTTGGATCTCCCGACCACATATAGTGGAAAGAGCAAAGAGTAACAATTCAACGTGTGGGATGAATCCATATTCTTTCCGGAATCTGTACTCTGTTGAGACAATGCAGCCAAACGGGAGTCACCGGTTTGAGATAATGCATCTGTGTATTGGAGAATTGTGGCGCATATGTCATCAGCCATTGCTGCAATAATATCGACACTCAGGCCATGTAGACCATCTTCCGCGATAATTTTGTGTTCATGATCACTTTTGTCGTGTTGCAATAGGAACTCGTGGAGTAAAATGCGAGCCAGCCGTATTGTGTTCCACGCCTGTGTAACATGCCGATCTGAATAAATCTCTCTTCGAGGGAAAACATCTGCCGCTCCCTGGATCTCAGGTAGCCATTCCTTAGTCATGCTCTGAGACCATTCCATCAGCTTCAGATCAAGCCCCCAGGCCATGATAATGCACTCATCCAATGATACCGAAGAATTTGCAATTCTGCTTCGGAGAAAAGCATACTCTCCCATCAAGGCAGTCAGTTTCCATTTTGGATCAGTCCCTATATCCGCATGTCTCTCAAGGTGTGAGCGTACTTCGAGCAGCGCACTCGGGATAGCAGTGGCACTCGCCACAGACGAAATAGTACAATTGGTCACCAGTCGTACCAGCAGACGTAAAGACATAGGGTCTTTGAGATTTTCCAACCCCAAGGCCTGAACAAGAGCAAATGAGCCCTTGATGTGCCCCAACCAAAATTCCTTTCCCCCGGGGCCAGTATTGGTAAGTTTTTCAAACAGATCCAGGCACATGGAACTGGTAAGCATATAATGTTTGGCGTTTACAGTAGAAGACGGAAGCGCCTTATTCATTGTTCGAAGGGCGGTGGAATATTCCGAGCGGGCGCGACTTAAAAGTGACGACGACATACGCCGATGAGCTAGAAAGGCCAAGCACACCGCATCGAGACTGGCCGTCAAATAGGAGGGTATTGACCTTGGCATCTGGATGAGAAAATCCCATCCCCTTGATCTTGGTGATACATAGTGTGCGAAGAAGACATCCCTAGCTTGAAGCTCAATTGCGTATTGCAAGCTTTTCACGCACGGCGCAAGGAACTTGCGATGTATGGATTCTGTCTCGTCCTGGATGCGAAGTTCGGGCACATTGCGATATCCGGAACAGGGCTCATTTGCTCGCAAGCACGCCCCGCATGAACCGGGTCGGAGATCGCACTGTTCGGGGTTAGCTTTTGACTACTTAGAGGGGTCAGTGGTCTTACTCTCAACCTCCGAGAACGACATCGAAAGCAGGCCTTGGATGGTCGCCCGCGAAACACCATTGTGGTATGGAAGAAATATCGGAAATAAGTGACGTCTGGAGTATGGATACTTTGGGTCTGAAATCCGCTAAGCCTTACTAGGTAATCATTTCGACACTAGTGGGGCTAGACTGTGGGTATTCTCACACTTAATTGGACAATATTTAAAGTTGACCTTTCCCGATCTGGAAGCCACCTCGTCTGGCTTCATGTTGAACATCTCGGAATTAGCGAGTTCGGTGCTAAAGTCCGGCTTTGCGATACATATAAATTGTCAGGAGCGCTGTTCTTAAGGCTGTATAGTTATACAATATATACGTGTTTCGCAACCATGACTTTTCCATACAAGCATGTTCTCCTCATCGGAGCGACTTCAGGTATTGGTCGCGCTATGGCCGACCGACTTGCTGAGAGTGGTCTTAAAGTCACCGCTGTCGGTCGTCGACAGGAACGCCTAGATAAATTCGTCCGCATGCACGGCGAGGACAAGGCCAGCAGCGTGGCATTTGATCTTGCAGACATCAAAGCAATTCCCGGCTTTGTCGAGAGGTATAGATTCATCAAGCCTTGAACTGAAAACCTTGGTGCTGATCCGAAAAAAGTGTTACCAAGACTTTCCCGGACATTGACTGTGTCTTTTTTAATGCGGGTGTTCAGCATATTTATGACATGAGCGATCCCACCAAATTCGACCTCGATCAATTCCAAAATGAAGTTAGTCTCAACTTCAACAGCTTCGTGGCTCTTACGCATGCCATCTTGCCCTTCTTGACCAGCAAAAATACTCCGACCAGTTTGATTTTGTAAGTAATCGTTGCCGAGCATGAGGCATCGGTGTAGAAGCGATGGCTAATGCGGAACAGTACGGGCTCCAACCTTGCCATTGTGCCTGCTGTACCCATGCCTGCCTATTGCGCATCCAAGGCAGCGCTAAATGTTTTCGTGCTTTGCTTGCGGGAGCAGCTGTCCAAGACGAATGTGAAGGTCATTGAAATCTCACCGCCTTTAGTGCAGAGTAAGTCTATTTCTTGTCGTAATCTGTTCCAAGGGTCAAACTAATTAGATAATCAGCCGAGCTTCATGACTACATGGGAGAGGAGAAAGGGCGGGGCATGGGTATGCCTTTAGGTCAGTTCATCCATGTGACACATGAAGGACTGTTGGCTGGGAAGGATCAGATCGTTGTTGGTTCTGTGGGATCCGCGGAGGTGTTCAATGATATTCTTGACAAGAGACGATCTGCTTTTGATGAATTGGCGAAGATGATGAGGTCTAATTTCTGAATCACAACTGCAAGGCTATCAAGTGTCGGTGGCACCTAGATGAGCATCACCAATCACTTTCTTCCTTTCGAGAACCCGATAGCCAATAACAGCCTCATCAATTACAAGAAATACCGCTTGCAGAATAGCGTCAGAGACAGGAAGAGAATAGACGGAAGCAGACCGAAGAGCAAGGGAAGCAGAGAAGGGACCGCAATCGACGAATGACATTTGCAGAACCGCTACGCCTCTGCCACATTTTACTCGCTGATGTCGATATAATCAATGGTACACTTCGTTCTGAATTTTGCAGAGAGTAAAAGGAGAAAATGTCTTTTAATATAGAGACTGATTCTTAGAGAACCGTTAGGTTCTCCGGGGCAGACTATTTAACATAGGGGATTAGCGTTACGAAGAGCCAACGCTGACGTGTCGACACCTATATAGTGTCGATCCTCTGTGAGTGCGAGAAATCTGTGCATGGCTTCTGAGGATTCCGTTACAGGAGACTAGAAACACGTTATAAAGGCGGGAATATTATTCTAGTAGGGCTAGGCGGTACGCTTATTTTCTAACTTTATCGAGGATTCGGGATAGTCTAATACAATTAGGAGTAAGCTTTCTTAATAGGGTTTAGGCTTGGTTGCTCGATGTAACCGCCTGTTGTGCTTGACTGGCATCGCTGGCTGAGGAGGGTCAGGGACGTCACACTGATTATCCCCCAGAGTCCAGGTCTGCACTTGGACTTTTTGACCACTGTCAGTGGGTTCACATCTATGGTTTGTGATACTATAATGTTAATCAGGTCGTCGTTCCCGGAACACTGCAGCCGCAGGATATTGATGTTCCGGCTTAATGTCGGGCCGATATTGTGGCGGAAAGGCGTCGTTCTCATACTCAAGAAACGTTATTCACAACCCCGTACACGCCAATTTATATCCTCACTTAAGTCTCACGCGCGTGAGGTGGGTGAAATCTACCAGCAATAGAAGATTGAGGAGAAATACATCATTACGTGTGGACTAAAACCCCTCTCCCAGGGTCGATAAATCTTAAGTGCATTGCGAATGAAGATCATGCCCCGATCTGCTACGACACGGGTCTATAACTAAACCTGATTATGATTGGCCCATCACAGCAGCTCCAACTGAGGCCTCCACACGTGTCAGCCCTGGAGTCTCGGAGGTTGAACCGCAATTTCATCCTATCCGTCCGACCGCAATTTGACAAGCCTGCCATTGTGCGTAAGAGTGAGGTGAATCCAAGAAAATGGCATTGCGAAGCCCATTATTTTCGTTGCTCCTCATATTGTGCGTACTGCTCTTCAATCAACCCAATGGAGTGTCTGCAACCGCCAGCACCACTGCACGCCCCTACTCGGCTCGAATGGCCGACAGCATCATCTCGCGTGGACAGGCCATTCTCGAAAACCAAACCGATTCATCATCGCTTTTGCAGGTTGGAATTTTCCAGACTGCCATCATGGAACTAATAAAGTCGCCTTCGGGTCGTTACATGGAGCAAAACTGGAAAATCTACGTCAGCGCAAGCGCTGACAGTGTTGTTGACGTGGTTGATAATGCAACCAAAGATGCCAGGCTTCCTCTCGACCGCCTCTCCGTGGGTAGAGGACTGTTGTACCTGTACGTTCTTGATGCAACCACCCCTTCGGCCCGCATGGGTTTCCTGATCAAGTCAAAACGGGACCTTAGATACGACGAAACTGGGACCAGCACATACAAGAAGACACTTGCTGCTCTGCGTGCCTCGATTGATCTGCAGCCGCGAAATATATTCGGTAATCGTTCTGTTACCATCCATGGCCCTGTCCCTTCGTTTACTTCACCTATCCGTCGACTTCGCCAAGTTCTTGTTCTTTGCTGATACTAAGACAGGTGGACTGTGGTATTATACCTATCCAAATTGGAGCTATTTGGATGGAATGTTCTCACTGTTGTCATTCTACCCCTTGTATACCGCGAATATGGATATTGCCAACATGACCGAGGTCAACAATGACCTCTTCCATCAGATCGAACTCTTGTGGGAGCATTGTTATGATAATACGACGGGCCTTCTTTTCCATGGATATGATGCAACCAAGACCGCCTCCTGGGCCAACCCCACGACTGGCGCCAGTCTCATCGTCTGGGATCGTGCGCTCGGCTGGTTCATGATGGGATTGGTTGACCTTCTAGAGCTCCCGCTCATGGACTCCCGGGTGGCGACATGGCGTGCACGATTCGTTGACCTCGCCAACGCTGTCGTCCAAGCAGTGGATCCGGCGTCTGGCTGCTGGTGGCAAGTGATGTCCTCCCCTGGACGAACAGGCAACTACATTGAAGCTAGTGGGTCTGCCATGTTCACCTATGCCCTCTACAAGGGGGTGCGACTTGGCCTTCTGCAAGACAAAAACCCTCAAGAGCCCCCTCTGAGAACCCCATTGCCCATTTCCGGGCAAATTATACCAGCGTCGCCACTCGGGCCTATCGCACACTTGTGGACAGATTCGTCGTGGAGAATCAAGACGGCACCCTAAGCTACAACGGAACTGTGGGTGTGTGCAGCTTGAACTCCACCGCTAACTACGAGGTACGAACGAAAACGGGAAAACTCATTTGTGGTGGTACTTGCGCACTTTTGAGATGAAGGAAACTGACCACATGTGATTTTAGTACTATACCGAGCAACCACTCGTATACAATAGCGTATTGGGATCCGCAGCCTTTGTTCGCGCCAGCATGGAGCATGAATTGGAGCACGGAGTCCTCTACGAGCAGTAGACGCCAGTTGAGGGCTTGCTTTGGCTGATAGCCTGCAGCAAATTATGCAGGTCAACATCGGCCATTGTTCGTGTCTGATGTCCCCGAATATGAGTTTGAACGGTCTCTGGAAATCAGAGAAAACAGGTCGTTGATTGGTCTGAAATCGACGGGCTAGAAGGTGCTCATAACCTCTAGAGAACAAAACAAAGAAACACAGAATTATTATGTAATTTCGGAATGAATTTGTGTGGACGGAGAAGAAAAGTGAAGAGAGAGAGAGAAAGAGAAAAACAAACTATCTATCTCTACGATCCCATCCTGATCCCTGAACAAGATTTTGGTTGGGAATGTGGGATGCAGCACCTCGAACGAAGACGACGTCTTATCGTACAATTGGTTCATACAAGATTCTAAAAGGGTACTCGGCCGAGAATTGAGCCTTACTTCATATCTCTAGTCCCAAAGAAGTGCAATCGTCCATTTACACCGTTGCAAGTCGACCAGCCCTGATGTCCGCGTCACGACACATAGAACGAACGGAATCACCGTCATTCTTCCCCCTCAAGGCCTTGAACTTGGCACTGATCCACTCTTCGCAACGAAGCTGCCCATCCGGCACCGCGTCATGTAGCAAAGAGCACATAGGAGCCGTATTAGTCGGTCTCATCAGTAGAGCAAAGCTGTAGCGCTCGTTCATTCCCTGTCCCGGCATGGATGCCACCCGGTGGAGAACACTCTGCAAAGCCCCTTCCGTCCACATGCTCATTGCATCGCCCAGATTGACTATCGCGCAGTTCTCCTTGGGTATGACGTATTCCCACTCGTTGCCGTCCCGCGCACGCGTCTGTAATCCGGGACTGTCCGTGAACAAGAATGTCAGGGAACCCAGGTCGGTATGGGCAGCTTGGGGCACGCGAAGTGCATCGGGGGACGTGTTTTTCTCATATCGCAAGAGGCGAATAATGTCGTGTGAAGCGGTGGGATTGTGCAAGGTCTCCAGCGCGACTTCCTGTGGGAGCTCGAGAGCCTTTGATAAGGTTCGAAAAATCGATTGTGCTATCTCATGGCACCAGGAGGTAAGATCCCACAAAGTGACTATGTGTGAGTCGACGATACTCGGCCGAGGGAATTTGTCCGGTTGTTCGGCGATGATACTGCTGCATGGAAGCTGTTGTGACCGGTCATTATGATCCATGACTGATAGAATAGAGGCATCGCTAGCTTACGGCGTAGCTTTCAAATCCATCACTTTGACCTGGAATCCCCCCGACGTTGCGACCGATAGGCTTGTACCTAGTCAAAACCGGGGGTACACCTAGTCCTAACTAATATAAGCCCAAGTCACTATGCGTCATGACATTTCTAGTGTCCTATTTCGAGCAATTACTTGGTATTTCGTACATATCAATGGACAAACTTTACAACGTCAATCTAATTATTGTCTGTTCTCATTACTTGCGTAATATTCCCTGCTCTTTGAGAGTGGATACGAATCCGCTGCAAAGCGTTGAAATATGGGATATAGTAGGTATATTGTGGGAACCCAATTTTTATCTCCACAGCACTGGTCCTTTTGCGTCAATGGCGCATCGACATAAATATCTAGAAGACACAGCTCACCTTTTGAAAAGAGGCGGTGACTAGTGAACTTTTACTCCACAATGCATGCACAATCTAGGAGATACAGCTCACATTTCGAAAGAGGCGGCCACTTGGAATTTCTACGCTACGGAGTAATATGCATGCATACGGAGTATATGTACCACCCGTCCCTAAAATTATTACGCTATCTATGGCGTGTCCATATGTGACCTCTAGTAGGTAGCAGTCAAACAACGCAGGCACCTCTACCTTGGTGTCCAGCGGCCAGGGTTTCTTTCGCAGATTTTCCTATAAATTGACACCTTAATGCCTGAATTTCAGACTGCCCTCAGAGATCATTTTACAGTGTATTGCCACCCATTCGGCGCAGAATAACAAGGTCCCTTTTGGCATGGTATATAACTCACTGTTCCCGAGGTCCAGATCCCTACTACCAAACACAGAAGCTATATTTCATCAGACCAAAATTGGATGGGGCTTTGAGACGGTCATCGCAGCCAAGGCCTTTGATACGGAAGTGTGTATATATCTCGTGAGAAGGAGGACATTGGAGAGGTGGAGGTGCATCCACGCGCTCATTTTTGTATTCGATGCATTGCTAGCATTGGATTTTTCATTTGTACTGCGGGTTTTATGGGTTTGTGGCTTACATGTAATAGGCTGGTGCTTCCACTCTTTGAGAACCAGCCTCAATTTTGTACTGGAGTAGAATCAGGCGTACGGACACGAGTTCTTGCTTCATCTGAAAAGAAGCGCCTGCATAGCCATTACGATACTAGTTAGGCTCCAACAGGTTAATAGAACTTTGATTGATTGATTGATTGATTCATGATATAGCTTCAATAGTAGTGCGATATCCACCTACAGAGACCGCTCTCTACGCCTGAGCTGAACATGGGAGTGGTTGGTTGTGCTTTCTCCATTGATATCGACCCGTCTGCTATGTCAGACTGCCATCGTGCCATCCCCGCTTCAATATATATGTTGATAACAAAGTCATATACATTCTCACAACTCCCTAAAAGGCCAGATATTACCTAAAACTGATTAGGCTAAAAGGAAAGCCCCTATACATCATGGTCGTTGAGATATGAAGCTGTAATTTATTGCTTTCGCTATGATGTCTTGGGTTGGCCAACTCGCCTGGGTGGCCAGCTCACTTGTCTAATACGTTATTACCACGTGGTGACGTGAGAACGGAGGAATCGTATGGACTTGAAAATTGAAGTCACGTACACTGAATGTTATCAAAAAATTAAACGTATTCAGCGAAAGAAGATCTATCGTCAGCTCACTGCCCTGGAGAAGACCCATTATAAACCCCTAACCGTTGTAACGTGGTACTCTATCGGTTACCCAGAGTTCGCGAGGTGAGGTTTATCAACACCTTTACCACCCCCAACCGTTGTAACGTGGTATTCTATCGGTTACCCAGAGTTTGCGAGGTGAGGTTTATCAACACCTTTACCATCTTGAATTTCAGCGCACCGTGATACTTCAACTCCATCTGATGATTCTGACCAACTAATCACACATGGATCCCACCCCTCACCCGCATCGCTCCGTCCTCACTTCCTCCCATGCCCCGTTACTAACCCTAACAATAAGCAAGAGCCACACTAGATCATTTCACACTGGCAGACCAATTCGATATCGTGAATGTAGACTTCCCGCCAGTGAATGGCTCTGTCCCAAATTGCATGGCTGGAGCAAATGTAACTCATTAGTATATTCCACGTTTTGGGACCTTTGTATTTGGAGCCACATACTGATGAGGTTTTGAGAGCTGGTTGGGAATTGTTCATGTACAGCCAAGTAGTCAAAAAACCCTTTGATATCCCCGCTCCAAGATGTAATAGGGCTCGAAGCGACAAAGCTGTACGTCTTCTGCGAGCCATTGGCGCCATACCACAGCTCCCAGGTCTTGCCCTGAACAGTGGCCGTCGCAATTTTGGAACCTATGGGTTGAACATTGCCGTATCTAGCCAGCCTAAATGTTTGTTTTGGTTAGCAAACAACGACGAAGAGCCGAGACGGCCGCACATACCAGATCATGAGTTCATAGTCACCACTAGAGGTATCGTGGTTAATATCGGCCGCTGTGAAAAGGTCATAGGAGACGTCGGCACGGATATTGGTGTTGTCATAGCTCCATTTTACAGAAGTTGGAATGCTGCTGATATCGCTGATGTGCTGCTTCTTCAGGCCAATATAACCCGAGTTGGCGTAGCTCTTCACATTGTTCTCACCACCAGACCAGGCCCAAGTGGTGTACCACGAGATGCCTGAATTCGAGGCGGAGTTGACGTAAGTGCACTGAGAGCCAGTCCCAGAATACTTCCCCCAAAGATTATTGTTGACACTGTAGCTGCCGCTGGCAAAGTAACCATATTGATCACAAAGTGTCCTTTGCTGAGCAAATGCAGCCGTAGCTAGTGCAATAAACAAAGAAATGGTCTTCATGATGCAAAGCGAGCAAACAAATTGTACAGTTGTGTAAAAGAATTTGGACAAGCCTTCACACCCTTAGTGCGATGTTTTCAAAGACTTTATAGCTGTAGCAGCGGCCCAGCCAAGGTCAGACCCAAGCCCTCCTTTCCCATTCTGTCCAAAGGGCCGATTACCAAGGGTAAAGAGCGAGAATATTGGCTATAGGATCGACACGTTTTACGTTGAGTGGTTCAGAGTTTAGGCAATAAGGCTGTTCGTGAGATCAACACGGCGGTAATGAAACTTGGAGAAGCGTCGCTATACAATGAAGCTGGGAAAATATGACCGAGCGCTGTATGCTCACTGGAATTACAAAAGTATGGAGCCAAATCATGGTGATGCTCTCGAACCTGGAAGTGTCTTTCTAAGATCTTTTGACTCGAAAGTCCGCCTGCCAGATTTACGCCGGGGCTTGAGGCACTGATCTCTTTATTCTGTGACACTTGGGGGTTCCGACATATTTCCGACAATCAATCTGGCAATCTAAATGGGAGTCGATTTGTTATTATTTCCCTGAAGCGGTGAAACACCTGGATTCAAGCATGTGCCAGATGGAAGTTCGCTCCGGCAAGTCACCAAAGGTTATGGTAATCGCTTAGGGGGCTGCGCATCCCCCATAATACTCAGCATATATCTGCGGATACATTACCACTTAACGCTGACATGGAATTAACTTTATACTAATCCAAATTCATACCTTTCGTCCATACCGACCAAGCAGCCAGCTGTTTTAGCAGAGCGGTGGGGCTCTCTGAGGGGTCAACTCGGTCAATTCCCTGGGCCCTACTGCAGCAGTAGTCTTCGCTGGTGTCTCTGGTGCTGGGGTCTCATCCCAGTTACCCTTCGTACAACCCTTCGCTCTTTGTGCATTTCTGCTTGGGTTTTACATCGATATTTTCGTCTGTTCCGAGCCTCGATAGCAAGCAACATCCTTTCTTCTTGGTTGTCCCCGTATGGCCAGGGACAGTGTGTTTCGTTGGCATGTCTACGTAATCGAATTGCTAGGGTAAATGGGAGCACCTCCAGCGTTCCAAGATTGATACGGACTAGGGCTAACTCACCAACTATCGCTCACGACTCCTTTGTCCAGACCAAGTTAAAAAAGCTGATCTTATGAGCCAAGGGTTCCGGATTAAATTTTAGGATTAGAGCTCTGATTAGGAGGGGGAGGATAAGAATTGGATAGGACGCAAATATCTGCAGAGAGAAGCATGGACGGCGCATCAACTAGACACAGGCAACGCCCTTGTCGAGTTGGTCCTTTAGGGTAGACGAAGGGGATATCAGATGACATTGGGTTTCCATACTATGTTGGGCAAGGGAAGCAAGCCGTAGAGTTAAAGACTCGGAATACCAACACCGGAGGGATAAATTACGACGAGCTTTTTCTGCACTAGTTTCTTATTTCTGGAAGTTAATGTTGAGTTAGCCCGCGGCCCACCCCAACGCTCCACGTAGCCGGACTTGAAACCGGGGCGGGCCGCCCGTACTGATGTCTACCAACAGATGATATAGCCTGTTTAGGCAGACATCTAGATCGAGAATAAATTTGGCTTTAGCATGAAACCTTCGCCGAGGGAAAAGGAGGAAAATGTGAGAGAAGCCGGATTGGAAAGTAGTGGCATTGAATTGTTGTATTTTCTCTACTTCTGCCAAAATACCGTCTTTATGTGTTCGATCGCAGTGGCTGCACTATAGAAATTGCTTTCAAATGCGCCTATTCACGTCTCATTTGCGATGGTGAAAGCCGTAAGTGGAAGACTCGGCGATCAAGCAAACCGTATATAGGCACTCATCAGACGGCTGTAGATGTTGCCAGGGATGCTTTGCATAACGACAGCTTGACCGCAACCTACAAACACCGAGAAAATGAGAGCGCATGTGCGGAGAATGCTTTCATGATCCCCGATCCGTGCCTAGAAATATTAGATGATGGTTTAGCCAGAAGAGATTGAGTCTAGTACTTGGGTGTGCTTCTTCAAGTACCTCTACATTTCTTGAACAGCAGACTGGAAGCCATCTTTAGGATAAATGACATGCTGCCGACGATCCTATCCCATTAAAGCCATTAACACTCATCAGCTTCTCCCGGCCAAGGGTGCTTCTCCCACGACGGAACCACTAGTCGAAGGAATTACCAAATTTACGCAGTCCATGACCCTGTACACCAGAGTTGACCGGCTGCATGAATTGAGCTCACCGGAGGAAGCTCTCTTTCGACCTGAAACGCAGGAGCCTGTTCTAACACGGGATTATAGCCTAGAAGCCGTTTGTTTAGGTTGGTGGGCCGATTCACTGAGGCAAAGGGAATTGAGTATGAAGCACCCAAGGAGTGGAGTAATATGAGCCCTGTTCGGGAGTTGTCAGTGTTTAGACTACCGATTGACTTACCCAATTAGGAAGTTCGTCCGGCCCACGTAGTAGTCTAATCGGGCCGTTTTGAAAAACAGGGTCCAGAACATGCGCAGGGTGTTTATGCTTCAGGGGATTCCAATCTGATATAGCTCAGGCTAGGCTTTCAATTTGGATGCAGATCTTAAATGCATATAATCTTATTTCTATCACCTAAAGGAATTGGCTAGCAATACCACCTCCTACCTTCCTGTCTAATCCGTTGCCGATCATGATCCCCCTGAGTAGTGTCTATTGAATATACGCTGCAGAAAAAAGAGTGGCCAGAGGTACACAGCGACGTTTTCCCCCCGCATGGGAACTATAACATTAGCCTGGAATCGGCCTTATCACTATAACTAGGGCTAAGGGCTGTAGACTAAGCCTCTAGCCATTTTATTCTTCTTGTTGGTGGAATTTACGGAACTACATTAATATCTTTATAATTAGGAAAGACGTTTCCAATAAGTCTAACGAAGTGGTATTGATTCCCTTGAAGACAACATTCTTCAACGAAAATAACAAGTGCTTCCCTAGAACCCTGGTTTATTCCTGCTCTTACAACTCGGATCTTCAATATCAACTGGACACTTCAATCTGAAGTGTAGCCTACTCAGTAGCAGACTTCGCATTCACAGATAGAGATCAAGAGTATCGCAATTAAAGTGCATTTGCGATAGCGTTGTATGCAGCCTTGGGATTATAGCCCCCGTCGAATAGCAACGGGCTGGAGCTAGAGCGCCACGAATCCTGACAAAGCATCTGGTATTAATATATAGTCCTTTTTGCCACGATGAAAATGGGCACTTACCGGATCAGCGACTCCCCAGACCGTGATTCCGACACACTTTGGCTGGTTCAGGCAAGCTTTGACAACCTATATTGATAGATGTTAAGTGGAAAACCAATTAAACTAGTCATGGCATCATGAAAACTCACATTTACATAGTCTGTAGAGCTGGCGCCAGCAATATCAAGCTCAGTGACAGCAATCTCCTTCGTTCCTGCACTGGCTAGGGCGTTCAGAGCTGTGAAAGGCTGTGAGCTAATCTTCGGTTGACAGAGAGCAAGGGAGTACTTATCCAGAAATCGCTGCACCGCCACCGGCGCCTAAGTGAGTCTGAGAGCCTTGAAGGGAATGAGTCATCATATACGGTGAAATGCAATAGCAAATGTCTTACCAATTCCGTCGATCGGGATACCGGCAGCAATCCATTTCTTGACATGGCTGACCATACCGTTCAATTTAGGATAGGAGGCCGAATCCAGGCTTGGTAAGATCAGAACATATGCAAAATTAAAAGAGGATGGGTAATAACTCACTTATAGTCGTTTATGTAGAGCTTTGCATTTGGGTCTGTAGCACGAGCTGTTTCGAAAGCGATTCGTACAAAGTCTTCACCGAGGACATTGTAGAAGACGCTGTTACGTAGCGAGCCATCTTCGTTGAAAATTTCGTTCACGACATCCTTAGATCGGTTAATAATGTGGCTTTGCAGGACTGAGGCTATAGATTTCACGTACCCAGGCGTAGATCTTACCCTTGTAACGATTCATCACCGTTGTAATGTGGTTCTTCATGACATTGATTAGAGTCGTTTTGTCTTTGATGGAAGAGACCCAAGATGGGAGCTGGGAATGCCACACTTCGCGAGTTTAGCCTCTTATATTGTAATATGCCTGAATCCTAGAGACTCGAGAACTTACCGAGAGTATGGCCACGAATCAGCTTCCCATTTGACTGAGCAAAGTTGACCTATAATCTATAAGAACCACGCAAAAGAGCAAAAGGGTTGGGTACGTACCAGATAGTCCGATCCCGTGAAAGAGAATTGCCCTCGGTTTGCTGTTTCACAAGTCAGCTTCTCATATTCTAGTGACCACGTAGATATTGATACTTACGCTCAGTAGCATCCCACTTCATACTGTTCTCCGGAGTGAGTTGACCAAAATCGGCCTTGATGATTGCCGGGGTTTTTGCGTTTTTGTTCAAAGAGTACTGATCCCCAATACTTCCGAGATATTTCTTCCCGTGGGCCTTGAACTTGGCATCGATGCTCACAGAGGCCTGTCGGGGTTCAACAGGTTCGCAAAGCACTTGGCCAGCGAAAAGGATAGCCAGAGCAGCTGCCTTGATTTGAACCATCTTGGGAAACATGTTATTTCTTCGAGTCGATGAATGGAAATGAGAATGACAGAAGAAAAGATTGTCTGGAAGGAATGGAGGCAATATTTATACAATGCAGGAGCCAACGTGTCTTGGAGGAAAATGTTCAGAGTTATCTGCTAGATGGCTAAATGAAGATGTTTCCCCGATAGAAACGATCTGCATCATCTATCTCTTTTACTAATGGGGAACGGATATTGCATGTTTTATTCAGGGTCCTAGTAATTGACTCAGAGGAAATAATATTAAATCATTTGTTTTTTTTTTTTTTTTTTTCTTTTTTCCCTTGTTTTTTGCCTAAATATTTGCGTAGAGGACTTTAGCCTAGATGCTGATCTTTGAATACTATCAAACCGCTAAGCTCTTTTTGGGCCGGCAGGCCCACTGCAAGTTCTAGCCCCGAAATATAAAAATAAATGGAAGGACCTTAAGCCTTGGCTTGTGTTGAAGGGGGGACATTGCGGTCAGTGGAAACGAAAAAAGGGTCCTCCCGTGTGGGGAAGACGAGGATCCTACGTTGAAGGTCGTCCTAACCAATTACCTTCAACTTCGCCAACTTAGACTTGCCTTAGTTTCAAAAATGTTCAATTAATTTCCAACCTCCTCCGCTAAAACCGCCGAGGAACCTCCGAGCGGGATCATTTCCGACATTCTTCAAGAAACTTTCCACAATGCACAACCCAACCCGAACAGAAAAGATAACAACAACCTAACAGAAAACGATTGAAGATTAGTGTGTCTTATACTGAAACAATCATATGATAATAATGTCTCAGTACAAGATAAATCTCTTCAGCGTTACCATCGACACCCACGTCATAATCCCCTTCATGCATTTATCCAGCCTCAGGAGGCAGTTCCACAACTGCACATTCTACAAGATTATATTATAGCCTGAAGACAGAATTTGAATGGTTAAGTTGGTGCGGATTGCTCCTTTTCGAGAAAGGCATTAGTCCGGTGGACGAAAGTTTCTGGCTAATGTAGCTCATCCTAGACCATATCTCTGAGGCAGCAAATAAAGAAAGCACCTACCACGCGTGATTTTTTTCTAACTGAAACATCGCGGGGCTGGCTTGCGAAAAAGACTGATTCAATTACTTTCTCCGACTAAACAATTCAACCTTTAAGCCGTACTTGGATCATTTAAATAAGGTCATCTCCTACCCAGGTGCTTTAGCTTTCTGCTTGAAGTCATTCAACCATCTTTCAACCATACAAACCATCGCTGACTAGAACCTTATCGACAATGAGGTTCTTCAAGGCGAAGTCCGGCCTGTCGTCATCCGTCATGTTTTTGCTTGCATCAGTGCCAGTTGCCATTGCTGATTGTGCGCTCCCGTCGAGTTATAGTTGGACCTCAACTGGCGCTCTCGCGAACCCTAAGTCTGGATGGACGGCAATCAAGGACTTTACAAACGTGGTCTTCAACAACAAGCATATCGTCTATGCATCAACTTCCGACGGAAGTGGAAAGTACGGTTCGATGAGTTTCGGCGCCTTTTCGGATTGGTCTGGTATGTCATCTGCCAGCCAAAATGGAATGAGCTTTACAGCCGTTGCGCCCACTTTGTTCTACTTCCAACCGAAGAATATCTGGGTCCTAGCCTATCAATGGGGCTCGAGCACCTTTACCTATCGAACATCAAGTGATCCTACTAGTGGTAGATGGTCATCGGAGCAAGCCCTTTTCTCTGGAAAGATCACCGGCTCAAGTACTGGCGCTATTGATCAGACCCTTATCGGTGACTCTACACATATGTACCTTTTCTTTGCGGGAGACAATGGCAAGATCTATCGCTCCAGTATGCCTATCGGCAATTTCCCAGGAAATTTCGGAACAAGTTCAGAGGTGGTGCTAAGTGACACTCAGAACAACCTATTTGAGGCAGTTCAAGTGTACACCGTTAAAGGCCAAAATAAGTACCTCATGATCGTCGAGGCAATTGGATCACAAGGGCGGTATTTCCGCTCATTCACCGCTAGTAGTCTCGGCGGCTCGTGGACACCGCAGGCAACAAGCGAGAGCAAGCCGTTCGCCGGAAAGGCTAACAGTGGTGCAAGCTGGACCAACGACATCAGTCATGGCGATTTAGTTCGCACCAACCCTGACCAAACAATGACCATCGATCCATGCAATCTGCAATTCCTCTATCAGGGGCGAAACCCGAACGCCGGTGGCCAGTACAATACCCTACCGTGGAGGCCGGGGATGCTCACTCTGAAGAAATAAAGGGTTTTGGTATCGGGGACAGAGCTGTGACGACGGACTTGTGAGAATTATGGGAGGATGACCATGTGGTGATGTACATGTGAGGAGGGAGAGGGCTCATGTCTGAGATTGGGGGTCGGATGAAGATGAAATACCCTGGACCGGTATTATTACTACTCGCTGGCACATTTGTATGTAGATAGACACTCTATCATTTGATAGTCGTCTACACAGGTCTTGTGGAACGATGGGAGGGCACAAATAGAGCCGCCTATTTACAAACAAAAGAAATCTCCGGCCGTCTGGATACTCATCGCACGTGAACATTATCCAGCTCTCTGTAATATAAGTTACAGAAGATCGAGGATCAGAACTATAGCGGGGAGTATCGAGATTGCTTCAATATGAGCTCTCATCGATAGACGGAATTCTCAAATTTCGAAGGACAAATGCCTTGTTGATAAAGTTACATGGTTTTTCAGTGCATCAATCTTGTTCCGGCTAAAAGGTTCTCTACTCAAGGCATAAGCGTGGATCTCTTCCATCAGACATAGAACTCGAGATAGTGTGAACTTTGTATGGCCCTCCATTGATTTGCCCCGAGCTGGTAATGGCCGAGTTCAGTCCGTGGTCGAAGTTGGACACGCATTGAACCGCGCAGACAAGTCTAAGGAAAGTGAAAACCAAGGCCGCTATTAAGAATAGCAATATCTTATCTATTCCAGTTTTTTTTCACTCGTATTCCATTCCCGCACGCAACAATGATTCGGCAAAGAAAATGAACGATACGTGCAGGATAGCAAGGCTATTACGAGAGAAAGAATTTTATCAGCAAGAGCAGATAACAATGATGAATGTGGTTATGAGCTACTCCCAATGATACCCGTCATCGCCCACTTTTCTCGGCTCGACCGAACCAAATACCGAGAAGAAGGACTAGTAAAATCGCTGGGATTAAAACCATTGTGCGAGAGTATACTACTGCCTCGAAGCGAACGTCGGCCAGGTTATACTGAACAATGAATCCAACAGAGAAAAGAAAATAAATGTGGTTTAAGCGAGGAGAATCTAAAATATATTAGCCAACGCCTCGCCTCGCAGTAAAACCTTGGAAGCGTTAGAGCGGATAACTTACCTCATACGCAGTCTCCATGAAGACGCCTATCCATAGCTCACTTATACTCTTTGTGTATTTGTAGGCGATGAATCATAGCACTGTGTGCATATTTATGACCCCTGGTTGTTACAAGCCTCATATTGCCGCCAATTTATGAGGCGGTGGGTAAGATGGTAACGCCATTGTCACGATGGTATGGCCTTGATATCTCAACTTCTCTGCTATTCTTCACATACGTACACTGTAGTAACACCTTGAGTGGTTGAGCATTTCCACTGGACGACTGCGCCTCGCAACACAGAAAAGCTGTGCATTAGTGCAGTACGCTCGCTTCAACCCTGACTCACACCGTGGTGCCACTAGCAGGTGCCATAGCAACGTATTGAGCCTCAACGCGTCCGCGCTAAGTATCTTCCTCAACCCAGCATTTATTTTATTTTATTTTAATTTTTTTTTTTTTCATCTAAGGGCATGTTTATTACGGCAGAGTGGAATGTGTCGTCTGGTTCTGAGTCCAGCCCAAAAGGTTCTGTTTTTGTCGCCGTTGAAGATGTTCGAGACTTCAATACAGGAAACTTCCTTCCGCTCTCAGTCGAGGAGGTCGCCAGAACCAGGGAATGGCTCCAGCTAACTCCGTATGGCCTGGAGAGGAGCGAATATTGCAGACACCGCGCTTCATATCTGGCCGGAACCGGACAGTGGCTCACGTCAACAACCGTCTATCGACAGTGGCACCAAGGTGCCGACAATGGCATTCTCTGTATCAAAGTTATCCCGGGGTCAGGGAAATCCGTTATGGCTGCTTCGATTGTCTGCTTTCCTACCCTTCTTAAAAGATATTCAAACTTGCCAACAAGCCCTTTACTGGGCAGCAGTAAGAGGACAAGTAGCAGTTGTGGATCTGGTCCTTCAGCATTCTGGAGTGGACGTTAATGCGAAATTTCGAGGAGACACCGCACCTTTCAAAGCCTGTGAAGCTGGCGACCAGAAAACAATCGACGTATTGTTGCGGGCTGGGGCTGATCCCAATTTATTTTGTGCGAAAGCCAAGGATGAGTTCACTGGAAAAGGAAGTCATCGTTCTACTCGCTGCTATGGAAGGCGCGAATCTGGAGACTTGGGAGGATTCACGGCTTTGCATTCCCTTTGTGGGACATTCCGTGAATCCCTTATCTGCAGCAACGGTCTACAGTCATTACTTGATGCGGGTGCGGACATTCATCTACAAGACCCGGAAGGCTCTACGCCCTTGCATTACGCCTGCAGAGCAAATCAAATCAATCTAGTCAAAACTTTGTTGGAGGCTGTGGCAGACCCCACTGGAGAGAGAACGATGCAGGCGAGACACCTCTCCATACCGACGGAGCTGAAGACAAGCAGCTGTTACCCGTGCTTTTGAAATCGGGCCGTGTGAATATTAACAAGCAGCTTCGCAAGACTAGAAAAACTCCATTGATGTGTCGCCTTGAGGGAAACAAGTCCCCGCTTGCCTTTCTAGAGTATAGGCCCGATGTCATTGCCATGAACGCAGAGGGTAGTACCGGGCTACATATCGCTTTGGAAAGACGCCGGCACCCCGTGAAAGACTACCGTGAAATAGTGGTAGCTTTATTGTCCTGCAGCACAAATCCGAACTTGAAAAATCTAATAGGAGACACTCCGTTACACACAATGTGCGAGGACGCCTACGAGTTACTACCCATGCTGTTGCAAGCGGGTGCAGATTTTGAAGCACGGGATCGAGCCGGTCGTACTGTGCTTTTTAGGCACATTGACTCCATTCAAATCTCTAGGTCAAACCCTACGCTCTTCCAGACCTTGATTGATCTGGGTGCCCGTCTTGACACACGCGACTTCAAAGGACGGACTCTCCTGCATCAATGCTGTCACCAAATTAATCGACTAGACCATATGATAAGTCTGGGGATTGACCCCACTCTCGCAGATTATGAGGGAAATACGCTTTTGATTGAGACTGCCGCCTCGAAAATTTCCAATTTCAACAAGTTCGCATTTCTGAAGCATCTTTGCGGCTTGGGTCTTGACATAGATCAAGCAAATCACGGCGGAGTACCGTGTTGCACACACTGTGTGCTAGGGTGAAAACCCCCAACGAGCACCTGCGCTCCCTTGATTATGTCCTTGAGATTTGCAATAATCCGAATCCCTGTGACATTGATGGTGTTCAACCGCAGCACCTGGCTGCGACAATCTCTGAGGTCTATGTTTACAAGCTCCTTAACTCTGGGGCTGACATATTTGGAGTAACGAATGAAGGAATGTCCGCCCTTCACACTGCAGCCCAGGTACGCCAGCCTAATATCGTCGGTCTTCTCTGCTCTAGGTTATTGGAACTAGGGGACGACATGCGAAGAACATTCATCAATCAGCAAAATACTGAAGGCCAAACAGCACTTCACCTTGCTTGTCGTTCGGGACGTCCTGAGACTGTTCAAGTCTTGCTCGAATCCGACGCAGAAATTCATTTGATGGATGAGACTGAACTAAATCGCTCCTTATTTAAGGAGTGTGCGCAGTTGAAGCCGAGCAAACACTGTGGGATCACATCCAAAACGCCTATTCCTACAATGCAGCCGGCGTTTTGCTCAATGACATGAGACGCCCATGCTCTGATCAGGATGGCGCTTGTAGCATGGGCGGTAGGTCACCTAGGCCACATAGGTCACATTGGTCACATACGGTCCATGATTCGATTCGACTAGATGCGATATTGGAGTTACTGGTGCTTCAGGATCCTATTCCACTTGCCAAAAGTCGCTCATTTAGTTTCGCATTCTACGAAGCTGTGTCAAACCATCACGAATATACTGTAGATTGCTTCTCACGGCTGTGGACACGCATGTGCCCAGATATCCCATTTAACCATTCAAACCGCATGGAGTACCTCACGTCAAAATACCGCCTCGAAGCGACCCGACAAGCGCTGAGAGGATACAGCAAGTTTGACGACGCTGACCACCCATCTAAGAGCCTTGAATTTATGGAAGGGCTGTTGTTCCGGAGACAATACGGAATACTTGAGGAATTTATCGCAAAGCAAGGCGATCCTTTTCGTATCAACCACGATGCTCATTCCCTGCTACATTCTCTTGTTAAATGGGGCTTTAAAGATATACTGGCCCGGGTCTGTCCCCGTGATGCAATCCTCGATCTGGATGACCACGAATGGTGCCAAATGGCAGAGGCAAAGGCAAGTTGCTCCCAGTCGAGCGTCATTAGGTCTCTATTAGTAGCTGCCTGTCTATCCGAGCTGCCTAATATGAGCGTCTTGGAATTTCTTGTTGAGGAGATTGGAGTCAACCTGGATATCAAATGCCGATCGCCATCACTGGGAATACAAGAACTTATTTTTGTTCCATCTGGTGGACCTCTCCATCAAGTTGCTGCTGGAGGGAACTGGTGGCATGTGGCAAAGGCGTTGCCATACTTGATCAAAATGGGCGCTAATGTGGAGCTACGTGACGACGATGGAGCGACTCCATTACAAGTCTGCATTGAGTGGATCACATTACTCAGGCCCGTTCCATAAAGATGCTGCAAAGCTGCTCATTGAGTACGGAGCAGATGTGAATGCCGTGGATGCCAGAGGGATGACATGTTTGGCAAAGGCCGGCGATGACTTGACGCTACTCAAGCTGCTCATGGCCAATGGCGCTACAGTTACTGCCTCGGATATCTTTTCCGCCATTGGGTTAGAGCAAGTTGAGAATCTGGAGGTTCTACTCGCCCAGGGCGATTATGCCAACTTGAGAATGCCTGGACTCGGTAAAATATGCAAAAGTGGCTCCAGGGGAGTCCGAATTGTTGAGTCTGAAGTATCGCCGCTGCTGCATGTACTTGGCTACGGAACACCAACAATGTGCAAACCAGAAGACGTCTCCCGGGGCACGCGCATGGTGAAAACACTCCTCAACCACGGTGCAGATCTATATGCCTACTTCAGTAAAGATGTGCGAGTGCTGAAAGAGGGATATGATGAGCATTCAAATATGGATGAATCAGAAGAGTTGGACGTGTGGGAACCACAAACAACAACAGTCATTCATGAGTTTCTGCGCACCGGGCTCCTGATCGAGCCATTGTTTCACTTGCCATTTTTGGATCTTGAGCTTCGCGACTCCAGCGGTGAAACCTTACTTCTCGCCGCATGCCGGAGTTATGAAACATTGAATACAGAGATCTATTGCGCTCAGGGGCAGGAAACAGTTACAAAAACAGTCCTCCAAGAGCTTATCGACCGTGGTGCAGATGTCACCGCGCGAGACAACTATGGTAAAAACATTTTCCATCATATAGGACTCTACTATCCTAGAAATGATTTTGCCGAGACTCGCATGACTATCATCGAAAAGAATCCCAACCTCATCCATCAACCCGACCTGGCTGGTGATACATTCTTCCACGAAATCCTGCGTTAGCATGCATTCCAATACATGGATGTATTTTGGTAACTGGGTGCAAATCCACTCCAATCAGACTCCTGTGGAAACACAGCCCTTCACTACTTGGCTGATGAGCTCTCGCCAGACCCAGAACGAAAGTCTCATTTCGATCTCTTTAGAAAATTCCTCGCTGCTGGTGTCGACATCAATGCCAAAAACCGTAAGGGTGAAACCCCGCTCTTCAGATATGTTCTACAGAGCAGCGACCACTGGGTTTTTCCATCCGATGAAGAAGAACCAAGTCGCCCCTGCTTCGATTTCTTTGCTTGAAACCATGCTGGCTCGACCTTACTTCATTTGGTCGCATCAGTACGTAGTCGCAGCAAATTTAACGAAAAGGAGGCCGTCGAATATGAGGTACAAAGTTTCAAAATTCTGATGAGTATGGGACTAGATCCTATGGCCGAGGATATACAGCAGCGAACTAGCTTGGATGTGGCTGCTGCTTGTGGCAGTGAACACATCCTGAAACTTTTCGAAAGGAAGCCGATGGAGTAGAGGTTCGTTTTTCTAACCCCTCCACGTGATTGTTTTTAACGCTCACTGGAAATGGCAACTGTATATCTCGTGTTATTTGAAGGAAGCTGTTTTGTTTTGGGGCACTATATACATCCTAGACAAAATGAGTTTAAAGCTCAGTCATGAAACGGCTTAAAAAATGGCAATACTTTGATAGTGCAGTTCTCTTGGGGAATTGTAATTAGGCTATGTAGTATCCAATACTTCCCTCAAGACGAGAAACCCGGTTACCATGCGTTCCTGTTTCATTTAGTCGGTCTCTATTCAAATTCCAACGCAACATATTTATTCCACTTACGATCAGTACATTATGTTATAGATGTCCAACCTGCTACCATTGGTAGCACTTGTGATTATGTTATTGGACCGTTTCTTCTAGTTAAAATAGCCACGGGTCTTGACAAACTAAACTAGCTTTTTCCTTATTATTAGGATCAATCAGCCCGTAGAAGATCAATGTACCATATATTTTGCTGAACGTGTGTGAGGTTCATTTTGAGTGGGTGTGAACCAGGATTTACGAGGGGACCAGTGTCCATTATGTTCACTCAACCGCAATCAATGTGCTCAACATCATTTTGGCGTCAATTACATACATGAAACAAGGAATGAAATGCATCGGAAGTCTGTTTGCGTGCGTCGGGGAATTGCCACCCGGAGATTCGCCGCGGTTTTGCCGTTGGTTCATGGAAACTTCCGAATGCGTCGAAAGAGGCAATGAACGTCACAAGGCAATCCAGATCCGCGCAGATGTCCTATTTAATTGGTTCTGGGCATCATTAAATCTCGGGAAAATACCTTTAGCTCTAACTAGAGATATAAAAGTAGTTATACCCCGCGAAAATAAAAAGGACAACTATACCATGAGATCTCCACTATGAAGTTGTCCAGTGCGGTTTTTGTCTTTTGGTCGACCGAGCAGCATGTGCTGTCTTCAGTCGTGAAATTTCCTCAGTTGATTACAACTCGGCGCCTCCAAACCTATCGACGTTAGCCAATGCCACTCTATTTAACACATGGAGACCGAGAGCTCATATACTCCCTCCATCGGGAAAGATAGGCGATCCGTGCATGCATTACACTGATCCTAAGACAGGACTCTTCCATGTTGGCTTCCTCCACGACGGAATTGCAGGTGCCATCACAGATGATCTCGCTACTTACACGGATTTGATGTCCGACGGACGTCCTTCAATTGTTGCAGGAGGAAAAAATGATCCACTGGCAGTCTTCGATGGCTCAGTGATCCCCAATGGCATTGATGGTCTGCCAACATTGCTATATACTTCGGTGTCTTATCTCCCGATTCACTGGTCTATTCCCTACACCAGGGGAAGCGAAACCCAGTCCTTGGCGGTTAGCTATGATGGTGGTCGCAACTTCACCAAGCTCAGCCAAGGCCCGGTCATCCCTTCGCCGCCATTTGCCCTCAATGTGACGGCATTCCGAGACCCATATGCCTTCCAAAACCCGGCATTGGATTCAGCCCTCAACAGTACCCAAGGAACTTGGTATACCGCCATCTCTGGCGGTGTTCACAATGTCGGACCTTGCCAGTTCCTCTATCGTCAGCATGATGCAGGCTTCCAGTACTGGGAATATCTCGGGCAATGGTGGCAGGAGCCTGTAAACACAACCTGGGGTAATGGTGACTGGGCTGGCGGATGGGGCTTCAACTTTGAGGTTGGCAACATCTTCAGCTTGAATGAAGACGGGTACAGCGCGGATGGAGAATTATTCATGACACTCGGCACTGAAGGATCAGAGGCACCTGTCACTCCAAGAGTTACTTCCATCCATGACATGTTGTGGGTAACAGGAAATATCACCAAGGGAGAATCTGTCGCTTTCACGCCCACCATGGCAGGTTTCCTTGACTGGGGCTTGTCATCATATGCAGCTGCAGGAACGATCCTACCAGCAACTTCTAAGACCTCTGCTAAGAGCGGCGCCCCCGATCGCTTCATCTCATACGTCTGGCTCACTGGAGATCAGTTCGAGTTGGCAACTGGCTTCCCTAACGCTCAGCAAAACTGGACCGGAACACTTCTTCTCCCACGCGAGTTGAAGGTTGAAACTCTTCCCAATGTTGTAGACAATGAGCTTGCACGGGAGCCACTGTCTTCCTGGCGCGTGTCTCGCGAGGAATCTGGTCAAGTTGATCTCCAGACTATGGGAATCTCAATTGCCAGGGAGACCTACAATGCTCTGACATCTGGGTCCTCCTCTGTCGAGGCCGGTCGGACATTGTCCGAAGCTGGAGACGTGGCGTTTGAGACCTCACCATCAACCAAGTTCTTCGTTCTGACCGCAAATATTTCTTTTCCAAGCTCAGCCCGTGGCTCTGATCTTCAATCCGGGTTCAAGATTCTTTCGTCAGAGCTTGAGTCAACGTCCATCTTTTACCAATTCTCAAACGAGTCCGTCATTATCGACCGCAGCAACACAAGTGCTGCAGCAAAGACTACTGATGGAATCAGCAGCGACAACGAGGCAGGTCGCCTGCGTCTTTTCGATATCGCGCAGAATGGAGCTGAAAATATCGAGACCTTGGAGCTCACTATCGTGGTGGATAGTGGCGTTCTGGAGATTTATGCTAATGGACGCTTCGCGTTGAGTACCTGGGCACGGTAAGTACATCTAGTGTCGTCACATCACACAGCTCACTAACTTGATATTTAGGTCCTGGTATGCAAAGTCGACCGATATTAGCTTTTACCACAACGGTGTGGGAGAAGTAACCTTTGGAAATGTGACAATCTTTGAAGGACTGTACAATGCTTGGCCCGAGAGAGGATAAACGGGGATGTATTATATATACAAAGCATCCAGCGCTGTATACACCAAAATCATTTATGTATGTGAGTATATCTTGGCCACAAATTAAGCTTTAGCTGTATGTATTTGGAAATAACACATACTCATGTAGGGCTTTACAGCCACATATTCAGCAGGTTAGAATATATCTCATAAAACAGGTGATAAACTTTTGTTTTCTGTTTATTACTGGGCTGCAGAGTTACAGTAAACCTTCTCCTGAGACCCCCATAGGCCAAGAGTCATGTCCGAGCCAGCTCCGAAGATACCCCCGGACACGCATCATGGAGCCCACAACATTTTGTCTAGTTCCGGCCCCACATACCATTCCGAGTCAACTGGACAAATTTCAGACGATCGCTCGAAGCTGTTTGCTCTGTACCATACGAGCAGCAATTAAAAGAATGCCCCCGAGAAGCAATGATACGCCAGAAAATAGTGACAATGAGAGATATCCGTATTTCTCAGCAAGAGCACCGCTGATGGGTATATTGGCCATGGCACTGTAATTTTGTCAGAGTATACCACACTATGTCGAAAAGGGGGGCCATACGTTAGAGCTGTAGATCCTGAAACGCTTCCAATTGCAAGGCCAAGAGTATTACGGCTAGCAACTTGTGCAGCACAGGCTTGCTGAAGAGATAGGATACCCTAGATCACCACTGATTAGTATTTGCATTCTCGGTAATAAGAAAGACGACTCACACCAGACGCAAAGCCATACGCAGCAGACCAGATCACAAGGCCAGTGACAGATGCTACCTTGGTCCAGCACAACGCGACAACTCCTGCACTTATAGTCGCCAGAATGCAGCAGTTGAACTTCCCGTATTTATCAGCGATGATACCTGGGAGAATCCGACCAAAGAATGAAGTGCCGTTCACAATGGAGACGGTATAGAAGGCTAGGGTTGTAGAGAAACCTTTTTCCACAGCAAAAGATGTTGTGTAGAAGAATGGTGAGAACATCCCAAAATATACGATGAACATGGCAAGACACAGTAGCTGCAGCGAACGCTGTTTGAAAAGACTCAAGACTTCTTCCCTGTGATTCTTCGGCTTGACGCTTTGTTCCGGGGTCTTCTCATCATTCAACTCCTCGCATCTCTCACTATCTGCGCTGATTGAGGGTGCGACTGGGGATTTGGCAACGGAACAAGAGAAGATGAAGCAAGGTATCATAATAAAGCCCACAATTCGCATGGTCCACGGAAACCCAATGCTGGGATTGTTGAGTAGTCCGTCAATTGCGATCGGCCAAATAACACCACCCAGGGACGAGCCTGCAAGTACGATACCCATCGCAGCTGCACGTTTAATTTTGATGTATTGTCCGACCAGCGCGAGCATAGGCCATGATACCAGGGCCATGGAGACGCCCAGCAAAACTCCTTGTGCAAGTAGAAATTGGTAGAACTCCTGGCAAAGTGAAACCATCATAACTGAAAAGACAGTACCGATAGAGCCTATGTAAACCATGATCTGTACATACAATATGAGGTAAGCTTCATCTCATCATAGCTCGATGTAATGATTTCATTTCACCTTTGGTCCAAATATGTCAAGCATTGCACCCGATCCCATGGAAATGGAGAAGAGGAAGAATATTGAAATAGCCCCTAGCCATGCAATGGTAGATGATGAACTTGAGGAAAGCTGGTTCCTGCCATAGTATTCTTCAAATATGCCGAATGAGTTCATGAACCCGACGGTGCAGAAGAGACAAGCAAAGGCCCCAAATATGACGAGCCATGCCCGAGGTCTGGAAAAGTCAGCTTTCCGAATTGACAGTTGAGATGAGGATCTGACGCACGTGTATTCAGTTGATGCCATTTCTCCGTCTCAAAACGTTGACGGCTCTTGTGACTCTGTCGGCGACCAGGAAATCTTATAAAGGTGGAGATTGAACACATTGCAGAAATCGTCAATATTTATATTCAGCCGGACTGTTTGCATCTGTGAGGTAAAAATGCTTCACCGGAGTCCCCGAGGCTGTGATGACGCTTGGAGTTGTTTGTTGGCTTGAGGATTTGGCTATGTACGATCGACGAATCGGGTTTAGTGTCTACCGGAGACTCCGCGGACCCTCCGATCATCCTGACTCTACATTCCCAATATTTGCCGCAGGAGATATTCTCATGCTGCTTTGTTTCTCTGCTTCGTCGATGTCCTCTGGCTCTTCTAATGTTTACTCAACATCATGAAGCGAAGGCCGACTTCTGAGACTGAATCTGGGGGTGCTGGATCGCCTCCAAAAAAGCAGCCCCGACAGGACCCGGTGTCGTGTGAGTCCTGTCGGAAGAAGAAGTCGAAGTGCGATAGGGGTTACCCTTGCGGTAACTGTTCTATGCGCAAGCTGGAATGCATTTACAGGACCGGCGGTTCAGGGGTGGTGAAAGCCGGTAGCCAAACAGAGGAGAGGCATGTGTTGGACAACATCATGCTTGAACCACCTCGAACCTTGCAACGGAGCACCAGAGTCGACACAGAAACGCAACGACGAAATCGGAACGAGCCTCTTTTAACGGCAGATTGGCTTGAGACTATAGTCATGGGGCATCGTGTGCCGAGCGCGATTCCTGCCCCTTTGAGAGCCGAGCTCTCCCAAAATCCACAAAGTGAGCGCTCATATATACGGCAATACGCGGTTCCCGGTGTCCAACCTGCTATGATTCGACGCGATCCCATTGCCTTGCGTGAAAATCCTGCCACGGTTCATCTGCCGTCGTATCTGCCCCCAAAAGCCGAAGCATTGAGCCTGTTCCGATATTATTGCGCCTATCTCGATTTCCAATATCATATTATCATACAAATTCAGGTCGAACGGCAGATTGAAAGTATTTATGAGCGAGTTGCCTGTAACGAGAGTATGAATTTCGGTCATGCTGCCCTGCTGTTCAGCATAATTGCCTCGGCCATCTACTACAAACTTCTGATGGAATCGTCGGAATGCGCAGATATCTGTAGCCAGGAGACCACATTTCTAGCAGGAGCTGCGTTGATTCAAGGTAACTACATTGCATACCCGACCATCGAAGGACTGCAGGCGACTATGATCATTGGCCATCACCTTTCCAACATGAATTTACCACCTTCTGTCAGTTCATTCTGTGTACACAGGTCATTTATGAGTCAAGCCATCAGCATGCGGCTTCATCTCGTGGACTCACGTCAATCTGTGGATGAGCGTGCGGCAAATGGATTTGACAAAACCAATGTTGAACTCAAACGTCGGTTATGGTGGGATTTGGCGACATATGACTGGTAGGCTTCTGTCATCAAGATGCAGTTGGACTTCGCTAATGATACTCAAGGCTATTAGGTTTCCTCAGTGGTCCCCAGGAGTGGACATACACGGTCCAATCGCAACAAATGAAAGTACGAGAGCCGTTAAATGTTGATGACAAGGATATCGAACACACAGAAACTGGCCTGCCTCTATCTTCCCCGACCGATATGTCATACAGCCTGTGTCGAAGGAGATTGGCTGTCGTATGCCGTCACATAGTGGACGAAACAGCAGAACACCATCTTAATGGACAAGAAGTACCATATGAAACGATACTTGAGCTGGATCGCGAACTTCACAAAGCCTGCGCTGAGATCCCGGGCTTCTTCCGTTTTGATCAAGCCTCTCGACGCAAATATGCAGCGCTCTACCGCGGGCGCCCAAATTTAGCATGGCAACGCTCTATCGTACAACAAGGCTACCACTCCCGACTCTGTCGCTTGCATCGCCACTACTTTGTGCGTGGAGCAAAAGATCCCCGGTACTCCTATTCTCATGTAGTATCACTTCAATCCGCGCGCAAGGTCCTGGAGGTGAAGCGTATGATGGATGAGCAAGAACCCGTGTTTACTCCGCATAGTTCGATGATATGGGCAGTCATGCACCACGTTTTCATGGCAGCTGTCATTCTACTTATCGATGTCTGCTTCAACTGGGATGATATCTTGGCAGAGAAAAGGAAAGAGGAAGTCCTTGACGCGTGTCGCATGTTGAGCCGGGCACAGCAATCCTCACCCATTGCTCGCGAGGGAATACGTGCCATGATGGACATCCTGCGAAAATATTGCAAGCAAGAAAAGAGACCCGTTTCTCCTGGATCACAGGCAGACCCCCCTGCATCCTCTATACAGAACCTCGCAGCCGCTAGTGTCCCACAAGCGGATTTTGCTGCGACTACTTCTTTGGGCCCCAAAAAGGTCAGCTTTGCTCCACAAATTTCCGACAGTCAACCGACACTGCTGTCAGAACCCTTGTCGGATCCGTTGCTTCTTGAGGACATTTGGACAGAGATGCTTGATGGCAGCGCCTACGCGGAGCTAGATACACCGGACTGGACGGATTTATTGACCGAATTGACGAACGCCACTATGCCGTGTGAATAATAAGCATATACCCATTTCCTTTTGTTTCCCGGCTCAATATCTTCAGTTTCCTTCTTTGTCAATTAATTTGAAAAATAGCCGTGTTACACGTCACAAATCCTGCAGCCTGTCAATCTGTTCAGTCTAGACGTGTACTGCGGGGAACTCACGGTGAATACTTGCCTGATTGGGCCATGACTTGGCCGATGAGGCTCTGGACAAAGGTAAACAAACAATCTGACATCACATGATGTTATTGTCTTGTGGCCTAAGTTCCGCTCTTTGCTTTATACTATTTCCGAAAGAATTCATTTCTTCAACAAAAGAGCTTCCTACCTAACTCCAGAACACCATGTCAGACAAGAACACTGTACACCAAATTACGAATACTCCTACGAAGCCGGACATCCAATCAATCGTCGACCGCATCAAGAATGGCCAAGCCACACGAATAGTCGCCTTAACTGGCGCCGGTATCAGTACCGGCGCAGGAATCCCAGACTTCAGATCTCCGACCACAGGCCTCTATGACAAGCTTGCACCATTGGGTCTTCCATACCCGGAGGCGATCTTTCACATCAACTACTTCTCGCACACGCCTGAGCCATTCTATGCGATCGCACGGGCAAGACATCCGGGCAATCTTAAGCCAACGGTGACGCATGCTTTTCTAGCATTGCTAGCCAAGAAGAATTTGCTGCATTTTCTCTTCACTCAGAATATCGACGGGCTTGAACAGGATGCCGGGGTCCCCGCGGATAAAGTTCTGTGGGCGCATGGTAACTGGAAGAGTCAGCACTGCTATAAATGCAAGGCGCATTATCCTGACGATCTGATGAGGAAGGCTATCGGAGCGGGCGAGGTGCCTTATTGTCTACAGGATGGATGTGGTGGTGCAGTGAAGCCTGACGTTGTATTCTTCGGGCAGTCCTTGCCAGTCGAGTTCGAGAAAAGACAAAAGGAGGTTCTCGAGGCGGACTTGATGCTTGTAATGGGGACGAGCTTGAAAGTGGCACCTTGCTCACGTTTGCCGCGCTTGGTTAGAGAGAGCGTTCCACGCATTTTGATCAACAATGAGAAAGCGGGCGATCTTGGAAATCGTGGTGAGGATGTTTGCATCCTTGGGACGTGTGACGATGGTGTTCGTCAGTTGGCCGATGCGCTAGGTTGGAGGGAAGAATTGGAGACTCTTTGGGCTGATGCAGTCTCTGCTAAGAAGAATGAGGACATGTTTGAGAGCGGTCCCAGTCTGGAGGAATGCATTGAACGATATGCAAGTACTTTGGACAAAATGAAGGTATCGGATGGGCACAAACGAATGTTGGAAAAGCATCTTAACAGCAAATTAACCCAGATAATGGCTAAGAAGCCTGTTTCAAATTAATCGCATTGTCATATGTGAGTTTCAGTCCAGTTGAGTCGTGTTGACTTCCTAGCCAAACTCCTGTCTGTTGTTGATGGTGTAATTCTTGTAAACGCGCGGACCTGTGAATTACGCGATGCGGTTAGTGTTGCTCTAGGTTTAGCGTCCCAATACACTGTCCTGTAACCTCTCCTTCCCCGACATAAAAGACCTGACCTCGCTCTTGCGACCTCTTTTTCTCCTTTCCCTCCCTTCAGCTCCTCAATCTTGCACTCATCGCCGCAAGGGTGGGGAAAGGGTAGGTTCCTGGCCCTCAAAATAGTGCCGCAGGGGGTTTGCAAAGGCTCGTTCAGGTCTTTTTACCGAGGTACTACCGGTCCCCTTACCCGCTTCGTTAATGACTATCTGCAACATTATACTAGGAAAAGACGATCACGGATAGTGTTTTCCGGATCCGCATATTCAAGTATACTCTGGACTTCGTATAGAGCTCTAACGAAAATAATCACAAACCCAGTCTTCTGCTGGGGATCCATGGTGTAACCAATGACACGCATAATTACCTACGCATGCCATTCTAGGAGAGTGGTATTATTCGGCGGCGCTATTTTTTCTGTTGATGCCATGTAAAGAGAACTTCGGACAAAATAATAGTTACAGCTACCACTACTGACTGCCACTAATAGTGCCTAACTACCACGTCCATCGATCCACCTATTCACTCACACCAACACAGTAGTATGTATCTTTCTGGAACATAGTCCCACACTCCTTGCCACCATCACCCAAAACTGTGTTCCACTGGTACAACTGCTTGGGAGTAATGTCGTGATCCTTAGCGAAGTCAATGCAGTTATCGCCATCCTTGGCCTTGGCATAGTCACTGCAGTTGTCCGCAATGCTATTCGACTGGGTGGGGGACGGGACGGCTCCGTTTGTCGATGTGGGAGTTGCGGTCGTACTGGTAGGCTTGCTACTAGTGCTTGTGTCTTTATCAGTGGTTGAGGTCCGAGAGGTCGATGTGCTCGTGGGGGCTGGGCTAGATGTCGACGAAGAGGTCGAAGTCGTAAGCGGCGTCGAAGGCGCCGGCGTACTAGGCACAGCCCCCGAAGACGATGCACTCGCCCCAGGTCCGTCCATACAATACCTGTATTTCTTGCTGAAATCGCAACTGGTAGAATTCGATTTCAGCTTCTTCAGCGACGGATTCCACCTGAGCAAGTCTGCTTGCGAGATTTTCCAGAAGGTACCGGCCGCTTGGTAGTTACTGACGCCCGTGTAGTTGTATTGAAGATCGTGACCATCGATGAGGCTTCCGTAATCCTTCAACGTGCCTGGGGCGATAGGGAGCGGGTTAGGGTTATTTACGGGCGTGTAGGTTGCGTTAGGGAGATCACCCTAGGGGATCTTAGAGACAGAAGGCATGTAGCCTAGGGCACCGGGGTAATTGTCTATGTCCTTGACGGGCTTGACGCAGTAGCTGCGGCTAGCTATGAAGTTTGTGCAGCTAGGCATATCAGTTATGGTTCTATAGAAGGGGAGTGGAAGAGTTCAAACTTACTTCTGGTTTAGGCCGGGGTTTAAGATAAGGAAATTGACACGGCTGATAGGGAAATTCTGGACGATTGTGTCATAGGTCTTATTGCTCTTAGGCGTGTAATACTCGCCACAGTTCTTAGTGCTGTTTTAGGCGAGGTTAGTCGGGACAGAGACGGCTAACGAAGCCGTGGGCAAGCCTGTGGCAGAAATAACAGAGGATAGAGCGTGGTATTTCTCCCTAGGCTTATCTATACAGATTTCTGTGCCGATAGTGCGGTTGAAGTTATAGCAACCGCCGTCGATCTAGGGGTCGTAGGAGCGCAACTAGACTCTCGTGATATTGTGTTCCTTCGCAACACTCTTATAGGTGTCTCCCTTCTGGACTATATAAGTAGTGCAATGGTTCTTAATACAGAGGTTACCAGATTTAGGGAAGTTAGCGCAGTAGGCTTGGAGTTGGTTGTCTATGAGGAGTTGGTAGGTGGCGACGCTCTGCGACTTGGAGACCGACTCGCAGGTGTCTCCGTCCTTGATGGTGTACTTCTTGCCGCTGTAGGTACTGGCCGTTGGGGTAGCTGCTACGGATAAAGTGAGTGTGCTCGATCTACGGAGCATTAGTATTTTTTTAAGCGGTTCATCGATAAGCTAACATATAGACGAGGAAGAGACACTGTCGAATTAGGAGACACCGTCGGCTTGGCAGTCACTAGGTACCCTGTGAATCCGTAAGAAGAGGTATAACTAGGGTACGCGCTCGAGTACATATTAGGTCCGCTGCTGTAAGGATACCGGGCCTTATTGCGAAGCTTTAGCAAAAGGCACTTGTTGTAGTCGTCTCTACTATTCTTAGTGAGGTTACCTAGAACGATGTTGTAGTAATTGCCTTGGTTCTTCAAGCAGGTCTGTTAGAAGTTAAAGAGAAGAGTGTCGGCGACCTTAGAGATAGGATACACTATGCCCTATTCGTTGCTATAAGTGGCGCCGGAGCATCCGGCAGCCACAGCTTTTCTATACTCTAGCAGCTCGTCGCGACAGTCGCTGGTGTAAATCTTGTCAAGACCATGCTTCGAGTAAAAATTGTTAGAACTAAGACTATGCACAGCCACGATGTAGGAAGTTAAATTGGTAGTGAGTGCGTCTGCACATTGATCATTATAGTCACCGACAGAATTGTTAGGAACGGGTTGAAAACAGGTAATAAGTGTGAAAAGAGAGAGAAAAAGAGTGTACCGCGCAAGCGAATTAACGAAAGACATGGTCGGAAGTATGGGCGGATAGTTAGGGGACTAGCCGAGGCAGACGTCTTCATGTACAAAGCATTATATGTGTATGGATAGTGCCAATTGATAAGCATTGGCCCTATCGCTCTGCTGCGGCTTTAAATTGCGATAGGCCGGACAACCTCCCCTTGGGGCAAAATGCAGCGTTTCATAGGGTCTTTTTCCACCTCGCACTCCACATCTCGTGTCTACCTTGAGTCTGAGTCGCGGAATCTGTCGAGGTGCGTTTGGCCCTTGGGTTTCCTCGCACATCTGGTCCCTTTACGTACATTTGGCCCCCTGGTGGCACGCCTAAATTATGCAGAAATTCGGCAGAGACTCTGCGCGGCTGAATCCTCCTCGTTCTTGGCACAAGGTGGGATTGGAGGGAATACAAGCTAAAACAAACTAAAGTCGCAGCCTCGTGCGTGGTTTATGTTTTTGGCCCCCGGGTGATCGGCAATCAGGCACGGTTAGGGCTTGATTGGCTGACTGTCCATAGTTCGCTAAGACTCTTCCCGCTGTCTGCCCCGTCGAGAGAGGAGTTGTGGTTGTTGTCCGAAGTAATTTTGGGAGATCGGCTGTCACTCGCTTGAGATGCTTCTCGCGGGTTTGATAGTATTTAGTCCTCTACGGCCGCCCTCCCTCACGGCGGTTTAACCCGTTCATTCCTTCTTTCCTTTATTTATTTATTCATTCGTTAGTTCGTTTATTTGTGATTCTATCATTTTTTTCCTCCCTCACCATAGCTCGAGGGTTGCTAAGCCTATTCTTTCTTTTATCTTTTCTTTCAATTGCTATAGGCGATCTTGCCGGAGACCTAGGTATCGAGTTAAGCTCACTGAAACTTCTCGGGGATGATAAGTACAGCTGTAGAAAAGATAAGCTATGCTCGAATAGAGCCTGCTACGGTAAAAACGGTGTCTGTGGCTTCGGTAAAACCTACTGCGGTACCACCGGCGAGTCACCTAACGATGCCTACTAGAGTAATTGCGATGCACATGCAGAGTGCGGCAAAGACGCAAAAGAGCCTAGCAAAGCCTGTCCTCTTAACGTCTACTATAGTGAATTTGGTTTCTGTGGTACCACCGCGGAGTTCTGCGGTGACGGATGCCAGAGCAAAGACAAATATGAACAGCCTGACTCTAGTGCCTCTTCCGGCAATATCTAGGAGCGTATCATCAGATACTACGAGGCATTCAAGTATGATTCGGACTACTAGGGCATGAAAATCAAATAGATTCCCGTAGAGAGCTTAACTTACGTTAACTGTACGTCTCCCTCCTTATTATTATCTGGCCTCGATTACTGATTTTTAAAAGATGCTTTCGCCTATATCGACCTTAATAGTTACGATATTGGTCCTATGCCCGAGGTCGAGGAGAAAACCTTAAAAGACTTCACTGCTCTTAAGGAGCGTAACCTACATGTTGTTCTTGGTGTCTCGTTCGGTGGCTAGACCTTTAACGACAATAAAACAGAGACGTAAAAAGTCTTTGCCGAGCTTAGCTCCACGGAAGACAACCGGTCTAAGTTTATCGATAAGCTTCTCTCCTTTATGCGCCACTATACCTTCGACGCCGTAGATATCGACTAGGAGTATCTAGGTGCTCCTGATAGACGGCCTAAAAACTAGGACTCGACGGACGATGGCAAGAACTACGTGAAGCTCTTATAGGACATCCGGAAGCTTAGACAAGCGTGATAGCTCGCCCTAGGAGTTGATGGATTGCCCCGACACCGATAGCGAAGAGGAGCATACCATCCGCATGGTCTGTACCGAGTCTAGCGAGGACAGTAAGTGTGACCACATTCACCGTGGACAGGGCGCTCCTAGCACTATTCTGCAAATGCCTAATCGCTGTGGCCTTAGTCGGTACGCCGTCGCGAAGGAGCTCAAGGAGTCCTAGAACCAGACCCTCCCTAGACATCTAAACAAGCGTGACCTTGCTAGGAGATCTGTCTACGACCTGACATTCGACTATGACTTCAAGCGCGTCCCTCGTGACTTCGGTGACGCTATGATGCGCATTGACTATGGTAACCAGCCTGGATACTGGGACTCTGTTGTTGACAGACCCTGGTGGTAGTGATACCGAGCGAAAGAGCAAACGCGCAAAGCGAGATGAATCTGGCTTCCACAAGAACCGCAAGCGCTGGCTCGAAGAGGAATGGCGCGATGCCAGATTCTCATGATCGATATCTTCAGCGGCGTCGGTCCCCTCCGGAGCGATACGCGTTGGATGTAGACGAGGATGAGACACCCAGCTCGGATCTACCGTCAGAAGAGCAGATTCGCGACCAGCTTAGCCTGGAAACTTCGGTTGGCAGCTTCTCTCTTCATCCGGAATTCCAGGTTTCTCAGGATGCCAACATTGTAACAGTCACCAATACTCCTGAGGGCAAAACCCCCGATATTCAATACATTGTCCATGCGCTTTTTCTCAGCTCCATTCGCGATACAGCAGGGCCCTCCCTCTTGGAAAGCACAGCGCGCCTGTTCACAGCGTCAATGTTCTCCCACCTCCCGGCCAATAAAACCCTCACTCTCAGGTTCTTCATCCCAAATTCCCCTTCTTTGTCAGCCATTCGCCCCGCCTAAGACGAGGTCCTCGAAATTTTATCCCGGCAAACTCAAGAAGAGGACCGAGAGAATTCATTCCCCATCGGCGCCCTGCACAACATCTCCACGGGCGACGATCAACCCCCAACATCAAAACGCATTACTCCTCAAATACCCGAGAAACACATCATCACAGGACAAGGGAGGTTCTGCGAGCTCTTTCGCCTGTTCACAGTTGTGCTCGATCGCGCCAAGTTTGTCTCCGAGGCCGGAGTTTACTTCTACATGGCGTACCTGGATGGGTCCGAGAATCCGGATCCTTCCATGCAAGACGCTCCCGATGATACGCAGGTTGTGCGGGGCGTTGACATGAGTACGGTTGCTAGGCGGTTGGGGGTGGTTGTTCTTGACGGGTAATTTGGTTTGGTTGGGTGGTTTACAACATATTTTGTGGACACCCACCCCTCTCCACAGCCAAAATGCAATTAACAGCCATAATGCAAATTTCCTACTTTTTCAACTTTACGCGTATTTCTGCCTGCTGAAAAGTGCTAAAAAATGCTTATGATGAAGGGGCTCTGCTAGCTGAGGCATTATATGCTTATGAATCGCAAAATTTGCGTCCCTACGCAAGGCTGCGGACCATTATCGCGTGTCTTATTCGAAGCTTCGTGGTCGTAAAAATAGACGGATATCTCTCTCAGGTCGCCCTACCACTAATAATGCATTGGATTCGAATCAGGAAAATGCCTTAATTAGCTGGATCGAATTGATAAATTCTTGCTATACACCTCTAACTGCAAAGGACATTGAATTTGCCGCAAATCGCCTATTGAAAATAGTATGGGAGCCGCCGCATCCTGGGACAATATATGATTGGTCAATTGCCACGCCATTCTCCACTTTGGAGCGACAACCTCAAAACCAACAGAATCATAGAAATTCAAAGTTCTCTATTTAAAAATAAAATACAGTATACGCATTGTCACTTTAGCTCTGGCAACCTTCAAACTATTATGCTTCTCCAAGGTGGAGCAAGGAGTAGTCAGGAACCAATCACACTTGATTCGTACTTTGTTTTTTAAGCTGTCCTTCGTATTTCCCAGCTCGCTGTCAGACGCTCCTTCGGGTAAAAGACATTTATTTGGGCTGCAGCGGCAAAACTGTTGGGAACTTAAATTACAAAGGGGTCGATAGCTGGGGAAAGCTTCATCAGGAAACCTATATAGTTAGAGAGCTAGAGACGGTTGGGGCCTGAGGAATATAGCAATCATAAAATCGGGTTTCAAACCATGCCCTGAAACGAAGGAACGAAGTGAAAGGGGTTACAAAGTGTGGGTCTGCGTGAGGCTGACTTGAAGGCTGAGTTGACGCTGTGTAACGCCAAGCTCGGTATAAATGGCAGCTCTATGATATGAAATAAAAAAACATCGTTTTAGAATATTTTGAGAAGGCAGACCTGCAGGGCTGACAGGAGAATTAGGGGTGGGGTTAGTTAAGTTACATAACCTCGATTATCTAACTTGGAGCTATCCTTGTGAGCGCCATGTCAGATTAGAATCACCTCATTTGCTTTAATTTTTCCCCCACCTGAGATCCGCGTCCGCTATTTGATCAGCAGTATCTCAAGGTTAGCATTTACAGACATGGTCGCTTTGCCGACAGACAGCCAAGCGGGCAAAGGGCCCTCCCGACCAAAACCCACCCCCGGACTTGGCGAGGAAAACGGCCATGTAGATGAGACCACGGCTCTCTTGAAACCTGGCACAGCTATACGTGCTAGCGATGAAAGCGACGACGATGATGAAAAACCTCTGCCCAGGTTCCAGATCCTGCTGCTTTGCTATGCCCGGACAATCGAACCTTTGGCCTTCTTCTCCGTCTTTCCCTACGTAAGCCAGATGGTCCAGGAGAATGGTAATGTTGCGGACTCGGATATCGGCTTTTACAGCGGGCTTATCGAGTCGTTATTCTCTCTAACGCAGGCTATTGTCATGATATTCTGGGGTCGCGCTGCCGACCGTCTCGGGCGGAAGCCCGTCCTTGTCTTCTCTTTGGTCGGCGTGACAATAGCGACGGGCCTCTTCGGGGTGGCAAGAACCATACCGCAAATGATCCTGTTCAGATCTATTGCTGGTATATTCGCCGGGACAATCATTACAATTCGCACCATGGTGGCCGAGCACAGCACGCCTAAGACCCAGGCCCGTGCGTTTAGCTGGTTCGCTTTCACTGGAAACTTGGGCATCTTCCTAGGACCTCTGATAGGCGGTGCCCTTGCTAACCCGGCAATTCAATACCCGGGCGCTTTTGGGGGGATTCGTTTCTTCGAAAACTACCCCTACGCTCTCTCCAGCCTGGTGGTTGCCCTGGTCGGTGCCACCGCTGTGGTGTCTACTGCTTTGTTTGTTGAGGAGACTCTAAAGAAGAGCCTGACTTTTGACAGTGATGAGGAAGAGGCGGGCTCTAATGCTTCGACCCAGACCGATCTTTCGACATGGGAGCTTCTGAAATCGCCAGGTGTGAGTATAGTCATCTATACGTTTGGGCACATCGCGGTCCTCGCCTTTGCATTCACTGCTATTGTGCCTGTCTTTTGGTTTACTCCTATACACCTCGGTGGATACGACTTCACGCCTCTACAAATTTCGCTAATGATGGGTCTGAACGGTGCTGCTCAAGCCGCATGGCTCCTCCTAGTGTTCCCTCCATTACAGCGGAGAATCGGTTCGAACGGTGTGATACGCCTCTGTGCCTCTGCTTGGCCGGCGTTCTTCATAGTATTCCCTATTGGCAATGTCCTCCTGCGTCAGGGCACCGATGCTTCTGTTAATGCTTTCTGGATCTTTGCGCCGGTAACACTGGTTATAGGCTGTGGAGTCAGCATGAGCTTCACGGCAATCCAGCTCGCTCTCAATGATATTGCGCCGTCGCCGAGGTTTCTGGGCACACTAAACGCGCTAGCCCTGACCGGTAGCAGCGGGTTGAGAGCCTTCTGTCCGGCCCTCTTCACCAGCCTCTTCGCACTTGGTGCGAGGACACAGCTGGCTGGAGGCTATGCTATCTGGATATTACTGGTTTTGATTGCTTCTGGGTTGTCGCTTGCAGCGAAATACCTGCCTGAGCCGAAGAAGGCCTGTAAACGCCAGAACAGTCACGAGAGGTGATATGTTTCGTTTTACAGAAATCATACAACGATCAACTCTGGCTCAGTGGCCCTTGTGCTTTGGGAGGATGAAGAGAAACCGCATCAGCACCAAAACTTTATCCTGGTGCTTCAGTTACATATTTCATTGCATTATCCTAAAATCTTCTGTGTCAGGGAATTTATTCTAGCGCCATATCATTGCTAATTCAAAAGAATCAAAGCTGAATCATGGAGATTTATGCGAAGACCAGAATGAGTCTTTATGTTCTATTCAAATATCAACAAAGATCATTTACAACATATTGTAGTCTCTATGACAACTAATTGTGTGTACATTATGTATCCTAGTAAGATCTAATGATGCCATTAAAAAAAAGAGAGACAATGGACTTCTGTACAAGCCAATGCTCTAATAACCGAAAGTGAAAGACAGATGGTCAAAATAAACTCCCCCATGCAGGCAAAGCGGACATCAACGGAGTTCAATACTCCTGTGGAAAGAGATCTGAGGTTTCGTCGAAAAGGTCGATAGCAAGTCATGACCTGCAGCAATCTGTGAGCGTAAACGTCTAAAGTAAATGCGTGTTGAAAAGTCGAGACCCTGTACTTCATCAGATGTGGTTACGAGCAAGAAGCGAGGAGCAATGCTGATAGAATTCGTGGAGGTATGTTGGAACATATGTTCAAGAGGTCATCTTCGGGCGCTCGCCCTAGTCTTGCAAAAAGGCACCGGCGAACAAGTCTTGCATGGCGTGATAATGGAAAAAGATGATCCGAGCGGAATTGCCCGAATCCCAAGAATGGATCATCACTATACAATAGTGTCTGGTGACGGACGATGGGCTACTAGGGCATGGGGGGAAATATTGTATTCGGGTGACGTGGCATGCAGGATAGGAACCCGGGCGGCTAACGGGGGAAAGAGACTCGTTCGGGTTAATGCTATAATAGGGGTTAGGGGTGGCTGAAAGAAGGCACTATCAGAGGAGTGGAGAGCCAAGTTCAAGCGGCGCGGTCAGACCCCATGTCAACCGGTCGACAATAGATCTTATTTCTGCTCATTACATTCTCTTAGAGAGAGATCGATGGCTTTAGATATACAGCCCAAGCCTTGCCTGGGTGTGGCAGTCGACCACCGGATCAGACGTCTTTTCAAGCCTGTCTGCAATGACCTGACAGAGCCTTCTAATCACGTCTCCTGCATCGAGACTCGAGGACTGTCACTGAAGCGACCGCATAGCGAGATTCAAGTTACTGTGCAGCTGGCAGGCCCAGCGTTTAAGGGTGGCATAGCTGTCGCCCTGCAGCAGCCCCGGCACAGTCACCCAAAGAGGGTCTCGATGTTGTCATCCGGGATTGCGAAACTCTTTATGCTCTTGACGACGTATTTTCCGCTGTATCCTGCGGGTCACTCGATATTCGGACCGACATTACTATCGTCGACTTACTGCCCTACGTGTCTGAATCAATAGCAAGTATTGACGGTGCGATATTGGAGGAGTCATTCCGTGCGTCGAAGCATATTATGCTTGATAAGGAACCCTCTGTCTTGCTCTGCGCGGCAAAGGTAAGGCTGTCGGAGCAATTCTATAATTTGAAGGAGGATGCATACAAGCTCGGGAGCATCAATCTTGGGGAGAAATTTGGTCGCACTCCCAAACGCCCCGTCAAAGCAAAGATCCACCGTGAGGGAAACAGGGGGTTTGTCACCATCTGTAGAGTCAATGGTTTCCACCCGAGCTATGCGATGAACTATCATCCGCATGTCAGTTGTTTAAGGCAACTTCAGGTTTTGATAGGCGCTGAAACTTGTGGGACATTGAGAGACGATTGGGAAGAGAAAGATTGGATGGGGGAAATAAGGCGTCGTTGCCAAGATGTTTCCGAAGCACAGTCAGGTAAAAGAAAATCCACTATTCCATAGTATCTCTTATCTCCATTCGAAAATTCTCGTATTGACCTTTTTCTCAATTAGAGTCGCCGCCGCAATCTCCTCGATCGCAGAGCTCTGGTCAAAGCTCCACCGGACGCAATAGTACCAAGTACTTGCCAGATTACCAAGAGCTCTACTCTGACAAACTGCTCAGCATACATAGATGCATTCAGTCTCTTATTTCAGAACCAATACCGGCAGTGAATTCATCCACAGCACTCTACAAGCCCTTACTCACCTGTGGTCTAAGCGAACTTTGCAACGATGTGACCCTCATCTTGCGCCAAATGTCTCGCCAAATGTCTCGTCTCCGGAGCAAACGTTGGCCTAAGTATGTGGCCTCAATGAACAACGCCGCACTAAGGCAAGCCGCGAGTGATACGCGCAGATTCTCCAATGATCTTAAAGCCGCTGAGCCTAGCAAAAACGCGCAGTTCGCGGAAATCATCCAAAAAGGAGCAAGAGTTCTCTCTGAGATTGTAAAGAGAGGGGATGGCAGGCGACTTGAGGATAAGCTGGATTTCAATGAAACTTCGGGGGCATTTCTCAATATCGCTACGAATATTGAAACTTTACTCATGGATCTTCTACTGGAAGCGGAGAAGGACCTCCATGCTTTAGGGCAGGAAGATACATTATCGAGTAAGATGGGGAGAATGACATTGGTACCAGTGCTCAATTGAGCTGCGTTGCCCTTGTCATGCGTAACCCGTGCCTGATTGCGACAGGTTAGGAGATTTATCGGTGCTTGGGTAGGGTTAACAACCTGGCCGGGGCTTGGTGATTTTTGGATCGGTAACAATACTGCACAATACAGATTACTTCCGTTTAACGTTCGTCTGTTTGAGATTGTTAACAGCGCTAGGCGGGTGCAGAATAGTGAGGTGCAGGGCAGTAGCGGCGGCTCGACATCCAAAGTTACGGGTGGAAAGGCGGCCGTTTCTGGCGTCGAAATCGGTCATTTTCGGCATCAATTCCACAGATACTCAGATTCCACTTGTAAACTTTCCTCAAACTTGGAACCAAAGTGCATAAAATCTCTATTTCAACGAATGATGCCACCATGATGTGATAAAAACCCTGCTTGAGATTTACCCGCAGAACCCAACTTATGCAAATCTTGTCCATTCGACTCTTTTTTCAAACGCACTTTTCCTTTCAATGCCATCTGTAGTGGCTCGCAATGTCCCCATACAAGAAGAACGACCTCCCGTACATCCACCGCTATATCACGACCCACAACAACGAAGGCGAAGCTGTGTTTCTTTCCCATGCTCAGGTACCCGACTACCTCCCCTCAAAGCCGGCCGGGGAAGATGGCGAGATTGCCTTGCTATACGCTACAACTAGCATGCCAGCGTCAGTTGATGACGAAGCCGATGTGGCTATGTATGACGAGTTTCTTCATCAACCACCCGGGATCACAACCGATGAAGGGACAATTTTCCGGATGATCGACCTCCGTCCTGGAAAGACCACGCCGATGCATCGTACTGTCAGTGTCGACTATGGTGTGATACTCGAAGGAGAGGTTGATCTCATACTGGATTCGGGCGCGAAGAGGCACATGCATCGTGGTGATGTATGTGTGCAGAGGGGTACAGCGCATTCATTTCGCAATAGGAGTGATAAGGAGTGGTGTCGTATGTTGTTTGTATTCTTGCCAATGAACAAGTTGACTATTCAGGGGAAAGAGCTGGGAGAGGAGGTGTATGAAGACGACTATTAAAAGTCGGATAATAAAGATAGTGACTAGAAATATATCAAACATTGCCATTGAAGCATCACCCTCTCACAGTCGTAGGCTTTTCAATACCTTTCGGTTTAAACTCACTTTCTTCATACTGTAATATCCTGAGTTGAAGTTTTATTTGGGTTCTAAGATGGCGCCAACTCATCTCTCATTCCACTCTATTCAACCTGGACCGTGGTATTTTTATTTTTACCCATCAGAGAACTTCCGAATCTAATAATAACTTATCCTCCTAGAATACAATCTCCCTCCTACATTAAAAAAAAGGGATATTAAACCAGTGCCACGAGGCAAAAACATACAACAGTAAGGATTCGCTAGTGGTCACCCACCTAACTACTAACTTACCGGCGTGTGGCTTAAGTACGGCTGAGCGGACGGGAAGCCCTGTTCTCCACACCCTATGGTCGTATGTACTTATTCTTGCATTGAAGAGGATTATATAGTAAGTAGACTTACAAAGGACGTAGATCAGACCTCACTGCTCTGTATGGTGTGTGGCTTATGTGCGTCTAGTAGTCGGGTGGGTGTCACCCAGGTAAGCTTAGGGTGAGTGCGCTATAGGCGGGTAGGCAATCTCGGCCCGAATTCGGCCGAGAACCGGGTTCCTTTCGGCTTCTTCGGATCAATTCCAAGACGTCAAGATTCAAGACTTATTCCCATTCACATGCATGATTAGCGCCTTTTCACAGTTCACATATTGAAACGATTCCTTGGCGAATATGGCTGAGAACCCTTATCCCTACGATACAGCTCTTATCCGTGAAGAACTCAAGCACAGGCACAAGCGGCGCGTGATCCGGTCTTGCTTCCCCTGTCGACATCGGAAAGTGCGATGCGATGGCAATGTTCCCTGTGCTAGCTGTGTTGCTCGCAATCATCCTGATCTATGTCAGGTGCCGATGACTACCGCGGAGGAGCGGCGACATGAGCCTCAGCAGGTTACTGTGCCGTTGAGTCGGAATGTGTCGTATGTATTTCGTTCGTGGATTCCCAAAGCCGCATACTGATTATTGTACAGGGAAGCTTTGGTAGAAGAGCCTGTTACTTCTACACTCTCTCCAGATCCAGCGAGCATGATTTCCCGACTGGAGCGAATCGAAGCGCAGATCTCTTCTCTCAAGGCGGACCTCCGGGCGATGAGTGCTGATGCTTCTGCGTCACTTTCGAGCACCGCTACCAAAAACCGCTTAAGGCATCATGATACTCACCCCGGTCTGCACAGCAGGCTCCCTGGACGCCATGTCATTGAAGATGCGACCGGTGCCACGATCTTCTTGGGTAGTCAATCAGATACCCCGTTGACATTGGGCTGTCGAGAGGGGACGACATCGGGAGATACAATGCTCCATAATGCTTTGATGGACCAATTTGTGCCGCGCGCGTACCCATTTACCAGCCTGTGGGGGCCGGAGGCGTCAGTTAGGGAGGTCTGTGAGACATTGCCGGATGAGTCTGATATTATTCGGTAGGCTGACCTCAATCGCTTTCTCCATTCTGTTTTGGATCGGGAAATGAAGCGATGTGTATGCTGACCTTAGCAGATACTGGCAAGCCTACCAGTCAACGGCTTACCCATTTTACCCTGTGCTCGTCGACATCGACCAGCTCGGCGGGTCAATATTCGCGTTTCTGAACAAGCGCGCCTCTGCGCAGGAGGGTAGTGGGCAGATCATTGGGCCAGAACCGTCGTGGCTGGCTTTGTTGTTCGCTGTACTGGCGTGTGGTGTACAATTTACACATGACCCAGTTAAAGAGCGAGATTTGCGCTCCAAAGTCTTCAGTATGTATTTGTCCCCATGCCGCCAGTCAGCTGGACTAACTATGTAGTCTGCTCGTCCTTTCATTGTCTCCGCATGTCGAACTTCTTCAATCACACGGATATCGATCAGATCCAGGCTATGGCGCTGCTTGGACATTGCTTGCGAAACAACCTGGACACGAATAGTGCTTGGATTCTGATGGGTATTTCGTGCCACATTTTTCTAGGTTCAGGCTGACTCTTGTAGGGGCAACAATCAGACTCGCCCAGAGTATAGGCCTACACGAAACGTCTCCCTCATTGCCAGTTCCAGAACAACTCCAGCAGAGCCGGTTATGGTACGTTTCATGATCCAGATTTGAAATGAACGAAACAGTGACAACAAAGGTGGACACTCATATGGCAAGACACATTCCTCTCATTCACCTACGACCGCCCTCCAAGCTGCTTCACAACAAGCTGCCCAATTCCTTACAAGCCGACACCAGGTCTCTCATTCCAAGAATGCATCTTCAAAATCTGCCAGATTCTCCTAGAACACACACAGCTCAAAGCCACGTCAAACAGGACCAGAGACGATCCCAGTATCCCCGATTCCAAATCCCAACTCGAAGCCGTCTGGAGCACCGCAGCAAAATCCCTAACTAGCAAGGTCCATTGCACATCCCTGCAAGACCACCTCGAACGATTAGCGTTGGGGATCCATCTCAATTACGCGATCTGCCGCGTCAGCCAAGGATCCCTAGATTCACACACCACTGGCCGTCCATCAACCGTGGCTAAAGACTGCCGCCGTCGCGCTATCCAGGTCGTCGAATGTTTCCTCGAACTACATCGGTTCTCCGCCATTGTGTGTCGATCCTGGGCATTCGTGCATAATGCTGTTAGCTGTGCGATTACCCTTCATAAACTGGATCATATTCCAGTAGAAGGTACTGTAGACACGAAACCGTTAGCACGCCGGCTTATTGCAGTTCTAGAAACGGAGGCAAGGGAGTCAGAATGGTACGATGCAGATACGAATGTTCGGTATTTCGGGCCGTACTCCAGGGCAATTAAAGCATTGAAGGAGATCTATGGTGATTGCATAGATATAGAGGCAGATAGATCACCTGGTTAAGTAACGACATTCAATTGACAACTATCTCCATATCCATATCTATATAATATACAATACTGAGCTGAAATATCAGTTTGATAGTTCGATAACTCAAACCCTCTTCTTCGCCCTAACATACAAGTTCAACGGCCTCACAAGCTGAAATTCCGGATCATACTCCACACTCTCCATCCCCTCCCTGACAAACTCATACCTACTCACCAACTCCGCAAGAAGAATCTTCACCTCCAACAAAGCAAAATTAAACCCGATGCACCCTCTCGGCCCCGTCGCAAACGGCACATATGCGCACCGATGCAACTTTTTAGTCATCTCTTCATCGTCCCATCGATCCGGGTTAAACCTGAAGGGGTCATTCCATATCTTTGGATTCGTGTGGATTGCGTGGATGGCCGGGACAATTACACTGTTCTCAGGAAGCCGATAGCCGCCTGGGAGGACTGTGGTTGTTTTTGTGGTTCGGCCTGGTTGGAAGGAGGGGTTGTGGAGGCGTTGGGTCTCTTTTATGAAGTTGTTCAGGTAGGGGAGGGAGTGGGCGAGGTCGGGGGTCCAGGTTGTTTTGTTTGGATTGGAGCCGTTACGGCCCACGATTCCGTATTCGACGAGTTCGGCGTAGAGACGGTCTTGGGTTCCTTCGTATGCCACCAGGCAGTAGATTAGCCAGGAGAGGAGAGAAGATGTTGTTGTGAAGCCGGCGCCCGTGACGATTAGCATGTTGGCTAGGATCAGATCGTTGGGGAAATGCTCGCCCTTGTCGTCGACTGCATGTAGGAGGTAATCGACTACACAGGAAGCGGAAAGTGCAGCTTCGGCCATGGGGGCGTCTTTACTTGTTGATCGGGCGGCGACTTCGTCAACGGATTCCTGGAGCATGGTGTAGATTGTGTGTTGGACGTGGCGGAGACGCGCTGGGTCGCCGAAGGGGAGGTGGCGGTACCATTCGCCGCGCGCGGTGATTTTCTTGTTCAATGAAAGTAAAGTTGCGATATTCGTGACGACAGGGTGAAGATCTGAATCGATGGACTTGAAGTGTCCGAATTCCTTTCCTAGGGAGAACGATCCGATGGTTTCGCTGGCAAGTTTCACCATGTACTGGTATACATTCCAAGATTCGTCGCGGGAGTCTAGTTCATCGAAGATGGGAAGTGATTTCCGTACACAGTTCTGCATGAGACTCGTGTAGTGTCGAACAGCCTTGGGTCCCATAGCTGGTGGAAGATACTTATGCGCGAGGCGCCAGTTCTCTGTTTCGGTGTCGCCGATGAAGATTGCCGTGTTATCTTTTACACCCCAGAGGGGATGGTTCTCGTTGATTTTCTTGGTCATGTAGATAGACTCGGAGAAACAGGTTGCGGCGACTTGGGGGCTCTCTGTGAGGTATGTTGTCTTGCCCATGTTGGTTGTTTTGATTACAGGGCCGTATTTGCGGAAGAGACGGTAGTGATTGCCTAGGTGGTCGGGGAAGATCTCGTAGAAGCTGCCGACTAGAGGGAGGCCCGCGGGACCTTGAGGGGTTTGCACAGCATTGCCGTCAACTCGGAGGCCGATGGGGTTGGTTGCAGAGCTGTTTGCTGCGATGATGTCCTCGACAGACGAGAGGGTTTCAGATTGTGCATTGTGAAAGGAGATTCCTGGTGAGGTCAGTATGCTTGCTCTGTTGTAGTAGCAGGGATAAGTATGGCATAATATTCCCTTACCTAACGGCTGTGCAACATGAAAGGTGAGCCCTACAGCACGCTGTAGATCATCAAATTTCCAGCTAGACTGGACGTCGACTGCTTGTGCTGAGGACGGTTCGTCACCGACGAGGAAGAAGTGACACTGCATGGGAGGCTGCTGTATCGTAAAAAGTCTTTGTGCTATGAGCAGATACAGAAACAACACCATTCTGTCAACCGCGTTTTATATCTTTCGGTATGGCGACTGAAAGTTGCGTCCGAGCATGGGCCGGCTATCCATTCGGCGTCCCAAGAGACTCGTCTATACTTCGGGTTGGCCGAACCTCGTACGAAGTTCGGCCGAAATGATCCGCAGACAGTGGCGATCAGGGTATATCGGCAAGGGAAAAAGAGGGTAGCCACTGAAGACTGGGAAATAAATAAGCGCGAGGATAATGCCTTGTTGCATTCAGCGGATCATTGACAAGCAACCAATATGTCTTCATATACAATTGAGCAAGTCAAAGCGCACTGCAAGCCAGACGATGTCTGGATTATTCTCCATAACAAGGGTATGTAGCCCTTCCTTTCTGTTGCAACCATGTCTGACATAATGTAGTCTACGATGTGACCAAGTATCTTGAAGATCACCCTGGTGGCAGTGCAGTCCTCATTGAAGTTGCTGGTGCCGATGCCACTGAGGCCTTTGAGGAAATTGGACATTCCGACGAAGCTCGTGAACAGCTTGAGTCATTCTATATCGGTGACCTACCCAACGAGGAGCATGCCGACTCTGTTGAGGTTTACCGCCCTACCTTCGAACAAGTCTCCCAAGCCGCCGTCATCAACACCAAGAGAAGCTCAACATGGTCATCTCTTCTCCGCGCTGCAATCAAACTCGGCCTTGGTGGAATCGTCACAAAAGCAGCAGTAGGAGCCTACCGTCAAGGCTGGACTCCGTCTCAGCTACTACACGCTCTCCCATCTTTGCTACGCTCTCTCTCCCCGGCCAGTACCCAGAGCCAAAGCAGCTCCACTCCCTTCTGGTTCGGCGTCGGTATCGCCAGCATCACACAGTTCTCACTCACCCTCGGTCTGGGAGTCTATATCTCAACTAAGCTCGACGTCCAGCAAGAATTCACCCACTACACTCCCCACCGACCATCGTCGAAATCTCGTCTTCTACGCCTCCGACCAACTACCCTCCCACCCAAACCACCTACCCCAGTTCTCTCTCCCCGAGAATGGCGCCCCTTCACTTTAACAACGAAGACCTGCATCGCGCCAAATGTCTACCGACTTATTTTCGCCCTCCCAAACGCATCAGATATTCTCGGCCTCCCAACAGGCCAGCATGTCGCCCTCCGCGCAACCATGAACGGAGCAACAGTCCAACGCTCCTACACACCCATCTCAAATAACACAGACCTCGGCCGCATCGAATTCCTCATTAAATTCTACCCGAACGGCGCCCTCACACAGTACCTCGAAAAGATGCAAGTCGGCGAATCCATCGACATCCGCGGCCCCAAAGGCGCAATGAAATACTCCTCCTCCTACGCAAAAACCATCGGGATGATCGCCGGCGGAACAGGGATAACCCCTATGTACCAAGTCATCCGAGCAATTTGCGAAGATCCATCCGATACAACTAAGATTTCTCTCTTGTATGCGAACAACACAGAAGAGGACATCTTGCTCCGCGACGAACTTGAAACCTTTGCAAGCAAATTCTCGCAGAAGTTCCAGGTGCAGTATGTTCTTAGTCATCCTGATGAGAAGTGGAGGGGGTATAAGGGGTTCGTGAGCGGGGAGATGATTGAGAAGCATATTGGAGATGTGAGTAAGGATGGAAAGGTGTTGCTTTGTGGACCGCCGCCGATGGTGAATGCGATGAAGAAGACGTTGGGCGGGATGGGGTGGGAGATTCCGGGCGCTGTTGCGAAGAGTGCGGATCAGGTTTTTTGTTTTTAGATTGTGTATGTAGAGATAGAATGGATTTGTTTATAATTTTTAGTGTCTTTCTCTTTTCTTTTCATGATACTGTTCGGTAAAACTACACTGACGTGCAATAGCCTCGCCTCAAGGAATATCGCTCCAAAGCACTGTAGATACACCAAATCCTGTAAATTCAATATCACTATAGACTAACCCGAAACATGATGTAAGCCCCCAAAGCAGAGAAACCATGATCGATACAGCAAGGTCAGGAGAGAGCCGGCATGTCGATTGCCATTACCTACTCTAATCCTCAAGGGCGAGAACGCAGCATATTACTGCGATTACGGAACGTTCGGCAGGCCCACGGCGTTGGCACGAGCCTCGCACGAGATTCGGAGATGTCAAGGTCTTTGTGAGAAACGAGAGTCTGCAACAACGAGTGGAGGACCGCCGGCATTATGAGGCCTGCCAGGGTTCATCGGCAGGGTCAATGCGGACTGGCTCCGAACCGAGTCCGAAACCGATCCGTGAGATCTCCGAAGTATAACTTGACCATCCGGAGTCCGGCAGAGGCGGCACAGACGGAAGTGTTCATGACGTACGTTGATTAGATCTTCGTTTACGAATAAGGTAGCTAGAAATATATATATAAGGCCTAGCCAGCATAGCACAACGTATATGCCCATCTTGTTCTCCAGCACTTATAGTCATCTCTTCCCTTGGTCTATCTACTCATCATAGACGCATTATATACTCACATTTATCACAAGAAACATACCACCAATGACCCGCCCAATCGTCATCCTAGGCGCCGGCGTTCTAGGCCGCCGCATTGCCTCAGTCTTCATCGCAGGCGGATACACAGTCCACATCCGCGATCCCTCCCCTCAAGCCCTCAAAGACGCAGCAACCTTCATCGACGCTCACCACGGAGAGTTCACAGCAATCACACCTAAACATCCCGCTAGCGGTACCTACGCCACATTCACCGAGATCCCGCCCGCTGTCCAAAATGCCTGGCTCGTTATCGAAGCCGTCCCTGAGAAACTCGATCTCAAGATCTCGACTTTTGCCGAGGTGGATAAAAATGCACCGGCTGATTGTATTATTGCTAGTAACAGCAGTAGCTTCAAGTCGAGGCTTATGCTCGATGGCGTGAGAAAAGAAAGGAGAGAACGAGTAATGAATATGCATTTCACGATGCCTCCGGGGATTCACACGGTGGAGTTGATGACTTGTGGGGAGACGAAAACTGAACTATTTGGGGAGTTGAGTGAGGTGCTGAATAAGTGCGGGATGGTTCCAGTTACGGCGAGGAGGGAGTCAACTGGGTATGTCTTTTTCTCTTTTAGCCCTTTCTCCAGTTTCACTTATAGGTTAGAACAAGCCATGGCTAATATACTTCGACGGGTGAACAGCTTCATCTTCAACCGCCTCTGGGCCTCCATAAAACGTGAAATCCTCTTTATCCTCGCCGAAGACGTCAGCACCGCGGAAGAAATCGATCTCCTTTGGAAGAATATGTTCCAGCTACCACAGAGTCTTCCACCTTGTCAGCTGATGGATAAGATTGGACTGGATACAGTTGCCTTTATCGAGGATAATTATATCCAGGAGAGACGGCTTGATGGCGCTATGACTGTGGATTGGTTACGAGAAAACTACATCAAGGAGGGGAGGTTGGGGCTTAAGAGTGAGAAGGGGGATTGTATGGTCCGGCTGCAGCTGCAGTTCCGGATGGTGTGAGTGAGGTACAGCAGCAGCCGCTATATCTGTTGGATGTTGGACTGGGTTCGAATAACTCAGATATCAAGCAGATACCCACTGCTGGGCGGATTCTACGGTTTGATCCAGCTACAAAGATTGTTACGACGCTGGTTAGCGGGCAATCACTTCCAGATGGGATTGATATCTCTCGCTCCGCTGGCTGGATGTTTTGGACGAACATGGGCCGTGCAACATCGACGCATGATGGCTCTGTACACTCTGCGAAACTCGATGGTACGGGTATCCAGACTTTGCTTCCATCTGGGACAGTGCATACGCCCAAGCAGTTAGTCGTGGATGATGTATCTCACAAAATCTATTTCTGTGATCGGGAAGGGATGGGCGTGCATCGATGCAACTTCGATGGGTCTCAGCACGAAATCCTCATCAAGTCTGGGAATCTGGACTGCGCTGAACATCGGGCAGATATGACAAGATGGTGTGTCGGAATCACAATTGACACATCACACGGGTATGTGTACTGGACGCAGAAGGGACCCAGCAAGGCTGGTAAAGGCCGGATCTTCCGTGCTGGGCTTGAAATTCCTGCTGGGGAGACAGCTGAGAATCGAACTGATATCGAGTTACTCCTTGACGGACTGCCGGAACCGATTGACCTGGAGCTTGATGAGAAGTCACAGCAGCTTTATTGGACGGATCGGGGTGAGCATCCGACGGGATGTTCATTGAATAGTGTGAATTTAGGTGGCCCGGTGAAGTCGAAGGATCTTAAGAATCAGAAGGAGATATTGGCGCGTCATTTCAATGAACCGATTGGGTTGAAGCTTGGTGTTGGTGGGGAGGTTTATGTTGGGGATCTTGGGGGAGTGTGCATTGTGTGAAGGATGGGAAGAAGACGGTTTTACATCGGGATGATGGATGCTACACGGGGATTTCTCTCTAGTGCACTTTAGATCAATTAGATATATTGCGGTTTTTCCAAGATATCTGTGTACGACTGCTAACAGCTTTACAACACTCTCAAATCAGGAAATGCACTATCATGGCGCAAAGTAGGCATTAAAGTCTAAGGTAACCAAGACTTCCCCTTCCAAATCTCCTCTAAGAACTCCTGAGCCTGCGTAAACTTATAATCAGGCAGGAGCTTATTCCACTCATCGGAAACATCAAACACCCCAGCGGAGAATCCCAGTGAGAGCCCCTGAACCCCAACCCGGCTGAAAATCTCGACCTATTCCTTGCGGATAGAAGGACGATCCACCTCCGGCAACCAGCTCGTCTGCCACTCTCCGCTCTCAAAGTCCTCCGCCTTGACCTGGTCAATCGTGAACGGCATTCCCCCAAGAAACTTACCACCAAGCTCAATAAGCTCTCCAATGGACAATCTCGTGCTTCGGATTCCACTAGTGACTGGCCATTCGCCTTCATACTCGATTGCCTTTGCAACAACGGCAGCGAGATCTTGCGCTGCTGTTAGGGTTATAGGGGTGTCGTCGCGGCTCTCGACGAGGATTGCACGTTTAGTTTCAAAGTCGACAGGGTTTCGAGTTGATAGATGTGCTCGGAGGACTTGTAAGGGCGGGTGAAGTAGTTTGTGAACAGGCCGGGTTGGAAAAAGGTGTACTCGGGGACCTTCTTGTCCTTGTTCAGGTCCGCAAGGTACTGGCGGATATCGGCTGTGTAGGCGTACCACGGGAGGTGGTCGAAGCGGGAGCTGGATTTGTTTCTATCCACCACGGTCTGATCGCATCTGCAAATACCCTGATGAAGGACGCTGTCGTCCGGGATAAGTTGGCGGTAGAACGGGATGTCCTCTGTTTCGAGATGGAGGCCGCAGACTTGATGAATCACTTCCCATGTTTGGTGATCCGCGGTATATGCGACTATTCTGACACGCACAGGAATAAAGACTGGCAAGGGTTCGTGGCAATGATGGCGGCGGCATACACGAAAGACCTCCTAGGTCAGATTCCACCTAGAAAGGGTCGAGGATGCGACCAGGGTTGAGGAAGTTCTAGGTTCTAGCTAATCTTGCTTTCTACAACTCCGTTTGGCAAGAGCCCCTCTGATAGAAAGACAGTCAAAGAGGATGTCGGATCTGTCAAGGAGAAGACTGGGAAACGTACACAAAATGCTCGCCCGTAAGTATATAACATCATTGCCCTTCCAGCTCTTGCCTTCCGTGGTTATCTATCATAACTTCCTTGGGGGATACCGTTGACCAGTAAGTTAACCGAAACGCAGAGAATCAACGCCGTGAGATCTACAATTGGCTCGAATGTACATACCCTTCCCCGATTAACATTCGGAAAGATATCAGTGCCTAGCCACAAGCGCACAATGAGCTGTGCCGAGTTCCGCTCTCGATCTTGCCGACATGATTCAGCCGAAGACACCGTCATCGTCTCTGGTAGGTCGCCTTTTCTGGCCTTACTATTCAGTGCCAGAGTGCTAATATTCGTTAGGAAGGAGGTTCCGTTCCCATAGATGCGCGGGAAATCAATTGGTCTTCTCGATATCGTCCAAGACGGCCATAAAATCTAAGTGATGTGCAACAAACGCCAGCTGCAATCTGTCTCTTCTAAGGACTTCAAGAATATCTATGGTCTTCAGCGTCGCGGCGGCGCTTTCCGTATGTCTCATCTAGCTAGACGGTTTTGGAGTCATCTGCTAATGATGCCCAGCAGTGACTAGTGGACCGCACCGCACTAAACGGGGTGAGCTCACTACCAACATGTGTGAACTGTCTCAGCTGCTCGCGCTATGTCTGCATGATGTCCCCGCTATTTCCTCGTGAAATTCACCATCTCTTGACAGGGCTATGCGCGACTATCGGGCCAATGGCTAAAGGCGGAGACAGCTCGGTTGCAATGAGCGTAACCGGCTACCTACTTTCCTTCATCCTTAGTAACTACCGCAGTATAATATTGTATCTATTTATACCTATTGATATATGCCTTAGATTAGTAATAGAGTTTATTAATATCAAGTATAGATCTACTACAGAAGCGATATTGTAAAAGAGTGTTTTATACAGAGTATACAAACAAGTAAACAACAAAAAAAGAAAACAAAAACATACAACAGTAAGGGTTCGCTAGTGGTCACCCACCTAACTACTAACTTACCGGCGTGTGGCTTAAGTACGGCTGAGCGGACGGGAAGCCCTGTTCTCCACACCCTATGGTCGTATGTACCTGTTCTTCCGTTGAAGGAAATTATAGGTCTTATGCATTCCAATTAACGAAAAGGTCCAAGTGTGCTACAAAAACAGCGATCGAGTCGGTGCCATCATCTGCCTTGTTATCCCTGGCAAGCGAGACGAAAAGGCAGGAATTTATAAGCACACTGCACCCTTTTTGAGAAGAGTTAGATTGGGATATTCAGTGGATCATCACAGAAGAGAAAGCAGCCCCTGCATTTCAATGCTCCAATCAACCGGCGTGATATATGGCATGTTGAGGTTTTTGGCCCCCATATTATAAATCTCGAGATTATCAATCAGAGCAACAACTCCAGCTACATACAGAAGCCATTGGAAAGAGAAGTAGAGAGATGTTAAGCAGGTATCTGAGACCTAAAAATCTATATAAGAAGGCAAAGTATCACGCAGCTGAATTGTAGAATAACGACAGCTCTTCAAATACCTCTACTTGACAAACCATCATTCCAAACCAATCTAAACATGGACACTCCAATTCGTCGCGTCATTGCAAGCCACAATTCTCAAGGAAAGGGTCATTTTACCTCGGACGACATCCTTACACCTTATGATCCTAAAACCGCACCCGTCTTCTCTACACCAGGACCAGACTCTGGTTTTGGCGTCATCCAAATCCACCGATCGCGCGGTTTTCCAGTGGACAACCTGAAGGCGGTCACTGATCCGCATAAAACCCTCGTCCCGCTTGCCGACACCAAGGGACCTTCTTGTCGTATCCTCGACCTCCCGCCTGCCGACGCAGGATGGTTCCGCCGCACGCTGAGCTTGGATTACGCGGTGGTGTTGTCTGGCACCGTTGGATTCATCACTGATGGTGGTGAAGAGAAGATATTGAACCAGCACGATGTCATCGTTTGTCGGGGAGTGAACCATGAGTGGGTGAACCGGGGCAAGGATGTTGCTAGAGTCTTTGCGGTGGTTGTGCCTAGCAAGGAGATTGTGTTAGAGGATGGAACTAGACTAGAGAAGACTCCTGCTGGAGATATCTATGATCCTAAGGAAGAGGAGGATTGAACTACATGTTGCAGAACCTAATTGGTCTGCTTTAGATTTATATATGAGCATCTTATATATACACTTTTGTATAACGTATTTCCCTACCGAGCTGGCCACCCCCCGAGCACCCTAGAACACCATAGTAAATGCGATAAATTACAACATAGTATCACAACAACGGCAGGTTATAGGGACTTTACCTTAAAAACTAATGCTTTTCAGATGGTATTTAGTCTCTAACAGAAGTTTAAAGAATTTGTATAACTTAATAATTGAGATATTTATATTTCTGCCTCCAAGCAACGTAGTTTTCGATACCGTAACAATGTAGGTTTCAGATTTCGTCTAAAATTAATATATAGTGTTGAAAAGCCTTATCAACAGCTATCGGCAAATAACAAAACAAAACAAATAACGTGGATGTTGAGATATCAGTGTAGAAATACGTCAGTTCTCGGAAAGACGGAATGTTCCGAGCCTCGGAAAGGAAATCCCAGTTCCGACGGAATTAATTCCTAACTCCCCACGCCTTGTGCTTGACAAGTCTTTCCTTTCTCCACGATCTTTTTGACAGATATTCATTCTTCTGTTTGTCTATATTCCCTGCAGACGTTTCTCCCAGCCACACTTTAGCTGTTATATCTGGCTGTTCCATTGACTATCATTTGCCCCACTTCCCCGCGGCGCAGACATTTAATTAGACGTGCAGCATGGATCGCGACCAATTCCGTGATGCGGCTCACTCGGCCATTGATGACAGTAAGCGCTATATACAAGTAGTCGAATAGATATACATTCTGACCTACGCTTTTCCAGTCCTCAACTACTTCGACACTGTCCCCGAGCGAAGAGTTCTCCCGGCCGTCGACCCCGGATATCTTCGTCCTCTTATTCCCGAGAACCCTCCCGATGAGCCAGAGGACTGGGCCCAGATCCAGGAGGATGTCGACACAAAGATCAAGCCCGGCTTGACCCATTGGCAGTCTCCCAACTTCATGGCATACTACCCAGCCAGCGTCACATACCCCAGCATCCTGGGCGAGATGTATTCCGCTACCTTCACCGCACCAGCATTCAACTGGCTATGTTCTCCAGCATGCACAGAAATGGAAACCATCGTGATGGACTGGGTTGCAAAGGCCCTAGCATTGCCAGAATGCTTCCTGAGCACATCCGAGACGCACGGTGGTGGTGTAATCCAGAACAGTGCCAGTGATGCTATCGCCACGATTATCGTCGCTGCACGGGAGAGGCGTGTGCGAGAGGTATTGCTTGCAGAGGGTCTAAAAGAAGGTACGCCGGAGTATGAAGACCGGAAATTTGATGTCCAAGGCAAGTTAGTCGCTATTGCTAGTGATCAAACACACAGCAGCGGAGCTAAGGGAGCTTTGATCGCTGGTACTCGCTTCCGTAGCGTGACCGCGAGGCTAGAGGACAATATGGAGATGACTGGACCGCGTCTCCGGGAGGTCCTTGAGAAGTGTGATAAGGACGGACTTATCCCTTACCACCTCACGATGACGTTTGGTACTACCAACACCTGCAGTGTGGATCGCTTTGCGGAGATCAAGGCCGTACTTCAGGAGAAGCCTGAGTGGCAGCGCATCTGGGTGCATATCGATGCCGCTTATGCTGGCGCGTCGCTTGTTGCGGATGAGTGGCAGTATATTGCCAAGGACTTTGCAGAGGGTGTTGACAGTTTCAACATGAACATGCATAAGTGGCTGCTGGTCAACTTTGACGCTAGGTAAGTTTCAATGGGTTCGACAATAACACTTGACATGCACTCTGATTCTGACCATTACTAGTGTTCTCTACGTTCGGAATCGCTTGGATCTCACTAATGCTCTCGATATCACACCAACCTACCTGCGTAACCCATACTCCGACATGGGTACCGTTATTGATTACCGAAACTGGTCAATTTCCCTCGGTCGCAGATTCCGTGCATTGAAGATCTGGTTCGTCATGCGCAGCTACGGTCTCAACGGCATGAAAGCGCACATCCGCAAGACTATCGGGTTCGGTGACATCTTTGCCGATTTGGTGCGCAGTCGCTCTGATTTGTTTGAAATTGTGACAAAGCCCGGTTTTGCTTTGACTGTGTTCCGTCTTAGGAATCCTCGATCTTCATCCAACGGGGCCAATGGATCCTCTGACCGCGCTGTCAAGGATGAAGGGGCTGACGCCCTAACTAAGAAGGTGTATGAGTTGATCAACTCGCGGGGTGAGATCTTCATCACATCTACTGTCATCGATGGCGTTTATGTGATCCGAGTCGTGAGTGCTAATCCTCTGGCCGAGGAGAAGAACGTCCGCAATGCCTTTGATATTGTGCTTCGCACCACGGAAGAGGTGCTGCAGCAAAAGTGAATGAACTCTTGCAAGACCTTATAGTGCTTGTGTATATACACGATCTGTAGATGCTGCCACTTGAGGGACGAGACATCTCAACACATAGATCCAGAGGGATTGCACAATGTCATAAATAGAACATTGAACATACTCTACTCTATACCATCTGATTATCTCCCTCCCCCACACTATATGCCACCGCGTGGGGAACCCCAAATATCCCACTCGCTCGCAGTAACTCCGAAGCCGAATCCCCCACGCGGGGTTGCCCCAACACTCTCAGTTGAAGACAGACACACTATCATGACATGATCTCACGTATATCGATTGAAAATGTCTACACAAAAGCCTTTGTATGTATAACTTTTGCTGTCAAGTACAACAAAGCTAACAATCGCAGATACGTCCTCGTCACTGGCGCAACAGGATTCATCGGTGCCCATGTCGTCGATAACCTCTTGGCTCGTGGATTCTCAGTCCGAGGATCAACAAGGTCCAAGGTGAAGGGGGATCAAATGAAGGCAGCGCGTCCTCAGTATGCCTCCAAGCTCGATTTCGTTGTGGTGGAAGACTTTACCAAGATCGGAGTATTCGATTCTGTGATGGACGGCATCGACGCAGTCATCCATATAGCAAGCGTATGCCACTTATTATCATTTCTTTCGGTACATAATAGACCAAACACAAGACAAGCTAATCCATATCCCAGCCATTCTTCTACGACACCGCCAACAATGAACAAGAACTCGTCCTGCCGGCAATCAACGGAGTAAAATCCATCCTCTCCGCCTCAGCCAAACAAGGGACTCAAATCAAGCGCGTTGTCATAACATCTTCCTTCGCCGCCGTAGTCGACGTGAACACCACCCCACCAAAGGGCTTCACCTATACAGCCGCACAATGGAACCCACTCACATACGAGACAACAATCGACCCCAAATCCGACGCCGTAGTCGCATATCGCGGCTCAAAGAAATTCGCCGAACTAGCAGCGTGGGAATTCGTCAAGGATCAAAAGACAGCCTTCGACCTGGTGACTCTGTGCCCACCAATGGTCTTTGGCCCTGTGGTCCATCCCGTGCCTACCGTGGAGCAACTGAACGAGTCGAACGCTGTCCTTTGGAGTGTGGCCGCCGGCGCGGATCCACTACCTGGTGCGCGGGTCCCTGCTTGGATTGATGCGCGTGACCTTGCAGAGGCGCATGTTCAGGCGTTACTTATCCCAGAGGCCGGTGGGAAGAGGTTCATTCCTGCTTCATTAGAGCCTTTCTCTTATGAGCTTGCTGCGGATATTATTCGTGGGGAGTTTGATTGGGGTAAGGAGACTGTTACCTCGAATTATAAGATGGATGAGAAGCCGACTGTTTCGTATGGGGTTGACGGAGAGACTGTGGCTCGAGAATTGGGGGTTAAATACCGGCCTTTCAAGGAGACTGTGGTTGATTTTGTGGGACAGATTAAGACTCTGGTTTAGATGGTCATTTACCTACAATGCGAATACATTCATGGATATCCTGATCGAACTTCGCTGCATGCTCCGTACTCGTATTAGTTCCGATATCCTTCGCTGAATAATCGGCTTTGCAGCCGTCGGTCTTTCGGAAATCTAAGCCGAAGCCACCCGGATCAAACTATTGGAGGCGTTGAGGCGCATATCGGGAAGTGGATAACCTGTGAAACTTATGTTTGACGTATTCAAGCATCTGCGTTCTCTGGGTTCACAGCGTCATTTAGTGTTGAACATGATTTCAAATCGCAACTACTATACTGCCAAGCCCTGAAACAGGATCCACGCGCGAAGAATTTTCCCTCGATGTACACCGTATGACCGCATGAGTCGAAAGTGAAGCGATGTCACCTTGTCCGCAGTCTTCATTTCGGGGACGGATGAATGTGGTCTACGCCCGAAGAATCCCTCCCTGCTATACAAGCCACAGCTGACCGGGAGAAGATTCGGCAATGAAACGACAATCGTCTCTAGTGGATCCTGTCTGCGCAAGCTCAGTCGAAGAAGTCATCGCCGGATCGCATGGATACCGGCCCTGACGAAGTGTCGATCCGGATTTGCCGAGCTCATTCTCAAGCAGATTTCTCCTTTTCCAAGATCTCGATGCCAAATTCGTCGTGTAGAGTGGGGGAAGAGAAGTTTGTGGATCCGCGCCATTCGTCTGTTCCTGAATAATCCTCTTTTAGTCTAATCCGCGGCGGTATTTCCGAGTTATCCTGTTATATAGCACGCTGCACGTCGCTGCAGGGGCCTGGACCTGGAATATGTGCAATAGCCGACCTTCAAGATGTTGAAATCCTCTCTTTTGCTGTTGGCTTCCTTTGGCGTTGGCCGTGCTCAATCGGCCACCCTTGAAGAGCTTTACCTTGATAATGCGCCCTCTTCTCCGCGCCCCTATGTCATTCCGCATTACGCCAACTCTCATGCCGTTACCGTTGGGGATCAGCTGTACCGGTTCACAGTGACTGGCCCATCTTCTAATAATGCCTTCACTTTGATGAGCACCAATGCGCCCTCCAGCAATGCGTTGGGTGTATTACCGCATATTCACCAGAAGCATTACGAGAACTTCTTCAACTTCAAGGGTCGTTTCCAGCTTTGGGCCCAGAAGGATTCGAATGAGCAACAGGCGCGTTTGCTCACTCAGGGCGATTACGGATCCGTTCCGAGGAATACCACTCACACTTTCCAGCTCTTGGATCCCGACAGCGAGATGGTCGGCGTTATTGTTCCTGGTGGCTTTGAGTAAGAATCAATATCTGTTAAGCCCCGTTCTAGATGTACTAACCTGTATTAGGGACCTCTTTTATGCCCTCGGAACAAACTACACCTCGGGCACCGACACGCCCTATGTTCCTGCTCATTCCAACAGCTCTTCCTCGCCTGACTCCAGCGTCATTTCTTCTTTGCAGAAGTACGATGTGTACGCCAAGCTCGGCTTTGAGCCGCGTCGCGATCTTGTGAACGGCACTGCTCCCATTGACAACTCCGAGTGGCACACCGGCGAAAATCCTCTCGGCAGCCCGGCTCAGCCTTATTTCATTGCTAATGGGTACGGCCCCAAGTACCTGAACTCCAAGTTCGGATACCAAGTCATCCAGCCTCTCGTCACTCCCACTCAGGCTCAGGATACCAACTACACTCTGTCGACCATCTCGCTCAGCCGCCAGACCAAGGACAACGCCCCAACTTACACCTTGCCTGGTGCTACTGCCTTCGAGGTCCTCGAAGGTGTGCTCATGATCAAGATCGGCGATTACCCAGTGGCTACCTTGTCCATGGGTGACGTTGCCTTCATTCCCGTTGGTGTCTCGTTTACCTACTACTCCCAAGTGGCATTTACCAAGGTGCTGCACGTCAGCAGCGGCAGCAACGGCGTTGATTCGCAGCTGATCAAGAGTGGAAAGAGCTGGAACTATCCTACTTTCCCTAAGTACTGATGCTAAGTACTGATGTATAAACATCAATATAGACATACATTGAAGGTCGGGTCTCAGAACCCTCGATTCATGCTTATTTTAGACTTTTGGTAGAACTCGCCGAGATCGGCACCCAGTCAGCGTAAAGAATTCCCTTCGGATCGATGCAGTTCTATGCAATGCAATGTGCCATCACAGTCACATTGCGAACGCGATCGAATTGACTTTCGAACTATTCCCGACCGCCAGTCGGCTAACATCCCCACCGAGTCTACTAGTAAATCGCTAGTATACCGAGCCTGCCCCTCAGCAACATCGATCATCACCACCGACAATAAGCAATAACCACCCAACATGTCCTTACAAGCCCCCTAGTCTTAGAGCTCGCCACGGTCGATGACATCCCAGCCATAACAGAACTCTGGTTCACAGTCTTCAACGACCCAGGCATGAGACACTTAATGCCAGACACGCCAGGCGTGCGCCAATGGATGACAGAAGCCAACCTCAACGACATGCAGCAAAAGCCCTACCAAAAGTACATCAAAATAGTCGACCCGACCACAAAGGATGCAACAGGCCAGCCCCGACTAGCAGCCTACGCCAAATGGGATCTCTCCATGCCCGACCAGCGCGGCCCTCGCTTCCCCCCTTGGCATGCCGACCAGCCGAGTCAGGATTGCAATGCGTTCTTTGGGAAGCTGGAGGATGATCGTAAGCGTGTGATGGGTGATCGGAAACATTACTGTATGACGCCCCGTGCCGCCTTGTTGGATCATGGATCCCACCTACAAGCCAATCACCCTGTTGTATAATGTATATTGTTTAGATGTTGACTGACAACCGTTCAGATCTTGATATGCTCGGTACACACCCCGACTACCGTGGTCGCGGAGCTGGCTCTGCGCTTGTGCAGTGGGGATGCGATATTGCCGATCGCGAGGGTGATGGTGCTTATGTTGATGCTAGTAAGGCTGGTGCGCCACTGTATGAGAGGCATGGGTTTGTCGATCTCAGTGACCCCGCAACACCGGGTGATACGGCTTCTATGGGACGACTTTAAATGGGTTTGGGTTGAATATGTACGTATGTATGGGGATTGGAATAGTGAAGAGGGGCACCAGATAGACAAGAATTAAAGTCGCCCTTACAGATCGTCCGAAAATATACTACTGTTCGTCGATCTTTTTCAGGAATGCCTGCAGTCAATGCGACACTTCTGCTTCACACGGCTTCTGGAGCTAAGTTTGTTTTGCGCGATTTATATCCAATTATAGATTTCCGGTCAACGCGCTCCAACTTCAATTGAGAGGGATATTTACCCCTCAGCTCCTTGATAGAGTGTTAGAATCTCCTGATCACATTCATATCACATTAAAAATAGCCATTTTGCCGACAGTTTAGTACTGCCAAGGCAATTTTGATCAATCGGAGGCTAAATCCTTTTCCACAAGCGTTTCCGCCTTTCCCAGCAATGAGCGACCGCAACACATGAGCCCTTGACCATGCGGGATGAATGCAGGATAAGACCGCCACTGTCTAATTTTAACAAACTCCCCTCCATACCCCGGACACTCGACATCTTGGCTACCAGACCGGGCAAATCAGCGGCCCCCGGGGTTGAATCTAGAAATAGTAAGAGATGTGCATTGCAGGGATAGCCTGCAGAAGTTCCTGGGCTTTGGGCCGCGCATGAATCCCTGTCGCATTTTCAGGTCCGAGTCAAGTTGCAAGCTGTCCGTTGTACAGACGCGATGTGTGGGGGATAAATGAACCCGATCAATATGAGACAGCAGTTGATGTTTCAAGGATCGCACAAAAGAGTCGATCCCCCTGGATCCAATCCCTACATTACATCACATTGTGAGAGACGCCAAGTCCAGACTATCCTTGACCTGAGTGGAGAAGACGTCCAGATGCTCCTATTACCAAGCACCTTGGGCTCGACCGCCTCATCTTCTAATCCGATCCTTGTTTACAGGTAATCACACTAGATGCCAAGCCCCAAATCCACATCCCTTGATGGTTTCGACTTCGGGAGTTTCTCCGAGTCAAAACCGAGCCAAGACGTGCAGCGTCACCAAAAACCATCGCTTATGTCTTGCCAATATCTACCTAATTGTCAAACAGCGCAACGATAGTCGGGCATTGGCTATGAGCTCTTTGTCAAAGCATCCCGGCGGACCAATAACCCTTGCTGCTTTTCATTTCGGCCGTGAGCTAACGGTCTTCCGGAGGGAAACATGCATAACGCCCCACTGCGCTCTCTCCTTGGCTCTCGGTGGAAAACATGACGATCAACCCCAAGTACTCTACTAGTACTGCGCCGGTGATTCGATCTTGTTACGCTGCTTGGCCTAGGCCGCCATGCTGAAATAATCTCTCGCCTGGTTGGAGAATGGCCAGCCCGTGCTACCCTATGTGGTGCCTGGATTATACATCATGCTGCTTCCAATAGAGCTTCCCATTGGCTCACTGCAGGATGCCCTCGGCAGATGTTTTTCATTGCTCTGGAGGCCGCATGCATATAAATTGTGCTTTGTGTCTCCGTTCCATGTTCCGCGTTTAGTTCTTCGGCAGGTCAATTAAAGCTGAGCTTCCCAGTTGTATTCCGGACAGTAATCTTTCTACCTTTCTGTCGTGATGCATGCGCTCGCCCTTTTCACGGGCCTGGTTGGTATTACCAATGCCGCTTGTCCTTATATGACAGGCGATGTCGCCGGCAGTCCTCACAGCATCGAACGTCGCAATGATGGGGATGCTGCCGCCACTGAAGAATTCCTCTCCCAATTCTACCTGGATGACCAGGATACCTACCTGACCTCTGACGTTGGTGGTCCCATTGAAGACCAGAACAGTCTCAAGGCAGGCGAACGTGGTCCGACTCTACTCGAGGATTTCATCTTCCGCCAGAAGATCCAGCGATTTGACCATGAGCGAGTACGTTCCCATAAATACCGACGTTTAAATAGGAATCATAGGCTCATACAATTTCCTCTAGGTACCTGAACGTGCGGTTCACGCTCGAGGCGCCGGAGCCCATGGCACATTCACATCCTACGGAGACTGGTCCAACCTAACAGCGGCCTCCTTCCTCTCCGCCAAGGGCAAGCAAACCCCGATGTTCACGCGTTTTTCCACTGTTGCTGGAAGCCGCGGAAGTGCCGATACGGCACGAGATGTACACGGTTTTGCAACCCGATTCTATACAGATGAAGGAAACTTCGGTTCGTATCGATTATTGATACACATATCTTAGGACGCAACTAACTTGAAACAAGACATTGTTGGAAACAACATCCCCGTTTTCTTCATCCAGGATGCCATCCTCTTCCCAGATCTGATCCACGCTGTCAAGCCCCGCGGCGACAATGAGATCCCTCAGGCGGCCACTGCGCATGACTCCGCTTGGGATTTCTTCAGTCAGCAGCCTAGTACGCTGCACACGCTCCTCTGGGCAATGGCTGGTCACGGTATTCCTCGGTCATTCCGTCATGTCGATGGCTTTGGTGTGCACACCTTCCGTATGGTTACCGACAAGGGTGCATCCAAGCTTGTTAAGTTCCATTGGAAGGGTTTGCAGGGTAAGGCCAGCTTTGTTTGGGAAGAGGCACAGCAGGCTGCTGGTAAGAATGCGGACTTTATGCGTCAGGATCTGTTTGAGGCTATTGAGGCCGGTCGATTCCCCGAATGGGAGGTAAGTCATCATTCAGCCTATAAGATGATCCATACAGCTAATTCTTGCTAGCTCGGTGTTCAAATCATGGACGAAGAGGACCAGCTTCGTTTCGGATTCGACCTTTTGGATCCTACCAAGATCGTCCCAGAGGAACTCGTGCCCGTCACAAAGCTGGGCAAGATGCAACTGAACCGCAACCCAATGAACTATTTCGCAGAGACCGAGCAAGCAATGGTATGTCCACCCTCCTCCACCAAACCACCCCATACTAACAAACACCACAGTTCCAACCAGGCCACATCGTCCGCGGCATCGACTTCACAGAAGATCCCCTCCTCCAAGGCCGAATCTTCTCCTACCTGGACACCCAACTAAACCGCCACGGCGGCCCCAACTTCGAACAACTCCCAATCAACCGTCCCAGAGTCCCAATCCACAACAACAACCGCGACGGCGCCGGCCAGATGTTCATCCCCCTAAACAAAGACGCCTACACCCCAAACACCCAGAACGCCGGCTCCCCAAAGCAAGCCAACCAAACCGTCGGAAACGGCTTCTTCACTGCGCCCGACCGCACAACAACCGGCCACCTCACGCGCTCCAAGAGCTCAACCTTCGAAGACGTCTGGTCGCAGCCCCGTCTCTTCTGGAACTCACTCGTACCAGCCGAGAAGCAATTCGTCGTTGACGCCATGCGCTTCGAGAACTCAAACGTGAAGAGCTCAGTCGTGCGTAATAACGTTATCATCCAGTTAAACCGGATTAGCAATGATCTCGCGAGGCGAGTAGCCAGCGCAATTGGCGTCGATGCCCCGGAACCAGATTCATCTTACTACCACGATAACACGACCGCACACATCGGAGCCTTCGGCGAGAAATTGTCCAAGCTGGATGGTCTGAAGGTTGGACTGCTTGCCTCTGTCGCCAATGCGTCGTCGATAAGCCAAGGCGCGAAGTTACAATCTGCGCTTAAATCCGCTGGAGTTGATGTTGTCGTTGTCGCGGAGAGAATGGCGGATAATGTTAACCAGACGTATTCCGCTTCTGATGCTGTGCAGTTTGATGCTGTTGTTATTGCCGATGGGGCGGAGGGTTTGTTCTCTTCGGGCTCTTTTACTGGTTCGCCTAAGAGTAAGGGTTCTGGGGCTACTTCCTTGTATCCTGCTGGTCGGCCTTTGGATATTCTCCTTGATGCTTTCCGCTTTGGAAAGCCTGTTGGGGCTGTTGGGAAGGCTTCTGCTGCGCTGCGTGCTGGGCAGATTTCGGCGGATCGCGAGGGTGTTTATGTTGGTAGTCAGGTTGGGGAGGACTTTGCTAAGGATGTTAAGGAGGGATTGCGGACTTTCAAGTTCTTGGATCGGTTTGCTTTGGATGAATAAAGGTTGTTAGTAGTCCCGAGGGCACAATGTGAATATATAGTCTTTTTTACATGAAATTATCTTCTTCTTTAACCTAGCCACCTACTGCCATATTCAAAAACAGATTCTCCCTCGATGTACTTCGATGAGTCATCATAAATTACGGTAATGATAATTCTTAAGAACTTAAGATATTGTATATCTAGTGAGAAAGGAGATCCGCCACCACGTTTTCTCAGGGTATTTCAAAATAAACCATTCACAAGTCCATTATGACCATCCACCACTGCCGGTTCCTCCACTAGGATTGGAGCAATCGTTAAGGATGTCAATCAAAAGCTAAACCCCAGTTAGCTTCACTTCACCAACGCAATGTTCGTGACTCACATTCTCGGTATCGCAGCATAGGGTTGAATTTGGACATGCTACCCATTATAGCGCAGTCAGCACCGCCAAAACCAGAGTTTGATGCAGGAACTTGACAACCCCGGGTACAACTAACACATACAACTCTAATATCAGCGGTCTTACCTAGTATTTCAACCTGAACTAGGAGCTGGCAGCACGGCCTATGCCCACTTTCCAAGCAACGCCATGAGCGCCGCACCGCTGGCAAGCAAAAGAAGTGCTGCCAGAACCGTTTGAATAGGAGCTCTCCGCATAGAAGAGGTGAACATGAACTCGTGCGCGATAAGCTCGACAAGACTGACGTAGATAAGGATTCCTCCAGATATCGAGTCGAAAACACCATTGACGATCAGCGTTGTTCGACCTTCTGGTGGATAAGTTTTACGCACACCTAAGCCAATGGCAATAGCAATAGGAGTGGAAACCCCATAAATGACCCCCAGAATATACGGTGTCAGGTGTTTTGACTGCGGCCAAGGAAGGGTAGCAAGGCGGGAACCCAAACCCAGTCCTTCAAAAGTCTGGTGGAAGACGATGACGATGTAGAGGACCGTGAACTCCTCTCCAGATACGGCGAGAGTCAAACCGATAAACACAGAGTGAAAGACGATACCGAATTCCAAGACGAAGATAGAAGTCAGCTGAGCCATGTACACATCCATTTTTTCGGACATTTCAGTATCATAGTTCGGCACCACTCGATTCCTGTCATCAGTAGCGGCATCCTCATCGTCAACAAAGTGTGAATGCCTGTGATTCTCAACGTCGAGCTGATCGTCTTGGCCAAACCGTACGTATCGCATGACCATCAGCTCCACAAAGAACATGACGATAATAGTCATAAGAATTATGCCTTCAACCCAGCCATATTCTGTGATCGGACCAGTCAAGCAGGGGTTTCTTAAAGCCTCCTCAGCTGGACCAAGGAGGTGAATAAAGGCGGTAGCAATAATAACACCAGATCCGAAGTATTTAGCGATAAAAAAAACCCAGGATGGTATTCTTGAACCTCCAAATTGTGCTGCAACAACGGGGAAGACCGCACCGAATATCGAACCAACCAATATCACAAATATAGACGAAATACGCAGCCCCATCCGGCCATCATATTCATTTCCTGTGGTACAGGGCGGAGCAGGTTCGGCTTCGTCTCGCGCAAGAAAATTATGGACTAATTCTGTATCCATCTCCGGAATAATGGTAGAGCGATATAGCGCTCGACCCCGGTTCCAGAGACCACTAAGAACGAAGGAGCTGAAGGAGCAGCCGAAACCAAGTATTAAGGTATAACAAGCCGACAAACTGACAATAGGATATGTATGAGACAGGAACAAATGTGGAGTGGGCTTCTCCGTATTATAAACTGTGTCTATGCCTTAGAAGATCCCCCTCCCTTTCATTCAAGAAATGGCGGGAAGGCAAATGGTTGGCGAATCTTGCGGAACATACATTCGCTTGGTCTTAAACCCAAACCATAATCAGTACGTACCATCCACTAGCAACCTTAATATTCCACCGATAGCTAATCCACCGATATAGCTGATTGACTCGACTTACGTTAAATTGGGTCAATCCCGTGGGTCTTGGGGATTGCCCCATTGGACATACTCTCATAACCTATTGCTTCGACCATAGGATAGGCACTCAGTCATATGGTGCTATCATTGTCTAGATGAGCCTACTAGTGTCTGAACATTTCTTAGTTCACAAGAAAGGAACGTACACGGTACGATTTCGCCTATGCCCCCGCAATTCTACGGAATAACCTGTGGCGTCATCACTTTCCGTGCGATAACGGTTTTCCTGCGACATGCAACATTTCTGGTCGACTTCAACATACAGTGCATCTTTCTAGATCATGTTTCACAGCTAGTAACCCCTTTCTCTGGTCATCTACAGGGATTCTCCAGTCTTCCTAGACTCTTTGTCCACAGACATGCGTCTTTACTGATGTTCTTCTCCACAGTCGAACCACGCTTCAGTACGAGGCGCCCCACTTCTTTGGGTGCCAGAAGCGTTGATTTTCGTCGCTGCACCTCTTAAAACCCTCACAGCCTGGAAAAGGTTCTACCACATACTGTCTGCGTGTCTAGACGCCCAGAGTCTATTCAAAATGTGGTCCGATTACGAGCGACCACTTGGGGCTATCAAGTCTTACCGTAATTTGAAGGCGTATCTTCAAAGCAGAGAAATCCCAGTTAACGCAGATGAAGCTAGCTTTGAGAGACCAGGTTTCAGAACAGGGGCGATACACAAGTATATCTATACTGACTTCTTTTTTATCGATCAGCTTATTTCCCCCAAATTTCTGTCGGCTGCTATACTTGATAACATCAACGGACAGTATACAGGTTGTCAGGAAAAAGATGCTCAAATTCATTGTTGAAGATGAAGTGATCGACATAGAGATCGAGGAGTTAGTTTTGGAGGTCTAAACCGAGCAGGACCGTGCCAATATAATGGCTGCGTCTCGTTAAAGATGTGCCGACGCTGAGGGAAAGACATAGGAGATTTTGTGGTTTGTATCTTGATGCATGTTTGATGCTTTTGACGTGGTACAATCAATGTACCCTGTCTATTATTCAAAGTTGAGTCTCAACCATCACATACAAAGCCTGCCTAGGAAGATCAAGGAACAATCGAAACGCTTCTCACTTTAGCTAAGCGCACCATGTAATTATTGCTCGCGCTGGCCTTAGCATGGAGGGCCAGTAATTAGTCTCTCAATATACCTGCACATACGTTACCGATAGACTCTACCCCCCGGATCTCACCCTGCTACCTAGGACCTCGCAGGGTCCTAACACATAGTAAGGGGAGGGGCTAGTTATAGGTATATTCTAGGTCGTAGGGGCTGCTAAAGCATCCGGGAGTTAGGGCATACTACGAGCTCTTCGGGCTAAGAGATGTAATCTATATAATACGGGCTTTAAATCATCTCTAATTCTAGTCTTGGCGCTTAAGAAGCTTATATCGGCTTATAAAGGACGCTAGCTTTCGACAGATACTAAGAATAAATGAAACTCTCAAACGGAAAGATAGTCTATAGGAGTAAAGAAGCACAATCTCTTACTAGTGTTAGTACCGTGTTCTAGTAACCAACACGGCCTTCAGAGTGTACATAAAATGAGCGTAGTGCGTATAAAACGAGTATGGACGAAGGCTGAGTACGTGGTAGAGGAGGATAGGTGGCAGCGATCTTGCTACATCGCTATACCTTTTTTATTTGGTCTGTTTGCAGAGAACACCCTATAGCACTCTATAAAGTCTTACTGTATTATATCAATGAGTTTTATTACTGCTCAAGTGGGACGATACAGCTTCACAGGGGTTTTAGGAAAAGTAACTGCTTCAGAACAGGGTTCGGGCAACGATCTGCGAGTGTATGTGGGGAATCTGTTTTCCAATATGGCAGAACACAATGTCTCAATGGTGTCATCATCTTTTGTACAGAGTTTAAAAAGGAAACCCCCAATCGGGCTCTTCACGACTCTCGCATAATTACAAAAAATCTCAATCAACCTCTAATTCAAAGAAAGAAGCTGCCGTCTCCGACGGATAAACGACTCAGCATCCGAGAGAGCAGATGCATCACGTAGATCCATCTTTCTCTTGGCAGGTTGAGGGCTCGAGGACGAGGTGTTGCTTTGCTTGTCCTGCCCAATAATCGCCCACTCAGCAACAGTTGCGCCGGTTCCATTCTTGGCTTCCACATCAGCGGGACCAAGGGCCTGGTTGCCCACGATGAGTAGAGATGCGTATCGTGCCGCAGGAACAGGGGATGATAGTGTTACATTTGTTGAGTTGCCAGTAGGAATGGCAATCGTGTCAAGGTCAGTGGTCGCTGCATCGTAAGGACCGGATTGGACGATGTTGGTCAAGGCGTGGACGATTGTGTAGTCTGAGCTATTGACTGAAGAAAGGGCCACTGTGGGATCTTGAAGGGTTTTGTTATGGAAGATGACTGTGGCGTTGACAGGGGGTGCTTTAGCCCAGTCAAAGTAGAAGCCTGAGACTGGAGTTCCGACTTCCGATTCGGGGAAGGAGATAGTCACGGCGCTCACATTATCTGCAAGGGAAGGCTGCCATTTTGTGGAGGCAGCGCCATCCGCTACAGAAATGGGGAACTGGCCGGGCTCGAATGCGGTCGTAGAAATGATGGGCTGGCATTGGACGAGGTTGCCGGCCACCGTGTTTTTAGAGCCAACTTGTCGGTTCGGGATGACAACTGAGCCCTTGATTGGGAGTTGATACACAGTGATATCCAAGTCTGGACCAGAATGGATGGTAATGGTCTTATTGGCGAATTTGTTATCCGCAGTGTCAAGGGCCGGGGTGTCAATGGCACGGCGGATGGTAGTGTGAGTATAGTTTGACCACGCGGAGATGGGCCATCCATGCCAATAGAAGTCGCGATACCTCAGGTAGGGAATCTGGGGTGGCAAGTTGGGGTCGACATGGAGGATGTCATCTGGCAGCTGTCGCAATCCAAGATAGCCAAAGAGGGAAACCTGATTGGCACCACCGTGTCCAGTCAAGAAGGGATACGCTGGGTGCGTACCGCCGTTGATGGTAGCATTGTCCACCATTTGTTCCGACAATTGGAAGAATGGTGCGCGTGTATAAGGCTTGTATGAGTACTGGGCATATGTATACGCCGAACAACCAAACTGAGACATCTTATTTGCGACAATTGAGAAGATAGCCCAGGTCATAGCGGGGCCATCGGGTGACTGTTTGGCGGCATACTAGATTTATCACGTTAATTTCGTCCTCTCACTCGGTGGAGGTTGATAGGTTAATACTCACGTAGTCCAGATCATCTAGTGCATCCTGGGAGGTATAGTTGGCAGTATAGTCCAGCGGATAGGTGACCATGACCACATCAGCTTGCTTAACAACGGCACTTCCATTCATGGTGGTGAATTCGAGAGTCACGTCATTATCGGTAAGGACCAAAACACTATCGGCCATTTCATCCCAGGTTGAATTCTCCTCGAGACCAAACTGTTGGCGGAATGCATTCGAGTACCGAAGTGTCTCAGCAATGAGCGGCATTGTGAAGCCACCCGCATCAATGTGGTTGGCGTACTCGTCCTAGATCTTGTAAGTTAATTGGATCACACTTGTGGGTAGATATTTACTCACAGGGTCAGTCATGTTTGTCAATGTCCAGTAAGAGCCATTCCGAACCAGTAAATCGGCATAGAGAGTGGCTACAGAGTCATATATCGGGAAATGCTCCTCTTTGAACAGCTGCGTGTTACCACTGGCAACCCACTGGTTAATCAAAGAAAGCCCAATATCTCCGTTTAGATGATACTGGTAGTCCCAGCAAGCGCCAGTAGCTGTACAGTTTCCAAAACGGCCACTGGTCCAAGGATATATAGCAGCCGAGGGGGAGAAAACTGTCTGGTTCTTTGATCCTGAGAACTTTGTTTGAATGTTCGCCTGTGCCTGCTCATACTTGGCTACACGGAAGTTTGTGAACCGCTGGGCGGCCTCTGGATGGGAGGCAACAAGGCCAGGTTGCATCCATACATCGGCATCCCAGAAGACTTGGCCAGCGTAAGACTCCGAGGTCAAGCCACCAACGGAAATGCTGTCCACATTCACTGGGGCTCCCGAGACTTTCTTGATCGCATTTTTACCAACAGTGTTTTGTAGTAAGTAGTAGGTGTTGGCCACAGCAATAACTGCATCATCAATGATGTTGGGGTCTGCAGGAAGTGTTCCGTTCGGCAATGCGTAGTGATCAACAGAATGCTCAGGCATGACACTAGCCCATTCCATAATATGCGAACGAACGGACTTGGCGTATCCGTTCTTCATTGCGGTAGAAGCGGCCTCCTTGGCTGTTTTCTTCGGATTACTAAAAGCATCGGTCGAAGCACCTCCAACAAACTTGGTGATACGAACAGCGTCACCAGGCTGGAACTTCACGTTCACACCTTGCGCAATAGAAGATTCGTTGGCGTGAATGTATGGCTTGTTAGAGACGACCTTGCGCGAAGACAAGTCCACATTCGGCGATCCAGTGATGTTGGTGTAGATATAGGCTGTGACATTGGCAATTCCGTTCGGTCTGACAGCCGAGAAAATAGCACCGTTGTCTTCTCCAGTTTCGACAAAGTCGGTACGCACAGCAGAAGCCCCGTCTATGACATTAACAATGGTGGCGTCCGATTCCGTAGATGGAATGATCTCCATATCCACCACGGCCTGGTTGACGTACAGCTTGTGGGCAAAGAGGCGGTAGGTAATCTGGTACGAGCCCTTGTCGCCCTCTGGCGTCCATGTGTAAGACCAAATCAAGATACCTGCTTTGAAATCGTATGTAGATCGGAAGTTAGAGATAGTCTTGTTGTCCACCTTGGCGTCCAGGTATGTATCATTGCCAAGATCCAAAATCAGTCCCGACCAGTGGGGTACACCACTGATCACACTGTCCCCGCCATACTGTGACAGCCAGGGGAAGTTGGTACCATTGGTATTAGGCTGCGAATCAAAGAACCCACTAACTGTTGCAAAGGACAGGCGGGTAGAGAAAAGTGGCCATCCGTTAATGTCTTCGGGACTATCGATCTCAAAGAACGGGCCTGCGCTGGCAACATTGATACCTAGGTATCCATTTGCTACAGATCCGCGTGATTGAAAGCGACCTTGCTCCAAGTTGGTCGTGCTAAGAAGCCAGTTGTCTTCGTCCCATGTCACGCCGTCAAAGCCTGTTTGATACACATTCTTGCTGAAGTTACCCGCAGAGCCTGAGCCGGCGTACTTTTGGACGCTTCTGATGACCCGTCCGTTGGGTGCTCCGCTAACAGGAACTCCAAGATATACAAGCAGCGGCAAGACCGCGTAGGTGATGGACTAGAGATAATAGGTCAGATGACAGTTCCTGTTGGTCACGGGGCTTTGTCGAAGACTCACTTTGAACTGCATAGTGCAGTCTCGCCACGTTCCTAACCAGTTCGATTCTTGGGTAGATAATATCCAAGAAGCTGGATCTCAAGTTAGATATACGACCGGCAGTCTTTACTGGGAGTCGAAGACGCGGGGGTGGTGACGAGTTGGAAGGAAGAAAAGTGGAAGAGGAAGGATAAAAGGTTTAAGTGCACTTTCCCACTGAAGAAGGCAAATGCCGATCCAGGTACATAATAAAATTAAAAGCCCTCATCTCATGGCAAAGTGTGGGGAACCGATGTCACACCTGACTGGCACAGGACCGTTCGCGGTGGATTATACGAAGTAGAGTCCGGGGGGTGGCGATGGCTAAGCCGCCCAGAGATGTCGTATGAGAGTTGGGCTTTACGGAACAGTCGGGATATGCGGGGGCAAAGCATTTGTAATTGTCTATGACATTGGCCAAGATGGCCGAAAACCCTGGCAGTCGGCATCCACGGACAAGACTTGCCTTGCCGGTTCCCCAGATCGTCGTCATCGAGTCCGAGAGAAGGTTTGGCGCGAGAATTATGTGGGGGGCGGGAGAACCGAGCCCGCATTCTGAGTAATTGCCCGATAAATGACCGTTGGAAGCCTAGAGTTAAAATTACTGGGGCAAATGCTTTCGGACTAAAGGGCTGTTGGGACTTGGTATACACTGTTGAGGTGTAGAAAGTATAGTGGTGCCTCAGGTGTCCGTTTGGTCATATACTTTCACTTTGTCCATGCATAAGTCGCCTTCTTTGAAAGAGTTTATAAGACGAGCGTTGATGTCTCAATTTTACTATTTCATCGACCTCACTGAATCCGAAGCATTGATCGCTGGAAATCCAGGGTAAATAGCCAACGGCGCAGAAACCGAGCCCCGGCCCGAGACCCGATAGGAGGTAATCTCCGACAACCTGAGTATATTGCGGGTCTTCTGGCTGGAGACACCAGGACTTACCTGTGCTCCTGTCGTTGGTAGTGTTGTATACCTTGACCTAGAGAAGGAAAAATCTGGGGATCTAGCGGCTTCGGGTGTCTGTTCAGACTACGTATAAATCTCACAAAACTAGCAGGCATATTGGATATTCGGCGGGGGAAGATGATTAACTCGGTTGAGCTTGTGTCTATGGATGAACATCGTAGTTTTTTTTAAAAAAAAAAAAATTACTTGATTCCACGCCAGTCTCTGGGGATTCAATGCCAGGTTTGTATATGGCCTTGCACTCGAGGGTATCGACAGTCCATAGTGATAGATTGGACAACAGGTTGAATTAGACACATCTGGTGGAATTTGAACATGAGTTCTCCGTTCGAAGAGATGGCGGGCGAGGTATCGCATGCGACGTTAAGTTGAGAGACCGAATGGATTTCGTCGAGGACAATTCTCACTGACCGAGTGCTCCAGTAAGCTCTTTGGGTTGTACTTCTTTTCGCCATTCCGATTCTCTGCAGTGGTGTTATATCCACTGCACTATGGAAGAAGAAACTGGCACTATCATCGGCGTATTTGGCCAGGATCAGTATGAGTGATAATCGATCATGCCACTGTATATCGAAGTTCATCCATCTTCATCACTATTCTCCTCTTCCGATTCTTGATCCTCGCCATTGGGCTCACTGGAAGAAGGAACCTGTGAGTTCGGATGAGCAATGCTTCTCGGTTGTGCTCTCGAAGCAAAGGCTCTCTCGCCTACAAAATGATCACCCGGCCACGCTTTTTTGCACACGGGGCAGTTCTCCCCCTGCTGCATACGGAAGAAATTACGCATGCAATGTTCATGAAGTCGGCCCCCGCACTCGAGGTCCTCGCAGCGTTGGCCCTAAATCTTAGTCAGATGCAGTTCCAGGCAAATGAAGTGCCAAGTATACTCACAACGGTAATAATATCGCTGCAAGCAGCACAGAACTTAATCCGATGCGCTCGGTGGCCACCATATTGCTCGTCATTATATGTCAACACCAACCATCCCCGCAACTCCATCAGGGCTCGTGGTGTCAGGCTGAGATATCCTTTCAAGCTCTTCTGTAGCCAACCCTCCTCAATCAAATTCTTGACCATCGTTTCTGCCTGTGTCATACGCAGCGACTGCGTCGCTCCAGCTTGGGTTTGTTGCGTATCAGCAGCCTGGGACTGTCGTCGATTGGCGTCGCCAACTCGGTGTAGTTGGACTGCTTGCATTTGGGTAGCGGCCATTCCTTCGCATCGTATTGTGTTGTTTGTGATGAACATGTAGTCAAGGAGGCGTTTCAAGAAGGCGATTTCATCTGCGGAGTAGGTTGTTGCGAGCTGGGTCAGAGGATCACTTGTTGTGTTGACGAGGGCGTACACTCGTTCTGGTAACGTAGGGGCGTCATCTGGATTTGTGGATTGAGGGTCTTGCGGTAATGAGCTTCTGATCTCAAGGTCGAAGGGTGAAATTGCGGTATTGGCTGCTGAGACGTAAGAGGAAAATTGGTCTTCGGTAACATCTTCGGGGTCAACTGTTTGGCCCTCTGTTCAATTTTTGCGGTTAGCAGACATCCCTACAGATGATAGCATGAAGCTCAGTTGGGAGAAGTACCAGAGACTGTCAATATCGCAGCCAAGACTGGTTGGGCCTCTTCGAAGGTCATGGAGGAGCGTGCCATGAACGCCTGGAGAAAGGCGCGATTGCTGTGGTCGTATGCCGCTGCCATGTTGTCGGAATTGACTCTCTTGTCAGCTGAGCTTGGCGCGACAGCAAAAATCGCAATATCAGCTGGGTTGGGGTGTACTGAGGCGATTGATCCGAGAATTAGAATCGACGCGCCGGCGCGCTCGCGTAACTATCAAAAAGGATGCCAAGATCGCGGAATCGGCGCATTGGACAAAGGACAACTTGGTAAAGAGTATTCATTCGATTTTAAAACTCGAGAATTTCAAAGGAAACTCTCGATACTACTGTAGCCTACTTTTGATAAATTAAATGTTTTCGTGTTTGGTCAAAATGCATTCTGGGTCCTACTAATACATGGAGAACAATGCGAAGGACATAGCAAGTTCTATGCTATCTAGCAGTAAATTTTCGTCTTGAAATTCTGATATCATGCCATGAAACACAAAATGCTGATCAGTAAAAAAAAGGACCGAAACCCCATACCCTAGACGCTCCGATGCGCAAAGGAAAGCGGAATCGAATCATCCACTGATATCGCCGAACGCCAGGAAAAGATCAAATCAAAAAGTCGATGAAGTCAAAGTCCAGAAAGCACTGCGAAACATCACTAGTACCGCCGGCGGGCAGGCTCTGGGCTAGGACTGCGGCTGACGCTGCGCGCATCTCTGCCGCGCTCCTTGAGCCACTTCTTGGTGCTCAGTCGCAGCTCGCGGTCAAGCTCGGCCGAGGGATCTTTGCGATGAATGAAATTGCAGAATCCTCCTCGCACACACCCTTCTCCGCTATTGAGACGACAACACGCTTCTCGGAAATCTGTAACGGGGGATAACTCGCAGTAAATGGGCCGCGCGGCGTACCAGCGAGAGTTCAGGGCGTCGCAGGCGGCTTGCGCATCTTCTTCGTATTTGAACCGGCCGTAAACGTTACCGATGAGGTCTATTGTGGCGAGTCAGATGTTAGCAGGCTGTCGGGAAATTCACCAACCTCGGAAGGAGGTCCAACTTACGGTCATTGTTGTTGTCGCAAATGACAAGCTCTTCAAGCTCACCATACTTGCACATCTCACACCAGACGTCCTCGTAGAAAGCGTCGAAATGGTTCTGGAGCTGGCTTGGGTTCATCTTGTTCTGAGGGTCGTAGGCCGGGTTCTGATACATGTTGGGCATCAGGATGGTCTGCGAGTAGGAAGGCTTGACATGCTTGCGAGAACACCTGTCGCCGTGGCGGCATGCGCCGATCTTGTAGTAGAAGGAGCAATTGACCTTGTCCTGCTCGGTACCGAAGATGGAGGCGAGATAGTTGGCCATGATTGCGGGTTGTCAGAATCGCGCAGATCGAGCGATGGTAATGGATGAGGTATGAGGGGAATAGGATCACCTCGCGGTCGAGGTGGCGGGCGTAGGCGAAAGTAAGAAGTTGATTTGAAAGCTTGCGGTGGTTATGCAATGCCTGAAGTTTCTGGAGAGCTGTCAGGCGGTCAGTTGGCGGGCGGTCAGTTCTCGGGGTCGAGTGGCGATGACTAAGCCCTGGATCACCATCGAACATTCTGCCATCATCTGGACTCAAGGTGAGACTCATTGGGGCAAGCGGTGTGGTTTGAACATGAGACTTGAAGGAGTAATATCGTTGTAAAGGGGTGTCGTCATGTAGTATCACACAAACGCGATGAATCAGAAGTATGAGAGAGGTGTATAGATCTAACAATTTCGGCGTAGGGATGAACTCGGCATAACGTATTCGTGAGACATTTGGGTTTTGCACCCTTATTATCCGTTAAATCGAGCCTTCGCTATATCAGGGCTCGATGTAACGGCGGACCACTCGGTTTGGTTAGAAGGCACTGCTTTATCTTCAATATCAAGGCTTTATTCTATTATCCATCACTAACTCATTTCATTCAATGAGGGACCACTATCTATGAGAAGCAAATCAGTCCCAAATCATGAGAGGTTTCAAGCAGTGCTGTATATATCACAACGGAGAAATTGAGCCTTTTCCCGTGACTGCGAGTCCTGTCACATCAACTGAGGTTTTCTGCTTCTTTATCATCTCAGATATAATCTTGCCCGTCCCAAGACTTAATGATATTCCCCACGGTCCATGGCCAGCGGCTATGAACACGCCTCCTCTGGGACTTGCCCTCGTTCCTCCTCCCAAGGAAAGATTTTCGATTTTGCCGATTGTGGGAACACCAGTACTGCCCACAGGTCTGAAGCAAAGCCCTTCTCGAAGTGTCTCTAGGTCGTCGAGGTTGGTCGTCTCGTCGGCTGCCTCTTCTGTATCTTTAGCAAGACCACCCAACAAACGGACGGCAACATCCTTGAGTTTCTGCATCTCGCGGGGATCAAAATGCCGGTTAATATCTTCTGCCCGAGAGGGAAGCTTGATGGTGGGGTTGAGACCGGCGATATAAATCTCACCACCTTCCCTGAGGAAGATCTCGGGGCTGAACCCATACGATGAAGGGAGTGTCGTAAAGACAGCATGGCTTTGTCCTCGGTGGACATTCCTCTGGTGTTCCAACGTATACCGAGGGGAGCGAACAACAAGTGAATAGCCAGCCAGAGGTGAGATATCTAATGATATAGTGGAGGATGGGAATAGATCTTTGAGAACCTGTGGCGTCCAAGGCCCCATACTCAGAACAAGGGTCGTACATGGGATTGTTGACTTTTTCTTCGAATCTCGCGACACAATACTAACGCCGGTGATTGTGCCATCCGCTTCTTTGACAAGTGCGGCTGCCTGGGCAGGGTGATGAAGCTTCGCCCCTCGAGATATTGCACCATCCATCAGATAGCGGCTCAATCTCAATGGATCACTGGTACAAAATCAGCAAATACTTTAAGAGCCAGTACTTCTCGAAGCCACCCACACTTGAGCCACAGTTCCCTCTTGGCTGATCCTCTCTATCATACCTTCTTTCCTCCTCGTCAACCACTCCGGCCACTCAACGGGGGCAGGATCATCAGAACCTGCCGCAGTCTCCGCTCGGCTCGTCTCTGTTTGTAGCCAGTCATCGCCAGGTGGCGCACCCTGTCTCTGGCGAGAAACAGCATCCAAATTGAAAGCCGTCCCGTTCATGAATCCCCAGTTCTTTTGTCCATCATTTCCAGCGGCAAGCTCCTTGTGCAGGTCAAATGATAAAGCACCGAGAGGTGCAAGAGATGGCACAAACCAGTCTCTGGCTAAGAAGCCTGCAGCATATCCCGAAGCTGCTGAGAAAAGCTCTGGGGATTGCTCGACGATGTGGATTTCGCCTTCAGGTTGATTGGCAGACAGGTAGTAAGCAATGGAGGTGCCAATGATGCCCCCTCCAAGAATAACGGTCGACATGACTGGTCTTTGGACGATGTCGTGTCCCTTCCAAGGTTCTCACTGCAACATGTGACAATACAATATCGTTTGAATAGTTACACTTCTGGCTGACGAATGATCTTAAGTCAACTATGTTATCCATTCGTCTCACTGGCCTATGGTTTTTTTTCCCCTCAGATGCACTGGGCCGGGACTTCAAGCAATGGTGGGGTAGGAAAGAGATAAGTTCGTCTGGGCGTGCTTTAGCGCATTAGATAATGATCGCTATGCTCTAGGCTTTATTCATGCCGTCTTGCTAGATAAATGCCCTATGAAGCACGGCAAACCAGCATAAACGGGCCTTTCTATCCCTCGGCTGTTTCCTGTTAGATAGGTATAAACCGCTTTCTACAAACCTTCACATAGGAATAGTTGACAATTCATGGGAATGTGATTTTGCATAGCCACTTCGGTATGGATGAGAATGCTTGAGTGATATGACGTTTTCAAAGCCGGCCAACCCCACGAGATTATTAAGCCCCGCACTGAACCGCCAGTTCATTCCTAGTCACAATCATTGAAGGCCCCAGCAAGTGCAATATCACATTGAAAGGTATGTTTGTCTGGAACCCTGCAGTCTGCATTTCTATCTCCATGAGCTTTCAAAGGGGGCTGTCGTTCGTGTTTCTTTGTCGTCTCTGGTCCAGCCTTGTCCCAAGATGCGCGATGTTTATACAATTGAAATGAGATATTCCTATTTGACAATCTCTTTTGCTGTCTTTGAATATCTCAATGCTTCATGCTTCATATCAAAGGCTCCATGTCACTAACCGGTCAGTGCAGAACTTCCAAAAATGGCTGCCAAAACCATCATCGTCACAGGTGCCTCGCGAGGTAACAGCTCCGAGCTTATCTATTCACAGCCATACGCTAACACTATCTGTCAGGAATCGGTCTTGCAGTGGCCAAGTACCTGCTCTCATCACCCCAATCCCACAATGTGGTGGTGGTAGCCCGCAGCGTTGAGCCCCTCCAAAAACTGAAGGAGCAATACAGCAAACAAGTCGAAGTCCTAAACGGCGACCTGGCAGACTTTTCCCTCGCCCAAAAGGCCGTGGACACAGCCATCAAGACCTTCGGCCAGCTGGACGGCATGGTCCTGAACCACGGCCTCCTAGGCCAAATCGGCAAAATTTCAGAAGCCGATCCACAACAGTGGAAGGAAGGCTTCGATGTCAACTTTATAAGCCTGGTTGCTTTTGTACGTGTCTCCCATAAATGCAGTTCTACTCTACGTTCAATGCTAACAACAAAACCAGGCCAAAGCAGCTCTCCCAGCTCTCCGCGAGTCCAAGGGAAAAATCATCTTCACGTCCTCCGGTGCAGCAGTCACCGGATACCGCGGCTGGGCTCTTTACGCCGCTACCAAGGCCGCTATGAACAACTTCGCTATGAGCCTGGGTGCCGAAGAACCGGATGTTACCTCCGTCTCTGTCCGACCTGGTATGGTCGACACCGAGATGCAGCGCGAGCTCCGGGAGGACCATGCCACAAATCTGGATGCCGAGATGCACTCCAAGTTTACCGGTGTCCACAAGGATGGCAAGCTTCTTAAGCCTGAGCAGCCTGGTCATGTCATGGCTAAACTGGTCCTTGATGCGCCCAAGGAGATCAGTGGTCATTTCTACTCGTATGTTGAACCCTAAAGTCACTACGTTGAAGATGCTAACCAATTACAGATGGAACGACAAGGAGCTTGAGGCTTTCCAGGCATAGAGTATTATATCATTGTTATCGTTATCAGCTAGAAGAATTTTCATGTTCATATCTGTGGTCTTATATAGCAAGTCAGCATGGATCGCTATAAAATATTGGAAGCAAGTGCAAGGCAATGATTGGGTTACAAGTCAGCCGAAAGATGAAAAGCATATACATTTTATAAGCATTAGGTGCAGCACACCTTCATGTTTAGCATGGAATGTAGGGTGTTCATCATGTAATTCAAATTCAAAATATAGTAAAGTTCAACGCGTACCTTTTGGATAATAAATACACAGAGATGTGAAGTGTTCCTGTCCTCCGGATGTTGTTCCGTTGGTGGGGAAAAAAAAAAGAAATGTGGAGATTGTCTCAAGCTACGAGTGTCGGTTCACTGTAAAATCTTCAACAAAGTTAGCAAGAACTTCATACTAATGAAGTGAGATGCAATATAGACAGTGTTGATGGTATCAGAAAGTCCGTTTGGCTAGGACAGGTATAGTCACCATAGAATGTATGATAGGGGCGACAACAAGGTTCATCATGGTAAAAAGAAAGTGAGGAATTCAAGTTTCAAGAACTTACCATTAGTGCAGGGCCTTAGAGAGAGTCAATCGCATTAGAAGGACTCAATCCAAGGTGGTTGAGTGATGAATGATGAGGAAGAAGGGAAGGAAAAAATTGAGCGCGCATTATATGTAGTCGAGAGCGGTGTGGTACTGCCGGCAAGAAATGTACTTAACTCCAGCGCGCCTGCGATGGTCTCCAAGAAACTTCGAGCCCCACGCAAAAGCTCGAGGAAATTACGATCGTATCTTTTTTTCGCTTTTCCGCTTCTCAGCTCGATTTTACCAAGCTCTTCATTTCCACAATATTCCTGTGTCGATTTCAGCATGTCCGACCGTGAATTTAGCTGTAGGTGGCCGAAATCCTAACAGCCTGCACGCGCTTTTGCTGACATCTCATGCTTAAATAGCAAACGACGACCTGTCGCTTCCCAAAGGTACTATCTAAAGGCCCTATTCGTGATCAATTTCAGTGTTTGGGGGTGCATGCAGCTCTCTGGTAGCTGTCTTTGTTCCTTCGCCTCTTTTGCACTTACGGCTATATATGCGCGTTCGACGAGCCTTTGCTAACCTAGATATTTGCGACAGCCACGGTCCAGAAAATTATCACCGAAATCTTGCCCCCCAGCTCCGGTCAAACCTTCTCCAAGGATGCGCGCGACTTGCTCATGGAATGCTGTGTTGAATTCATCACCCTGATCTCCTCCGAGGCAAACGATATCAGCGAGAAGGAAGCCAAGAAGACAATCGCATGTGAACACGTTGAGAAGGCTCTGCGGGATCTTGGTTTCAGTGATTATATTGCCGATGTTCTCGCCGTTGCTGAGGAGCACAAGCAGCAGCTCAAGGTATGTCTATGCCCGTGTGGTTCGATGCGCATTGTTCTCTCATAACAAGTCGCTGACCTTGCTTAAATTCCAGTCACGAGAGAAGAAACAAAGCAAGATGGAGCAGAGTGGTCTGACGGAGGAGGAGCTTCTACGACAACAGCAGGAGCTGTTTCGTTCAGCAACAGACAAGTACCATGCCGTGCCAGAATAGAATCTCTTAAGACTCGTGCTGGTCATAGAGCAAAAGGGTCACTGGGCGTTCTGCGAGTCCCACTGGATATGTGGGTCTGGAGTTTTGTTCGACTGTTCTTGGTCTTTCTTGTCATTGTTTGGGGGTGGGTTGGGGAATACTAATGGCGCATACACGTCAATGCATCATTGAATTATACATGATTTCAACGTTTAATGAAAACTCTCGGGTCTCCAGGAGACCTCAATGATTCAAGTTCGTAAATTGTATTGTAAAAATTTCAGGTGGTGGTTTGCCGAGAATAGGTCAATATATATATATATCTCGAGGGGAGCTGCAAATTCCATGCTGCAAAGTGATGCCTGGTATATTTCAAGTCTCTTTTCCCCATCTTTTTACAAATGAGCTCTACCTTGCTCTCGTCCTACGTAAAAAGACGTAAATCCAATCTGAAGTGAAGATATTGATATCTTAGTTGGATCAAAAGGATGTGGTACTAGGGTAGATTGTATTGACATAGTATGGTTTTCTGAAGACAAAAGATTTGAGCATTCCTTCTCCAAGTAATCCGAAATTCTTGAGTTGCGGTTTTTTTCGATATCAACTCCCAAGATTGATATCTCGACACCTTACAAAAGAGGCACAAATATTTCAGCCCACGTGACATTTCATTGGTCCTACTGACGCTAAGCCAAAATGGGAAGAAGGCGTACTCCCCATCGCAAATCGACACAGCGCGGAGCTCCCGTGGCTAGTTATCACCACTTGCGCTCAAAGCCCACCATCACCATGCCTCCCTTTAAGGATGAGCATATTTTGGTATGCACAATCTTTTCACCGGAGTCCTGTTACCAGAATTTTAATGACTGACTTGTTTAGCTAATTGCGCCGGGTTCGCAAATGACCCTGGCCCAGCTGGGTTTGCCCGAAACGTTCACGCCCGCGCGATTCCGATTCCCAACACGCATGTTCCCCGCCGAGAAGAAGGGAGAATTTGAACCTTACCGTGTCAATGAGAGGCGCCAGGAGATCAAGGTCAAGAATGGCACACAGGCGCCGAAGGAAGACGTGGAAATGAAGGACGCTCAACCCTCTGCGGCCGACGCTCCAAAGACCGAATCCACCGAGAAGCCCGAAGGCGAGGGCGACGGTGCCCAGAGTAATGGCGAAGCTACCAAGACTGTTGAAGAGGTCTTCTACGAAGAGGATGTGATGTCCGACAAAGACGCAATCTATCCCATTGAGAACGGGCGCATTGTCGACTGGCCTTGCTTCTTTGCTCTGCTCACTCACATTTACAACACCTTGAGCCCACCTTTCCACACTCCAATCATGCTCATCGCCGAGCCTGTCTGGTCTGCGCGCGACCGCGAAGCAATCACCCAATTCGTTTTTGAGAAGTTCAAGGCTCCAGCGTTCAGTCTTATGGACTCTGCGCTTGCGGCTTGCTACGGCTACGGTGTACCCACAGCTACCGTTGTCGATGTCGGCAAGGGCAAGGTTGATGTTACTGCTGTCACCGATTTCGCAGTCAACGAGCACGGCAGAGGTATTGCCCTGGAGGGCTGCGGTGGAGACTCCATGACTGATCGCCTTCTCGAATTGCTGGGTCCCAAGGGATTCACTAGAGAGATGTGCGAGCAGCTCAAGCGAAGCAACATTACTGAGATCCTTCCCCCGGAACTCCACTTCCTGGAGACGCTGCCACCGCGCGCCAGGGTGCGAACCCCGCCGCTGCTGCCTCGACTGGAGGAGCCGATAGCAACGATTCTGCCCCGCGTGGACCAGGAGACGGCACACAAACTGGTACAGAGGGTAGTAACGAAGAAGACGAAGGTGTCCTCGATGTCGCTGCAATTGTCAGCGGTAACACTACCGAATATCTCGCCAATATTGAGAAGGAAAAGACGACGACAAAGAAAGGAGCAGCCGATCCAAAGCAAGGTCGTCTTCCCAACTCGAAGAAAGAGAAAGCTTCGTTCCAGTTCGAAGAATTCGTGCAATTGGAAGGACACGATGCAGCACCCAACGATTCTCGACAGTACATTCGTCGGCAACGAGAGATTGAGGTCAGCATTGAGCGTTTCCTTCTGACTTCGCCTCGTTTAAAGAACGGAGACCGCCTCACCAGCGGCATTCTTGAGGACATTGCCACACAAATTCACCATACCATTATTGCTGTTCCCGATGCTACAAAACGAAGCGAGCTTTGGGACTCTTTAATCATTGTTGGATGTGGAAGCAAGGTCAAGGGTAAGTTTTATTGATGATTTGCCTCCGTCGCAAACTATCTTTACTAACGTTGAAACAGGCTTCACTCAGGCTTTGCTCAGTGTCATCCAACAAAAGTTCATTCTTTCTCCTTCTGGCACGATTTTCACCTCTGAAATCCCATCTACTTTCACCACTCCTGCTCCCACCGGCGCCAACACACCCTCTCATATGGGCCAATCTGGGATGATGTACCACCCGGCAGCTCCCGGCGTGAACCCTCTTCTCGTTGCTGCTACTCACAACAACCCCGGTATGCCTGGTATGCCCGGTATGCCCGGCACTCCTGGGATGGACCCCAACACGGTACATTACCGCTCAACCGGTCATTCCCAGACCCCCACTTCTGTCAAGACTCTGAAGCTTCCTGAGTATTTCCCCGACTTCAAGGACCACGGCAACAGCAACGCTCCCGGTGCCAGCGGAGCCAATTCCACACCCGGGTCATCCCAGGGTGGCCACGGCATGGAGGAAGCCATTTTCCTCGGTGCTCAGATGGCTGCCAAGGTCTTCTTTGTTCTTGATCAGGGTCTCAGCAAGGGCTACATGAGCCGAGTTGAGTACAACGAGAGCGGACCATCCGCCATTCACGAATACATCTTGTAATACGACTCGCACATCTAGCCTATTGACCATTTACCGTTGGTCCGGGCTTCGTCTATTTCTCAAATTATGCTCTTTATGAGACGTTGTCTGGCGAAGGTGGCTATTTTGAGTCTGACTTGTTTTCTTTTCTCTTTTTACATGTATGCTACGAGTCCTAGAAAAGGCCACCTCAGGCCGCAGGCGTAGGATTTGGGGAGTTCGGTCAAATATTTTTTTTCACCAGAATACTTCATTCTGTCTCAATTCCTAAACTGTCACTTTCACACTGTATCAAACGACTAGATAAAGCAGTTCACCAATCACGGGCCAGCTGGTCCCTTTATTTATCACCACGTGATCTGGAATATTTTCTTAGTAATGGGCCGGCTTATCGCCTCCGAGGGCCGATCTCCATCTCCATCTTTTACCTCGACATTGACACCTCCCTCTCTATAACAGCTTTCTCCCTTGACAGCCATCTTCTCTTTCCTCATTTCAGTGTCGATATATCACGTTTTTATCTTGCACATACTTGCCCAACATGCCGCGCGCCGAAGCCGGAAGCACGAAGGCGATCAGCAACAAGATGAAGTCGAAAGGCTTAGGCCGACTTCGCTGGTACTGTCAGGCCTGTGGTAAGTGTAATATCCACTCTGCCTTACATGTGTTATGCTAACATCTTCAAGAAAAGCAGTGCAACGATCAAAACGGATTCAAGTGCCATGTGAACAGTGAAAGCCACACGAGACAGATGCTCCTAATCGGCGAGAACTCCAAGAAGCACATCGAAGAGTTCAGCCGCGACTTTTTACGGAACTTCGTTGAACTTTTGAGAACAACACACGGCGAGAAGAAGATTCAAATCAACCACTTTTACCAGCAAGTTATCCAAGATAAAAGCGTGAGTCTTCAACCCGGGTGGTTATTTGAAAGATGGGAACATGTGCTAATTTTGAACAGCACATTCATATGAACTCCACGAAATGGTCGAGCCTGACACAGTTCGCCTCATATCTCGGACGGGAGGGTATCTGCCGCGTGGAGGAAGGCGAGAAGGGATTGTTCGTCTCTTGGATCGATAACAGCCCCGAAACCATGCGCAAGCGTGAAGCCGTCATGAAAAAGGAGCGACAGGACAAGGGTGACGAGGAGAGAGAACAGCAGCAAATTCAAGAACAGATCGAGCGGGCCCAGCGCAGTGCAGCCAACAAGACAGAAGAGGAACCTGAAGCGAAATTGTTACAGCGGAAGGAAGGCGAGAAGATGAAGCTAGATTTCGGATTTGGCTCGAAGCCAAAGACAGACGTAAAGCCACCCTCACCAACTACAGCCGAGTTCCCCGAGACAAAGGATTCGCCCACACATACCACTGATTCTCCCGCTCCACCCGCCGAAGCTGCACCACCGGCACCAGTCAAAGTTTCGATGTCGATGGGGGCACAGAAACCCAAGAACGTGTTTGCTGCTGCTAAGAAGAATCTCTTGGCTGGCAAGAAGGGCTCCGTGTTCGCTCCTCCTAAGAAGATGACTGAGCAGGAGAGGATCATGAAGGCTGAGATGGAGGCAATGGAACGCAAGCGGTCTCACCCAGGCTCTGGCTTCAATAACGCCAAGCGCCCCAAGGTCACTTGAAGCTTGAACTGGCATGTGTCTTCTATATTCCAAAACCGCGTCCTGCGACTCGCGCCAATCGAATGCCGATGCACGCGCAAGGGCATTTCGCGGATCTTTGCATGCAGATTTTATAGGGCAAGCTTCTCGCTTTGTTGTTTATCTCCCAATCAAACTTCCGGGAAATGTACAACCCTCAATTCCCGTGGTGACCGTGGATCCGAGTTCAACCCACCCACTGGTTCAATCTGTGCACTGATGATTACAGCGCCCATTTACTGCCCCTGCCTGCGGGATGTGATTGCATTAGCAAATCTGGCAATTTGGGGCGGGGCCTTCTTACTGCATCTTTTACCTTGAAACCGTGCGGTAGATGGTCTTAGGATAGTTAGCCTTGCTTTCAGTTTTTTTAAATCTTAGAACTTTGTAGCTAGCAATTGACAAATGTGACAACAACCATAATGACAATTGATCCTTTGCAACCCTCTCTCGATTTCGTGGTTTTGTTTTGACATGCAGAAACTACCATTATCTGTTAGTAAACATGGCAATCCACAAGGATTAAATTATCACAAGTATTGATAATAGGAATGACTGCACATGTAAGTTCCATCCACATACTCCAATGATAGCTTAAATGCCAGTAAAACTAACCATAGATTGATTGACCTCGTTCCAAAAAGCATATTGGTCGACCTGGGGTATAGTAGATGAAAGTTCTTTCCAAGCATTTTGCATAGCTGGCTATCGTACAGCAAAGTATTCCCCAGCGATCGACTATACCCAAACGCACCCCAGTCAATGATCTCAGTTATAACACTATCCTTCACTATAATATTGCTTGGGTCCGGATCATCATGCGTTAGAGCCTTTCTTTCGTCTTGGCTTCTGGAGGCGAGAATCCTCTCCATCAGAGGATCATGCTTCGTGAGTTGCATTTCAAAACGCTTTAAACAGGGACTGGGGACTTTTCCTGGCAAGAATGGGGGTTTCAGCTTCTGCCATCTGGACCATGGGTCCGTCCGACTTTTATATAGTTGACGAGTTGATCTCTAGAATGTTGCAGGTCCCCGGTCTATGAGGACATAAGTTTTCCGCATTCTCGATTTCTTCTAGTGTGACAAGCGGGGGTGGTGGATGTCTCACAGAGGGAACAAAGCGTATTTCATAGATGGAGTGTATACAGGAGAGGTAGTTTAGAAACGTGACAGGTGGAGGCTGCAGCTCAGTTATTGACGGGTCTCGTGAACCAGACGAAGTATGAATGCACTTACTAGGCTGCTGTTGGTACTCTCTGTACCCTTCCATTTTGGCGTAGATGTCACTTATGTATCAAGTCTTGCTCTCTGTCGAAGATGTTATTATAGTGCAAGTCGTGAGAGGCAAGATGACTGCGGGGGCAGAGAAACATCTTGGCAAAAGGTGACATCAAACATGCAGAGATCAGATAGCTAGTCAAGCGTTGAAGTTATAATGACCCTGAAGTCACATCTATATCCACATCGGTCAATGGGTGCGGCCGCTTAGGCCCGACGGCGGGCCTTGTCGATCATTCCCCTCTCCTCGCTCGTTCACGAATGACCGACCGATGATTTCGGGGCAAACAATGTTACGAGTAGCCAATATGTCGGAAACCGGAAAACAAGGCGCCCGACGTCGACAGCTGTCCAGATTTTTGGTTTGTGCGACGTCGCTTCAGACCTGCTAAGTATAAAGCAACCGTCAGGTAATGGATCTTTCGGCAATCTTAGAGCCAAATAGTTCTAAGGTCCGGAGCTACATAATGGAGTTGCCCAACGAAACATTTCTCATCAGCCACTGGCTAACAAGTCTTGTTGGGATTGTTTGTCTGGTAGGCTCATATGCTCATCCTCTCTCCCTATTCAAGAGTTATTGACCGGAGCGCCATCCTAGACGTTCATATATCGAAGGTTCACAAATAATACATCGCATATCCCCGGCCCTGAAATATCAAAGTGGACAGGAGTGATCTACACATACTACTGGATGAGCGGAAAAGCACCCTTATACATCCACAAGCTTCATGAGAAATATGGTAAGTGTTCCCAGTTTTGTACCTACACCCAGAAATGTACTGACATGGGTTTTCAATATGCCCCATTGTTCGAGTTCGCCCAGATCAGATAGACGTCTGTGATATAAATGCCGTGAAAGAGATTCACAAAGCAAACAGTCGCTTCCTCAAAACGGTGTTCTACCGCAACCTGGTTAGTGGCGCTGTGAACAATGTATTCTCGACTAGGGATACCAAGTTTCATTCCGTCCATCGGCGTCTTCTGGCATCTCCCATCTCCGACTCCTCTCTGTCTCGCTTCGAGCCGCTTATAGCTGATAGGATCAACCTCACTGTCAGCAAAATAACACAGGAGCTGGAATCGCGCGGCGTTGCTGAAGTGTTCAAATGGTGGTTGTTTATGGCAACAGACATAATCGGCGAACTAAGCTTTGGTGACTCGTTCAGAATGCTCGAAGCAGGAAAGGTTTGTAGACATATTCGGGAAACCAATATGGGAAGAGATCTGCGCTAATACAAGGTACGAATCCAGAAAAATCAATACACCATAGACATGGAACGACTGGCATCGTACCAGCCAATTCGGACGACGTTTCCAACTCTAATTAAAATCGCCAGCTATATTCCCTTGCCAATGCTCAGAGAAAGTGTACAGGCAGGTAAAAGAATTGGCATGTATGCTGCCCAGTCGATCGATCGTTATCGACATCTCATGGCTCAGAATCCATCGGACCCTAAGCCAACTCTGCTCACCAAATTGTTTGACACGGAGAAAAACGGGTTGTCATTCGAGGATATCCGACAAGAGGCGCAAGGATACATTGTCGCAGGAAGCGATACTACTGCTGTTACCATGACTTATCTGAGCTATGCTGTGTCTCACGACAGCCGTGTGCGGGAGAAACTTGTCGCTGAATTGACGGGTCTTGCCGAGCCCATTACAGACAAAAGCCTCAGAAACCTGCCTTATCTCAACCTAGTCATCACAGAGACTTTACGGTTGTATACGGCTGTCCCTCTTGGGTTGCCTCGATCAGTGCCACCAGAAGGAGCACACTTTTGTGGGTTCCAAATACCGGGAGGAATCACAATATCAACTCAGTCTTATAGTCTCCATCGAGATCCTTCCATTTTCCCAGACCCGAACAGGTGAGTTAAAGGAATTTCCAGGAGCTTTGGACAAAAAAAATTGATTGTAACAGTTTCAATCCCGAGAGATGGGAAAACCCTAGCAAGGAAATGAAAGATGCTTCCCTGCCATTTGGCGGTGGAGCTAGGAGTAAGTCTCAGAAATCTAGATTGCTGATAAAGCTAACATTTGCAGTCTGCTTGGGTATCCATTTAGCTCGGATGGAACTTCGTATGGCCACGGCACTTTTCTTCCGAGCCTTACCTGATGCCCGACCTTCAAAGAAAGAAGGAATGTCAGAGAGTGATATGATCATGGAGTCTTATTTCTTGATGGCTCCACAGGGCCATCGTTGTCTTATTGAGACATGATACCGTTTTGGGGGATCAGACTAATTATTGCATTCCTGAGCAGATTTTGTCGCTCTTGAAATTGCTTGAAGAGCGAAACCAGTTCAACAAAATGAAATTGAGTCCTTTTACTATACGATAAGATGAAAGCAATTTCGCGAAGTATTCCAATTCGTTATACTTCGAAAAAACAGGACCAGCCTCAGTCTCCATCTTGTAATAACCAGCAGCTAATTTAGCACAAATATCCGAAGAACCTAGCATAGACTGCCGTTATCACAAGACTGATCACACTTGTAAGTCCCAATCCAATTATCAGCACCATAAACGTCCAACCCCATCAACCACCCATTCATAACCTGATGCAGATAATCCAAGTTCTGTGGTACGCCGTTAGACTTACCCTCCGCTGAACAAGGATAATCCTGCGTAAGCCCCTTATTACCATTCAATCCACTACCCTTAGTAAACCATCCGTTATAGGATCCAAACGCCTTAATAGCGTTCCCACCCGACGCATCCAGCTGCGAAGCGAGATAGTGGGTCCCCGCATCAACATTGTCCTGGATGGAATCCGTACACTGGCCATTGGGATAGTTCTCGCAGGACACTTGCATCAATCCCGGCGTGGGACCGCCGGCGTTTGCGTTGCAGGATGACTCTTGCATTGCGATGACGGCTAGGATTACTGGGTCCACGCTGTATTTGGACCCGGCGCTTTGGAAGTACCCGTCGTATTGCTTGCATGCCGAGCCTATTCCATTGTAGAAATTGTCCAGGGAGACATGGTAGACGTCGTCTATGGAGAGGAAGGGTGGGTTCCAACCATCGCCGGTGATGCCTGTGTTGAGCCAATCTTCGGATCTGGTCTTTCGTTAGGGATGTGGACTAGGGTGGGAGGGTTATGGTGCGTACCCGTTTGGACCTGTGGTTGATGTGACATCTTCGGTTGCTCCGGTGGCTTTGGGGTTGGATCCTACGCCTGGATTTGTGGACTGGGCTGTTGAGTGGGCAGCCAGAGCCAAGGTAGCGAGAGCGATGGGTTTGAGAATGGCCATTGCTGATATTGAATCTTTGATATGGAGCTGATCAAAGCAATTGTTGAAGGGTTAAGCTAGGAAATCTGCTCAACTTTATAGTGTTGGGGTGTTAATTAGTATTCACTAAGTTGCCTCTCCTTTACTCGATGTAACCTGCCAGGGTTGTTTCAGCTTTGACAATCGTAACATAGCTCAAGAGGAGTTTCTCGGAGTAGACAGCTATATGTACCAGGGTAGGAGGGCTAGTAAGAAACTAAATGGACCAGTTTCTGAATTGGGTATAGTGGATGGCCTACTAAGGTAAATGTGAAGGCCTCAGCGTTGGGTTAATTTCGCCCCAGGGGTCCTATAGTATGCAGGGTGCTCCACTGAAGATTGCGGGCAAGTGGATTCCCGTTAATCGCGGAACAGCTAGGCCGAAAGTCAGGAGGAAGCCATAGTAAATTCTTGCCGTTCAGGTTTATCCACTGTCCTTAATGAAGATCGCCAGATCTCTATAGGATGAATCAAAGGCATGATTTATATGCCCGGACGGAACATCGAGGGTACTTAGGTTGGTAATTCGACATGGACCATCTTGACAAAATTCGAGTTTGTTGATAATCCTGTCGGTGTTCAAAGTCTCTTGCAAGCCGCCCGTCGCTGTGTCCCACAACCTCACGGTCTCATCATCGGAGCCGGACGCCAGTAGCTGGCCGTCGGGCGGGAAGGCCACCGAGCAAACCCAATTTGAATGGCCCTCGAGAGTCCGTAACTCTGCACTCCTTTTTTTGTTCACCTGTGGGAACTGGCATATCCAATGAGGAAGCTCCGACTCAAACTCTGTACGAATCATTGCGGTTCGAAGTGCAAATACACTTGTCCCGCGGAATAAATCTGAAGCGGTGCTTGATCGGCTATCAGGCGATTTTTCAGAACAAAGCGTGTTCCATCATGCAGAAAACCCGAAAATACAGAATTTTCGTCGCCCTATATCTATTAGTGTAAATTGCACATGGCTGCCTACTAGATTACTTAACAGTGTAAGCGTATGGAGGAGATCAAGCATACCCTCCACTTCCGATATAAGACCCAGCAGACTCATCACTTCCACCCAGTGTAAAAAATGCCTCTGGAGGAACAGTAGTATGTCTTGGAAGATGAAGCCTGACTTTGTTCGAGATGGTGTACTCAGTAGCAACACGAGCACTGTAATTCCGGTGGAAGATTGTACAAGGATCACTATTCATTTTTATTATCATTATTTCAAGAAAGCGACCACCTACTATAGTAACGCAAAGCCAAATTGACAAAAGCCCCAACGGAGACTAGGACAGTTCGCTCGAGATAACCCCCTAATACATCAAGGAAATAAGGTTAGAGAAGTTCCTCACTCGGTACCCGGGTTTAATATGGAAAGAATCAATCGATATGTAGCGATTGGAAAAGGCGGACGTTACGTCCAAAGTGGAGAACTCAGCAAGCAGCTAGGGACGTATGGACGAAGTTATAGTGCATTTTGTACAGGAAGCAGGTGAACGATGCAGAACACATGCCACCATACTTGACATACCATACTTGTTGACGAAGCGGAAGGGCAACAAACTAAATGTTGGAGTACAACGCAAAGTCGAATCCTTCGCGTACGCAATTACAATCGAAAGCTATTTGCTTAGAAGAGCACCTAGAATAAAAGCCTAGAAATAGAGCTCTTAGCTGCATCAACTCTCTGTTTTCTTAGATCAGAATCCAACCGCACCCCACGAAGAAGCCGTATAATCTCCTTTGCCAAATTCCCAACCTGCCATAACACTAGTCAAATAGTCATCCCCGCTATACCAGCCATTGCTAATGCCATGCTGGAAGAAAGGCGTTAAACTACCCGAGAACCAACCTGAGTTATCCGGGTCGACGTAAGTCATGGTAAGAGCACCGCCGGTTGGCCAACTGTAAATACAGGTCAAAAACGTCGGCGTTAGATATAGACGACTCAGTGTAACTTACTGATACAAGTAAACATCCCACTCTTTGCCTCCAATATTCACGTTCCGTGCCCAAGGCACCGCACCGTTTGAGTCATAGTGGTCGGAGAGAGGAGAATTTGGGGCGCGATAACCGACCCAAATCATCACCTCGTATTTCGAGTTGCGATCAGTGGGAGCGTAGCTTGGGTCAATGAAAATGTCGTAGCTAGCCAATTAATATGAATGAATTTCCGAACTCAGAATTATATTAAAGCGTTGAGTCTTACCAAGCATCATACCCTTGGCCATCCGCGGGATTAGCAGACTGACTAAACCAGGTATTATGCCCCGGGTTAACATCGTTGATCTTCTTAGGCAGAGTATGGATTGGCGACCAAGTGCCCCAGTCTTCGCCAGTGACCATCGCAACAAATCCAGTACCACCTGGTGCGGACACACCCCAAGAATTGTCGTTATTATACCATGCACCAATGCTGCCAGAAGTACTGAAATGCTTAAAGTAGTAAGTGTTTGAATCAGCACCGTTGACGGAGCGACCAAGCCCAGTCAAGAGGATAAAAGAGGTAGAAACAAAACGATAGAACCACTTCATGGTGATTGTAAGACCGTTCCCTTTGGCGAATTGCGAGACTTGCAGGCCATCTATTCAAGCTATGTATAGAAGATTCGGTATTTATGCTCTCCGGAACTAGCGAAAGCTAGCAGCGGTCCTGGATAAAATGGGGTCTGCAGGAATGACAGGATCTTCGTCCATCTCAATACCCCGGCGGGGTAATCAGCAGGCTGCATTTCCACTAACTCAAATGGCCACTCACTAGTCGCAATGCTACTCTACTGAGCGGGCTTTACCCACAGGTTTTGGTGTGAACTACATGTGTCGGAAGCCCTCTGGTGATCCGCCACATTCTAGCGAATATATCGCGGCACGCCTTGTCCGATGCGGCAGATTTAGAATAGATTGCCAACTTCACCTCAGCCGTGACATGGGGTTTTAGCCGGATACCAATAGACAATGTCTACGCTCTCCCAATTAAAGTTTACACCCGCTGCAAGGAGAAACAAAGGGATAGGTTATTGGCTCATGCGGGCGCTGAATATATCCTAAATGTACACCGACGGCAAATTGTTGTACCGTGGATTTAGACTGTAAAGATGCGCTGATTTTGCGGGGTCGTCTCATGTCTCTATAAATGCGTCGAGAAGTTTGGCGGCTACTTGGAACAAATGCACTAACTTTAATACGTGAAATACTCCACTACACGATCATCTTCGCAACTCTGTGCTCCACTCATCTGAGACGACGAAATGTCGCTACTCAAGCTCCTCACGAGGGCCCTTTATCTGGCTGCTCTCGCCACTGGAGTAGCTATGCCACTTTCCAGCATAGACATTGACACCAACTCTCCGAGAGTTGACCTTGGATACTCAATATACCGTGGTGTAAGACTCGAAGCGGGCGTGGATCAGTTCTTGGGCATGCGATATGCCCAGGCCCCACTCGGCGATCTCAGGTTTAGAGCGCCCCGGCAGCCCGAGGGTAAGGTTGAAGAACAAGATGCATCCCAAGTCGGTCACAGTCCAAGACCTATTGCCCTTGACAATATCGAAGCGTAGACTAACTCGACCTGACTACCTATAGTTTGGTCCTATTTGTGTCGGTACAGGGCAGCAACCAGGTCCAGGCATCGATGAGGACTGTCTATTTGTCAACGTCTTCAGACCCTCAAACGCTACGCCTGCCTCCAAGCTCCCCGTGCTGGTATATATCCAAGGCGGTGGATACGCAACTAATGCGAACTCCAACTACAATGGCACGGAGATCATTCGATCCTCGGGCGGCAACATTGTATTAGTCAACTTTAACTACCGCGTTGGTGTCCTTGGTTTTCTCGCCAGTGAAATGGTCAGGCAGGATGGAGACTTAAATGTTGGCCTCCTGGACCAACGGCTGTTACTGCTCTGGGTGCAGGAGCATATTAGCAAGGTGTGTTTGCGCATATTTACTTAACATGGTCCTTCTAGACAACTAACCATCTTCATTTTATCAGTTTGGTGGTGACCCAGGCCATGTTGTTATACAAGGCCCGTCAGCTGGTGGTGGCTCCGTATCCCATCACCTCGCGGCATACGGAGGCAATGCAAAAGATAAACTCTTCGTTGGAGCGGTTCTTGAGAGTCCCTTTTGGCCCACATTACGAACTGTCCCAGAGATGGAATTCCAATATCAGCGGCTGCTGGGCTTAACTGGCTGCTCGTCCGTAAGCTGTCTGCGAGAGATGAACACTTCTGCTCTCCAGGCAGCAAGCTACGGCTCCATCTTCCCCGAAGCTAAACCCAGCGACCCCACACCACTTTGGTACTGGTTACCGACCATCGACAACAAACTCATCCCTGACCAGCTATATACCGCTTTCGCAACTGGCCGGTTCGCCGCTGTACCCATGCTTGTGGGCCACACCACAAACGAGGGCTCGTACTTTGCATATAACGCGTCCAACGCCTCCCAAGTCTCTGCCTTTCTCCGCACCAACTACCCCCATCTCACAAACGCACAGTTAGAAGACATCAATCAGCACTACACGCCAATGGACCCCGTCCCCAATCACGCAGCATTCTTCCCCAGCGCTTCCGCCGCGTATGGTGACGCTACCTTTACCTGCCCTGCCAATGACATAGCAGGCGCCGTGGCGCGGTTCCTAAGCCGGGAGCGGGTGTGGAGTTACCGGTATAACGTGCTTGATCCGGAGACTGTAGCCGGTGGCTTAGGGGTCCCCCATACGTTTGAGACGAGCGCTATTTTTGGACCGGGACAAGCAGGCTCGGCCCCAGCGTCTTACTACACAACCAACGCACCTATTGTGCCCGTAACCATGGGGTACTGGGTGAGTTTTATGCGGAGCCTAAATCCGAACACTTATAAAGAACACGGTTCGCCGACATGGAAACCATGGGGGAATTTCCAGGGTCGTCAGCTTCGGCTACAGACTAATAACACAGCGATGGAAGAGGTTCCGGATTGGCAAGTCGGGAAGTGCTTACTATGGAAGCATCTTGCTCGGACAATGGAGATATAAGCCACTGACGATTATCACACCATGGCGGGACCGTACTTATTTGCTGAGGATATAGTAACAAAGTATACAAAACTCGTTCAGCCCATCAGCCAAAGGACAATGGTACACCTTCGAGTCGAGATATATTCCGAGATCTATTCTAAATCTCCCTGGGCATTCGGTGTTAACGGAGATCCAGCACGGTAGACTCATTGTGGGGATGCCGTCCAGGATCGTCTCCATCGCGGCGTTTCACCGACGTGTAGATGAAAGGAACACATAACTAGGCTACTCTCGATGATGTGATGATGCATCACGTATGGTCTACCTGCCTCGCCTTCCCCCAGACGCGTGATCTGATTAACTTCCTCTGTTCTTAGGAGACATAGCACGTCAATTTGCGCACGACAGAGCGGAAACTCTCCAACCAAAGTCGGACAAGATATATTTTCTCCGGGGTTAGCTGACTAGCTCGGATCAATGCCAATTCTGCCCCCCCCCCACCAACGGCAAATATAGGGGCTAAGCTGGATGCGCAGAGGGAGCACGAGCGATGGGAAAGGTTTAGGCGGGGGGCCATTTCAGCGCTTTAGGGGAGTTCAGGGTGTTGGTGAAGAACAAAGGAGCTGGAGAGTAAAGTAGCAAGGGTACTAGTCCTGCGAATCACAAAAAAAAGGGCGAAAACAAACATACAACTGCCAGGATTCGCATGTGTTCACCCACCACACCAGCTCGGCCGCGGAGCAGACACTCAGAGTTGGCCCCCACATCGTCTACGATAATACTGTCTTCTCTTTCTTCTCACATGCTCATTCCCGCGAGCCTCGTACAATGGCGACTACAACCACAATAGAGGCCCTTTCTCTCGAGCACGAAGCATTCACCGACTTGCCTGACCAGCGGAAACAGCAACAGCAACAGCAAAATCGACCACCACCTACGGCAGCCTCGGAACGAAAACTTGAGCCTCTCAACATCGAATCTGCCCCAGACACAGAGCCCAACTACCCAACAGGCTCTAAATTTTGGTTCACCATCATCGCACTGTGCGTGGTCCTTATCGTCGGAGGCCTAGACGCCAATATCGTCAGTACAGCCGTGCCGAGCATCACTAACCACTTCCACACTGTCGCCGATGTGGGATGGTACTCATCAGCATTTCGACTCTGCACCTGCGCATTCCAATTCGGGTTCGCGAAGCTGTATAAGCTCTTCTCAATCAAGGTAATCTTCTTGATAAGCAATGTTATCTTTCTCGTCGGCTCTTTACTCTGTGCCACGGCTGCTTCGTCGACTATGTTCATTGTCGGGAGGGCAGTGACGGGTCTAGGGTTCTCGGGTGAGTTGGCTGGGTGTTTTGCCGTCGTGGTACATATTCTGCCGCTTAACAAGCGACCGGTGTTTGCGGGTTTGATGGCGTGTGTGGAATCGCTTGCGATCATTGCGGCGCCTATAGTAGGTGGTGCATTGACACAGTCTTTAGGGTGGAGATGGTGTTTCTGGTATGCTCTTCTCATCACAGACATGATCAAGGTAGCTTAACACTGTCTGTTAGGATCAACCTTCCTATTGGCAGTGTATCGCTGGCGACTTTGTTTTTCCTCTTCTCAGACCCAAGAACCCGCCAAGAGGACGACCTGACGGTGACTCAGAAGATCAGAGAGCTCGACCTCGTTAGCAACTGCTTGTTCATCCCATCACTCACAACACTCTTCGTCGCACTATCTTGGGCGGGAACAAAGTATCCCTGGTCAGATCGGAAAGTGATTGCATTGTTCCTTGTATTTGCTGTGCTACTCGCCGCTTTCGTCTTCAATCAATACCGTCGTGGAGACTCAGCAGCCCTCCCTTTCCGCATTATCAAAAATCGAAGTGTCATCGCGGGCTTCATCTTCACGACGTGCACTAATTCGATGACGAACGTCTTAGAGTGGTACTTACCAACATACTATCAAGTCGTTCGATCCCGGGTAAGGCTTCGTGGCTAATTCGTGATTACAAGAAAATTTACTGACAAAGTTATATCCTGCCAGACCCCAAGCGAGAGCGGCTACCTTATGATCCCTATCCTCGTTGGAATGATGCTCGGGCTCTTTCTTCAGGGCATCGGCACCACCACATTCGGCTACTACGCTCCCTTTATGATCTTTGCCTCCGTATGCATGCCAATCGCCGGGGGCTTAATGACAACATACGGTCTCCACACATCGCTAACCAAGATCATCCTCTATTCCGGATTCGTAGGCTTCAGTGGAGGCATCGGCTTCCAAGCTCCCCAAGCGGCAGTCCAGACAACCTTAAGTGCTGCAGATGTCAACTTTGGGATTGGGGTTATCTTGTTTGGGCAGAGTATGGGTCCCGCGGTGTTTATCGCTATTGCGCAGGTTATATTCACGAATCAGTTGTCGTCAAGTTTGGAAGATGTTGTACCAGGTTTGACACCTGCGTATATTGAAGAGCACGGACTTGGTGATATTAAGAACGGGGTTCCTTTGCAGCGGTGGGATGAGGTTACGGGTGGTATCAACCGGAGCTTGACTCATACTTGGTACCTCACTGTCGCGTTGGCTTGCACAACGATGGTGGGAAGTCTTTTGATCGAATGGCGCTCGGTTAAGCAGAAGCAATCGTGAAGTACGGGCTGGCGGCACGAAAGGAGAGTTCAGGTAATACAGGTTGTAGATGACCTTGCCTTTCGCATGGAAGAATCATATTCGTCCGTACTAAAAGAGCGTTAGATCTTGAACTAATCTTGAACTATCGTACATACTCGTAATAGGGCATATTTATTTCCACATATTCCAGGAGAGACTTTCTGGCAACTTCACGGTGAGTGAACCAGTGATCCTTTTACCACCCCAGTCACTTCGAGGTCGATAGTTGCCGAAAGTGTCGCCCACGTAAAATAGTCCATTCTAATAGTGACTAGTGTAGGGGCATCGGTCTTAAAGGCCTCCACAATATTGACTTAGAACTTAGTGGGTAAGTTCTCGATAACCTTGCGGAACTTATTAGCCACAACCTAACAGTCCCTATCTGGCATTAGGTGTATTAGGACATATTTTTCTTTCTGATGAGAACAAACCACCCTTCGGCATTTTGAACCTAAGTGCAATCGGACTAGATCCGCCTAAATGCTTCAGTTATGGTACCAGGCAGTTTTAGGTCTTTCCGTTTGGAGCTCGGCGAAGATAGCCGTTATAGTGATAGTTAGAACACCGGGCTTTCGCAGTGCGCAAATTGCCTTACCGAAGAGTTGGGTAAATGTACGCTGCCTGCTCGTTATCGAGTTGTCTGGAATTTGTCCGACGCAGCTAGGACCTGGCAGGAATAAGGTTCTTTCAGAGGATATACTCAAACGACTTTGGCAACAATACATACGACCCTACAGTCACCATGCCACATGGGCAGACCTTATCAGACCGGCGAACCCGGCAGAGTTCGGCGAAACTCCAAGAACAATGAGTAACGTCAGTCGCATCCCGCGCCGTCAAATGTGGCGGTTCCAATCATTAACTCTGAATATATTCCCCGCAGTGAGAGCGATAGATTCCGGTTTTGTGCTAAAAGTGGAAACCCTTAGGATCCTTTATCGCGAAGAGCTTGAACAAGTCAAATTCCCAACAGAGTTTACGACCGCTTCACCATGTAAGAAATGCCACGCTTTCGTGGCACTTTTGCCAAGGGAGCTTTTTTAAATATGACCAAGATTCCCCCGAAGGCGAGATGACCCAGTCTTTAATTGAGGTTTATCGCTGGTCCCATATTTAGAGATCTGCCTTGAAGAAATTTTCCCCTTCATCTGCCTTCTCAGTGGGCTTGCAAAATGGCCCCCTTTATGCCAAATACCGAGTTGCCATATACAGTCGGTGCGATAGTGGGCGGACGCACTGGACGATCATGGGTCACCAACTCTGGTATCATCAAGCTCAACTTAATGCTTGCTATTTTCCAGATCTCAAGTTATGCCACTGGATATGATGGATCCATGATGAATGGCCTCCAGTCCCTTACTACCTGGCAGAAATCTTTCAACAACCCCGGAGCTTCTGAGCTTGGCCTGTAAGTGGAAATCACACTGGCTTGCGTGATTTGACCTGCATATATAGCGGACAGTAAGCGAAGAAACCTCCCATACTGACACATTTTTACACAGCTTAAACGCCATCCAGAATGTCGGCCAACTAATCACCATGCCAATCTGCGCCTTTAGCTGCGATAAGTTCGGACGCCGTCCGGTGCTTTTTGTTGGCGCCTTTATTCTCATAATAGGTGTCACCTTACAAGCCGCGGCACAAAATGTCGGCATGTTCATCGCAGCTCGTGGCATCATCGGTATGGGCCTTGTCCTAAATATCACTGCGGCACCACTGCTTCTCTTGGAGTTGGCGTTTCCTCGACAGCAAGGCCCACAGGTAGCCATATACAACAGCTTGTGGAACTTAGGTGCTCTTGTCGCCGCATGGGTTACTTACGGCACGTTCCGCATCGAAAACACCTGGGCGTGGCGCATCCCGTCCCTCCTCCAAGGCCTGTCCAGCGTGATCCAACTCGGACTTTGCTTTCTCATTGAGGAGTCGCCACGCTGGCTCATCAGCAAGGAACGCGACGAGGAAGCGAGGAAGTTGATTTGCAAATATCACGCCAACGGCGATGATTCTGATCCCCTCGTCACCCTGGAGATGGCGGAAATTCGCACTGCGCTTCAACTCGAGACTGAAGCCAGACGCAATACCTCGTATTTGACCTTCTTCCAGAGTAAAGGCAATATCAGGCGCTTTTTCATCATTCTGTCGGTGGGATTCTTCTCACAGTGGAGCGGGAACGGCCTCATTTCGTACTATCTGACACTGGTTCTTAACTCAATTGGCTATACAGCGGAGAGCACTCAGACTCTCATCAATGCTCTGCTCACACTATGGTCTATGATCTGGAGTCTTGTTTTCGCCGCCTTGATGAACAAATTCGGTCGGCGAACCCTCTTCCTCATCTCCACAGGAGGTTTACTGGCAGTCTATATTGTGTGGACGGCGCTCGAAGCCACTTACGAGAAGACGACGGCGCTTGATGGAATTGGAGGTGACGGCTACGCAAAAGGTGTTCTAGCAATGGTATTCCTGTACAACTTCTTTTTCTCCATTGGCTGGACACCTCTACAGGTAACATACTGCATCGAGATCCTACCCTTCGATCTACGTGCCCGAGGTCTCGTTCTTTATAACCTTTTTGTCGCACTTGCGGGAATCTTTAACCAGTATGTGAACCCCATCGGTGTCACGAATAGCAAGTGGAAGTTCTACATTACGTATGATGTTTGGCTGGCTTTTGAGCTTGTGGTGGTTTACTTCCTTTTTGTGGAGACCGGCAATCTCAGTCTGGAGGAGACGGCCGTGATCTTGGATGGAGAGGAATATGGAAACAAATTTGTTGGAGTTTCGGCATCGATAGCGGAGAAAAGGCTTGGCGAGAATACGAAGGCTCAGGCAATGGTCGATAGCAAAGTGGTCACCGAAGATCTGTGATGCCCAATGAGCAACATATTTTGAATTGCATTTCTTAGACTTTACCCTTTGTCTAATTACTCCACTAAACTAACGGAAAGCGACAAGCCTCTGGACATATCACCGGTGAAGTGCGGGGAATTAGCCGGAATTTCACCGAGTAGGCTTAATTCCTATCACTCGAAGCTTTAGCTCGTCCTCCGAGGACATTCAAAACGTAGTAGTCTTTATAAAAGAAAAGGCCCCGCCATGGTATGGGCTGATCGTGAATTGATTGCCCCGCAGCTCTTTTGACCTTTTGTTACAGCCAAAATGAAATTGAACAACATCGCTAGATATGCAATCAGTGGTACCATTGCCGTCAACAGTGCCTCAGCTGCCCAGATAACAAACAGCTTGACCCAAAGTTAGTGTCGTAAAGACATCCCACGATATAGGCACTTATTAACACACCTATGTTACAGGCGCACAGGAGCTGTTCGACTGGTCTATGTATGTCAACGATAAGCGCTGGGATGATTCATACAAGTACATCTGGTATTCGGACAAGGGCCCGTGGTCAACTCGATTCACAGCATGGTATACCGCCGGTCTACTTTACCGGAACAAGGGCCATGATCTGAATAACGCCAAGGCAGCAATTGAGAATATGTAAGACCATCTCCATCTCCAGTACCAATTGACTTGATTTTTCCGTGTCTTTAAACTGATTACAATGCCCCAAGCATTTCATGCCAAATGACTGAGAGTTATGAGTCGGCTTGGTATGGTACATTTAAGCTTTCACCTGACGAGCCCTATCCCACTCCTGATTCGGACCTGTATCCACCAAAGATATATGTAGGTTGCCCTCAATTCCCTGGAAAGGGCCAAGCCAGGATTAGAATCCAGCTAACAGGGGAACTTCAATAGACCACCTATGACCCAAATTGGAGAGAATTTATCGGGACACAGCTCGTGCAAATTGTGGAGGAGTTTTCCGATCTACTCGGGGAGAGTCTCGTATCGCGCATCGAGGACAGCTTGGAGATTGCAGCTGTTGGCTCTATGCGCCGTAATGGGTCTTACCCGGAAGGAGACAACCTAACGCCAGCGTACTCTAATCCAGCTATAATGCGCGCGTGGTATGTTTCTTGGATTGGCCAGCGCCGCAGAAACCAGGTATGTGACTCCGCAAGAGTCAAATTGCAGCTCTGAGTGATCTGACTAAATATTCAGACATTTATCGACTACGCCAATGAACAGGGCAAATCTATCCTGGAGCTATTTAAATCGACAGGTTCAAATGTACTGTCTGAATACAACGCACCAACCTACTACGGAATGGATACCTGGGCACTCGCGGGTGCCATCAAATACGGGCCCAAGGATGCCGCCATGACCAAGAATGCCAAAATCATTTTGACAGATCTATGGGCGGATATAGCCGCTCATTACAACCCTTATCTTGTCAATATGGTGGGACCGGTGTGTTTTTTTTCTCAGCGCATACTACTCGAGGCCTACTAACAGAATTATATCAAACAGTATGATCGGGCCTACACACGCGATATAGTCTCCAACTCAGCTGTTATCAACTACTTCTGGTGGGGTCTGTACGGCTATGGCGGGCCTCAGTCCAATAAATTAGAGTCGGACCTGTTGTACGATGTCACACAGGGTGCAGCATTGGCGCTTGTCATGGATGTAGTCGCGGAAAGCATCTCGAAAAAGGATTCTACGTGGCTCGCATCTCAGAATTACTGGGATGGGGAGCGGATGATCACTAAAAAGGTTCCCGATGCCCTCGGTGCCGACGCTGGGGTCCGAGTTGTCACTTCGTGGATTAGCGCCCCCCTCATGATCGGTGCTCAGCAAGTCTCTGAAACTGTTAATCGCGGTGAGCAATTCGTCCCGGCTATCGTGCAGTGGGCTGGTGACAAAGACCATACACCCCATCCGTATATGGCCTTGTTCTCTCTTTATCCGACAGCGTCGACTATTCATGCCGTTGCAGGGCCTAACAGCCTGGAGATCTCGTATCCGAACACCACTCAAGATGGAACTGATATATTCACGTTCGCGCTTGCGCAACTGCCGCCAAGTTGGACTCTTGTCAAGAAGAAGGTTGTCGGGGGTCTTGAAGACCTTCCTTGCCTCGATGTCACCGTCAGCGCAGAAGGCTTGGAGCAGCTACCAGTCGTTTATGGTGCCAACGTTGAGGATAATCGTGTTTACAACATCTCCTATGTTGTCCCTCCTACCTTCGCAGGTGTGCCCAAGATCTCATTGAAATTCAAGTACACTTGTTAACAATGTGATAACGCTACTTGTTGAAACCGACATCCTTGTTGCTCAAAGCGTGCCTGAACTTCCTAGAAGTATAGCTACATAATGTTCAAGTAGAGTACACCCAGATAGTTGAAAGACTTGTATGTCAACAAGTACATGTTTAGATATTTCTCGGCATTCTAACCGAGTCGAGTCAGAAAGTAACCCCGCCTAACATCTATTGTCTTTCTGCATCTGCGGGGTCTACCTTTGACTGCATAACGCTGCGTTGTCATCCGGAGAAATGGATTGGTTTCCCGGAATCCTGCCGGGGTATGAGCTGGGGTTCACCGTCTTGGCCCCGCCGGAGTTTGTCCTTATCTTATGGCCCTCGTCCCCTGCCAGCTTAACCTCGGTTGGCCATCTCTCAGAACTCACTCCTCAGGGCAAAGCTTTTGACCATGTCATTTCCCAAAGAACTGCCGGACTGGAACAATCTCAAGGTCATCCACAAGGGAACCCTTCCGCCACGAGTGCACTTCTATTCCTATACCTCAGAAGAAAGCGCCCGCACCTTGAACCGCGACAAGAGTGAGTACCTGTCACTAAACGGCACTTGGAAATTCAGACATGATGCGTCGCCTTTTGAGGCCCCCGAATGGTCCTCTGCGGACCCTGTGAGCTGGGATGACATTCAAGTACCGGGGATGTGGCAGCTGCAAGGATACTCGCATCCGACCTACACTAATGTCAATTATCCATTCCATGTCAACCCCCTGAAGTACCTCTTCTCAACGAGACAGGATCCTACTGGAGACAGTTCGTCACGCCCTCGAAATGGGACGGGCAACAGATTCGTATCCGCTTCGAGGGCGTAGACAGCGCCTTCCACCTCTGGGTCAACGGCGAGCTTGTCGGCTACTCCCAGGGCTCACGCAATCCTAGCGAGTTCGATATCACACCCATGCTTTTCGCGCCCGCTTCCGTCAACACTATTGCGGTCCGGGTGTACGAGTTTTGTGATGGCTCATATATTGAGCGCCAAGACCAGTGGCTTCTCAGTGGCATTTTTCGAGATGTCGGCTTGCTGCCCTTCCCATCAGACTCGGTGATTGACTTCAACGCCGTTGCCACCATCGAGAAAGATCCCGAATGGAATAGCACGCGGGGGAGGTTGATCACTAACATCAAAGTCCAAGGTAAAGATGGCGATGTTCGGGCTAAGTTGTATGATCCCAATGGCAGGTTACTTCATGAATCGGTATTTCCATCCACGGAACCTACTACCATTTATGTGCCCGACAGGGATCTGAAACTGTGGTCAGCCGAAACCCCTGTACTATACACCTTGCTTATCTCTTTCAACGGCCGGACGATTCCCCAACGCATTGGATTCCGATGCATTGAGGTCATTAACTCGAACTTCTTGGTGAATGGGAAGCCAATCATCTTGTATGGCGTGAACCGCCATGAGCATCACCATCTCCATGGCCGGGCCGTGCCATGGAGAAACATGCGTGCGGATCTCATCCTGATGAAGAAGCATAACATAAATGCCCTACGATGCTCTCACCAGCCAAATGACCCCAGGCTTTATGATCTCTGTGACGAGCTAGGTCTCTACGTTATGGCTGAAGCGGATCTCGAGTGCCATGGCTTTGATCCAGTGGAACGATTTAACATCCCGAACCAGCAACTCATGACTGAACATGAGATCCAAGAGGAATCATACAAAATGGCCAAGAAGTGGACTTCCGACAACCCTGAATGGAAAGATGCTTACCTTGATCGTGCGATACAACTGGTCCAGCGGTTTAAGAACTTCCCATGCATTATTATGTGGTCTCTCGGAAACGAGGCGTTCTACGGAAGAAATCATGCCAGTATGTACAATTGGATCAAGGACGCTGACCCAACGCGTCTGGTACACTACGAGGGAGATAGAGAAGCTATCAGCGCCGATCTGTACTCTACCATGTATTGGAGTATAGATGCGCTCAAAAAGCATGTCGCTGAGAAAGGCGACAAGCCATTGATCCAGTGCGAATATGGTCATGCCAGTAAGTTTATCAAACGGTTCAAAAAACACACATTCTAATCGCGTCTTCTGACATTTGTATTAGTGGGCAACGGACCCGGGGGCTTGAAGGAGTACATTGAAGCCTACCGCACCGAAAGGCTTCTTCAAGGAGGTTTCATCTGGGAGTGGTGTAACCATGGGCTTTTGAAGAGGGATGGGGACACGACTTATTACGCCTATGGCGGCGACTTTGGAGACGAACCCAATGATGCAGACTTTATTCTTGACGGGATGGTGTATTCTGACCACATGCCTACTCCCGGATTGATCGAGTACAAAAAGGCCATCGAGCCAGTCACAGTGACACTACATCAGAATGGGCAACATTTAGAAGTTATAAACCATTACGACTTCAACACGCTTGATCATCTTTCCGTGACATGGCATCTCGTCAAAGAAAGTGGGAGCACGGATCCAGTGCCGTGGAAACTGCCGGTTATTGAAGCCGGGACTGCTGATCTGGTTGAATTCCCAGAAGGAGTGAGCTTCACCTCTGAGCCAACCTGGCTCACGTTCAACTTCTGTTTGAAGGAGGCCACTGCTTGGGCACCGAGTGGGCACGAGGTTGCCTGGGCACAGGTTGCCCTACACGAAAAACAGAAATTGACAATTCCTGCAACATTGAGCTTGCCACAGTCCATACTCTCTGTACGCGAAGGCCCAGGCAGACTATATATCACCTCGAACAGCTTTTCTTCTCAGTTCACCTACGACCTCATCAGGGGCGACCTGTCGTGGTCAACTGACGCAGGCAAGATCTTCCACAGCGGACCACAATTAGGAATTTACCGTGCCATGACGCAGAATGATCTTGGTTCATCCGGTCCTTGTATTGAATGGGAACGCTTCCGTGTGAAGAGCACTAGCATGCTCATCCAGTCCGCCTGTTGGTATGTGAATGAAGACGGAAGCGTATCTATCAAGACAAAGGTTCGAGTGGCGCCCACGGTGCTGCAGTGGGCAATGGAAGCCATCCTCGAGTACACAATCACACAGTCATCTGTGACAATCCACGTCACCGGCGACTTCACCGGCTCTCACCCAAAATACATTCCTAGACTTGGACTTACGCTTCGACTGCCCCGTCGTTACGATTCAGCTACATGGTTTGGCAGGGGTCCCGGAGAATCCTATCGTGACAAAAAGAGCGCTTCTCGGTTTGGCACGTACACGGCTTCTCTTGATGACGGTCTACAGACGCCATACGAATGGCCTCAGGAGAACGGAAATCGCATCGATACGCACTGGGTGTGTGTCAATTCCTCGCCTCCGGATATTCCCCATTCTACCTCTGCTGGGGCCGATGCAGCTTTCCCGGTAATCAAGGCTATGATGGATGCGCCTTTCAATTTCTCGCTGCGGAAGTACAGCATTGCTGAATTGGACCGCGCGAAGCACCCGCATGAGCTATCCGAGCTTAGGGACGAGACTGAATTGAATATTGACTATGCGCATCATGGAATCGGGACAGCTAGTTGTGGTCCTGGTCCTCTTGAGGGTCACAGATTGGAAGCTGGACCTTTTGATTTTACGGCTAATTTTAGGCTCATTGGTCATCGTCAGAGTTGAACTTTTACTATCTAACTGGTTGAAAAGATACACTTTATTCAAGTCCGATAATGAGAGGTCGAGTTACACACCAAATATGATTTTTTGTTACTAGTGAGGAATTCTGTCTTTCGAGCACTCTATATGTCGAAAATGGCCTTAATTTACTCCGTCCAAGAGTTACTGAAGACAGGCAATTTTTGTAGTAATTTTGTTTTCAAGTCGTGGAAATCGTCGTTAAGTCAACTCCCAAGTAACCGTTTCATTTTATCGTTCATCAATATCATTCCTCTTCAAAAGGTGTCTTTACACGATATTTTTACCTAGTTAACCACCTCTTCTTTCTATTGCCCACACTTAATGCCCGCATTTCAATTTACATTCCTAATATTGATTACCCATTCTGGAGCCCACGTTTTATATCGCGAGACCCGTCACGTTCCTAGTATTCTATTCGACCCTGGGATCTATAGCATGGTTCCTAGGCCCACGCTATTGATTGCTTCTAGGAGTAAGAATCATAGTTCCCAGAGGGCCTACAGCTCCCGGGGGTGAACTGTATAGCTCCGGGGAACGAGAGGTAGTATCCTAGGAGCTTAGGTTACTACCTCTAGGAGCTCCTAGGATACTACCTCTAGGAACAATGTATAGCGTGCCTAGGAGAATAGAATCTAGGACCAGATATCATCTAGCACGGATCCAGACCTCACTGAATTTTATATTAAGAAGGCGAGCCAAACGCCACCGCTGTATAAGGCGCAGGGATATATGTACTTCGTTTTGAGTCTCGTCTAGAAATATAAAGTCCGACTTATGATCTTTGTAACATGAGCTATGTAGTTACAAGAGAAACGTCTCAGGACAGTTTAGCACCCGAGAGGCATCTCTTGATTCAGCATATGTAACGTAGAGAGAATTTTGTGTGTTCCACTATAAGAAGGCGATCACGACAATACTATCGAAAGAATCATGATAACTTGAAAAGAAGGAATTAAGGGCCCGAAATGATAAGAGATAGATTCGCTAGATCCACCTGCACGGCACCAGTGATCGTCAGATTCCCCTCGACACCAACAGTCGCGATCTCTCCAAGACATTTTGATGGAAATATGAAATTAGTGGTAAGTGGTACGACGGAAATCGTGGTTGTCATTTATTCTCATGAGACCATGCAAAATTCTGCAAATTGTGAGGGCTGTCAGAGGCGCACTATGAGGAACTCATCAGTTTTTTTTTTTTTTTTAAAAAAAAAAAAAAAAAAAATTAGAAATTCGAAGGAGGGCCCACCTTGGATTGGGGGCCGAGCCGCACAGCCTCAGACCCTTTCGTCATATAACTATACAATATCTTTTGGGAAAAAAAGGGTCAACGGCTAAAATGTATTGGGATTAGTGTGTTTCAAATTAGGGTCCAAACCTTCTCATCGCGCCGGCCTAAAGAATTATCACCTACTCACCCTGCTACTCACCGCGGGAGTAACTGCCCCCCGCTTTTTGTATCGTTCAGCCCCCAAACCCGCAGCCATTGACACGTGTCTGACAGTTCCTCAATCCAGACACTAATTATTGTATTCTCGCTCTACCTCGCTTTATTTTGGTAAAGTTAACTTGTGTTTACTTTCCGGAGGATCATTCTTGCTCCGTTCTTTGCAAAAATGGAGGGAACATCAGCCGATGCTACTGTGCCCCTAAAACATAATGGTGGCTTTATTGTGCCCTCTACTGAGGAGGACGTGGATCGTGTTACAAAGGAAACACCACTACAGCGTACATTCAACAACTACTGGGGCTGGGAAATTCTAGCATATGTCACCAGTTTAGTTGCTCTGATAATTCTCATTGTTGTGCTCCAAAAGTATAACGGAAAGGGTATTCCCGATTGGCCGTTCGGCATCACCATCAATTCTATACTCTCCTGGATCACTCAGATCTTGACTGCGTGCATGCTCGCAGTGGTTGGTGCTTGCGTCAGTCAATCAAAATTGTTATATTTCAATGAGAGTGATCGGCCATTGGCTGACGTGAATATCTATGACTCCGCCAGCAGAGGACCGCTAGGATCCTTCGTATTTCTCGCCGAGCGAAGACTCGGACTTAGGTGAGTCACGTCATGATTGCCTATCTTCGTTTAATACTGATCAAATGAACAGAAACTTGGCTGCAATAGGTGCAGTGGTTACTATTCTATCTATTGGCGTAGGGCCTTTGGTCCAGCAGATGGCTTCAGTCGATAATGTTCGTGTTAAGTCGGATATACCGGCCTCTGTTCCCCGCACCAAGGCCTTCACAGATGAAGATAATTCACAGGATTTGCCTACATCTGGTCTGTTATCTTCTATCTATACATCTTTATATGGCGCATCAAACTTCAGCACAAACTTGAACTCTGTCATGCCCGATTGTCCTACCGGGAATTGCGACTTCTCCCCCTTTCGATCCTTAGCCGTCTGCTCCCACTGCATTAATATTACCGATTTGCTATCCTTTTCCGTCTCAAACAGCACATGTCGCCTGCGCTACCCTCGGGTCAATCATACTCTACCAAATGGAGTACACGCGCAGGTTGGAGGCGGCTACAGTGATCACGCTCTAGGCCCTATCACTGCGGGTGAAGCCTACAATAACGAAGCACTTTCAGCACCGGAAGCACTCGGCTCAAGCTCCTTTGTCAACTTCACAGCCATTTCCATTGCCAATAATTCAGTGCTAAATCACGCTTCTGCCATTCAGTGTTCCTTGCTTTGGTGTGTCAATACCTATGAGATTCACATGGAGAACAATAAGGCACACGAGACCTTGGTTGAATCATATCATGATCCAAAAGCTTGGTTTAACAATTCAATGCTCGAATTACGTCCTCCCACTAAAGGGAACCTTACGGCTTCTCTTTTTGCCGTCAGTCAAACGACATCAAATTATATTTCATACTGGTTCTCAGATAAACTTTTGATGAATAACAGTTACAGTGCTAGTGACACATCTTTTTGTTCAGGCGAAAAGGGATCAACGGACCAATTTACTACCGAATTCTCTCAGCCGATGCAGGAGAGTGGTATCACTGCTGTTTTTAGCCAGATTGCGGCAGGGATGACTAGTTATATACGAAAGAAAAACCTGGCAGCATTGAAATTCGACAGGGACCTTAACATACTCAAGTCTTATTCAGGCGAGCATGTGCATGGTATATCTTGGATGATACAAACTCAAATCAGGGTTCGATGGGAGTGGATTATCTTTCCAGTCGTGTTGCTTACGTTGACGTCGATTTTCTTTGTGACAACGGTGTTAAAAAGTAAAACCCAGAAGCTAGGTGTCTGGAAGTCGTCAAGCATTCCCCTACTTTGTTCAGGGCTGGATCAAAATGTTCAGAGAAATTTGTTGGAAAGCGGCAGCCCGGATCTGGCTGACAAGCTTGCGAACAATGTGCAAGTGAGACTATTGGACTGGGATGCGACTGAATACCCGGAATAACTCACCCCACTGATACTTGAGCGACGTGTATTAATGAAGTTTTGGCAATAAGAAAATCCTACCAATAGTGCTCGATCCACTTTGCTGCCATATTCCCTAGGCCTCAAATCCCAGCCCTCCTCCATAGTTAGTTATAGAGAACTAGGCGTCTCTATCCCACGGGGGTGGGCGGAGTCTGGGCTGACTCCAGGTTAGGGCCTTCCTTCCCTTCACTATAGGACATAAAAAGTGGGGCCACCCTATCCCACGAGCGTAACTTTTTCCCTTAACTATTTCAGGCAAAGTGGGTCGTGTGCCTTACTGTAAGTGAACTTCTTCGCCAGACTGCCAAGGTCTAGAGGCCTCAGATCGGGCTAAAATTGTAGCACGTTATAATAGACCATGTGAAATATCTCCTATTTGCTTCGGAGCATGCACAGCCTAGTAATTATTAAGAAAATGGCGATTGAAAATCGGAGATGTTTTGTTGGGGTGTACCATTACGGTGTACGATTAGCACCTAAGACGCCACTACAGCACTCTAGACGAATAGAACAACCTCGATAATGCTAGTCCATAATGACCAGAAGGAATAGGATAATCAAGATACATCTAACTCGAATTGAAAACTAAGGCCTAATCAAAACTTTCACTTTAACGTCCACACCTAGGCTGATATAAAATAAACTATATGTTTTACGCAGCCTCTTCGTTTTTGAAGACTAAGTATCTTCCTAGATGAGCAAAGAGTCTTATATCCCCCATCTATGCATTTTTACTAAGGATGTACACTGTGAAATGCACATACTACGCCCTCCTTAATTAGGCTTAGACAGGTGGAGAGAGGGTGAATATCAACAAGACGGTGTCCTTTTAACATTGCCCTAGAAATATTATGCCAGCTTAAAATCCTGTGGATGCCCCCGTTCAGCCCCCCATTGCTTCATTCCCTCGATCAGCGCACGACTAAATCCAGCATGATATCGCATTCCGTTCTCCGGCCATGACGGTCGCCCAGCTCTCCACACGCTCCAGTTCTCAGCCATAGCGCCTTCAGGGGCGCGCAGTATGCCCATCGCCACATCTACAATATTCGGTCGGTCATCGCAATGGTAAAAGACAGTTGCGCCGCATGTGCCGCAGAATACTCGGAGAACATCTTTCGTGGAGCGATAGCCCTTCGCAGATCCGATCAATAAATCCTCCGGCAGACGCGGCGTGATATGATCAAGCGATACAAACATCCAACTGATGACATGCGTGCCATTAACCAATCGACAGTCGTCGCAGAGATCCATACTTGCAAGCCACTTGCTCTCGTCCAAGGGTGAAATCCATCCTTTGCTTGCAGGGCTTGCGATGAATTCCTCACTGGGTCGGGCAATGCTGAAAGACACTCCGCCGCAATGACATTGCGCGAGGAGCTCTTTGCTTTCGGGATTAGGTGGCTGAGAATCGCTGCCAGCTATAGCCTGCGGAGATAGACCTAGATTTTCGGTCTGCAATTTATGTCCGTCAATGTCCGAAAAAACAGCTGCTAGTCCTCCGTCCGGCGCAGAGTTCGGAAGCATATGGGCGTTGAACTTCCAGATTCCTTCATCTTCTCTATTGGCGTCGAAAATTGCGGTAGAGATTGTCCATTGGCTATCGAATCCTCCAATCTGGCAACCACAAGTACTGCAGAAGTAGCCTGTCGCTTTTGATGCTGGGTGTTGATAACTAGTTAGTTTCTCGAGGCTGGATGGCGCAATAAACTGAAGCTCCACGCCAGATGGCAGTGGTGCATGGAAGCTGCATGGTGTGCCGTGGGTGTAGCGACAGACGCTACAGTGGCACAAGTGTACATTCAAGGGAAGGCATTCGGTGGGTATGGTGACAGTAAACTGGACACTATTGCAGTGGCACGAAGCCGTCAAAGTCTTGGTCGCAGCCATTTTTGCTGCACAAAACGAGAAATTCTTACTGCAGCAGGAAGAGGGCTGGAGGGGAAGTGCCTCTTTGTAACGTTAAATGCACGGGCCACCATGCAAGGCTCGTATTCGGAGTCATCGGCGGTGTAGCTTACCTTTTTGAATGCAACCATTGTATATCAGTGGGTCTTGCTTCGGCCAAAGTAGACATCCCTTAGGGATCCCTTTTCCCACTCGTCAGCTTACATGTTTACATGACGCTGCAGATTACTACCACAAAGCCGCTTCGTACCCAACCTTATTTCATCTTCGCCTCGCCTTCAATCATCCCCTATTCCCCGATCTAATATCCAAATACCACTGGATGACCGGCATGTCTATCCATCAAATCCTAGGCTTGAAGATCCCTCCCGAACACGAGGATTCGTTTGCATCGTTGACTCGGCTATGCGACGACCACAACCTTTTGAATCAGAAAGATGGGCATGAAACCCGAGATTTGCGTGATGGATTATCGGATCCAAGTACTCTGCTGTGCGTCTTTACCAAGTGGATTCCGCCCCTGTCCCTCGGGCTGACATGAACAGACGATTCTTGACTGCCCGTCGATTTGATCCCGATGCCGCGCTCGAGCAATACAAAGAAGCATGTCAATTTCGCCAGGAGAAGGCTGTGCTGAAATTATACGACATAATCCCAATCACCGATTTTGAGCAGGCTCGGCAATTTGTGAGTGGTAGCTACTTCTACCCTAAGTTAGGCAAACCCACTTACATAAATATTCAGTATCCCCACTGGACCGGTCGCAGATGCAAGAATGGTGTGCCGATATGCATGTTTGATCTCGCCTATCTTGATAAAGATGGTTTGGCAAGCTGGGAGAAAAGTCGCCAATCCCCCGGCTGGAAATATTCACCATCCGAAGAACATCAGCCACCTACTCCGGATATGATTCAGTCAGCCTCTATCTTCCACGACAGTCTTACCCGTTTTGTGCTTCCCCTTTGCTCAATGATGAAAGACCGGCCGAATTCGTCGGTTCCGATCACAAACTTCGTTTATCTTGTGGACGCATCCAATTTGGGACTAAAGCAGGGATGGAGTGTTAGATTCTTTGCCCAGGAAATAAGTTGGCTACTATCAACTTGCTACCCTGAGACTATTCAGCGCATCTTTGTAAGAAGCAAGGTGCGATGTACAGGCTGCAGCTTATGTATACTGACATCACCTACCGCAGGTATGCAATGCCCCCTCATATTTCGCTACGATCTGGAAATACCTCAAAGGATGGGTCGATCCCTATACAGCAGAGAAGATCGTAATTCTCTCCGATGCTGAAGTTCTGCCCACTCTCAGGGAGCATATTGATGACGCAAATATCCCGAGCATATTTGGCGGTGGCTTTCCCTTCAAGCATGGAATGCTACCGGATCTTGACAATAACATCCGGCAGCGTTTGAACTGGGACTCGCCAGAGAAGTCTGTGCCTCCCGGTCCCATTAAATGGGCTCAGGAATCAGACGGCAAGATCGTAGCATCAGCTGTTGGTAGCCAGGTTGGCTCTGCTAGAAACGACAAGATTGCAGAAGTTGATTGCATGAAGTAGTAGCACTTCTAAGTATCGATCAGACTGTGCTGGAAAAGATTGACAAGCAAATGGGATCCGCCCTTAGAAAACACTTCTAATGTAGGTTTATTTGATTGTTGTCGAGAGATATCAGAAGCATTCAGTTGGTGGAATTCGGACTTAGCGCATTTACAGAGAGACATATTTCAACTCATCTTTTGAATAGCCCAGTGCTGTCCCGCTTTGTTCCAATGAACGCACCGTCGAGATTTTTTTTTTTTTTTTTTTTTTTTTTTTTTCATATTTACGCTCGCACCTTGGTTGAAATGCCGGTTATATTTCTCTAGGACGACTTGACTTGTACTATTTGGGAATCCGCTGGTTTCATCTCGCTCACATTTCTGACACGGAGTGGTAAGTGAAGCAGGCCTCCCCTCACCTAGGAGGTTTTGATGAGATAGTACTTCAGCAATAGAAAGAGGAAGAGAAGGTGTTTTAGACCACCACATCACATGACCAGACAATAACCCCTTAACAGCCCTGGTCATGTAAATCAAAAATTTCTTTATATAATTGTGTAATAGTGTTTGTAAATCAATTTATCAAAATTCATAACTTTCGAGTGTGGGTCTCATTGTGTTGGTGAATGGCCGCGGCTGTGGCCTGTCTACTTGACTCTATCTAGTCCAAAAACAGAAGATTATCAAATCACTTCTTCAGAGGAAAATTAATCTGACTTAGGGACTTTTTCAAATTTCCTGACTTTACAAAAGCTTTGTCACAGCGTCATTACCCGGTGAAGGGAAGCTCTAGAAAGTAGCCACCTATATAAAACCACGAGAGGCCTAGGGATATATGCCGGCATTGTACGTCGGCACCGACGAGCTTATAGAGAATAAAGACAAAGCGTAGGCCTTCCTAGACGCTTTCTTCCCGCAGATAGACGAGCCGCACGAGGATTTGCCAACCCAACCACCGCTAGAACTTCTGTGGCAATCTATCACTGAGCTTAAGGTATAACGATCTCTTAAAGCCGCAAAAGGATCTACCGTACCTAGTGAAGACGACCTACCGATGCTAGTGTGGAAATAGCTATAGATTCGCCTTAACGTCTATATCACGGGGATCTTTACCGCGTTAAATAATCTAGGATACTACCCGAAGCGATAGCGGAGCGCGAAGATTGTGGTGCTGCGAAAGCCTAAAAACCCGAATTAATCGATCCCTAGGGCCTATCGCCCGATCTTACTCCTTAACACACTAGGCAAACTCCTTAAAGCGGTGATAGCGCGGCGACTGTCGTATATCGGACACCCAGTTTAGAGGGCGACCAGGCAGAACCACTAAACAGGCCCTATTAGTCCTCTCTAATACAAACACAAAGTGATAACGCTGGTGGCATTCAACCTAAAAGGTGCCTTTAACGGAGTTAACAAAGTGAGCCTAGACGCTTACCTCTAGGCAAGGAGAATATCAACTATGGCGAGAAAATAGATCGCGAGCTTTATAAGCGACCGCCACGCCAGCATAGGATTTGATGACTTCCGCACTAAGGCCACACCACTAGCGAATGCAGGACTAGCATAGGGCTCGCCTCTCTCCCCTATCCTGTTCGCATTCTTTAACTCCGACCTAGTCGACTAACCTGTTAACTCTCACGGCAGTGCATCCGCCTTTATCGATGACTACTTTCGCTAGCGTGTGGGACTCACAGCCGAAGAGAACCTAGCCAAGATTCAATCGGAAGATATTCCCCGCATTAAGGCATAGGCCCGTCGAACTAGGTCTTGCTTTGCAGCCGAGAAACCCGAACTGATTCACATCACCAGGAAAAGACGCGAACAGCTCTAGGGTCAAGTAGTTATGAACGGGCAGATAATCGAACCGTCGCCCACGGCCAAGCTACTTAGGGTGGTGTTCGACTAGGAGCTTCGCTAGAAAGAACACGTCCACCAAGCGATCAAACGCGGAATCAAGGTTAGTATTGCTCTGGGCGGACAATTTTACGAGACAAAAGGTCTGATGCACGGTAGAAATGCTGCACCCACTCAGGCAGCTGTACTATTCATGATTTTTGCCATTGCACAGGAACATTCACAGCTCAGCCCCAGCAGAGGCCGAGATGAGGTCTGTCAACCACCCCTTCTCAGGCAGTAAGCCCAACTACCGACTTAAAAATTGCCAAGAGAACACTGCAGTGTCCGATACTTTCAAACAGCAAGCAAACAACTATATAAAGAGCAGGGCACTGTCCGACTTGCAAGTATCCAAGTTCGTCTTTGTCAATGCCTCTGGTACTTATCACAATCACGCATCAACCATTGCTGGAGCCTTTTCGGGACCATTGCTCGTCTCATTTTTGCTCTCGGGTTGCACAGGAATAGACATGCTTTCTCCAACTCTATGACTCAGGTGGAAATTGAGTGTCGTCGCCGCACGTTTTGGAGCGCTTATAGTCTCACAGCTCAGTCACCACGACCTAACCAGCAAATAGAGCCTAGAAATCACCAGCAAATTAAGATGGGCGAATGGCTTGTGTGTGGTGTCAGTATAAAAGAGAGGAAGGCAAAAAGGGTCAACAAGCTCACGAGGGAAGTCTGGTTGCAGAGAGTGTGGGATAGCGATATGTATCAAAGAGCAATGTTGGGATAAATTCCATAGTTCTAACTAATTACAATAATTCTGGTTACTGCGATATTATAGGGCCTAGCCAATAAGAACGCGTTGTTATAATACACTAGTAAACTGCGCTAAAAATCCTTCCCGGGACGGACGAGGGGATAGACTTGACTGAATAAAGGCCCATCAAGGATCAGCAAACAAGTGTTCTGCAGCTACTATTGGGCAACTCCTTGTTATTGATGTTAAACCTCGGATGTTAAAGATACTAAAAATGGCTGGATACGAGAATGCAACCTCGGATAAATCGCGCTAATTGCCTATGAATAGCAGCATTGGGCGAGAACACGAGGAAGTGGGCTGGGCAATACGAGGATATGAAAATTCCAATGTATAAGTACACCATTGTTCTGCAAGGGTCTCTCACGATAGAGCAAGCGTCAGTTAACAACGAAACAAGATGAAGTTCCTCGGTCTCGTAGTTGCCTTCCTCCCCCTCCTGGCCGCCGCTGCCCCCGTCGCGGACCCCGAAGCCGAAGCAGATGGAGAGCTGGACCTTGAAAAGCGCGCATCAGCGCAGACTTGCAAAATCGTTAATGTCGACCACACTGTCAACTGCCGGTACGATGCGAAGTTAGACGCAGGCGCAATCTTTGGGTTTCCTAAGGGAGATAGACTCACCTTTGCGTGCTGGAAGCATGGCGATTGCTTCAATGGGGTTTGGTAGGTTTAATACTGGGTTATGACGAGCCGGATGCTAATGGGAGTAGCTCCTGGGATCAAGTTACATATCTAGGGACGACGTGCTACGTCAATGGGTACTTTACGGATAGTAATTGCTCGAGCAGTATGTCACCTCTAGCTGGTATTTGGACATGACTGATGATGTTAGAAAAACTCCCCAAATGCAAGTAGGCTGCAGCGGTCCTCGATGTCGCTGTGATATACTGCTAGAGACATGATATAGCTTTTGAAGATGGATTAGAAGTCATCATGATCGTCGTATTACTATGCACGTCTTTTTGTGGTCCATGTTTTTACACTGTGATATGTATTTAACTTTCCAAAGCTTCTATCTTTAGGCCGGCATGTTGAAAATAACCTCTTGCGCTGTCTTCTTTCGCACCAACAACTTTAATACACCATTCGAGGAAGGAATCAAATCCTTGGCTGGGATCTTCTTCAAAGTAGCCCCAGTTACGTTTGATAAAGCCTTTGAGCTCAGCGAAGAACTCCTTAATCGGATTGAGGTCCGGCGAGTATGGTGGCAGATATACGAATATCACACCAGCATCAGCACAGATCTGCGTAATCTTCTCAGAATGATGGAACGATGCATTATCCATCATAATAACGGACTTAGGTTCCGGCCATCGTCCGCAGTGCTAAAGAAGTTCAGCAATGAAAACTACCTCAGCATGGCGCTGGGGAGGCCACGCACTTTCAACGACAAGGACATCGACCAGGAACTTCCTATATATAGATAGAATGGGAAGCCCAGCTTATGTGGATCCGTTCGCACCCTTAGAGTCGGTATATCTGCTGCTAGTTCGGCACCTAGTCGAGACTTGACCGCTGAAAAAAATAAGGGCGCCATGCTTACTGCCCGAATTCTATGAGTTGATACCTCATAGTAGCTTCTAAAATCGAATATTCCCTTAGAACCTCACGCTTCATTTCTCGGGGTGTAAACTCTCTTCTCTGGTTAACGTAGTTCTATCGGAAAACCAACAATGAATCAACGGGTAATCTGCTAACTGCGAAGGGCGCCCCCTTTACGTTTCCTCTAGACTAGCTAGTTCGACCTGGTGATTAGAAGGACCACTGCTAATAATCATCTGATAAGTACTTACCCGACTTGGATTCACTATTCGGGCCATCGCTGTCATCACATTTGCGAACACTAATTCATACTCAGACAGCCGACATGTCTATTCTATTGGTAATGCACTTGTGGGAGAGCATATTGCTGATATAGCACACTACCAGGCATCACAGTCTCCTCACCCGGTTCTCCTCGGCTCATCACATAGATAAGCATCCAAAATCCCCATATCACGCAGCAATGGAACGCCCTGGTTGCGTAAAAAGCGAACACTCTCAATGCCGTTCCACTGGATACGTTTCTGGATCTTATCGACACCGGACACGTCAAACCCTTGCATGAATTCACCTTCCTCCCCGGAGGCCACAGCACCAATGAACTGAGTCGTGATAGACGTCGGCACCGAGGGTGGAGACCGACGAGGCTGCAGCGAATAAGTTTCAACGTAGTCCATTACTTCTCTATGCTGTTGGGGAACTATCCATCGCTGCTCAGCTCGGAGGGTCACGCTACGCTTCGCAATTTGCGAGAAACGCCCCTCCGAGAATAATTTGATCAGCTGTTCTAGTGCTCGATCTCCCCTGTTGCGCGAGGCGGGTGAGAAGTCATTGAAGGAACCTCCCGCAAAGAGCTGGCCGAATAGCATGTCCTTCGGTGATGGCCCGACCGGATACCCTTCGAAGAGCGCCAAGCTGTTGATATCTGCGCCCGCATCAAGGAGTGCGCGCACGGCGACGAGATTGCGTACTGAAACAGCCATGTGGAGCGGTGTCCACCCTCGACTGTCCCTTGCCTCCAGATGATGCTTTTCTGGGAAAACATTCAGAAGGATGGGGTATGTCCGGGCAGCCTCATCGTGGTCTAGGGTCGAGATTTTGCCGGCAACAAGATGGAGGGCGGATGAACGCATTCCAGGTATTACGAGGTATTCTGGTTGTTGGTGGTGCTTCGTTGCTAGAGACAAAATGGAGTCGAGTTTTGCAGCTAGACTGTCCTGAGATGAGTTGTAGAGCACGGATCCGAACACAGTAAACGCGATATAAGATGTCTCTTGACTGTTGGTAAGCCCGTTAAGATCCGCACCATGCTCCATAAGGAGATCTGCAAATTCCCATTCGCACGTTTGGAAAGCCGCCTCTAGAGCCGTATTTCTATCATGTGGAGTAATGGAGTGCAATCCCAGCTCCAGTGTCCTCCTCAAGAAATAGTTATTCCCGGGGGCAAGTTCGACTGTGCTGACAAGGGTATGCTTAGCCACGGAATCATGATATATACTTCCACTAGCTCGCACGATAGCGTCGAAAACGGCGGGTCTACCGGTAGCGATAGCCAAGTCAAACACGGTTTTGCCGTTGACTTGCGCGCCTATGTTCCGCATAAACATATCGACAGTAGTAACATATTCTAGAATTTCCGGCATGTCACTGCGAACGGCTAGTTGAAGCACTGTCATACCATCCTTGTCCACTGTATCGGTTGCTCCGCGGCGAAGAAGTAATTGGATTGTTTTCTGTAGTTGGGAGCCATGACTAGACCCGTATCTGGCCATCCTGAGATGCGTGTTCTGGCATTGGATTGCGAAGTATAATAACCCAAGGCCAATGTCCGTGTCCGCATTGATTGGATAAAACGGTGAAGCGTCCAACAGAATCTCCAGGACCTCTGCGTCGTGCCATGTACAGGCGAGCTGCACTGCGTCTAAATTCCGATGGCGCTGTTTATGAAAGATCATCGGACCTGAAGCGTCTGGAACCGATGCGCCGTTCAGGATCAATTCGCGTACCGCCACTTTGTTTCCCTGTGAAACAGCTCGGAGCAATGCTGTACCGTGAACCAAGGGAAACTGGAAGTCGTCTGTGTATAAAAGGTTTTCTTTCGCAACTGCATTCGGATCGGCGCCGCTGTGAGTGAGTTGAGCGACGATCCTCGGCAACGAGGCATCGTCGAACATCCATACCCAGTGAATGGCCGTCTCTCCAAGTTTGTTTCTTAGGGCACAATCGGCCCCCTTCTCAATTAGAAGACAGGCGACGTCAATATTCCCTGCTCGGCATGCTGCTATCAATGGAAGGTCGCCATCACTGTTGCGCTGGTTGATTTGAGATACAGTCATGTTGATCACGTCATTCTTGTTTCCCATACCAGTAGAGACTTGCATCGCAGATTCAGACTCCGTGTATTCGGCCAGGGGCAGCCCGATAGCGGTATGAACTTGCGATAAGGGCTGTTGGGCGGGCTTGTATTCGATTTCACAGCACTCTTTCAATATGGCAAAATAGCGAGTTTGATCCTGTTCAATACCGAAGCCCATACTATAACAGATCGCCATTTCCACGAGCGCAGGCCCTCTTTTCGAACCGGCAGCCAAAGATCGTGCATGAGACGAGACATCAGCGAAGAGTCGCACCTGTAGTGGGAACGGCAGGCGACAAGTAGTCAGAAGGTGAAAGTCCAAACTGCGAGACTATTTCGTAATCAGCAACATATTATTTTGTGATAGTCTGTTACTTACGGGCTCAAAGGATTGTGATGTTGTTTTTGATATGGTCTCCTCGTTCATCATTGCCACCATGTCCGCGGCCGCTACTCCGCCATCGAAGTCATACAGGCCCTGATTGAACAGATTAGTAACGGCTGTACCTCCCAGTTGGTGTACGTTACCTGTAGGACACCAAACCGTTCCTTTCTGGGGGCTGGAGCTCGTTCGAGCATCGCATTCATCGATGCACCTATCTTAAGGCTTCTTGATGCTGCTTGTTTGAAGGCTGTAATACAATGCTATCATTAACACTCAATGTTATCCCATTAAATAAGAAAGTCTTACGTTTCATAACCGAAAATGATCGAAAGAATCCCACAGATCTCCCCACCATTGCACCAGCGTCCTTACTTATCAAGAATATGGTGCGCAGCATAGAATCCCAGACATCCCGCGGGTCCTTCTGCGGGTCGTCGGATGTTAACAGCGAAGGAGGCGCAATGACTGGCAGTGGCTGGCCACACGTTCGGTATAAGTCCTCGATCGCCACCAGGATATCCCTCAATGCTTCTGACATGGGCGATAGTCTGGACAGGCCGAAGCCCGTAAAGTTTGAGTCAAGCTTTCCATACTTGTAGATCACATGGTAGAATTGGTCTGCCTTCGGTGGTATGGACTTCCATTCGGCCAGCCCGCGACTTGCTTGTGCGTGCCCCCTGAATCGCGCTGTTTCGAACTTGGTGAACTCTCGCAACAGGTGTGCGTTTGGTGGGCTAAGGCCAAAGGCTCGTTTTTGAAAACTTCAGCTATTAAGATCAATGCTGACTTGACTTGTATCGAGGTCATTGACTCACGTCTGGGGATGACTCAGTATCTGAATTATGCGACCAAGGTCCCTTTCTGTGGCCTCAGAGCTGAGAGCGATACTGAGCACCTCACCAAAGGCATCTCTCGTGTCGGGGGATAGTGCACGGTCAGGGTCAAATACTCGATTCAGTGCCAGGCCGAGGGTGCTCCCATTTCGTTTATCCTCTCTAATGAGAGTATAGTTATAGCGTGCACCATCATCCGTCGTCGAAGATCGATACCGCCGGTCATTGAACGGATCAGCTCCATCGATAATCACCCTCCATACCAGAAGTCCAAATGAGTAGGTGTCTGTGAATGGAAGATGGCCGCTCTGTATTTCAGCGTCTGCCTCTGGGGCGTCGTATGGGATAGTCGCCCCCCTTAGTCTTGTGTACTGCCTAGGCTCAACCGCATCTACCGTCATCGAACAGCCAAAGTCCGTCAGCTTCGCTATGAACTTGCGCCCTTGAAGTTTATTTGTTGGGAACATAAGGACATTCTCGCATTTCACATCACCATGGATAAACCCTTGACTATGAAGAGCTTGCAGGCCCTGCGCAACATCCAGACAGCATTCCCAGTAGGGCCCGTCGACCATGCAAACAAGATCCTGGACGAAATCGAGCAGAGTGCCCATTGATGTCGCATCGAACATTAATGTTGGAAATAGATAACCATCGCTTCGATGCTCCTGTGTCTCGAACGAGATACCCTTCAGTTGGTTAATATTAGGATGGGAACGAACCCCCGGTGTTGCCAGCAATTTCAGCTCGTCGACAACCTGTGCCAGAGTGCCCTGGTCGTCAAATCTGCCATCCTGGTCGAAATGCGGGTTGATGCGCTTATAGGCCATGACACTGCGGTTCCTCCAGCGGCCCTTTGCGATCTTTCGATGGACGGATGAGAACCCGCCAGCTCCCAGAGAAATGTCCATGGTCCCTTTTTGACCCCAGTCGTCGATTGGGAACTCCAGGATGATGCCTCCATCACTCCTTAGTAGGTCTTGGATGAGGAGAAACAATTCATAATGGCCTCGACGTGTCTTCTGCGACTCGGTTACTTCATTTGTCGAAGTTGAGTATCGAGTCCCATACGCAGAGCGCGTGTCGATGCACGTGCTGGTCGCCATGTAGGGTAGAGCAAAGAAGTGACTGGGGTCGAGGTGAAGAATATGTAATCAAATCTCCCAGCACAGCCTCAATTTCAGCCGCAATGTGTGTTAGTGCGGGGTACAGCCGTTGTAAAAAAAGGGCCCGTGGGCTTTCTGGCCCTCATCGCACTCCACGTGAATACGAGATGGATCCTTTCGGCGTCGGGCTGGGAACCGTAGCCCTGGTTTCCACCGTACTTGATGTCCTTGGTCTGGTCATCTCTTTTCGTGCGTACTCCGAGACGTCAAGGATCCTGTTCCGCCAGCTCGAACTGGAGAGGGAGGTGCTACTGCGCTGGGCGATAGAGGTTGGGCTCTATCCTGCAAGCCATGGATCCTCTACGAATTGCACCATCCCGCCGGAATTACTGCCTTTGGTACATCAGACTGTTGCTACCATCGGCTCTCTTCTTGCGGCCGCTACTTCGCCCAAGGGCGCAAAGAAGAAATCCGAGGTCGAGGCTCAAGACCTGCCGGCAGTCCTTGGCAGGCTCCGGGAGGAGCTTAATAACAACGAAACCCAATCCCAGTCGCGGCTGTCAAGGTCCTTGACACGCCTTGGCTGGGCGATTAGCGAGGAGGACCGTCTCAAGGGGCTCATCACCACAATCCACGCTTACAACACCAGCCTGCATAATCTCATCCCAAAGCCTCTCCAGGTTTCTCTTGAAGGATCCATAATGCAGGCTCTACTTGCTGAACCCGATCCTCAAAGCCTCCTGGAAATTCAAAGAGCTAGTCTACACTGGCGAAAGGCCCTCTCCGTCGCGGCCAGTGTAACTTCCTTCCAGCATCAGAAATCTACACCGGGCCCCCCATCTACCAATCAGCTTCTACTGCCTCGCTCACGGTTTACTTCCATTGGAGTCGACATGGCGCGGTACCTGACGACGTACGAGCACAATGGCCAGATAGACCATGTCCTGATTGAATGGCGTGCGTACAGGATTCCCCAGAACTCCGAACACAAGACCGCGTATCTAAATACATGTCTTGATCTCGCTCGCCTTCTCCATGCAAGCCAGAACCTCGAGGCATATCGAACGCTCGACTCCCTTGGGATTATCGACGACATTGAATTCAAGCCAAGCTCCCGCGTCGGACTGGTATATCGCGTACCGCTGACCATCATACCGCTACCTGAGAGTTCGTCAATTAAAGTGTTCACATTGCACGACCTGATCAACCGCAAGGAGTTTACCAGACCACACCTCGATGAGCGCTTCGCACTTGCGCAGAAGCTCGCCACAGGCCTACACAGACTCTTCGTCTCGCGATGGTACCACAAGAACCTCAACTCCAAAAACATCCTCTTTTTCACACAAATCAATGATGGCACTGGTATTATCCAACCCTACCTCTCCGGTTTCGACTACGCTCGCCCTGACTCCCCAGAGGAAATGACCATCAAGCCCGAAGCAGACGAATTCTGCGATCGATATCGCCATCCGCAGTGTACACACCCGGACAGCCGGAACGTAATCCAGTTTAGTCGGCGATTTGACATTTATAGTCTTGGTGTTATTCTCACAGAGATCGGGAGGTGGGAAACGGTTGATCGAATGCACAAGGACTATAGTTCTCAGAGGACCAAGGCTAAAGGAGGATCGCCCACTGCGGCTCCATTAGATAGCTTTCAGCGGTATTTGAAGACGAGATGTTTGGAGTCCTTGGGCTTTCGGATGGGGCAAATTTATACTGATGCGGTGAGGTTTTGTTTGGGTGGCGACGATGCGTATGGAGCTGTAGAGGCGGCTGTACATGTGGAAGGGAATGAGGAGCTGCTGGTTTCAAGGCTCAATAAGGAGGTGGTGGCTGAGCTTGCGAAGTGCACTGCATAGACGCTGTAGGCTAAATATGGTCATATACCCAATAAACTTTGCTTTCTAGTGCTGTGAAAGCTCAGCCAAAACAGTATTTGGTCAAGGAGTAACTGACTGGTGAGAGTCTCCAGGGGATTATGTGGTCGAGTGTCGAAAAGATTGTAGTGTAAGAAGACAAATGAATGATAACAATTCAGGGAGGGCAAAAGGGGATAATATAGGCGAGGACACTCCGCAGGCAGTTTGTGCATAGTATAATACCACATCTGGGGTGTCAAATGTGGACTACATGGTAACGCAGCGTCGGGTCGGATGGGATAGATAATACAAGGCCCTGCCAGCCAAAAAGGCTTTATATAAAGCGTGGCCGCTATTGATGCCGTACGAGATCACAATCCGAAACCTCGGGTCCGAAGCGACTTCGAATTTTGCTCTTAGCTTGACCAGAAGTCTGGGTTTATGACCACCCAATGTGCAGATGAATCTGTGTCAATTGAATATATTCCACGAGTCAGAAGGAGAGATCGACCAGCCATTGTCATTTGTTCATTCATCCTTCCTTCCCATCATGCAGAAATTTGACCATCTCACCCTCACCTAGTGTAACGCGTGCTATCTCAAAAAGGTAGGATATTCTATATTTTATGTGCACTGCACAGCGACTCATGACTTAAATGTCTTGAGTTTCAATACAGATAAAATGTGACTGAAAAGACCCGTGCCAAATTGTACCAAGGCAAAATGAGTATGTCTGCGGACACGCGCGACAGATGCAGCGCGGTCAAAGAACCGGTAAGTTGGAAAACTCTTTGCAGGATGTGAATTCTCCTTTGAGGTTTCGAACTTCTAATTCAGATGGTAGACTCCCGAGCCATGAGGGCGTCGGGTCGCCACGACAATTGCCTGGACCACAAGACTCTACAGAGGGCAAGAGTCTAGGCGACATGAGCTACCCTCTGGAGGAGGCACATGAGACCAGAAAAATCCTACAACAAGAGCTTAGCGGTGCCAAGCGACTGTCAGCTCGCTGACGAGTCATTCTACAGTCAGTCGTCAAAAAACTCGACGAAGTATTGAAGTCCTTCCCAACTGCGTCGGTAGATATACCAGTAGATACGGGGACTGCTGCATTATCAGCAAGCTATCACGAGCCATCATTCGAGTTCTTCTATATGATGCTTGAAGATTGGTGCTCCTTTGTTTTGTTGCTTGCGTACCTAGCGCATAAACTCATGCCCGTCGCCGAAGGTAATATTCGGGGCTAGGTACCATCTTTTGCCTTAATGTAGGAATCGCAAGAGTCTGAAACAGTCATAGCTTTAGGTAGCAATAAGCCTAGTAGATACCAGAGAATAATGGCACGCTTTAGGAAATTGAATGGGAAAGAAGCTGGTTGGTATGACGAGAAGGACAGTTACCTAGGAGAAAAGCTGGAGTGTTGTAAACGACACAGGCGAGTTGGACTGTACAAAAGCTACGAGTTGACAGGGAGGGAGACTATTTAATATTGAGAACCTGTCTTGACGGCTCCGTAAGATAGTTGATTCCCTATTCTTGTCAGGAGCAGCTACAAAAACGGATTGAAGGATACTGACCCACGTCATCACTGAGCCTTTCCCCTCAGCATACTGAGGAGCACTGAGTGCTCACTGATCACCAAAGCGCTGCTCAGTGATCGAAAGGTAAATAATGCACACGTTTGTTAGGATGACTAAGATTTTGGTAAAAGCGAAGCTTAAATCGGCGTTCAAGGTAGACATTTTCGGCAGCCGATTCACTGTCAATTAGCGTTGTGGTGTATTAATGATTCTAGCTGTGTGTTTTCAATACTTATACCACATTTTTACGCTCCACAATATGCATAATTCTGACTAGCACCGGATCTCAAAACAAGTTTAAACAATGCCCCGTTAACTTGAAATCCTATATAGCAAAAATGATCTCGTAGACAAACATCTTCATAAATTATCACATCTGTATTTAACACACAACATTAATCTAATACCCGCCCCTAAGAAATGTCTCGATCCAAGTCCGAGCAGCGTGGATGAAGCTTTATGCAGAATTTTGTCCCCGTACGGTACGGGTATGTGTATGTTACCGGTAACCGCCTCAGGGTCCACAGGGTCTCGGATCCACTGTTGACATCACGTGCCAGAATCCCAACTAACTGAAAGCTGCAAGTTTAGTGACAATTCACATATTTTTGATCAATAGTTCGGTCAGATATATAGTTTCGGACCTTGATTAGATGACCTATTGAGTTGATAGGTCTAGCCGCCTTCCAGGCCCGGGTTTTCTTTTTGATTTGAAATGGGGTAGATTAGTCTGCCCACGAGGAAAGCCTAACGTTAGTTGTCTCTCTACCATAGACGATTACATCCACTCGCGGAAATTTTGAGAAATCTGATTGCTAGGTTACTAAAGCTACGAAACAGCTATTTCCACGTGTGAATGAGAACTGTCCTGGAACTGTCACATTTGTTGTCTATAATAGGGGTCCAATTGCTATCGCTATAAATTGGCGAGAGCTTCGCTCTGTATAGGTGCAAGCACGAGCGTGTCTTTTAACAGAGGAATTAACTTAATCTTTCTTTTAGTGAAAATCCAATCTACGTTATCGTCACTTTCCTCGATATCGATATCGGAAAGCCGTCGTCGGTAGTTCTTCGGACGGTTCCCTTAAACACCAAAAGACTTAGCGGTGTAACTAATCTCCGGGTGAATTGTGCTTTTGCCCCACTGGAGATTTTGTTACAGACTGGTTATGGTTACAAAACAAATTCAGTAACATGCTGGACCGAAGACACGAATCCCTGGAGCTAAGGTAATATTCGGTCCCGGTCACAACACCGTCATTTCCTAGTGGAGTATAGATCATCGCTCGTAAGAGCGGCTGGTCTCAATTGTTTGTTTTTATGTTTGGTTATATGACCTTCCTTCCACAAACATCTTCCCTTGCATTACTTCTGCGCCCAGACATATAAACCTGTGATACGACAGAATCGCGACGTGATACCAAGTTACATGGGAACATGCTGTACAATCCATGAGTCACCGAGAATAAAATCAGGCTTCCTGCTGGAGATTTTCGGCCCCCAACATGGCTTTACAACAAAAAATACACGCACAGCCCAAGCGAGAAAGACCGGAAACCGATTATGAGCAATGGATGAGAGAGCATGATGAGAGCTATGAACTCTCTGAAGAACCACAGTATGGTCCAAGTTTACAGCAGCCTCCAGCGATGCCCGATTCTTCGAGTGGAAGGGACAAGTCCGTTGAAGACCACTCGCACGGATCTCATTATGGTACTATTGTCACGTCACCAGCCATGCATACATCCTCACCATCCCTATCGCCTGCTCACTATACTGGCCATAAAGCTGCAACATTAGGCCAGGTAATGATTGGGATATTGGTGGTTTTCATGATTGTTAAATTATTACAACGAGTTGGAAAGCGACGTCATCGGAGGATAGTATTAGGAGCAGATATTTGATTTTGTACATGTATCCTTGGCCGAAGGCTGTGTAAGTAACTATCGCGACCGGTGAATTTGACAATTATAGAGATCGGCTGAACACTCCTTAGCCTTATTACGGCTTCGGTATAGAAGACTTAGATTGCGTTAACCGTCCTTCTAACCTTTGTTCAAATCTCAAATGTAACCGCTCACACCCGATGTAAGTACTTTTGACCGTCGTGACGCTGTTGATGTGCACGGAGTACAGTGAGACCCAACCCCTGTGTTTAGGGGGTTATTGAAGCAGTTCATAGTACCCAATGAAGAGAAATATGGTGGGACTCTCCACCCCACAATGCTCCACATAATCATGGAGTTCTTGCCTAATAGGCTGGCAAAGTGACAGAGAAAGGCAGGTACTGTACATGTTCCTCTTTTGTTAGATAGTTAACAGTCAGTGTGATATCCAACCTGTGGGAAAGCAAATCTGATATCTCTGTCCTCATCCGGAGAAACTAGTGTCTTCTCATGTTGGACTGGTATGTGGATCTTCGAAGCTTGTGAATCTTTGTAATGAATAGCTGACCTTTAGCCAGACACCATTGTACTTAAACTGGGAGGAAATTCTATCCACTCATGTCATCCCAAGTAATCCTGGAAGCTGAGTGGAAAGGGCCGAATGAGTCCCCGGCTCGCTCCAGACCGGTATAAGCTAGTAAAATGGCTGAGACCCTGGTAATTACATTACACATATTACCTGACTCGATGTCCAGTTATGTTTGCTGTACTGCTTTGCTTTTGGGGCTAAAGTCTCAAGACGTAAAGGTAAAATAAGCCCCAGCGCCCCTTTCAGCCCCATCGGACTTGAATTTCGAACTTTATCAGGGTGACCCTCCTCCATCTCGTGATATACGAGAGTCACTTGCCAGCTCTGACAAAGGTTCCTGAGACTCGCCTGGCTACTTGCGTCACGGTTTCTTCCTCCCCTGGAGCCGACTTCGCTTTCGCCTTCATGTCGGACATGCTAAGTAGCCCGTATGGGCTTTCAGTTCGCCGAAATGGATCCTGTCTCAGCACAGAAACGGATTGTGGACAAACATGGTCTCCGTGGCACGCGTGCTGCCCGGGCGGCACAAAGTGTCCAAGTGGCCAGGACAATGTCAAATGTTGTCCATCGGACGCAGATTGTTCTAGGTTGCTTGACAACAAGCATTGCGCGAATGAGACAGCAAATGTTTACAAAGCAGATGGATATTTTTGCTGTGCCAATGGAACGTCGGCTTTTCAGAAAGAGAATGGGTTTGTCGGCTGCGCCGACGACATTTCGGACTTGAACCAGAGTATGACTCTACTCGCTATCGAATATTCAGGTATGTATTTTTGCTAACGTATTCCTGCACCGTCGCACATGAATTAGACTAACCGCGTAACCTTATTCGATGAAGCTACCGTTAAACCGACTTCCACACCTACACCATCAACAATATCCACGACAGCGCCTACCACAACAAGCCAGTCTCCTACCAATACTGGAGGAGCCGATACTGGCGATTCATCCTCGTCGTCGAATACTGGGGCGATTGCAGGTGGAGTTGTTGGTGGCGTCGCAGGGCTAGCCATATTGATTGGGCTGATCTGGTTCTTTTTACGCCGCCGATCTCAGTCAAAAAAGAGCGCTGCAGGTCCCACGGACCCTAGTCCCCTGATGTCGAGTGTGCCTGCATTAAATTCCCCTGCGTCAAATGCGGCGGGTTCAACTCAACCTGGATCAAGCGTCTCTGGTTCAAGATCCCCAGATGCGAATAGTTCCGGATATTATAATACGGCTCCCGAGACTACCAGGTCACCGGTCGAGCTTGAGAGCCAAGCGGACAGTGGTTTGCATGAGTTGCCATCGCTACAGGCACATCGATGAAAGCGTGAAGCGAGTCTTTTGACTTCAATACCGGGAAGAGTTGCTTAGCTCACTGCCCGTTGCTTCCGCTTGTATCTATGCGGGTTATAACCTGACCATAATATATCCTAATTTGTCGGTCGACTTCTACAGCCACTTTATTTTCAACTCTTATCTGAAATCATACCCCATTACGTTGAGGACCACACCGAACATATGCAACTTTCTATTTTGTATACAATTTACTTTCTCAATCGTTGAATTTCCCACTCATTGTTCTTTCTATTCAACGAGGCAAACAACAGTATATTATCTATGAAGCAATCTCCGGCCTTTAATCCGAATGCAATTTTGGCCCTATGCAAGTCGGGAGCCTCCGATAGATTGACTGCCCCTTCAAGTGCAGATTTAACAGTTCCAAATTATGGCGTCGCATAAGCGAATTAGATGCTCTATATTTCCTGGAACAATCTACTACTCGCTATACTGATATACCACGTGGGCTAGACTATCTATTAAATCCAAATCTTTTAAGCAATCTAATTTTCGCAGTCTGCTGTGGTTTATTCACCATGAGCTCTCTCCTGCCCCGCCAAATTTGGTAAAGGCTGCCGAATGACCCCTCACATTAGTGTCTTGCCAAGGAGGACGCTAGCCCGCAGAAACCTATCAAGCTCAAAAGATAAGACATGCGCCGCGAGATGTCGAGAGACAATTCACTCTCGATGCCGCAAGCCGGTGGTCTCCGGTTGCCTGCATACAGATCCCACCAAGCGACCTTGCTGCGATAGGTGGAAGAGCGAAGCCAAACTCGTCCGCAAAAAAAAGTGACCACTCAGAGGCCGCCTTGACATTAAAATCACCCTCGTGGCATATTCACCTGCTGCAACGTCGGTCGGAATACTGCTCTAGTCTGATTTCAGGATTGTAGGGCAACCAAAACTCATGCAATGGCCTGAAACCGCGCTGAAGAAATGCGAGCGGGGGCAAGTATATAAAAGAGCTTCGCGACCCCGTAAGAGCCAGATAGACCTGCGTAGCTTCTCCTCAAAACCCCTTTTTCACTGCTGCTCATTCACACAGATACGCATAGCTCGTTTTCTGAAGCCTATCCTATATGGCTCGACTTACCAAGGTTGCTCTCGTCGCTCTTGGCTCCGTGACGGGGGTCAGTGCTTGGGGCTCACTAGGCCATGCTACAGTTGCATACGTTGCCCAAAATTATGTGACCTCCGAGACAGCATCATGGTAAGTGCAGTTCAGTACCCAAAGTGCCGCAGAACTACAATTATGCTGCTTCCACATTCAATGCTAATAGTTTTCAAGGGCGCAAGGTGTTCTAAATGATTCCTCTAGCTCATATTTGGCTAGCATTGCCTCTTGGGCCGATTCATATCGCGCAACCACTGCTGGAAAGTGGTCTTCTTCGTTCCACTACATTGATGCTGAAGATAACCCCCGACAACCTGCAATGTAGACTATGAGCGCGACTGCGGTAGTTCAGGGTGCTCAGTTTCTGCTATTGCCAACTACACCCAGCGTCTAGGTGACGGTCGACTTTCCAACGATCACAAGGCAGAAGCTCTCAAATTTCTTGTACACTTCCTCGGTGACATAACGCAGCCGCTGCATGATGAAGCTTACGAGACTGGCGGTAACGGCATTGCAGTCACCTACAACGGCTACAGCGACAACCTTCATTCGGACTGGGATACCTACATGCCGGAGTCATTGATTGGTGGTAGCTCGCTCGCAGATGCGCAGTCCTGGGCTAAGACTCTGATCAGCGAGATTGACTCGGGTAGTTACAAATCTCAGGCGGCGAGTTGGATCAAGGGAGATACTATCAGCGATCCAATCACCACATCTACCCGTTGGGCTTCGGATGCCAATGCCTTTGTATGCACTGTTGTCATGCCTGATGGAGCTGCTGCTTTGCAGACTGGCGACCTTTACCCGACTTACTACAATTCTGCCATTGATACAATCGAGCTGCAAATTGCAAAGGGTGGCTACCGGTTGGGCCATTGGCTTAACTTGATTTACACCTCTAAGATTGCCAAGCGCGATGTGGAAGCATTTGTTGAGACCCGAGATGCGGCTCTTCCAGACCTGTCCGGTCGCGATCTTCTTCCAAAGCCCCGTGTCTTGAGCCGTGCTAAACTGGCAAGAGCGGCCATGGAAGGATCATGCTGTAGCTCAGAGAAGCGCGATCATGAGCATTGATGTGGTGTTATAATTACCAATGATTACCAATGTTGATATAGGCATGGTGGAGTTGTTGAGCATAAAGTCTGTAGATAGAAGAAATTACTTGACAATGTGGAAAGTGTTACAGAAACCATGTGCAATCAGGTTGTAGGCACTTTCACTCGTTCCTTCCTAGTCATGACATGTTCCATTGTCGTGAGATGGTTCAGCTCATGTTTGTAATCGTAGTTTCAAAAGGTTGATCCTAGTTGGCCAATATGCCAGAAGCATGGAAATCCTATCGTATTTCTACCAAGCCAACACAGGCAATGGTGAAGGCCAGGATAGCGAATTGGAGCGACGCCCATCTAGAGAAGTCAATTCTGGCGGCGAAACTGGCGGGAGCTGATGTGGTAGAAGCCGCAGATGACACCGAAGCGCTCGACTCTGACTGGCTGGTACCGGCAAATCAGAACGGCCATTAATGCACGCCGCATCATGATCAATGAGATCACAGGTCTAGAATCCGATGAAGAAAATTTTATCTTCCGTGGTTGATATGGTGGCCGCTCAAACCCCAAATGCAAAACCTCCTAGAACTCCTAAATTTCTGTCCAGGAATGCTACGGCTGATTGCGGTCCCATCCATCTTCTGCTACTACCCGGGCATCTTTTCAAAACTCGGCGAATCGCCGGATTTCAAGGTCGACAAGTGCCTTAAACGGGGGCTGAGCAGAGCCACAATCCCGTATATCTCAAACTAATAGAGGACTATGTAGCTGAGAAAGGCCTCGACACTTCCGTGTGGTACTTTGTATTCAATGGCGACTGGGAGGCTCTGGAGGAAGATTTAGAGCCCTCTTTCATGCTGACTTAGTCGCCACTGAATGATGAATTTATGGAGAACAAAGACAATGAGTCTGGGACTTAACTTTGGCGAGTCTCCTGAATCGAGTCCTGTGGAGCGGTATGTCTGGATAGCGCCTGAGATTCTGCACAAGATCGAGGTTTTGTACGGTGGAGCATACATGGGTCCTGTTCACTACCTCGAGGAGGAGGAGCTGCCACGCCGCAGGGATCATCATCATTCATAAGCCATCTTACTACCTGTCAGACCCATTCCACGTCATATCCCATAACCAGCATAGTCCGCCGTCGATATTGTCCATGTGGCTATCTTGTGCAAGCTCCTGAGAGCCACCAAATATATTCCAATCATACTCTGCGGGAAATTGCCAATTCCCACGTGGCAGCATTTCTTGGTCAGAGTATACACGACGTGCAGGGCTCTCTGTGCCTGTCGGTATGCTCGATGGTCCGTCATTACCTGTACCTAGAACTGCGAAGAATCGTCACATTAGCAAGCTGATTCCGTAGCGTGCGTATCCCCACGAATCGAGATAATTACCATGTTGGACAGATGTTAAACTTTGGTTAAGACGATGAGCTCTGCTTAGACCTGGCCGAGTTTGGTCCCTGCCGAAAAGATGAGGAGAGTCCAGCGTGGCATCGAGTGGCAGCCGGAGCGTGTCTTCCACAGACATCAGAGGAATTTCTGCCGGAGTTTGTTGAGATTGGGCCTGTGTTCGTTGACTTGTACCGAACAGTGGAGCAAATATGGTTGTGGATTCACGGCGGAGAAGAAGAATGATGACGTTTTTGAGAATGGCTGTGCTTTGCTTCGATAGTGCAGAGCGCTTGCCAAGCAGGTCTTGCAGGCGAAGGATACGAGTAATTGTTCGCTTGATTTCCTGTGCGGTGTCGGAAAGAGGCTCTGAAAGAGCCATCACAGCAAGAACGACCGCAGCATTAAATAAATTGATAGCGAGAAAGGCGACAAGGTGGCTGTCTGTGGCGAGCTGGGCAAGAACTGGCAATTCCGTTACCTTTGATGTTCTCACTGCAGCATTCATCCACAATTCTGAACTGTAGGCCTGGGCGTTGGAGGGCAGAGCATCAAGGATTGACCGGTTGACGAAAGCAGTGCTGCTCGAATGATCTACAACATTGTCGCCCTCAGCGCCGAAAGCTGCTCGTTCGTTATTCATAGACAGAAAGTCAACCTGCCTGTTCAATAAAGGTCGATGAAGTACAATGAGCACATTGTCATAGGTCAGCTGTAATGACAAAGACTGTAACGCATATGCCCTCGATCTTAGTTTTCCATCGGCATGGAAGTCTTGCTCCAGATCCAAGGACAAGTGGCTGGGTAAACGTTCATACCAGCTTTGGAGGTTCTGTGTCGCATTCTTAGCCAATTCATAATACGTATCTCGCGCCGGTTGATCGGAAAACTCCAATGTGCGTGAGCCGAAAATAGCCTTGAGGGCTGGAGATGCAATCAAGTAGAGTCGGTTCAGCTCCCGCTGGTATGAAGAATATAGTACGTAGCTGCCCTGATCCGATGTGGGCGTGACAAAGGTCGGGTTTTCTAGCACGTCTGCCGGCATAGTAACATCGCAATCTTCGTCATTGATCCCCAATGGCCGGCCATAGGTAACTGATGCGAATCTGTCCCACGTATATATTGTCCACCAAATCCGTTTCCTTTCCTCAATATCTTCCAGGGTTCCTCGTGAGGGTTGCCGGTGCAGCCCTAAAGACTGGGACATTTTGATTGTCGCTCCCAATAATGAGAAAGAGAGGTTTGGACGACCGTGGTAGACATGATGCGATCCAAGTAGAATACAAGTTTGGATGGCTGTGATTGAAGGCTGATCCATAATTTCCACAACATTTGATTCGACCAGCTTCAACAAATCTGTACTCCAAGCCTTCCATTCGTCACGATGCTCTGGCAGATCAGATCCACTCCTTTGGAATCGATACCACGATGCCATTCCTAGCATGACTGCTAACAATAGGAGAAATGGCTTTTGTGAGCGATGTGCAGATCCATCAGCAACAGAATCAAGCATTTGGCGGAATTTTGGTTCGTAGATAGCCAGTGAGAACCAATGTATGGCATCGAAATACTCTTCCAGCAGATCGTGTAATATTGGGATTGGGGGGAATGGTCCTTCTAATATTGACGAGATCGAGCAGCGTTGGCCACTCCCCACACCTCTTGATACTGGAACATTAGATTGGTCATTGATTCCAGCCTGGTAACCAGGGATAGCGGAGGTCGTCTCCTCGTCGATACGTTGACTGGCAAGTTCAAAGATCCTCTGAGCAATCCCAAGCGCAGATTGGGCTTCGTCGCAGTGGTGCGGCGAAAAGGTCTTGACATTTGTGGCGTTGTCAGCTTCATTTCCCCTTGAAGGGGGATCTGCTGACCGGGGCTGAGCGGTAGAAGTGTTTGCTGTGTCACTTCTAACCCCCAGCTGCTCAGGGGAGTTATTTTGTGAGAAATGAGGCTGATCCCTGAACGCAGATGGACTCTGATTTGATGCTTTTCTCCTTTTCCTGATGGTAAGCTAGGATATTCTCTTAGGATATGGTTTCCACCTTACCGCTGGCGACTTATCTTCCGCGCCTGGCTTGTCAGAAGGGGCCGACAAGCAACATCGGCTCGAACACACAATGAGCAAGGCCTAAATTCATCACACTATGTCCACACTACTTATTCAGCATGCGTTCAAAGGGGAATTTTCGATGAAGTCATGGCAGGGTGACTCTACCCGAGATTTGTGATGCCGACATCGCTCACACGCACTCCTCACTCGAGTGGGCAACCGATGCCGGACAACCTCTACATCGATCCTTCCAGCATGACCCGAAGGCATATTACCAAATGAATCCACCGAGACAGTGTCACGTCGTTGGTGCGTTTGAGACTAAGAAGTTAGTTGCGAGTCGTGGCAATGGTTTTGGACGAGAAAATGGGTTTCTGCCAGGTACGGCCGCCCGGTTAGGATGATGTAAAAACTTGGCTAATATGGAAGCAGAAGTTCGAGATAAATGTATAGTTCCGGAACCCGTTAGGAGTCTATTCTAATGACTGGTATCGAGTTCTAGCTAATAGAATGAATCCATTCTCAATACCTGAAAGCGTCTGGGCTCTTGTCACTCCTTTTTATTCCCAATATTTGGACTCGTGATATGTTTGAATGTATCGAAACACTCATAAATCTTCTCTTTCGGTGACTCGAAGAAACAAGAAGTAAACGGATTAACAAGATTTCTATCGAGGAGTCGAGATCTTGGCCAACTTTCTACATATTTTGACGTAACATTCGACACATACCATTTGCGTCTTCCCTAATGTTTCCAAAGGGAAAAAACAAGAATAAAAGACAGTGAGAAAAAGAAGAGGGAACCAGAAGTCAAGACCTTAGGCAGCCTTCGAGGCATCTCTGCAATGAGTAGCTTATCTACAACAAGGAAAGAGCTAGTTCTGCGGAAATGCGACAGAAGCATAGAGCCGCACGAGGATCTTTGCCAGAGGCCGTCCCTTTTCAAGATTCAATGCCTATGACTCTAACAAAAGGCATGCGCTATATTAAAGTTGCTTTTGCCTCTTCCTCGTTGATATCCGGGCCGTAGATTACACTCTTAATTCCACCCCGTCCGGCGACATTTTCAAAAGCTCGCTCAGCCTGGCTGAAAGGAAATTCATGGGTGACGAGATCATGCAGCCTGATTCGGCGCGAATCCAGCAATCCTACGGCCAACTTGAAGTCTCCGGGCCCATACCGAAAGCTTCCTTTGAAGACAAGCTCTTTGTCGCAGATCTGGCTTACCGGAAGTGATAGGTTCGGCTTTCCCAAGCCCACTTGGACGAACGTGCCGCCCTTCGCGAGGGCTGCGATACCACAGTTCAGACAGGGCTCAGCCCCAGTCGCATCCAGGACAATATGAGCGCCAGAATCTAAGCTAGCAGTAGCCAACAAATCTGCCGCATTCTTGTCAGCACCCTCGGCGCTCATTTGGTATGTATTGGTAGCACCATATTTCACAGCGGAAGCGAGGCGAGCCGGAACGACGTCCACGGCGACAACTGTTGACGCGCCGAAGGCTCGCGCAACGGCGCAGCAGAGTAACCCGACAGGACCTGCTCCGAATATAACCACCGTTTTCTCCTGCATATCGCCTGCCAATCGGCAGCTATGCACGGCTACGCTGAGAGGCTCGATCAGGGTGCCGTCGCGTAGTGAGATGTGGGATGGAAGCTTGAAACAGCACTCTGCAGGCACGCGGTAGTAGGTAGCGAGCGTTCCGTCGTAAGGTGGTGTCGCGGCAAAGCGCATCGCCTGGCAGAGGTTATAGCGGCCGCCGCGACAATGATTGCAGGTATTGCAGGCGATGCCGGGCTCGAGGGCGACGCGGTCTCCAACGGCGAGGCCTTGAACATCGCTTCCGCTCTCTACCACGACCCCTGTGGATTCGTGGCCCAGTGTTATAGGTGCTTCGACGACGTATGGCCCTATTCGACCGTGTTGCCAGTAATGGACCTGTACGGCGAAGACTTTGTTAGCTTCTATTGCATCAAGGAAAATGAAATAGTGGAGGAACGGGGAAACGGGATAGTTCGAAGCCATTTCACTCACATCTGAACCACAGAGTCCTGTTGCTATGACTCGGACTATGACATCTCGGTTTGACTGGAGCGTGGGTTTAAGGCGTTCCTCAAAAGCAAATTTACCCCCGGGATGCAGTACAAAGGCCTGATTGGCAATCTAGAAAATTCTTAACGTTAACAGTTGCAATGAAGACCCATGCATTTGGGCCATGACTGGGGTCGGGACTACCTTAGCAGCTTTTGTGACGGTCATGTCTGCGGTTTTTTGTTGGATTGAGCAAAGACTCTGGGACTCTACCGATATTTAAATATTATGGATGTCCTAAAGATCCCACCATTCATTTACATCATGGGAAGCTTGAGCGTGGGGCGAACGGATCCTCTGTATTGAGACTCTGCCGGCGGACAGTCCAAGACTCAAGCCGATCTATTTTATACAGGGCACTAATATCTTAACTCAAATGTGAAAAGCAAAAACAATAAGTGAAATGAAATATAGCCATCCATAGCTCAATTGAATTCAAACATATTGAGACCTCAATGTACCATGTACTCTTGTCTTCTGACACATCCTCTGATAAACATCCCCGGCATATCCCGATTCCAATCCCGGAAGTTCAGGAACCGTGTGGTCTTCAGCCTTTTGATCCCGAACCGTTTGATATCCGCCGGAACCGAATATAGTGCTCCACATACTCCCGGAACCGTTTGATATTTGCCACCGGAACCGAGATACGGCTCCACTCATGGTCCCGGAACCTGCAGCTCCCACAGAAGAACGACCAATCATCATGACAAAAAATTGAACTAAAGCGTTCTCGAAAAGTTGACTCCATGCTCTGGCTCAATAGTTGGGTCACTTTTCACGACAGAGCCCGCGTTGGGAGGGGCGCCCAGAAACTCAAGGCTGTTAGGTGCATCGGTATGGTCCAATAGCATTCCCGTGCCGCGTGAAACATTTCGGCTCGGTAACCCACCAAGATAGTGAACCCATGGTGTACCTCAGGAATCATTTCCCCATATTCTGGAGAAAATGCCTCTTCCCCATGGGGCAGGGTTTGAGTAGAAATAAACCCCTTGCCCTCCGGTTCGCTGTCAACTTGTCCACAAAATATCTCTTGATCAAATTCACAAGTGGTTTTAATACTCGTTATCCTGGTTTGTCGAACCCTCTTCAGTACAATGAGTATCACGAAATCTTCCGAGTCGGTGCCCAGTGGGACCATCAGGGAGCGTTCCCTCGCTGTCGCCACGCAAGCTCGGGAAGAGCATAGTTGGCTGGAGAAGAAACTCAAGCCCAAGAAGATCTCAGCCAGGTATCCGTTCAAAGGCAAACCCTTACTGTATGCTACATGTGCCTTTGGCAGCTTGGGCGATGCCCTTTTCGGTTATAACTCTGGTATGGCATCCTCGCATATGTTGTCAAATCATTGCTGATTTCATAGGTATCATGTCCGGCCTGCTGGTCAACGAAGTTTTTATATCTCGCTTTTTCAAAAGCTATGGCGGAGCCGACGGGACGACAAGCGGCGTCGACCCCTCGATTACAGGCATCTCCGTTGCGTGTTTGCAAGCAGCAGCGGCGGTCGGAGCGCTCATAGCCGGTCGACTTGGGGACATGATCGGCCGAAAGAAATGTGTCCGCGTCGGCGCTTTCATCTACTTCTTCAGCTCGTTCATTCAAATGTTTGCTCCCGGTTTTGCAACGTTCATCGCAGGTCGCACCATCCAAGGAGTGGGTGTGGGATTCCTCTCGATGACCGTGCCTATCATTCAAACTGAGATTGCCGCCCCTCATCGCCGTGGTTTGATGGTGGGTATAGAATACACCTTTTTGATTGCTGGATATATGCTTTCTTGTTGGGTGGACTATGGTTTTAATTTCTTGCTGCCAAAACACCTTTCGTGGCAAGGGCCATTTATCATCCAGATTGTGCTCTCTTTTGTCTTGTGTGGGATGTCCTTCTTTCTACCAGAAACCCCTCGATGGTTGGCGATAAATGGTTTCGTGGACGAAAGCTTGCAAACAATTGCCGACTTACATTCTGATGGTAATACGGAAGCGGAGCATATTCAACAGACGTTCCTTGAAATTCAAGAAGCAGTTATCTACGAAAGCAATTTGGGGAAGTCCGGTTGGAAGGTAATGCTCCTCTACTACTTGTTTGACTTGTGAATCTCATGGATCACTAACCGTGGTTGCCACATCATAGGAAATGTTCACCCGGTATCGTAAACGGACCATTGTTGGAATAACGGTGCAGATGTTCGCGCAGATCAACGGAATTAACATCATCTCCTTTTACCTTCCGAGCACCCTGTCATCCGCTGGCTATGATAATCGCAAATCCCTGCTATTCACTGCTGCAAATGCTCTTCCCTACACCGCTGCAACAATTGTTACCTGGTGGTTAGCGGACCGATGGGGCCGGAAGCCTTTGCTCATTCTTGGAGGTCTGTCCCCATGTGGAAGAGGAAAATGGAGTTGGCTTGCAACTAAAAACTAACAATCTAACCAGGTCTCCTCATGGCCGTACTACTAGGGGTTGTCTGCGTCTTCACCGAAATCAATGTGGATGTCCAAGTCAAAGCGAACGGCCAGTATGCCTTCGTCATGCTTTACAATATCATCTACGGATTCACCTGGGGTCCGATGCCATGGCTCCTACCTGCAGAAATCTTCCCGCTCCGGGGCCGGAGTAAAGGCATGGCCCTAGCCACAACTAGCAATTGGATCTTCAACTTCATCATTGGAATGGTCTCTCCCGACGCTTTCTCTGGCATTCATGGTTATTTCTACCTGGTGATTGCAGGATTCTGTCTCAGTTCGGCCGTCCTAGTTCACTTTTACTACGTCGAAACAGCACACCATTCTCTTGAGGAGATTGCTGTTGCATTCGGTGACAATGCGTTTGCGGATGGTGATGCGGAGGTCATGGACATGGCTGGTGCGAAGAGTGAACAGGTGGAATACTCGGCGTGAAGGAGATCTGATGCGTTCAATTGTGGATTATCCCATGTATCGGCTTCTCCTTTGTGCTCTATTACGTTCTATAGGAAACTGAACAATCGAGAGATTACCTCTTATTGTACCATGTATGGTTGTGAAACTAATCCCTTCAACGAGTTTCACATGCGAGCTGCGCACCCCACCTAATCTACCACTGTGAAATGTATCTATCTCAAACAAAACGCCATTAAACTAGATAAACTAAAATCGTGATCTATCTAGACACATATTTCTCTTATGGCCCTTAATCCCATATACTCTACACTTCAGTAAGGCCCTCGTACGTGGCTGTAAAGGTACCGGAGGCAGTCTTGGCTAACGGAGTATTAGTGCTTTAATTGCCGGTTCTTCGACCCGAACGAGCTCGAGAGGCTCTAAATATATGGAGTACGAGGCGGGTCCGTTGTTTTTAATTCGGATGCGATACACCAGCTGCGAGCCTTTAACCATTATTGAGTACACAAGTCGATTTATTCAAACTTTTACTGGGAAAAGTGACCAGTGCCGTTTGGTTCACTTGGATCTAAGCAGCGGGCGAACCGTCTTCTGCGCCATATACATCGACATTGAGCATTATAATTCACGACGGGTGCTATTAACGACCTCATTGGGTTCGGGTAAACTGTTAATAGCAGTAATAATTCTTAATTGAGGGTGCCTACTAGAACAAGTATCTCTATCGAGTAGGCCAAATGACGTAGAGTAACCTATATAACCATAAATAACGTTAGACTATATTAAACAACGACGATCATAATCTATAACCTTAAATCTGGCTAGGAAGTGTATGCATGAATAATTGCTAGAATTGCAATTAAGGAAGAATGTATCTTTGAAAAGCCTAAGTAACGAAAGGTTATCTTAACTAGGATAAATGAAATTAAAAGCGTACTGCGTAGGTTTAAATAGGGTCAAATTAGAAGGACCCTCCAATGAAGCTGTTCGGAAACCTTCTCCATTTACCTAACCGGAATAGGTAAGGCATAGTAATTGTATTTATTTAAATATTAATTGTATCCACCGGAATATATATTAGCATATGAAATACCGAGGTCGTTTCTTAAGGGTAATCCGGAAAATATTAACTACGACATAAACGAAGCCTTCGAGGCGACTAGATGAAAATGCCAACTATTTGAGCTATTATGTGGCTCCTCTTCCAATATTTGTATAATTAAAGGTTGGCAAAGGCTCACGACAAACACGACAACGGTATTTTCGCTACGAACTTTAACAGCAGGGCTAAAATTGGGGGAACGATTAGCGCGACAAGGGCTTTAGACCAGGCAAGTAGTGATGACCTAGAGAGAATCCCCCAACTATACAGATTGCCACAGCCACAGGCCTAGCAAGAAATTGCGAAGTCAAGGGTGAAATCTAGCACACTTTCTTGAAGGCTGTTTGAGCAGTAGAGGTCATTTATGAACTTGAGAAGTGTGATAGACTGTAGGCAGTAGCCAGTCGATGGTAAAACGTTATATTAATATAGACTAAGAATCAAAAACTGTTACTTTGACAGACCTTGTGTACCCTTACTTAGAATGAATTGACAAATCGCTGGAAGAATCAATAAACTTGGGCCAGGTATTTGTGAACACCAGGTTCTTGATAGACCTCTCGGCCTGGTGGAAAGCACGGATGGTGAAGTTCGGAGGAACGATAACATGATCCGGAACACGGGACTCGATATGCATGATACTCTGGCCCTCGTGAGGATATGCATCCAGACACAGAGCGTGAGTGTCTTCCTCCACGTTTATCACAGTAGAAAACTTTTTTCTGTGTGACGGCACCATGTAAGACTCAGGGACATTTCTGTATGTGCGGGTTTCAGTTCCCCTTGACATAGATTGGCCGATAAATTGGGCAGCTTCACTAAACATTTCCGTTAGATCCGAGTAAATCTGGGACTCGATGTTGATGGGAAATTCCGCCGTTTTTAGATCGACACAGGCGGCATATATCTCGACCGCGATCTTGAAGAAATGAAGTCGGTGGTACTGAGAATCGCGGTTCCAATCGTAATCCGGCTTCGATTCACTGATTTTCGCCCAGGCAGCTTTCCAGTCACGCACGTAATTCAAGAAGATGATATTCTCGCCGCTGAATTCCTTGGCCGCGGCAAATCGGAGAAGCGCGCTTGAATCATCTGCTAAGCACCTCTCTAGGGCTTTTCGTGAATAGCCTTCAGGCATGCGGCTAACTTCACTTTGACTTCGGGAGGCTGCTGAATCCAATTCGTCCGCGCCAGCTGCCTTCTTGTCATTCCATGACTGGAGCTCCCCAAGGATACGATTCCTCAGTCTCCTAGAGACGACAAGCTCATAACACGGAAAGAAGATAGTAACAGCCTCCATTGTCATAATACCAGGAGCAAACCTGCGAGTGTTAGCAATTGTGGTATTTGCACCTCATGCTGGACTTTCATTACCAGAGAGCCGGCACCCAGTATCTATTGATATCTGCCCAGATTTCGGTTGACGAATACAGTGCGGCGAACCACATGGGCGAACCTGGTAAACTGCGGGTCAGTTAGTATCGATGTTTGCTGCGATGATGTCAAGGAATGTGGTCAAGTGCTCACGCGGCGATGACGCAGCAGGTGATCTGAAGCCGCCAGTGGTGTATGTCGTGGATGTTACGAATCTTCCAAAGAACGTATGGCGCAAATATCCAAGACCAGAACAATTGCCACAGAATCGAAGGAACCCTTGATTACTATTTGTCAGATGACGTCGCAGTACCACCCAAGCGGCAATCTTACCATTCAGGACCTCGCCGACATTCAGCAGAATTCACATGTTTGGAGAAGGTGCCAAAGGTTTGAAACTTCCGAGAGGTGAGGAAGATAGAGAGCGACAGAAACAGCTACAGGTGAGAGATGGAAGATGAGTAGGTGAATAGAAAAGGCAGCGGGAGCGGATGATGCACTGACTTGAACCAACATTCCAACAACAATGCCCAGTTCCGTTTTTTGGACGAGCGTCAACTGTTTCCATTGGAACAGGGATCGTCTAGAGGATTTTGCACGATCCATGAAGCGGGGTCTGTATGGTTGCTGCGCGGCTAAGAGCAACTTCTCCTGAATGCCAAAGACGCTCAGGAGCTGCATGCTGTTTGCTTGAAAAAGAGCGATCCCCAAAGGCAGATAGATGCTCATGATCCAGTATTCTGCGACACAGGGGTACTTGTCACCCATCGAATATGCGACCATGCACAGAATCCAGTAGACATGGAGAAACGAGACCGCGCTCAGCGCGAGAAACAGGTTGCGAATGCGAATGCATTGCTCTTGACGATTGGCAATGAGAAAGGCGGAGCCGATAAGGAGGGCAGTCGTCCAGATTATGGCCACAGATACATAGAATTTGGCCAAACTGTCGAAGATAGGCCCGCCCTCGCCGTCTCCTCCGGGGCTGGTGGAAGCCATTGAGGGATTTGGAGACTAAAAAAATGCCACCGACAAAAAGCTGGCGGCTGAACGTTCAGTAAAGGATTGACTGGATTGATGAGATGAGGTTCAACGCTTGGTCCAACGTGGAAAGTGCGGTGGGGTTAGTCATTTCGGGAAATCAGTCTGTCTCCCCGAAAGTTTACATAGTCTTCACCCAAGCGATCGGCAAAGAATATAACTATATTCTGTCTCACGCAATGCCCAGACTCCAACGAAGACTTTCTTCAAGCCTAGTGCGCTCCCAAAGTTTTAACGGATTTCGCGGGTGTAAACTTTACATTCTGGCCAAGTTCGCAGGAGCCAGTGGCTGCGCGGGGAAGGTTCGCTAGTCCTAAAACCGACAGAGCGGCCCCTGAGCCGTCCCCATCCGCGGCCCCAGGTCGTGTAAGTGTGTTTCACCCTCATTGCAGGACCCCAGGCTGAACCGGACCGGGCTTCGGGGAAGTTCCGAGGGACAAATTCTGGAATAGGGGAGTCCGCAACGAACTGCGGGCACAGTTGTGGCCCGTAACTCCCACTTACCTACGATTTGTGTGTAGAGAAAGTATGACAGCAAAGTCGGTTGCTCCGATTGGTCGAATTGGATAGTGGTTGCGGATCCACGCGGGCCGTCAACTTTCCATAAAAGAGAGAAAGGTGGAAGAAATGGGTCCATCCGGGTAAATTACCTGTAACATCGAAAGATAGAACGAACCCATATACATAAGTACATGCATTAGTCGTCCCGCGTTGTTGTTATTCCCTGTTTTACAGAGTTTTCATCAATCAGATAGTATGTTACCATCCAGTCCCGTACAGTATTGTATTCTATCTTCTGTTAGTGAAAGGCGGGTGAACGAGCTAAAATTGTTTCAGGATAGTGGGAAACGGGCTGGATCATGCTAGTTCGTAAGTGGCCTCACACAAGTGGGCTCTAGAGTGGCGATTTATTTTCAGTTCTCTAGCTCTAATTTTAAGAGTCGAAGATTGGTCCAAAAGCGGGCACTCCACTTGCCTTGAGCTCAAAGACGAGTTTTTGCGTGAGCCGCGGGTTGCTGATCACACACACAGCTTCCGCGTCAAATTCCCGAAAGGTTTCTTGGATAACCGGCAACATATCCACTCGCCCGCTGTTGCCGGTATCAATGAGAAGCGGGCTAGGGTCAAGCTGCCGCACGAGGTTGAGGACGTCACCACCGTACGTTCTGTTCGGATTCCGCGTCTGCCAGATGACCCGCAGAGGCGGGCGGTTCTTCTCGCTCAAAAAGGAGAGACATGGCCCTATCCCAGATCCCGTGGCAACCACAACCACCCTGCGAAAAACTCGCATCACATGGATAAAGCCGTACATGAGCACTCCGCGCTTCCACAGCTTGGTTGGTTGCTGATCGATACATCGGGTTGTCCAGTCGCCTGCCTTGGATACTATGCAAGAAAAGCTCCTGCCATTGGGATCAGGGAAAGTTGCAAAGCTGTGCCAATCCCGGAATGGGTGCTCGGAGAGTGCTATTACTTTGCCGAATGCAGTAGATGTGTGATCGAGGTGGAGTCGTATAGCATGTGGTGAGAGATACTCGGGCAAAACTTGCACCTGGCGTAGAAGGAGCCAGGGATGGACGATGGAGACGATGATGACCAGGACGAACCAAAACGCTGGGAGCTCGAGCAGGTATTGTCCGAGGGACAAGCCTTGCTCGTGTCGGGCTTGATCAGAGAAGACCAACAGGAGAGTCAGGAAAAGAGCTACTGCCAACCATCCGGAGAACCGGTGCGTGAGTTCGAAATAGTCATGTCTTTTCGTTCGGAACGTAGGATATGCAACCACAATGATAGTGATGAGAACGACGAGTAAAACATAAGATAGGACAATCACGGGGGTTGAAACCATCCCCGAGTCTTGATTAATCCAATATTCTCGTGACATCAGGGCCACGAGGCCGACAAACCATAAAAACGCTGCCACGCCGCATCCGCTGTGGACTCCACCATAGCAATATGCTTCTGCTGCCCTCTTGCGCAGCATGAGAGGGGCCGACTGTGGGATGCGGCAGATGCTCAGAAAGATGGCATTCACCACTAGCGGGTGTCGTGCAAGACCGCATACTAGCAAATTGATGCCCGCTGCGTTCACAAATGCAAGAGGATTCGGTCGGCCCTCCACCATAATGATAATAAATGCGACCGCATTAGCGCAGTAAACCAGAGAAAATAGGCGGCGGTAGATGTTGAGAATGAGATATCGTATTGAGGCAAACCTTCTTCGTGGGTTTTGTTGAGCTTCAATGTCCGCATTAGCAGAAAATCTCTTCCAATTCCAGGCGTTGTCACTGCTAAGAAATGTATCGACTGATGTTGCAAAACTCGGCTTGCTCGAATGTGTGGGAGGAGGTATTTGGGGCGAGCATGCCATCTTGTGTATTGTGCTGCAATTGAAGGCAGCACAGGTGAGGAAACTCGATTGTATATAAAGGAAGATGTGAATGTGTATGGACCAGCGAATTGAGATATTAAAAGGTTCAAACGAAGTCAATCAGCTTTATTGTGGGATATATGCCCAGGATGCTGACATGATTGTCCCCCAACAATCCTCTCTGATTCTTGGTGGTAAGATAACCACGTTATACCAGGTGGAGTCTTATGGGTCACCTAACCGCTTCTGTTTTGAAGCGCGCATAGCGTGGGACTACTGCAAGCCGTATTTGTAAACCCACCAGCCCTTTGTTAGGGAATGGCAGGGATTCGGTCACATACAGGCGTTTGGATGCGTTATCGGCATGAAGCCAGCATTATTTTATACAGGAACCCCTGGAGCTCCGTGTTATGTTACATCGGTCCCTGATTAGATGAGGCTCACTAGGCGCGCCATATCCTCCACCTCTTGGCAAACCCTAGCCTTGGCCTTGGCGCTTTGGATCAGGCTTTTGTCGATATTGTGGGCTTCGGGCCTCACAACGTGGCATCACAAGCTCCACTAACTAATACTATTTTGCGAATAAATCATGCTTAAGTCGTACTACTGCGATTAGAGTGGATATGATGCCGGGGCTGCTGGCCCTCTGTCGAGAACAACGAAGTGGGACCTTTCCCGACCTCCGATAGAGTTCACCACTGCTATTGACTGGATTGGGAAATACAAGCTCGATACCATCTTTGTTGGACTTCTTACTTATCTCAGAGTCCCGACCTTACGAATTGACCCCGTAGCTCTCCATCACCTAGCTTCACGCTTGCATAGAACGCTAACCGCTATATATTAAAGACCCTAATTATAACCAATAAACGAGAGTGTAGATACTTCGAGTGCTTATATAGGGACCATTACGAGACCCTCAGGTGTACAAGAAAAGGAATCCAGCACATGAAGATTAGGCCGTGAGGCTCCTTGAAAGGAAGACAGTTCTGTATTTTGAAATAAAAAGAGGGGCTAAAAATATCTAAATGACAGAGTCTATAAAAAGTCTATGTAAAAGTCTAATCTATGAATGAAGGAAAGACGACAATAAAGGAATACAAGGTAAAAACATTGGACATGTTTAAGTGGCGGTCCGCAAAGGGTGAGAGGTTTGACGAGTTCGAGTAATGAATGATGAACCTATTCGGCTTTCTTCGAAGCCTTGGTTCTCAACTTCATCAATGCAAACACCAAGGCGTATCCACTGATGGCGAAGATCACACAAATAGCTGCATCTCTCCATCCAACATAGTAATGATTGATGTTGAGAGTTGTCAGGAAGTCGCTTCCATTTTTATATTGGCAGACCTTGCATGCTGAGGTAGCATCAGGGTTGAGCAGGTTAATTTTCCAACCATCGCCCGCCATATAGTCTGACAGGTACTGTGCGCAGGTTCCGTTTGTCGGGTCGAAGTACGCAAACTCATCCTCGTTGCAAGTTACCTTCGCATCCCAGATGCCAAAGGTCAACATTCCGGAGACAACGTAGTTGAATGGATTGAGGTAGTACAACCAGTACCTCCAGAAGACGTTGAGCTGGTCGTACGGGACAAAGACGCCACAGAAGAGGACAAGGAAACTGATCACCAAAGGGTTCACCAGCGCAGCAAAGGTCGGGTTGGGGGAATAAGCTGCAACAAACTGGCCGATTCCAGTATAAATCAGCTCGTATATTAGCATAATGAAGAAGATAGCTCCAGATCGGTCTGAGTCGTGAGGCAGCCTCCAAACGGGGTAGTACCAGCACGCAAAATAAAGAACTGCACAAATGCAGAGATACGGAAACTCGGAAACAATGAGTCCTGTAACAAACGCGACCCATGAGTACATCTTGGACTTCTTTTCGCGAGCATCATATATGTCACGACGTTGGATGAATAGTGGCTGAAGCTGGTTGATGACACCGGGAGCAACGAAGACAAAATTAAAGATCGTGAACATCTTCAAATTCAAGGCCGCCACACTTGGACCGGGACGCCAGAAGGAGAAGCCGTTGAGTAAAGCTGAAATGATATGAAGGGAGAATTTGTTGTTGATGTAGTTGGTGTTCCGGAAAAGCGCAACGTTCATGCGGTGAGTGACAATTTTGGTCTGCTCCCAGAGAGGCATTGAGAATTCAAATCCATCATCAACTGTGCCTGGCGGCTTAGCAGCCGCCTCTTCAAGCATCCCGTCCAATTCCTGGATCATTCGTGATTGTTCGGGGGAATCGAGCCAGATCTGATGCCAGTCCTTGTCCTTGACGGCCTCGATACCACCCGTGACCACATCAATCATGAACTCAGCTGCGTTGGCCTCGGTAGGGCACTGAGCCCCGTACTGACCGAAGTATTGCTTAATAATAGCCGCGTTCTCGCCAATGTCTCCGAAGTAGACAGTCTTTCCACCCTTTGCGAGGAGGAGAAGGGTATCAAATTGAGCAAAGAGCTGCGCCGAGGGCTGATGGATTGTGACCTGAAAAATTTAATGTCAGCAACATAACCCCTGTTGTGCCAGAGTGAAGACTCACCAAAATGGCCTGACCCACGTCAGCTAACTTGCGAAGGAAACGCACTGTGTTATAGGCTGATTGTCCATCAAGACCGGATGTGGGCTCGTCCAAGAAGATCAAAATGCTAGGCTTGGATACTAGTTCCACGCCAATTGTGACACGCTTCCTTTGCTCGACGCTGAGTCCATTGCCTACAGAACCGACAAGGGTATCTGCTAGGTCATGGAGCTCTAGAAGATCAATGATGGTGTCAACATACTTAAGCTTTTCTGCCTTTGGGATGTTGCGAGATTGGCGTAGAAGAGCAGAGAACTCTAGGGCTTCTCTCACGGTCGCGTATGGCTCATGAACATCCAACTGTTCACAATATCCAGCCATTCTCTGGAAAGACACCGGAAGTGGTCGTCCATCAACCATGATAGATCCTTTAATGGTACCGTCTGTCTTTCTCTGGGCAAGAACGTCGAGAAGGGTCGTTTTTCCGGCACCGGAAGACCCCATGAGGGCACCGAGCATGCCGGGTTTAACCCAGCCGTGGATATTATCCAACAGCACTCGATCGCCGGAGGGAGTTTTGACGGTATACGTGAGATTTCTCCAGGTGAAGATAGACGTGTTTCGGGAAAGGTTTTCATCAACCTCAACGGGCTCATCGGTGGTCTCTCGCGCAGTGGTCTTTTCTCTGTTGTTTGCCTCTTCATCAGAGCTGGCGGCATGGTGCTTCTTCAGGTTCTCACGGGGAATGAGAAGGGAAGCACCAGATGCACCACCCGATTTCCAGTACGTTGTGCAAATGATGGTAAGAATGGCGAAGAATCCCCACCACCCCCAAACGACACCAAAGTTCCTCCACATCTGAGAGTACTTGTAATGAAGTGATCCAAGGTACTGATCACCAGTGACATAATCTGCACCTGGCGAAGCGCCACCAATACCCGCACAAGCTTTGTTGGCAGATCCAACATCCTCATAACCAGGACCGCTCGGTATCAAATTCATACCAACACAGGGGATATGCTGGTCGTGAAACTCGTTGGACATTGTAGCTTGAAATGCGTAGGCAAAGGGGTTTGTGTAGTACAACTCGAGGAACCAGTTCTTCATCTTAGGCTTTGGGATCATGTAACCAGCATACATGACAATCCCCTTGACGGCAGTTCCTGAGATCTTGGACGCGGCCTCAAATGTACTAAAGGCGGCTCCAATGAATCTGAACAAAGCGGTAATGCACTGTCAATGAATTAGTTAGTCTCAAACTAGATAGTGTGTCAGGGAATGATTCAAATCAGCGCGGACTTACCAATGTTGTGGTGAACAATATGATCCAAAATGTGAAGAATGCAGCCGCAGTGTGCTTGAGGCCAGACATCCAATATATCACAACCGAAAATATCGAGCACTGGAACAACAACACCGGAAAGTCGGCTGTGATTTGAGCCAAGCAAAACGCAGCCGGGTGATACATTGCAAATGACTTGTGCTTAACCAAAACTGGACGACCCTTGAAGGATTCGGTAACCTCAGACATAGCCACAATGCAGTTGTACAACAGGGAAAAGAAAACCGCTCCACCTTTGGTGAACAGACCTTCAGAGGTGTTTGGGGAATCATAAAAGCATGAACCAGCGATCAAGGCCATCACGCACGACAAAACCTGTTTGATCAAAAAGGTTGATTTCTCACCCCATAAGATCTGATACTGTCGACTGGTGCATGCGCTGACCTGAGCCCAGAAGCTAGTGGTCAAACTGCTCCCCTTGGGGAGATGCTTCGATTTTTCCCACGCAACGGATTCCTTGAACGCATCCGTGCGCTCACGGCTAAGCTCGCTGTCGGGATAGTCATATGCTGATACCATCTTTTTATAAGTCTCAGACTTTTGGTATTCCGCCAGAATGGCATCAGCATTTCTAGGGAATGTATGTTCGCAGCCTGGTCTGATTCTCCGCTCTGTCGGAACAGTCAAACCAGTCAGGAAATCGCCTTTCTTAGTGTTAGTCATTATGCGATTCGGCATGTTCTCAGATAAGCAATGACTGACCGATATTCGCTCCATCAGTGTAAACAAATCCAAGATCTTCCATGAAAGGCTTCGCTTCAGCTGCAGGGCCATAGTAAATTTGCTTGCCCTCGTCGAGGACCAAGACTTTGTCGAAGAGGTTATAAATTCCGTTTCCAGCTTGGTACAAGGTCACAATAGTGGACAGACCCAGGACATCAGTCATGGCACGAAGAGCTTTTGCCCACTCCAATGCAGTACTAGCATCCAAGCCACGAGTACTATTATCCCAAGAGTAGATAGAACCCCGAGTGGCAAGGCACTCGATAATGGATACTCGTTTCCGTTCACCACCAGATACACCACGGACAAATTCGTTTCCGACTTTTGTATCGGCTGTGTGTGCGATTCCCATGGATTCCAAAAGAAACTGCTTCGTCTCAGCGGTATGGTTTGCAGCACTTTGGGTTCCATCCGGTAGATGGAATGGGACTTTCATTCTTGTCGCAAAGTCCATGGTCTGACCGACAGTCAATCGGGGGTAGAACAGCTCTTCTTCTGTGTTCATCACGATCTGACCATTATATTTCTCGGCTTCTGAAGCATTCATGTTTCCAAAACGCACGTCACCCTTTATAGTATGGTAACCCTCATGGCGGTTTGAAAGCATCTTGAGAAGCGTGGTGCATCCTGAGCCAGGCCGGCCCAAAACAAGGAGCATTTCGCCAGGTTTAACGCAGCCATGGCTCTCTGACAATATAGATTTGAGTGGTGGTTTGCGGCGGAGATCCCTGATTAACTGAGGGATGTTGAATTGCGAGATCATGTTTTCGTTGACGGCCGCCTCGGCGGCAAGGACGTCGACAGTTAGGTCTTGCCATGTAACACCGAGCTCACGCCTTTTGAACCCGGCGGCTTGGTCTCTCTCTGCATTCCGGATGACTTGTGGTTTCATGCTCCAGCCCGAGTCCTTTTTGGGCAGTCGAGTGGGGTTGGCATTGGCGAAATTCAGGGTCTCAGCACTGCTTGCTTCGCGGATAATGGTTTGAGGTACATGGAGGGTCTCCACACTGGTCAAATCGTGGTTGTTGAGCTTTCGAACAGGCAGATCATCAGATCTACGGTGTTCCTTTTCGTTTTCAGAGTAATATTCTCCATGAGGCTCGGGGGTGACGTATCATAGGGGTCGTGATGTTGGTCCATTGTCGCGACGGGATTCGGTCAGAGAGTGGAGATTGGTCAAAGAAATTGGATTATTATGTTGGAATCACAGGTCGATTTAGTAGGAGAAGGACCAGGGTATTTATTTTAACCCTCTCCCGATTTTGCTAGGGGGTATTCAATGTGTGTTCCGATTCCAGATCCGAAGCAAAAGGGGATCGAACAGCCGTCATTGGGCAGAAGTCCATTTTTTGCTAGAAACAGCTTATACACACTTACCAGTTCATTAGCTTCTAATGCGGCGGCTATTGTTCCAGCCTCCGCTATGAATAGTTCCCGAGAAGGAAACAGTCCTGAAAACCGGCATGTAGGCCGAGCCCTTCCATGGGTGGTGGGGCTTACTTTGACAGATCTTGAGTTGGATAAACTGATTTTTCTTGCCGAAAAATGTTATTCAATCATTGGTCTACATATGCGAGCCTAACGCTGGAGAGATGTCCGATTTGTGAACCCGCTCTGGTTGTTTTTGGACTCATGCGAGACATTTATGGGGCGCACACGTAATATTAGTTGCCTGTGAGATATTTATTAGAAATCTACAATTCTTTTCCATTCTTGCTGTGGATTCAAAGAGGATAATATGCCGGCAATTGTTAGCAAGACCTCCTCGTAGATAGCCTTCGCCATATGTGGCGATTTGATGATAAGCGCAGTAACTTAATGGGTTTCGGCATATTTTATGCTTAGATGAACTATAGTTTCATATCAGCATAGCGCCTTATCAGAGATGACATATGCACCTATGATTTTTAATAAATGTAAAGAATTAGGATGAAATGGTTTGTTCGATGCCAGAAAAATAGCGGAGGCTTTCCGCTCCCGAATCCCGACTAAGTTGTCAGCCCGATAACGGGTGCGACGATCCCGATCTACCCGGCCAAATCTGCTCGACATGCCGAACTGCTAGGCCGGATGCTTGTGCCAGTCCAAATGTAGAAATATGTAACTAGCGTCTTCTCAATCCGGTAATATGCGAGAAGGTGCCTGGACTCACATTGCGGGTCTGCCATTATCTTCCAGGGGCTCGGCTGGATTTCTTCGTTATGACCACCGACTTATGCCCATGACGCAAGCCATGCTTTGAAATTCCAGGCAGCTTCCTGGCCTTAACAGTGTTATAACAAGATCCGATGGCCCAATCACGGTCTGGGTGTAATTAGTGGTTCGTGATTAAGATGAGGGATTGTCCTAGTTAGCACAGCTAACTTATGCTCGGACCGTTGTAGCCATCAAACAGTAGTATTCCTGGAAATGCCTCCCGTCTGATAATTTGGTGCCTTTTTCGCTCCTTTGCGATCTGATTTATTTATCCTCTGGTTTTCACATGTAGATCCTCCGGTCAATCATTGGCCCTGGGTTCTTGGCAACTTCACAAAGGCCATGCAACAGATCGTTTAAAGATGAGATTGACATTGATAAAGTTCTTCGGGACTTTTTCCCTGCAGTTTTGCGGCCTCATCTTAGTCGCTTTCTTCTATGACTCCAAATATTGCGTTCTCTGAAGAGTCAGCCACTCAGCAGTATCCTGTATCCTTCTCGAATTCGAAACTTTCTACGCCTGCGCCTGTAGCTTATTCAGACTCATCACCATTTAGCTGACCTGCATTCCATGTTAGCTGATGATGGAGCAGAACAGAAATGATAAAAAAGGTGAACCCAAGCTACGTGACAAACTTACTCTCTTTCGAAGCCAATAGGATCACCTCTCTCCTCCCACTCTCTTTGTGTCCACTTGTTAAAACCACATTTCTCCCGGGCTCTACCAGTCATATCTACTTCTCTCCAAAAGCCGCTCCACCCATAGTCGGAAAGCCCCTACCAATTCGTGTCCAATCAACGTCACAGGCGATATGGAACTGTTGCTGACCACAATGCGAGACCACGGACTGCAGATTGAAAGGTATTGACCTGTCAACCAATATGAATGATGGTTTCTGCTGGCAGTGAGCAGGCCCATTCGAGATCAACCACACATCTGATATTCTAATCGCTATCGACGAATATATTATGGGCAATTAGATCGGTTAGCGTGTAAAAGAAAGGTCCTCCTCGGTATTCTCTCCTAGAAAAATGCGGTATCAGAGCACTCATCATCATCAATCTTGCCGTCTGGCCTCGACCATCATTTGAATCATGCATAGAGTTTGGCTGATGTCGTATACAACCATCGTGACAAGACAGAAGATCACGATAGTTGTATACTGCTAATCATCCATCTAGTATCTAGGAGCGCCTAGAACCATCGAATTGATGCCCACGGCCTTTAGAGGTATTTTGATCAAACTCTGTACCTCAGTGCCCCGGATAGTGAAGATAGTTTGCCACAAACGCCAAAGTTTGACATGATTACTTCTTTCCAGCATCCAGAGAAATGACATTCAGTCTCTCAGCTTCAAAAATATTCAGGTCTTCTACCACGTAATGTTATAATTACCACCAACATATTCAAGATACATTCAGTTGCAGCATGGAAGAGATTTCAACATTTAGATACATCGGAATCGGTCAGCGGCTCCCCGTGAAGAATGGTTGAAGATCCGAACACGTTGCATGAATCAAATTCGCAGCCACGCGTGGCGTACTGACGCCGGATCGTATAATATAGTGGTAGAGGAACGGTATTGTGATGTGAGCTTTGCGATTTATATAACAACCTTTAGAGTCGACACAAGTTTTGTACGGTTTATCCTTTACCCTGGCTTTGGGACTTTCACGTGCCACGTTGATTGGGAACTTACTGGAGAATTGGCAGTCCGGCAAATACAAGGACGCTTATATAAGCTAGTAACTGACATAAGTTAAGAATTCTATATTACAGCTAGGAATGAGTTCAAATGCTTACACGATCCCTTAATATGAACGTGGAATCCATGCATTACAAAGTAATCTGTTTCAGCTTACATCTAACGTCAAAGGGGTATTCCGACATAAATTAATCTGATCAAGAGCCATCGCAAAATTAGGAAACTATGACATATTTAGCCCTAGGTCATTCTTATAGGAATGAGGTTCGAGATAGAGGTATGAGAGAGATCACGTGTAGTGAGACAACGCCCCACTTTTTATAGGTTGAGCACCCGCGTTGGACCAAGGGTCAACATTCTGGTTGTCACAAGGAGCCCCTTGAATAGTTGCCGCTTGATACTACCCGGATGCACATATGATCATGGGGTTTCCTATTGCAAAGCACCAGCCCTTGAAAGGGGAGGCTGGTCTCGATGATGTCAGTTTCCCCCTTGCCCCACCCGACGGCAGCCACACACAGTCATGTTATTCATGCTGACGATGAAATATGATCTATGATGTGCAGCCAGCTCCATTCACATCCAACATGAGAATCAAAAGCAGCCAGTCAAGCCGAGACGATCAAGCGGTCAAGATGCGTGGAGACAAATCCAGGGAGTGCAGCAGGGTGCAGCACAAAAATGCGCAGGAGCTTGCCGGCTGACAATTGTGACGAACCCCATTGCCCTCAGTGGTTGCACTACAGCCAGTAGTACGCTTTGCCTACTCCAGATGGCTGCAGATGGGCTCCAGATATTCTGATGGATTTCCTATCTTGGTGCGATCGGCGCCCGCCAATCTGCGCTATTACATTGCAACCGCGCCGATCTCTTCAGCTCGAACCTATGAACCTATGGAGTGCCCGAGCGCTAGATACCCCCGCCAGTGGACTGGGTCGAACTTGATCTGTCGATTGGAGATGCAGAGCTGAAGATCCGAAGCTGAAGGCTTTTTTTAAGTCTTGCTCCCCCCGCCCCGTGCGGGAGAACTCTTTTTTTTTTTTGTTTTCCCTCCAAACTTCACCTCTTGATCATCGTTTGTGTATTATAGTGATATCCCCTCCATTTTTTTCCTAGCGCTATGCCTACTCAGATCCCTGGACCCCGTGGAGTTCCGCTCCTGGGTAATATTTTCGATGTCAACCCCAATGAGACATGGAACTCACTGAACAGCTTGGCCAAGCAATTTGGTAAGCTTTTATGAAGGAAGTTGTCGAAATCACAGAAGCTAACTTTTGATTAGGCTCTATCTTCAAAATTAATGCCCTGGGACACGAAATTGTCTTCGTCGGTAGTGTTGCATTGCTTGAGGAGATCTGCGACCAGACCCGGTTCCGCAAGTGTGTGACAGGCCCAGTTGTTGAGATCCGATATGCCGTGCACGACAGTCTGTTCACGGCCTATGACAGCGAAAAGAGCTGGGGAATTGCACACCGCATTATGATGCCTCATCTCACTCAATCCGCGACCGACAACCTTTTCGGAGACATGGCAGAGGTCATCCCGGACCTCACAAACAAGTGGAGCTCAGGCACCAAGAAGCGCACTCTGATCACAAAGGACCTCGACCGTTTACTCCTCGCATCCTGCATGAAATGTTTCTTCAACCAGCGCGTTCACGTGCTTGAAGGTGCCGAGCCACCCATGCTCAACGCCATGGACGGCGCCACCATGGAGGCGATGAAGCGCCCCACCCGCCCAAAGCTGCTGAACTGGCTCGTGTACCAGCGCCGCTTTGAAAAGGACACCAAGATCATGCGCGGCTTCGCAGCCGAGGTGATCAAGACCCGGAGAGAAAACCCGGAGACCGCCCGCAAGGATATCCTGGATGCCATGCTCAACGGCAGCGATCCCGAGAGCGGCGAGAAGCTCACCGAGTCGCAAGTGATTGATGAAATCATCTCCTGCTTCATCGGCGCCGCTACAGCCCCCAACCTCGTCTCTTACGCTCTGTACTACCTCATGGAGAACCCGACCGAGATCACCAAGGCACAGGAGGAGATTGACCGCGTCGTCGGCGACGGCAAGATCGACCTGGAACACCTGAAGAGCCTGAACTACATTGAGGCCATCCTCCGCGAGTCGATTCGTCTTTCCGCCACCGCCCCTGGCTTCAACATTGAGCCCATTCCCTCTGACGACAAGAGCCCCGTCCTTCTCGCCGGCGGCGAATACCAAATCGCCCACAACCAGCCTATG